GCACGTAACGTGATCTAGTCGTCGATGTAAATACACGTCTATAGCCAACAGTGATTCGTGATTACTACTTCAGATGTTCGCCAACATGTATGTTCGTAATCAGCAATATCTCAAAATATCCAAGCAGTTATTGTCTGAGACATTAGTACGGTTTTAATGGGCGTAAATGTCCTCAAACACCATATGATGGCCCAAGTTGCCTATCACTGGTAATGGAATGATTGGCAAAGCAACCGGGTCGATGTGAGGAATATATAGGAATAGACACTGCTATGAGCAATAAACAGAGAGTTATGTGCACAGAATTGCCGGAATGTGATGGTTTCTTAAGAAGCATGATCTCACCCAATATATTTCTTAGGAACATCCGTGCTCCTGTCAGCTAAATATCTACCCTGTGTCGTTGGTCAGTATTCTTGGAGATTTCGTAAGCATTGAGTATCTTAACTAATGGCGATCGTTTGTTGGGATTATGATCAGATAGCCATCTATTTCTGACAAACATCAACTCTAAACACAAGGAAAAACATTGTCTAACGTAGCGGATTCCAGAATCGGCGAGCTCGAGTCGATTACATTGCCATTACCCATCATTGAAGGTGCTCCACTGAAGAGTGTCGCTCATTCTAGAGCACATATTTAGACTCGGATCATTCTCTAGTCCGAGCACATATATCTGTCTTACTGAACGTAGAAAAGCCACAGCAAGAAAACCCCTTATCGTCCAACCTAATGATGAACAACAAGAGAATGAGCTAGCCAATCGTCAAATGACATCCATTACGAGGTAGTTTGGTATGATATTCAGAAACAACAGTGATATCTACCAGTAACTCAAACCGAAAGGTTAGGAAAATCAGTGGATCTCAGCAGCGTCTACAGCACTGATAGACGCCCAAAGACTCATCCCGTCTGGCTCAGCACACGATGGAAGACGGAGACAGCTTAAACGTATGTTTATCAAAAGCTTACAATATGACTATGAGTAGTGGTAGGTAGCGAAAGGTAGCAGTAGACAACTGTTCAGACCTATCAAAGAAACGGGTGTTAGTGAAACTGCCTCGGAGATGGAACCAATGGGTACAACACTTTGGGAAGCCACACTTCATTTACTCACCATCTCCAGGTAACCTGATGCAAGTCCTCCAACCCTTAGTGAGGTTCAAACGGCTATAAGTAATCTAAAGTGAGGGAGAGCAAAAGGGGCCTGGTGGGTCAATCATTGGGATTTTTAAGGATCGTAGTTTAGCTTTAGCAATTAGAGTAACTGGAATCTCACCAAAAATTTGGGGAATGGATTCAATCTGGTCTCGATCACTGGCCGTCTCAGTTTATAAGGAAGAAAAATCCTCTTGTGGCAATTACATAGTGTCCAAAACATTAACCTCCCTAGTACTTAGACGTGTAACTGGGACTTGTAAAGAGCAAACTCGAGGAAACCAGGCTAGTTTTAGACTTGGGCGTGGATGTATAGAACAAATATTCACTCTGGGAAACAGACATACTTTTCGATATCCTACTACAGTTGTATTTCTTGACCTTAAGGTAGTGTCCGATTCTGTTGATCGTGAGGTTCTCTGTCGGCGTCTGCCATTGAAAGGCGTACCAAAAAATTACAGGCTAATGGTCAGTCAGCTACAACGTAGAACGAGGCCCATAAATGCATCCATTCAAGTCGCCATACCTCACCAGAACAAGGTGAACACCGAACTCATGGTACTTAATTTAATGATGGTAATATATAAAGAAAGATTGTATGTAGGGATATAATACATGAAGCAATTTTAATCTCAAGGTTTAAGGGATGACAAAGAGTGTATACACCCGAGCCATGTCAACCAGAATCTCCGACCATTGATTTACGATAGTCGCGCTGACCCCAACCAAGTAGTCTGCATCTACCAACATGGCTCAGACTAGAAGTTAATGACTTCAAGCATTGGTGTAACGTTTTGGTTTGACCGCCCCTAACTCTCTTCTAACCAGTGCTTGCCAGCATAGCGCGTTGTGGTAATCGGCGTTCAGGCGTACGTAACACGTGACCTGACCATCTTAGTCAATGAAGATTCATGACCTCATCAACTGATTTACCATCATTCCCTAATACCCTGCGTCCAACCTCGCCATCACTTACCCAGTGATCCTAGCAGATGCGAGCAATATTTCTAAGGCATCTGTGGTCAAATACTAGTAACTTACAAGTATCTTCTACTCTTAATGACCACATTCCGACAGGCTGTTGGAACACTACTGGTCGACTCAGAGCTCACGTCGAACTGGTTGCTACAAGTGGTGTTCGTCAGGGTTGTCTGCTTTCTCCATTTTTATTTAACTTCATGAGATGACACTTTCAACATCTGACTTTTCAGGGGTTTGACGTTCACTTGGAGATTCCTTTGTTGACTCGAAATACATAGATGATGTAATTCTGTCTGGTGAACACGCTGACCATTTTAAGCAACAAAGCAAGCATGTTTGTGATGCGATTATCTTCCCAAAATGTAAAATAACACATCTTAATTGGTTTGTATCATCGCCTGAATTAGTGGTAGGAAGTGAAGTAGTTAGGCGATCAACAACTTTGCTTATCTTGAGAGTCGCATCAGTGCTGATGGTCTGGTATCAGACGAAGTCTCATCACAAACTCAGAAGGCTCGATTGACTTTTGCCAACTTATAGGGTGGGCGAGATATCCGTCTTCGCTCTGTCCTACTTTTTAGGTGTGAAACATGGCCATTATGAGTAGAGAACATTCTCAGGTTACTGATATTCGATCATAGGTGTCCACGATGCATTGCTCGTGTACTTAGAGACCACAGGCTAAACAATGAGTTAGGAATGCAGTTTCAGGTTAACATGTAAAATTGATCGATGCGGTGGTAAATCTTCATCAACTAAGGTGGTTAGGACACGTATGCACGACCGCCGCCCACCCTGGCGAGCGATGTTGTCTGGTGCAGTAGCAGGCCACAAAAAAAAGCTAGGGGTGGCTAAACTGAAACATGGAATCAGTCCATGAAGTTAGTGACAATTTGACTTGGTTATGTTAACAGGTATTGACTACCCACATCGGAGCCTGCATCGTTATCGTAACCAATGTTTAGAGACTTTGAGTGACATGGCTCGAAATCGTCTGCAGTAGCGCAGGTGCATCCACTCTTTGTCTTCCCCAACTTGAACCAATGTGCATAAGTAGACTCAACGTTGTGACTAACTGAAGTATTTTACTCGCATGTGGGTTATATATACTTGTGATAGGGATGTGGGTGGATGTACACGTAGCATCTAGAGGAATTGTCAAGGTACTGGCATTCGTGATGAATAGATTGGAGATCCAACCACTTATCAAATAAATGTGCTAGTCATATGTGGGTTACACTTGGTAAACCCTACAAATAACATTTTGCAGTGGATTATAGAATTCACAAGCAGTTAGCTAGGCAACATCCACCCATCTCTAACCAATTGGGCATACAGGTAGTGCCGATCCACAAAGTAATATAGAATGGAATCTATTTACATACTTACCAAGAAACGTTTTGGTTAGTAGAGGAGCACCTCGAAGACTGCAATATTATATTACAGAGCAGTCGCTACCAAACTATGGTGTGGTGTAAAGTTTTTATGACAGGATAACTGCCTGACTAGTTGTTTTCGAGACTTCGTCTTACCTTACTTTCCAGTCAGGTAGTCTTTTCCTATGAATGAAGCTAATGGTCGGTAGAAATGAACGTTTGTCTGAGCTTGTATACAGCAGGTAGTCACCATCGCTTGCTCGCCAAGCTGAGACATCGTAGGACTTCTCTCCATCTAACTACTCTAGCTAAGAAACTGTGTTATTGTTTTTTAGTACCTGTGATACCCCCACTTTTTTACTACTTAATGGCTTGTCTGCATAATTTTATCATGCTGCGGCACTCTAACCGACACCAGGTTTGACATTACTAACTGAAATCACCCTCAGCTTCTATTCGGAGCTACGTCAAGTGCTCCATTAGAAGAGTAATGAGATTGTGGATCTCGCCTAAGCAGCGAGTTTTAAAAACATCAAAGACGTGTGATATCAACAGAAATGTCGTTAGACAGACTGCCAAAGTTTACTTGCAGGAAGTGACTTAGCTATGGTAGATCGGAACGAAGCTGCTGTGTATTCCATGGCTACTGGACAGGATTACACTAGCCCGTCTTAATCCAAGATAGTGTTGGAGTTTGCCTACATCACCAAAAACAGATTTGTATCAACTGCCGCACCAACAGTAGCACCTACACCGGTATCTAAATGCAAGACCTAGATGATTAATGATGACATACGAACAATGTTTCTCAAAACCACACGACAAAAATGAATTATTTCCAGTAGTAATGTGCAAATCACAAGAAGAATTATATCCTGAGGCGATGACAGGAAGCAATTATATGTTTAGATCCACGACCATGTTTGTTATTATCGCTTGCAGTACGGAGGTGAGAAACACTAATACATCACTTAATGCAATCTGCTCATATATCTAGAGACCCGTCTACTTGACTCCAGTATGACATAAATGATTGAGTGGGTTGAAACCGCATGATCTAAACGATACAACCAGAATTGAGAACAAAGTACATGGCACCAACACAACAATATGCTGCGACATGGTGACCAATTTTGATTATCTAAGCACAGAATACTTATTAACAATGTTCCTCTAACCCTACAATTTAGATAAGAACGCTTTATCCTAGGATCTATACTTAAAATGACTTTTCTTACGCACCTTAGTAATAAATGACCGGGTTTATTACGAAAATGATAGTAAGCACATGGCATTTGCATGCTCAAATTTAGTTTTTACGAGCATGAGGTTAATAGCATCAAATGAACCATGTATGACACGTAATTAATAATAACAAAACATATCAAAAGTACTCTGGTGTCCAAGAAGTTTGGTTAATAATTTATTTTTTGTGTTCTACAGTGGTTTTCTTTTCTCTTCTTTTCTGTTCCTTGATGAGTTGTTTTAAAACTTTTTGTTCCTCCATCATGAAAGCACGAATGATTCTATCAATCACTAAGATGAACATTCAACCTACCGATTGCGGACACAAGTATGACAGCGAGAGCCACCATATGGCCTGTTAACAGTCTTCAATCTTTTACTCATTGAGGTTCTTTCACGGGGTCTGGATGGCTTGATACCGAAAAGTTTACTCTTGCAATCGCCACATTTGGGGAACGTTCCACGTTTTTTTACATAAATATAGACAACCTTGCCACCGGGAGTTTTAACTCTAAAACAAAGATACTCGTGTCAGAACCATACAAAGTGGAAAAAGAATTGTAGAGCATGCAAATGTATAACTATTGTAACACTTAACTCAATAACAAAACCAAATATAGATTGGTGTATTCTGAAAAAAACTTTACGGAATAAGAGATGTGTGAATTAGATTGAAATTCCTTTAATATACCTCCACATACTAGCTTAAAAATACATTTTTTAAGCAATGGGTGGGAGGAAACTTAAAATACTTTATATATTTCGCAAACGGTTTTGGAAGTAGACTCAACAAATCCTATTGCTTTCAAGAACTGATTTAGTCCGCGATAATGTTGTGAAATATAAGATGTACTGCAGCAAATCCTTATCACAATCTTATGTTCATGTGACATTGAAGTTGTCCCAGTAACTAGCTACTTAGATTACGGTTATCGGTAATCAGGAAAACTTGACCCCGCACATACTAGCACAACAATTTTATATAAGCTACACCTAGTTGTCAGTAGATGCGGCTAGAAGTCATTTCATCCTAGTGCACTAAATCTCACTCCCGTGGTTACAGGATGTACATCTTTAAAATAATGGAATAGAAGCTGGGACCGATATGTGTGGTAAATTACAGCCGAAGTGTTCAAAGGGAGTGAGCTTCAATTATACTTGATAAGTTTCAACTGATGTAGGGTTGGTACTTTGAACATACAGTACCATGTAAAACTAGTAGTAAATGCCAAGGTGACGTTTCTGGACTCAATAACTTGAAATTGACTGGAAATAGGTCGAAAATCCGACATATCTGTGATAAGGTTGTAGAAACTTGTCTTCCAAACGAAAAACTAACAACGTATTTGGTGAAACTTAGCTAAACTAGAGGGCACATAACGTTTTCAAATTATGATTTGAGTTTGAATAAAATAACTATCTGGTCAGGTATGTCAACTTAGGACAGAATATGTCAGCCATATGATTACCGTGCCAAAGCCCGGTCAGTATTAGGCTATTATTATAACCCTCATAATCGCTGCAGAGGGTGAATTGAAAAAAAAGTTCGACTAAATTACACTTCATAAGTGAAGACTCACTTTTTTCTCTTGTTAGAGTTAGTATTATACGACAACCTACGCCTCAAAGTTAACCGCTGCATGCTGGTCAACCAACAATAGTGCGCAAAATACGAAAGGATACAAACAAACGATACATTGTCCAATACGAATCAGTTGAACCCAATCTCACGAGAAATGGAACGCTGTGTCTTTGTTTGTCCTAGTGGTGTATTTCTCTAGTTTGATCGAAAATACTTTGAGCAATTTTGGAAAAGGAGCTCTGACAACACTTTTAGGTAACGGGTTTCATTCGTTGTTAATTCTATGGGAAAGTAAATAGATGATCAGCAGCAGATGTTCAGCTTGTTCAACTTGGTTTAACATCAGCTTTACTTCTGAAGGTGAGTTTAAATTATCCACCTGGCCTATGGCTACCGATGGTTTCATCCTGTTTCCAACTTTATAAACCTTTCACCTTTGTCTACTAGATAGTAATTTCAGTAGATAACTGAATACCCATTAGATAAGAGGGATCTTATATTCTCTGCAGACAAATGACTCCAGGTTTGTAAACTTTATGGAGTATTCTTATGAAATTTTTGCTCTTCACAACCTGGAAAACTAGTTGATGTTAGTTGGAAAGTAATTATTAGTTGATAGGACTACACTAAACTCCGCCTGTAGCTCATCTAGAGTTACTGTCGGTCCCAAGCCTGGGTAAAGGAGGAGGGTTGGGCATGGGGTTATCGAACCCATCCCGTAGAAAAGCTAACTCGCTGAGAAAAACGCTAACCAGAAAAAAATGATTCAATCTATTTAAACTTTGCCCTGGGAGTTGAAGGAATAATTATGACATCTCTTGATGAAAGCCAAAATTCTTCGGAAGTCACGAGACCGATGCACCTTCTAACAACCAGAGCAACACTTTTTATAGGTACATGGAACGTCCGGACAATGTGGGAGACAGGAAAGACCAGCCAAATAGCAATGGAAATGAGGAGATACAACTTGGCAGTACTCGGAATCAGCGAAACCCATTGGACACAAATTGGACAACAAAGGCTAGGTACAAGAGAGATGCTGCTGTACTCCGGTCACGAAGGGGAAAATGCTCCACACACTCAGGGAGTTGCTCAAATGCTATCCAAAGAAGCACGAAATGCACTTTTGGGATGGGAATCTCATGGACCCAGGATAATTAAAGCATCATTCAGAACAAAGAAGCAAGGGATCACAATGAACGTTATCCAATGTTATGCACCCACCAATGATAGCAACGACGATTATAAAAATCAGTTCTATGAAAGGCTGCAATAAATTATAGAGAAGTGCTCACGAAAGGACCTCACCATCCTGATGGGAGATCTAAATGCTAAAGTTGGAGTGGACAACACAGGGTATGAAGATGTAATTGGACGACATAGATTAGGAGAGATAAATGAAAATGGGAAGAGACTTGCAAACCTGTGTGCATTCAACAAATTGGTTATAGGCGGCACAATATTCCCACACAAGCGCATACACAAAGCTACATGGATTTCTCCGGACCGCACCACAGAGAACCAGATAGATCACATCTGTATCAACAAAATATTCCGAAGATCAATGGAAGATGTAAGAACCAGGAGAGGAGCCTACATAGCTTCAGATCACCACCTGGTTGTGGCCAAGATGAGACTGAAGCTAAAGAAACACTGGACAACTGGACAAACAGCACTACAAAGGTTGAATACAGCATTCCTTCGAGATACTGACAAGCTCCATGAATTCAAGATAACTCTCAACAACAGGTTCCAAGCTGTACAGGATCTACTGAAAGAACAAGAAACTACTTTGGAGGACAACTGGAAAGGGATAAAAGAAGCACTAACTTCAACGTGTCAGGCGGTTCTTGGTCCTAAGAAGCATCATCACAAGGAATGGATCTCTATGGGAACACTGGACAAAATTCAAGAAAGGAAGAACAAGAAAATAGCAATTAACAACAGCTAAACACGAGCAGAGAAAGTCAAAGCACAAGCAGACTACGTAGAAGCAAACAGGGAAGTGAAGAAAGGCATTAAAGCCGACAAGCAGAAATACATGGGAGAACTAGCAACGGCGGCGGAAAAAGCTGCAAGAGAAGGGAATATGAAACAACTATATGATACAACGAAAAAATTAGCAGGGAGATATAGCAAACCAGAGAGACCAGTCAAGGACAAAGAAGGAAAGACAATCACTGAGATTCAAGAACAGAAGAAAAGATGGGCAGAATACTTCGAGGAACTGCTGAATAGACCAGCCCCATTGAATCTACCGAACATCGAAGCAGCATACACAGACCTTCCAATATATGTTACTCCACCAACGATCGAGGAAGTCAAGATGGCCATCAGACAAATCAAAAGTGGGAAGGCGGCAGGATCTGACAATATACCAGCAGAAGCACTGAAGTCAGACATTGAAACAACTGCAAATATGCTTCACCTTCTATTCAAGAAGATTTGGGAAGAGAAACAAGTACCAATGGACTGGAAAGAAGGATATCTCATCAAGATACCCAATGTGAGAACTACAGAGGCATCAGTTTGTTATCATTACCAGGAAAAGTCTTCAACAGAGTGCTGCTGAATCGGATGAAAGACGCAGTAGACGCCGAACTTAGGGATCATCAGGCTGGATTCCGTAAGGATCGGTCGTACACAGACCAGATTGCGACACCACGGATCATCGTTGAACAATCAGTTGAGTGGAACTCATCACTATACATCAATTTCATTGACTATGAGAAGGCGTTTGACAGAGTCGACAGGAGAACATTATGGAAAATTCTTCGACACTATGGAGTCCCTGAAATGATTGTCAACATTATTCAAAACTTATACGATGGACTACAGTGCAAAGTCATGCATGGAGGACAGCTGACAGATGCATTTCCAGTAAGGACCGGAGTCAGACAAGGCTGTCTACTCTCCCCATTCCTCTTCCTTCTAGTGATTGACTGGATTATGAAGAATTCGACATCTGAAGGGAAATACGAAATACAGTGGAATTCTCAGAATCAATTAGATGATTCGGACTTCGCAGATGACCTAACCCTCCTCTCTCATACACACGAACAAATGCAGATGAAGACCGCAAATGTAGCAGCAGCCTCCGCATCGATAGGTCTCCACATTCACAAAGGAAAAAGCAAGATTCTCAAATGCAACACGGAGAACACCAACCCAATCATACTTGATGGCGAAACTCTGGAAGAAGTGCAAACATTCACATACCTGGGAAACATCGTTGATAAACAAGGAGGATCGGATGCACATGTAAAGGCAAGGATTGGCAAAGCAAGGACTGCATTTCTGCTACTGATGAACATATGAAACTCAAAACAACTCTCAACCAATTTCAAGGTCACAATCTTTAATACGAACGTCAAAACAGTCCTACTGTATGGAGCTGAAACGTGGAGAACTACTACGGCCATCATCAGGAAGGTACAAGTATTTATTAACAGTTGTTTACGCAAAACACTTAACATTCATTGGCCGGATACTATCAGCAACAGCGTTTTATGGGAGGGGACAAACCAGCTTGCAGCTGAAGAGGAAATTAGGAAAAGACGTTGGAATTGGATCGGACATACATTAAGGAAATCACCAATGTGCATTACAAGGCAATCCCTAACTTGGAATCCGGAAGGGAAGCGGAAAAGAGGAAGGCCAAAGAACACACTACGCCGGGAAATAGAAGCAGATATGAAAAGGATGAATGGCTACTGGAGCGAACTGGAAAGGAAGGCTCAGGAAACAGTGGGATGGAGAATGCTGGAGAGCGGCCTATGCTCCTCAACGAGAGGTTACAGGCGTTAGTAAGTAAGTAAGTAAGGACTACACTAATTGTTAGTCCAGGAAATTTTGATGCTTCCAACTTCCAGAAACACGCTAAGTTTTGGTTCCAGTGGTCAGGTTAGTTGAATTGTTTAAACCTTTTCAAAAGCTTGTCAGTTTTTAAGAACGGTGACCAGTTGCTCAAATTGAATTCTTGAAAGGCTACTGTATACAATAGCTCGGATGGTTTGACATCTGAGTGACAAAAAGCTCTACGTACTGCCTGAAAGATTATGAATTCCTTGACGAGTACTAATTAGCAGTGTGCTGAGGTTTCTAAATCCATACTAATAGTGCGACCACGTTTACTATGTGACCTGCCAAATGGTAAATCAAAATTGTTCATTATGTATTCATCTGTATCTTAATCACCAATATGGGTAATTGTGCACCCGAACACATTTATTTAAAGGTGTTGAATGATAGCCTATTCTGTTAATTTAGTCATACCTTTCCAACAGTGTTTCCTTGATTTTGTATCCTTCTTTCTTTTCCGGTATCGTCTGTACATAACAAAAGAGAGAATACAACAGGAAGATAAACAACTTATAAAATAAAGTTGGCTGGCTGCGAGATTATTCATATACTGTACACTGCTTTTTAACAAAACATTTCGGAACTAACCCTAACCCTATATCTCTGTTCAACAAAGAACTAATCCATCGATAGTTTGAAGTTACATTGAAATCGGATGGCACAGAATTTACATAAAAGTCAATCGTGTCACTCTTTGTTAAGGCTTTTACTAAAGTAAGTAGGTAGGCTATTCATAAATCGGTAGGACAGGAGTAACCTGTTCTACGGTTATTATCCTATCTGAAGAGTGCAGGCATTCTGTCCAGATGCCTGAACAACTCTGAAAATAATTGATGTGGATAGAGAAACAAAGAATCTATGACAAACAACGGAAGCTATTTTTGTAAACGTTATTTCATTTAATTCAAAGCTGGTAAAACACTGACATTTATTTTGTCTCCAGTTCGTTATACAAACAATAGGCTTTCGTTTGTTGTATGATTCTCTGCCATACTCTTTTCTGTTTAAAAACCACTGTAATATAAACGTAATGTTTTGAAATCTATTTTCCTGCCCTAAAAACCAGTTTGGACATAACTGTATTTTAACAATTGCTTGGGCGTTGTGATCGTGTAAGTATTGTACTTATTTGTGTGTCTCTTCACGCTAATCTTAATCGGAATCGAAAACGAGTCGGAGTGAAGAAAAAAACGAGTGATGTTCCAGTTGACTCATCATTTCCCTCTCTCGCTTGTCAACCGATCAGTTGATATAATAGTCCTCGTCTCTCTACCCAAGGCAGTTAGTCTCAGACTCGTGCACTCCAGCTCTAAGGTCAAACGAGTTGGCTTATCGTGTCAAGCCCTTAATATAGATTGAGAAACGTTATCTCCTACATATTAGTGGGTGGACAAACCTTGAAAGTAACAATAACTGTCTCTGAAATCTTAACAGTGAAGCAGATAAAACTTATTCTTCGGTCAAATATTGATTGATTGTACCGGCGATGGATGATAAAACATATTATTGACTTCCTTTCGCTTCCCCTCAACACCCCTTGCACTGCGAATCGATTCGATTCAGCACTCACAGGTATGAAGTCAAATGTATAGCGTATTTACGATCAGCTTACTATTCTTCAAATATTGGAAACTCCACATATCACTAAAGGGGAAATATATGTAGTCACTAATCTTCTGGAGTCGGACGGAATTGTGTGATTGCTTTGTTTATCATAGGCTCAACGACGGTTGGGTTAAGTCTCTTCTAAACTGTGACAAAATTTGTAACAGCTATTGATATGCTCTCTCTGATGTTAATTTCAAATTTCAGTCGGAAGGCGAATATTATAAACACATGTAAAAACCAGTAATTATTCTAAGTGAAGGTGATTTACGAAGGGGGATGTGAAAAAGAATTGTTAAGATACAAAAATAACTTCGGAAATACGCATTTTAAGGCATATTAAAATACAAGAACTCATTTACTTTCTATTGATACTGAGCGCCTAATGTATATTATGTATGGTCATAAGGATTGTCGTATCGAGATGAATAGAGAAACAGCTAAACAGTTATTTGTGTATTAACATGTGAAGCAGAACGTCAGCAAGAACCGATAGTTGTTACTTATTTATAAAATGTCACCGAAATGTTGTTCAACAATGAGATGTCTAATGATATGTTGCACTGTGCTGGGTGGCTGTCAGATTTTGTGTTGCATAAAATATGAACTTGTATAGTGAAGCATAGTTTTTACTCTTCTCAAATCAACTTGTGGTCCAGAAGATCATAGTCGCTGACCACTTGTTGAACTTTCTTAGTTTCACAAAAATGAAGTTTAATATCCATTGAAATTATTCTAAATGAAATTGTAACGAAGCGTAGATTTCAGAAAAATGATCAGGTCAGTATGTTTTAGAGCACACACTGTTTGACAGGTTGCTTCAGGTCAACATGAAAGCAGTACTTTGTGAAAAAGTTTTCTAAACACTATATGAAATCTCTCAAATATTTTCAACATACTACTTGCGGCGATTAGCAAATTTTATAACAGGCCTCTTTCAAACTTTTTACTATCATACTGACGTGTTTATTGTAAACTGTTCGTAATGTGTAATTCCTTAGTAGTTTGTCGAATGATATAAGAGTATTCAAATCACAATGTGACTATTCTTTGAAGCCTAAGTTTGATTAATTGCAGTGACATATATTTTACTGCAGACTTCACTGATGAGTTGTTGAACGTCGTTATTACTAATTGTTTACGGAACTCGAAACTAAGGTATAAAATTTATCCGAATAGCCAGCAGCATTCACTTAATTCGGACAACTATTTGAATGGGTGAACTTGTAGATCCGATTCGTACATTTGGTCACCAGTCATGTTATCATGAAAGTATCTTTTCTTGTTGGTCCGCCTTAGATGTTTTGGCCTAGAATGATGACATAATTATTATATTACACTAAATTACTTTCATCTAAATTCATTGTAACTGAACGAATACGATACATTTGCCTATATATTATCAAAAAAAAGTATCTCACACTAGATATTTGTAGTACGTCTGCTTTTGTAGTCACAATTGCAAATACTTGGTTTCACACTGAACAGACAATTTAGTGATAAGTGAGTCAACTTTCAAAAGTGGTTACACCATTTGTTGACAGGTGTAAGAGTGAAGGATTTATCGATCAATGCCTGAAGGATTGAATATTTCATCAGATAATTGTAGATAAGAGTACCATATAGGAGTTTTGCGGCAAATTTATAATCGAAGCATACCAACTCAGTCAAATCAGAAGTCAGAAATGAAGGGGTTCGAAGATATATTTGGAAGGCCATCGATATATCGTGAAGTGTTCGGTCTAAGCTGGCTGGTCGTTGCAAGGGATGAGTAGCACGGCGTATCCACTTGTGACCTGGTGCGGGTGAGTGACCGAGCTCATTCATCTAGGTGTGTCCATTAAAACTAATGAGGTTAGCATCAATCTTGAAGACTTACAGAGCTGTTCATTTTGAGGATTTATTAACAGCTACAATATTTTCTGTTTGAATTGCATAATGAATCATATTAGTCGACACAAAAATAGTATTCAAGGTCATATTATTTAAATACTTGGACATGACAGGAAACCAGTAGCATAACTATATACTTTAAATTCACTTAGTATTGTTTGTTTGGATCTTCCCATCGATGTGTTTAGGACTGCAACTGGTCAGTCTCTAATTGGCATATGTGCATACTGTGCGTATTGCCTTGATATACCTTAATTCACAAGCACGGTTAGCAGAGATGGATAGTGGCTAGCAGTGGAATCCAGGACGCGCGTTTCGTCCTATTTGGGACTCGTCAGCTGGATGTACCTGCATCTCAGAGTTGATGTTCACTCTGGGACTCGAACCCAGTACCCTCGCTTCAAACGCGATGGCGTTATCCACTCGGCCACTGAGTCCTGATAGCCACTTGCTTGTGCGATGGGGTGAAGTTTAAATTCAACTTAGTATTGTTTGTTTGGATCTTCCCATCAATGTGTTTAGGACTGCAACTGGTCTATCATAATGCTCTATCATAATTTGTTACCCTTCGTACCTCAAATTTTCCATTCCTTAAATTGCAGTGAGTTTATATAATGAGTTGTTATCGCAATAATAAAAAGGAATTTTATTGAGGATGAAACCGATGGATCCTCACAATACCATAAAGGCATTCCTGTAATTCCATAGAGAACATAAGTTCCCACAAATTTACAGGTACCCCATACTGTTAAGTTCCAACTAGTGTGAAACCCAAGTCTGAGGTTTCCTGTAAACATCTTCCAACCACTTAATATCTGAATATGGTGAACCCAATGTCAAGTCATTTGCACTAACATCCACATCACAATCTGATCAACAGAATTCGATTATTACTAAATAACTTTACAAATATGACATCAGTCACTACACTGTGATAAATCGATTATATGCATTCATATGTACTACATTCATATACATATACCACATGACACATTTTAATAACAGAAGAAAATTTGAACAAAAATTTAGATTCACATTTAATAGTGTACAAAAAATATATTTGAAGTAGATACAGATATTCACAGTGACATCGAAAATTGTCACTTTCACTATAATCATTGGAGGATGTAAGAGAATGAAAGAAAAAATGTTTATTTATTATTTCTTGGGGATAATTTCATCAAACTGTTAGGTAGCAATTGACTCTTGAAATTTAATAATGTTACTATTGTTGAAATTAACTGATAAATTACTTTTGTACATGTACAACTAAGATGAACAGAATCAATAATTTAGACATTTGTAATCGTCCAAAGTTTTTATTAAAGATGAAATTATTGTTAATGTATTTGAACATATACTAAAATTCAAGATCAAATGGAAAAAAAGTGGGTTAATCTGAACAATTATGAACGATTTCTACTTGTTAAGAATAATTGGTTATTTGAGCATAAGTATAGTAGATTGTCACCGTGATATGTTCCTTGGATTGAAAATTTATAAGCTTCACTTAATTGTTATTCATGTGAACTTAGTCCAAAAATGTGGATGTCAAAACCATTAGTAAAGACTGTAAAACCAGTGAAATATCACTGAACCCTAGCCAAATCCTCCGGCAGTTGGGTCAGTAAATATCGAACAGATCATCGATCCCAGTCAAGGTCAAGGACAATCAACGCGCATCAGTTAATCAGACGCCATGGACTGGCCCATGCGGCAGTGGTTTTACTTTTGCTTGTATCTACTTTAACTAATATATTCCTGTAATAACATCCTTTGTGTTGTACAGTCTTCGAGCATCCATAATCCCTTGATACGTCGATGGGGCAATCCACGTGAGGCGCTGAACGAGAGGTGTGACTTCAAAGTTAGTTTGTTCGTTACACCGTTCCCGTCTAACTCGAGTAGGCCTCCAATCATTCGACATAGATCATCAACATTGATGGTCTACAAGACTACTGTGTCTGAACCCGTGACTTTCTGTAGCAAGCCATCAGGTTTTCGGTAAAAATCATTTCCAAATGCATCTCATCCGCGATCATTGAGAATGTAGGACAAAACGGTGTGCCGTCAGAAGCGTATATTACTATCTCTCTAAGTTGATAGTGTCCCATTGAGAAGAATAGCACATAAGCAACTATCGATAAGAATATAGCCAATAAGTACCTTAACTGTTTTAAGACTTAGAGCTATACCTACAAAGCCGAAACCGCGAGAAATTTCTTTCGCATCTCCAGATACACGCGACCGATTTCCATACAGGCTAAGTGAAGTCAAGTGGATGACCATGACAGAATCTTGTATTCGTGTTTCGAAGAAACACTATACAAAGATGACACAAGACTCTCGTACCTTAGTTAGTAATCCCTGTCGTCCGGTTTGGCACACGATCAAGAGATTGAAAAATCCAAAATATTATTCTGAAGAATGGTTTCACAATGTTTCATGAACTCATATAGTTAGTTCTGGTGCTGCATGTAGAAGCACTTAAAGAAAAAAGATAACGATTGATGGTAGAAATAACAGTAATATTTAGTGGTGAAAATAGGGTTAACAAGTGTCCTTATCTTAGATTCAGTATGAAATTAATTTAACACTTTTCAGAGTATCATAAAATAAATCAACATACATTTAACAAATAAACAATCTACAATCATTTAATGAACTTAACCTACCTTGAAATATCTCTCTTTTTCAAGTAATAATAAGTTTAAATAGTAACAGATATCCAATAAATGAGACCATTATATAATGAATCTGCTTTTATAACTGTATAGTTAGAAGTCCAATAACCATCAGTATTAAAACGAGATTCAGCACTTTCCAGTAACTCAAAGCTAATTTCCAAAGAAATTTAAAAAAATTCCAAAAATCAATAAATGATCAGTGAATTCCTATGTTGACTTGTATTCAAGAATTAGAACCTCTTATTTCTCGTAGGTTGAATGCTTTATTCGGATCCTAGCTACTCGGATAACCCCAGGCTAGCACTACTCAGCGACTTGAAAGACCAGAGAGAAGACACGAGTATCAGAGAAGCACTTTACTACAAGGTTCATTTATGTACAGAAAAAACAGGGGTTTTATAGTAATTAAAAGACCTTGAGATTCCATAGTAGCAGTATGTTAAACAGCCAATCAGGACCTCGTTATTTTAGTAACATAGCTTCTAACTAATCGCTGATTGGTTGGGCTCTTTATGAGCCTCTGGAGGCTCTGATAGAGTTTGTTGTAAGCCGACCTAACACCTCCCCTTTTTTGAAGATTCGAAGATTAGATTTCGATTTTTTTTTTTAAATTATCTGTAAGTTGAAATTCTCCAACATTTCCTCCCCCACGAAATAATGTTGGATCTTCATATCTCCAATTTACAATTAATATGACTTTAAATTCAACTTAGTATTGTTTGTTTGAATCTTCCCATCGATTTGTTAGGACTGCAACTGGTCAGTCTCTAATTGGCATATGTGCATACTGTGCGTATTGCCTCGATATACCTTAATTCACAAGCATGGTTAGCAGAGATGGATAGTGGCTAGCAGTGGAATCCAGGACGCGCGTTTCGTCCTATTTGGGACTCGTCAGCTGGATGTACCTGCATCCCAGAGTGAACATCAACTCTGAGATGCAGGTACATCCAGCTGACGAGTCCCAAATAGGACGAAACGCGCGTCCTGGATTCCACTGCTAGCCACTATCCATCTCTGCTAATATGGCTTTATTTAGAACACATTTCTCGTATTGAATGCAGAATCCATTAGAAATGAATAGATGATGATGAACGATATTTGATTTTAGGTCATCGGAATTTGGCTTTTCTGAAACATCTCCATCAAATTCATTAAAATTTTCACTGGAGGATATTTGATAGCTAGGGGAATCATCATCTAATGAAATTGCCTTAGGTTTTTGATCATCATTTGATTCAACCGACTTAGTTTCCTCATCTTCACAAGAATTTTCATCAAAATCATGTGCACCATTCCAGCTTTCTTGGCTGATATCATGTAACCCGTAGTTTAATTCTGACTGAAGTTTGTCTTCAGAAATCGGCGGATTGAGTGGTGCTTCATTAGACTCTGGGCTCAGGGCTTTGACTACGGAACCTTGTTTTTCTTTGACATCTGATACTGTCACAGTTTCATGTGCATTTAGCAAGATATTGTCTTGCTCTGAACCGGCCAACTTACCCATTTTGCCTTTTCCATCAGATGTGAAGGGAAATGAACCCTCAACTGGGCGTTCTTCTGGGACGGCCATTTTAGCACCATTATTGAAAAGCTTGTCCAAGACTGTTTCAAATAGTTGCTGCTGGAAGGCTAGCATCTGTTGTTGCCGGTGCTCTAAGATTATCAGCGCCTGTTCTAAAGAAATCGTCATTTTTTTTCTGCTGATAATAATAATAACTCCGAAAATTCACCGGCAATTATTACAGCTTGTTTGATTCCCAAATCACGTCTCGGTTGCTGTATTTCTTTTTGCCAGAATCCTCGACGACAATTGTTGTATTTTTTTGTGTACCAAAAACCCCGATAACAATTGTTTTTTTTTGCCGAAATCCCCGTCGCCAGTGTTATGACTCGTAGGTTGAATGCTTTATTCGGATCCTAGCTACTCGGATAACCCCAGGCTAGCACTACTCAGCGACTTGAAAGACCAGAGAGAAGACACGAGTATCAGAGAAGCACTTTACTACAAGGTTCATTTATGTACAGAAAAAACAGGGGTTTTATAGTAATTAAAAGACCTTGAGATTCCATAGTAGCAGTATGTTAAACAGCCAATCAGGACCTCGTTATTTTAGTAACATAGCTTCTAACTAATCGCTGATTGGTTGGGCTCTTTATGAGCCTCTGGAGGCTCTGATAGAGTTTATTGTATGCCGACCTAACAGAACCATAAATTAAAATTATGATCTCTTAACGCTTTTTATGGTAAACAAGCTCATTGCCTACTTGATCAATTCGACAGTCCATACTTCCTCATTACAATATCATGAAATCTATTTCATGAGGATTCACTTTTGGATACTCACTTTATTATTTACTTTTGTATTTGAGTTGATTCATTTGTTTGAGAATATTTAACAGTATGAACACACAATGTATCAATCAAACGATATCATTCTCACCAAGTGACCTTCAAGCTATTGATTCAGTTTTATTTGAAGTCATAAATTCTGTTTGACATTCAAATGTGATCAACCTATTATTATCGCTGTGCATAAACAGATAATTTTCTCAGGTACGAAAGTCATTCAGCGTTAATCACTATCTCACATAAAATTTCTTATGAAAATATAAATTTTACGCACTGTTTATAAAGTCGTGATTCAAAAATATAGAATATATCTTGATTGTAAAAATATCTGAGGAAAAGAAGTCATCCTATAAACAAAATATGAACACACCGCATTTGATTGGGTTCATTTCGTTCATCCTTTTCATGCCTCAGCATAATGTAGCGAGCGATTTCCTCTGGATAGCGCACAATACTGTAGTTGTAATAGATGATTCTCTTATAAAAATCATCATCCTCTCCACCCCATCCATAGTAAGAATTCGAAAAACCGCCAACTTTCTCAAACTGTTGACGGTTGACTGCAATTACACCTCCGAAATTTTCTTCATAAATTAGTCTTAAAATATAAGAGGTTGTAAAGAAAATAAAACATTGACCAGAAAATCAGATGAACAATCAACAGCAAATCTTAAAATCATTTCCATAATGTTTGAATAAGATCATGTTTAGGGAAAATTTGAGGAATTCCAACTGCTATCTGAACAGTGGTTCAGTGACCGGTAATCAGTAGGTTGACAGTCGTATTTGTCTTGTAGTCATAATAGCTATCACTGGAAAGCTTGATCAAGTTGAAAAGAGCTGTTTCAGGTTAATCGTATTATTTTCATTGTTAAGTTTTAACTATTACCGTTTTTCTTATTGTTATTTTTTAAACTAACCAACTGTTCTAATAGCTCAGTTACTGAAAGTTTAAACAACTTAGCAATTAGTCGTAGTGCTCCAAAACTGATTGATGAAGATGTGAGTCTATATTAGATGAAGTTATGAGGTTTGTATAACACATAAGTTAGTCAACTCTCATCTTCTGTACAGTGGTTAATGATTTGGGAATAAGTTGATAAAAGAGTAAATTGGAGTGCTAGTGAACACATGGTACCAGCTGTTGTCTTGACTTGTACCAGAAGGTTCAAACGTCGTTTTTTAAGTCTTCAAAATGGCGATATTTCATGGTAAATAAGTACATTTAATAAGAGTATAATTAATCGCGTTAGATAAACGGTGGTAGTAAAAAAAGAAACTCATACCTACGTTCTTTGCTATTAGGTACTCAATAGAGTATACCTTTATTCTTAAAAGAACTCACGTTCCCAGTGAGGTTACAATTACAATCAACTAGCTTAACAGTTTGAGATATTATCATTAAACTCCTCAAACCGCAACTTTCCTCTTCCAAAAGCGAGATATTTAGACTGATTCCACCCCAAGTAGTTACTCGATTCATATTAGTCCAGTCCCCATTATTAATTTTTACTATCGATTACCTTCAACCCCCTAATATCTAAACATAGTGCACACGATGTCAAGCCACTTACGCTAGAAGTATTTTGCAACCGAATCGAATAAATTCGATAAGCAATAAATGACTAGATAATCAAAACATTGGACACCGTTCATTGATTGGTCAATTGTAAATGATTAACCATCATGTTGTCGTTTGATCAATTTCAGAAATTCACTTGTATTCCCTAAACTACTGTTCATTCACCTACAAAAACTAACAAGTCCATACAAGATAATGAAAGAAATGATTCGTATAAAAACACCATAACTTCAAAACCAGTCTTCAGTCAGAATGAACAAACTTAACATTTACATTCTAAAAATCTTATACCCACTTATAATTATATTGATCTATCGAAACACTTAAATGTCTTGGTTGTTCAGAACATCGGTATATGTTTCTATCATCTTCTGGCAATAAATCCACATCGTGAAATATGAAACAATCAAAATCTGCAACACGATAGGATTCAATGAATCCAGCATTCAATAGTAATGCACGATTAAATGTAGTTGTACCTTCCTGAAAAAAACAGTTATGCAAAAGTCACAATGTACACTTTAGCGAAATTATAACAATAGTTGACTGTTTTTTTATAGTTAAGATCATGAGTCAATTGAAGCTAGACCACCATCGAAAACCTGGAAACACTGGACGGCCGTTTCGTCCTATTATGGGGTTCCTCAGCAGTGAGCATCCACAAACCCGCTCTCGTGAGATTCGAACCCAGGAACTACCAGTCTCGAGCCGAAGCCCTTAACTGGTAGACCACTGAGCTGGCCGGCATCCAATGGTGTCAATGTCTAACCTCAACCAATCCACGAAATTGCGCAACGAACTTCCAATGTACTGAGGTAGATACCTGTCTCTACCTGACATGGATTAGCTCCGCTGGCCACGACTTCTCACTAGAACTCCAGGAATTACCTCAAGGTGCCAATCACTAGTGAGCATATGATTGGCAAAATACATAATTTTAATGTGTATAAAACAGTATTCAATAAAATCCTGGTAATATATATAGGTATAGAAATATTAGGGACAGTAATACACGGTTTATTCCAACTATCAGTTTATATGTGTTTAGTGTATGGAAGCAATAGTAAGTTAAGGTAAGTATGCGATCTACTTGAACTTGAAAACATTAATGTATGAGATACAAATATACAATGGATAATGCTTAATCATGATAAAAACGATTAAGACAAGTGTTACGTCATTAAAGTGAGAACTTTAAACATCCCATGCAATATTACTTGAAAAGAGGAATTAACAAGATAAAATAACCAGTGCAGTTTACTCTTTGTAATTTAGTCTCTCGTTTGCCTATCAAAAACATTAGAATTCTTCATTGAATCAAAAATCACAGCTATTTGAACTGAGTATTTAAATGGAAAGTAACTGAAGGTCATCAGTATTTTTTCTATTGGTTATCACTGGGAATAATAATTTGAAGACAATATGATAAAGATATATTTTCAATTGTTACTTTGTTAATATCTAAATATCGTAAACATCGATTGGAAGATTCAAACAAACAATACTAAATGTTAGTTGAAAGCGTGAGTCAATTGAAGCTAGACCACCATCGAAAACCTGGAAACACTGGACGGCCGTTTCATCCTATTATGGGATTCCTCAGCAGTGCGCATCCACGAACCCGCTCTCGCGAGATTCAAACCCAGGACCTACCAGCCTCTGTTGTGAGATAGGAACTCACTGAAGACAATTGGTGAATGGTTGCTCAACTTCGTGGATCAGTTGAAGTTAGACATTAACACCGTTGGATGCCGGCCAGCTCAGTGGTCTACCAGTTAAGGGCTTCGGCTCGAGACTGGTAGTTCCTGGGTTCGAATCTCACGAGAGCGGGTTCGTGGATGCTCACTGCTGAGGAACCCCATAATAGGACGAAACGGCCGTCCAGTGTTTCCAGGTTTTCGATGGTGGTCTAGCTTCAATTGACTCACGCTTTCAACTATGATAAATAGTAAATCTCCACAAAACCCCTTCTATAATTAATACTAAATGAATTTAAAACTTTACCTCATTGCACAAGCAAGTGGATATCAAGACTCAGTAGCTGAGTGGATAACGCCATGGCGTTTGAAGAGAAAGGTAGTGGATTCGAGTCCTAGAGTGAACTTCAACTCTGAGATGCAGATACATTCAACCAACGAATCCCAAATAGGACGAAACGCGCATCCTGGACTTCACTGCTAGCCACTATCCATCTTTGCTAACAATGCTTGTGAATTAAGGCTATATCGAGGTGATACGCACAGTATTTACATATGCCAATTAGAGACTAACCAGTTGCAGTACTAAACATCGACGGGAAGATTCAAACAAACAATACTAAGTGAATTTAAATATCATAATGTTGTATTAAGTACATTCACAACATAAAATCTATTTCAATTATTAATAATTGACTTGGTATTGTTTGCTTATATCTTCCCATTGTTATTTACGACTGTAATCGATCAGTCTCTTATTGACATATGTGCATAATGTAGGGATTGTTTCGATATTGCCTTAAGTCACAACCATTCTGAGAAAAGTTGGATAGTGGCTAACAGTGGAGTTTAGGACACGCGTTCCGTCCTATATGGGACTCATCAGCTGGATGTACCTGCATCACAGAGTTCACTCCAGGACTCGAACCGAGTACCAAGCAAACAATACCAAGTGAATTAAACTTCACCTCATTGCACAAGTAGACGGATATCAGCATTCTGTAACTGGGTGGATAACGTGATGGCATTTGAAGCAAAGGTACTGAGTTCAAGTCTCAGAGTGAACATCAACTCTAGGGTGCAGGTATATCCAGATGACCAGTCCCAGATCGGGCGAAACACGCGTCCTGGACTACATTGATAGCCACTACCTAAATTTGCTTATAAATTATAAATAATGTTTCTATGTTTTAGATTAAATGATATTTATCAGATACTTTGTAAAGTTTAACACATTTGAGATAAAACAATATTTAAAAATCGAATCCTAATTGGTTTTAGCAAATGGAGAATTACAATGTTTTCTTACAGAACTATAATGCATCCATCATAAGTGGTTACGTTCTTTTCAGTTGCACAGAAATTAATAGGTGTAATTAATTTAAAATAATAGCAAATGTGAAAATTAGAAATGGAGTTTTTCATTGGTGAACAATAGAGTTTTTAATGGGGGAAAGGGTATTGTGATTTAAATTGAAAAGTTTTAATGAAGATTTTACGTGTAATTGATATACTAGTTTTGAAATGTACTCAAAGTCAACTGTTTTTTATATTATAATAAAAAGTGAAGATAGCATAGACTCAACAACTTACAAACGACATTGAAATAAAGTTAATAATCAATTTCTAGTCAATTTTGTCATTCAATCGTGTGAATAACTTCTATGAAGATGAGGAGCGAACAGACTAAAATCATGCAACCATTGAGTTCCACAATGTTTTTCATTTATGAAGGGAAGTAATAAACGAAACTTATGAAGATTTTCCAGATTATCAAATATATTTTTATTGCAATGACGAATCGATCGATATTAGACCACCATTGAAAACTTCGAGGCACTGGATGGCAGTTTCGTCCTAGTATGGGGCTTTTCAACAATGCGTATCCACGATCCCACACGCAGGATTCGAACCCAGAATCTTCGGTCGGCAACTAACAGTGTTAATGACTATCTTCGACCACCATACTGATAGTTACTATGTGCTCATAGGTGACTAGCTTCGTGAAGAAATTTTCGGAGTTATTGTGAGAAGCCGTGACCAGTGGAGCTAATTAGTGTCAGGTAGAGATAGGTATCTATATCAGGCAATGAAAGATGGTCGCGCAATGCCGTGGATTGATTGAAATCAGACATTATCACCGTTGGATGCCGGCCGGCTCAGTGGTCTAGGGGTTAAGCGTTCGAGCAAGACCGAAGTTCCTGGGTTCGAATCCTGCTTGTGAAACCGTGGATACACACTGTTGAGAAGTCCCATACCAGGACGAAACGGCCATCCAGTGCTTCCATGTTTCCAACGGTGCTCTTACATCAATAGATTCATGATCTCAGTCAAAAACTTAACACTCTTCAAAACATCATGCTGACAAATATTTTTCTGTTCAGTCTATCAATCCAATTTTCAATGTTCATTAAGAGTTAAATATTCAGTAATTTCTGGGATAATTTTTCCGTTTAATATGTAATTGTTTTACATATGAGTGTAAGTTTTACAAAAGTACAAATAAACCTTCAGTAAACCTATTTTGTGTGAGTTCTCAAACAAGATAAAACTTGGTGATTAAGTTTTATACCTTATCAAATGTTTTAATATGAAAATTTGAAGGAAGCTTCATTCAACCTGAACTCCACAAAGCAAATAGTTCCGTTTCACAGATAGCAATAATGTAACTATGAAGTAATTCACCAAATGACAAAAATCTTACTCATTAAAAATGATCAAATGATCTGTCTAGTTGACGAAAAGAATAATTATTTTATTTAAACTGGGTTTTAAAATATCATGTGACAGAATCAACTATATGGTGAAATTGAAATTTTAGTTATTCTCTGCCAGTTATTTAATAACATCGTAGTGAACGAGAACACAAGTGAGGATAACCAAATGAATGTGAATACAAAATAACAGAATCTCTTAGTAAACTATGGGAACCACACAATAATTACTTCGTCTGTAAAATGTCAATCATCTGTCTCAAACTTCATTGTCTCTTCGTTTCCATATCAATCACTCTGTTTTCGTTCTGTTCTCTTCGATTTTCTCAACCTTCTACCGTCAGGTATTTCACTTTCGATTGATGATACATACTACTTAAATCTGTCGACATCAGTAGCACACACAGTTTAGTTAATCGATGTTTTTGAAAGAAAAAATCTTAACATTTTCAATCGGAAGTAACTTTAACAAATTCTAAAGCTGGAACTATCAACTACTCGAGAAAAGAACGAATTCTTGATGAGTAAAAGTATTTCCATGAAGTATACAATGCAATAGATAGTGAAAATCATACTCATAAATAATAATAATATCTATTGAACAAATTATATATATCTTTACAGCATACAAGCTTACTTGATTGATCACAAATATCGTATACATTAATTGTTGTCTTCTCAAAAATTCATGCATATGTTTTACAAACAGACGTAAATGTACATCTCGATTTCGATAAGGCACAATGATAGCCAACTTTTCACCTGGTTTACAGTTAGTCGGACACCAAAGTCCGACATCACTTTTTGACATATGGTTACTCTTTATTAATTTAAAAAATGTTTTACGGACTGACATTGTCGATTCGATTTTATCCTGTGATGATTTTGTTATATTAGTTGTGAAAGTATATAGTTGTAATAAATGAGACCATGTTGGCACTTCTATGGTGATGTTTCTACGTCCAACTAATGAGTAAGTGTAAAAAATAGTAGAAGGTCAAAAACAAACTTAAAATCATCAATAATCATGGTGAATACTTGTTCAATTAATTTATTTTAAAATATGCACTATCACTAGAGAGAAAGAGAGAGAGGGAGGGAGGGAGGGGGAAGGGCATATTTTATCATATATCTATGAAATGCATGTAGAAAGTTTGCATTAGAAAGTACATTATATCTGTTACCAATAATAAATATCTGTACCAAAATGGTTGCAGAATCAAATAGAATCAAATGACCGGATAAGAGTAGAGAATAAACATCCATCATTTTCTATTGCCAAACATTTAATCGAAACAGGCCATAAGATTCATCTTAACTTGGCTTTTGTGGTGTTGTATAAACGTGTAAAAGGGCGTATATTAAGGTTTATTGAAGCCTTAGCCATACAAAAAATCAAACAGCCTTTGTGTATTCAAAAAGAGTTTGTTCTCACCTTGAACCTACCATGGTAATATTAGCTTATTAACTAGAGTGATTGGGTTTCAAATTGTTTTCACATTATTTTTATTATTGTTTTTATTATTTTTATCATTGTCTATTCTTATCCCCCCATTTCCAGTCTAGTTGACCTTTTATTTTTATATATGAATGTTCTTAACAAGTATATGCGTGATCAAATTGTACGAAATGTATTGCGCTAATATATCACATAGTTCTGATAATCTCCATCTTCTCACTACACTATCGAAATCAAGGTATCGATTATGATTTCTTTGTAGATAAAACAGATTTTCAACAGTAAGGTTTAAATTCTTATCGATAAATTAAATTATTAGAAGGAGGTTTTGTGGAGATTTCAGTAACTTTATATAGTTGAAATCATGAGTCAATTGAAGCTAGACCATCATGGAGAACCTGGAAACCTTGCTTCAAGGCCATCTTGTCCTGTTGTTGGACTCCTCGGCGGTGTGCATTCATGATCCTGCCTCATGAGATGCAACCATTTCACCAATGTCTTCAGTGAGTTGATATCTCACAGTCTCGCGCTGCAGACTGATAGGTCCTTGATTCGAATCTCGCGAGTCGGGATCATGGATGCTTACTGATGAGAAGTCCCACAATGGGACGAAACGGCTGTCCAGTGCTTTCAGGTTTTCCATGTTGGTCTAGCTTCAATTGACTCATGATTTCAACTATATAAGATAATTTGAATTGTTTGGTTTCTGTAAAATAAAAGATCATTTTCAATAACAATTTCAAATACATAATAATCCAATTATTATAAATTAAATGATTCAATATATAAGTTCTTACTTGGATTCTCAATAGATTTCGGACATTCCTATAATAAGAATATATTATCAGACAATAAAAAAAAAGAAAAGAAAAGCATATAACAAAAAAAAGAAAAAAAACTGTAACAATGGATACAGAGCATATTGGCTTTCAAGATCATTTAGCCTATTAAAGACTATTGTATAAACAGTTAAGTATACGGGTTATCATTTCTAAAAAAAATTGTTTTCTTTATTAAAACAATTTTAATAATATAATTAACAGTTTGACTAAAATAATAATAAAGGTCAGAGGTTATTAGTTGTAATTTACAAACAGAATTTATTGATATATGAATTATGAATGAAAAGTTGAGTTGGTTATCATTAACATTTGGAGTTGATTAAAGACAAAACGGAAACAAAAAAAACAAACAATTAGTGCATCACGCAAGGACTCTTCAGTAGTACGTACTTACAATACTGTATCGCATGCAGACTAAGATTATATAACCAGCAGGATACTTTGAGATTATCGTAGTAGAATTCACCGACATATATTCCCAACTTAAGTGAGCTCGTTATTATTATTATTGTTATTTGAGCACAAATATTGGTACAAAGGGACATCAGATATATATACGTCACAAAAATCTCGCTTGATTTGTTTGAGAGCTATGATACTGCCCGGGTGCCCGAACTGAAGCAGGTGGTTTGCTTAGGAGGCCACACCCGGAGCCTTTGACCTAAAGGTCTGATCCACAAAGTAGTGGAGCATCGAGAGGAGATGCAGTCCCATGGTAGTCGGTGACCAACGATTGATTCATACGCCATTTGTTCCCTCAGAATACTGGAGCGCATGTGCATCATTTGTTTGGAATCAGGGTTTTCCAACTCCCCTAGGTGGACTTTCCGTATACATCAACACGGTTAGAGCGCCCGACATTCGTATTCCTTCCTCTCGATTCGGTAAACAACACCCCCGACAAGAGAAGGCAGTGAGTAGGACTTCCATAGTAGAGGCTATATACACGTGACCATGTGAGAGCAATTCGAGAGGGAGAGTGTACTCTCTCCGCTCTCAGCCGTACCAGGGCATTTAGGGGCCAGTTAATTGGTATCTGTTAATTTATAGGCTTTTTGAATGAATATTTCAATATTGCTTTCAATTAAAAGTCAGATACAAGTTGTATATTTAATATTATTTATTTACAATTTATCAGTCAGATATGCTTTAATTCAGATATTAATACTCACATTAAAATTTGAACCTTATATACTTCGATTAGAATTTCAACACCATACAACTTATTCACTAAGTATGATATTTATTATTATTATGGATTTATATTTTTTCATTGTAAAAATTCAGATTGTATTTGAACAATTTTCATTCTATATTATGAGCTTACACGGCCACGCGTATACAACCCCTGTCAGAGAAGTCCTACTCACTGCCTTCCCGTGGCATTACTGTTGTTTACGAAATTAAGAAGACGAAAAACGAATGTCCGGCGCTCTAACCGTGTTGATGGATACAGAAAGTCCACCTAGGGGAGTTGGAAAACCCTGATTCCAAACAAATGATGCACATGCGCTCCAGTATTCTGAGGGAACAAATGGCGTATGAATCAATCGTTGGTCACCGACTACCATGGGACTGCATCTCCTCTCGATGCTCCACTACTTTGTGGATCAGACCTTTAGGTCAAAGGCTCCGGGTGTGACCTCCTAAGCAAACCACCTGCTTCAGTTCGAGCACCCGGGCAGTATCATAGCCCTCAAACAAATCAAATGAGATTTGTGCGGTGCATATGTATTAGGTGCTTCCTTTTACCAATATTTATGTGCTTAAATAAAACAAAAAAATATTTAATGATTTAAAGCTGAAAACTCTATTAAGTGATAATGAACTACTGTGTTAATTATTTTACACCAATGTCCCTTATTCGGAATCATGGATGCACACTTATTAGGAGTTCTATACTAGGAGGAAACAGTCGCTTAGTGCTTTCACGTCGTCAATGGTGGTGGTCTAGCATAAATTGACTCATGAATTCAACTATTAGATAAGTAAATTTATATATTTTTGAAATATGTATGTGGATATATTATCTGAAAATGATTTCGTCAAGGAAAATTTCTGATTCACTTCTTAATGATAGTGTTTAAATACATAATATCAGATAGTGTAATAATAGTAAGTCTAAGCTAATATTAATAGATCCTGGGTTCGAATCCCGTAGGACGGGATCGTGGATGTACACTGCTGAGGGATCTTACACTTACATGAAACAGATATCCAATGCTTTCAGGTTTTCAATAGTGATCTAACATCAAACGGTTCATGATCTCAATCAAGAACATAGTAATCTCCACACCCTATATTGATATATATATTTACTGGAGCTCTAGTGAGAAGCAGTAACCAGTGGAGTTCAACCAGGTCTGTTGGGAGATATCAACTCACAAAAGACAGTGAATGATTGCTCAACGTCATGGATTGGTTGAAGTTAGACATTAACACCGTTGGATGCCGGCCAGATCAGTGGTCTAGTGGTTAGGCGTTCGCGCACGAGATCGATAGATACTGGGTTCGAATCACATGAGGTGAGATCTAGGATGAGCACTGCTGAGGAGTCCCACAATGTGACGAAACGGCTCTGAGGCAGTGTTTCCAGGTTTTCCCTGGTGGTCTAGCTTCAATTGACTCATGATCTCAACTATATATATATATATATATATATATATATATATATATATTATGTATAAAAAAATTGATCTGATAAATTAAAGATAAATATTGTCATATACACAATAACACAGTTACTTACAGGGATATATTTTTCGAAACTTTCAATTGGATTATTTGAAGAAATCTGAATTGAATATTTGTCATTTTTTTTTATATAAAATTCTAAAACCATATTCCATAAACTAATGATTATTATACATAGAAATAAATTCATTGACCATTTAATACAAATTCTTTGTTTTAATTTAATCTTCATCTTTATACATCCCTTTTGTATTAGTCTATATAGATGTTGATTTATTCAATGAATCCGGAGAAGATAATAATTCAATTGAATTGATCTATAGAAGAAATAAGTGTAATAGTTATTTATATAAAATAAAGATCAATCAGTAAATCTAATTTATTATGAGATGGTGAAGAAGATTTGTAGTTCAGGTGGATGATTCTGATGAAGTTTTGTTCTTTGAGCTGGATGGTTTGATTGTGGAGCTTTCATCGTCCTTCTGAAAGACATCATTAGCACTTCTACTTGAAATTTGTGTTGATGATGTCGTACAGAAAGACGATGAAAGCTCCACGACCAAATCATCCAGCTCAGAGAACAAAAAGTGCATCAAAATAATTTATTTTATTTGAAAAGTGGTAAAATTACTACTTAAATATAAAATCTAATATCTATATTCCAAATTATCTGAATATTCATTCTTTAATCAGGAGGGGTCTTGTGGAGATTTCAGTATTTTCATAGTTGAAATCATGAGTCCATTGAAGCTAGACCACTGTGGAAAACCTGGAAGCACTGGACGGCCGTTTCGTGGACTGGTTAAAGTTAGACATTAACACCGTTGGATGCCGGCCAGCTCAGTGGTCTATCGGTTAAGTGCTCTGGCGCGAGAATGGTAGGTTCCGTGTTCGAATCTCGCGAGTTCGGGATCGTGGATGTGCACTGCTGAGGAGTCCCATAGCAAGATGGAACGGCCTTTCAGTGCATTGTTTAATCATTTAAGTGTAACATATAGATCAGAAAGAAATGAACAATGAATTTCTAATTTTTAATTAAAGAACACTGTGTACTGTTTGACTATGAAGCAAAACAATTAAGAAGCGGTAATTGGACATTAACTGCAAAATAATAGTACATAAATAAAGCTCTCAATAATAATTCTTTCATATATGAAGTAGTGAATAAATATGATGGTGTAATAAAACATTTCTTATGCTAAATTAAATGTAATTTCATAACAAATTTGCTGAAAAACAACTAATCATAATAATATGCCCACTAGTGGCTTATATTTAGAGGTAATTCCTCGAGTTCTAATGAAAAAACTATCACCAATGAGCTCCAGCCCTACTGAGTGTGAACCAATTACCTAGCAATGGTATTGAAAGATGAGGCCGAGTTCACGTGAGAGATCGAAGGTTCCGGGCTTTAGTCTCGCGTACGGGATTGTGGATGTGCTCTGTTGAGGTGTCCCATACTGGGACAAAACGGCCTGTTCAGTGCTTCCAGATTTACAATGGTGGTCTAGCTTATATTGACTAGTGAATTCAACTGTTGAAATACTACAATCTTCAAAAATCCTTATACTGACAATTGATGGTAATTCCAACCGCAATAGAAAAACATTACGAAGTCCGATATTTGAAAACTGAACACTACTTACTAATCTCAAGTGAGGAATTCATTTTCCAGTATCTCGTATAATATAGTTTTCAATCGCTTTCACTATAGAATGTCAGTATGTGACATTCGGTGAGGATCAGTTAATAATAAAAATGGAAACGGATGGTGGCTATCAGTAGAATCCAGAACGTCCATCTCTGTTTACAGCGCTTTTGAATTGTTGGTACTATCGGAGTAATTCGCACGGGATACATATATGTCAATAAGAGACTGATCAACTACAGTCCAAACATCAATAAAGAGATTTAAACAACCAATATAAAAATGAAATAAACATTGAGATTCACTTGTGGTACACACCGAGGACTTTCAACTAAAATGAACTCACAAACTTTAAGTATCATGGAAAGAGTACTACTAAGCTACAGAGTCAGTATTCAACAGTCTTCATTTTCACACACATCCAATTTTTAATCTAGACCAAGACACTTACAACTGCATCACGTTCAAGTTACATGAATTCACAGGCAGCTAATCATAATTTCAACATCAACTAATACATCTCTACAAAATATGGCAGTTCAAACACAGTCGTTGTTCACTGAGACGATTTAGTATGTATCTATTGAATTTGAAGATATATTTCACTGTTGATAGGCATACCACATCAATGATTTATGTGTTCACCGAGAGATCCTGAATTTTCTATCTGGATAAGGAAAGCATGGAATTCTGAAGTTGAGGTCGAACATTTGTTAAATCTTCCACGCTTTTCAAACATTATCCAACTGTCTATTTTGTGACAATCTTCCCTTTCCAACGGTACAAAGTCTCCACTTGTCAACATCAGTAAAACGCTAACAATTAGTCATTATTTCATATCAAATCGATGACCAAATATAGGTGGAGGAGAATTTACCAATCTATGACGTATATAAACATTTCACTTTAATTAAACGTTAGTCATTTGTGAGAAATCAACCATCACATTATTACCATACAATATTTCTATCAATGTTACTTACCGGTAATGAAGGACGTTAAAACAGAGTGTTATTATTTAGACACTGTTTGGTAGTGTAAGCATTTATGAGAACAAGGTAAAGTAGAATCTTTTAACACATTTTACATTCTCAGTACACCAATAAAATTTGTTTTATAGCAACCATTTCAGAGAAATATTTGATTGGGTGTCATAAACCTTGAAATGTTATTTCGTTAAACTAAATAGTTTTTTTAAATATTTTGACCACAAATAACTAAGGGTTAAACAATAAAGTAGAGCATAACAACGTGTTGTTATTCAATTCCGAAAACATAGATGATTTCAGGAATCATTTATGTTTATATGGAGATGCTAATATAAATTACATCTATAATCATTTATCAGATGAAAACATTGCACATTTGTCTTCACTGAAGACGAGATAGTTATCATAGATTAATATCCTGAGGAGATGGTACATGTAACTAGTATCGGGTTCTATGTGTTGGTTGGTTTAGTATTGAAACATTAATGATCATTGTGAACAACATTAGTCTGTTCATCAAACACGAGTGACTGTTTAACAAACCATGGGAAATCTTATTTCACCATTGATGAAGAATGATGACTGACTACATCTTTTACGTTTTGCTAAAGTATTTGAGATTCGGGTAAAATGTCTCATTAATCGACTTGTCAAACGGTTTATCATGTTAGTTGGAATGCGATCTCAGTCAGTACTCGTTAAATGCTGTTGATATTACTTTGTAGTTTACATACCAAGTACAAACCTATGTACTCTTTTCTGAGCTAAACCGTTCTCAAGATGCTACGTTAAGTATGAATAGCACAAAACAATCAATCGGCCCCCATCAAAACACAATATTAAACAAGTGTTATTCTAGTAAAATTGAACAGTGGCTAGCAGTGTAGTCCGTGACACTGTTAAACTATCAAACCTTATATATTCAAATCTAATGTATTCAGAGGTATGAGTTGTCATAGAACAGAAATTTGAATTTTCCTCATTCATTCATTCAATCACGTCTTACTTGATATAAAAAGAAATTAGTGAATATTCGTATAGTGTTTTACTAGTGCCTTCAAAATCAACCATTTATTCCACATGAATGGATCCTTTATTCTTCAACGATTCTTTTAGATTATGACGATAATTCTTATCTTCAAAACAAAATATTATTTCTCGAATTATTTCAACAGAGGTATGTGAGATGGTCCAATTTACTGCAATCGGTTAATGAAACTCCAGATAGTATCGCGGTTCATATTCTATTGAGACTAACCAAACTCACTTGAAATATGTATGCCTTAACTCGAATGACAAAACGATACACTGGTTGGTGAATATATTGGCTTTATATTGCATTCTGATGTTTGGACATGTAATTCAATCAGATGGTATTTACGAATAGTGATTATCAATTGATTCAAGTTACTTGTCTTCGGGATCACATAGTGAACGTGGTCGACAGTAATCAGTTAACTCTGGGATGTACTTGAGTGTGAAGTGGTAAGTTTCAACTTATTCATTATTACCTTCCATAAATTATCAGTTGTTGATGGTGACCTGTAACACATACCTAACACATCTCAAACCAAGACTATGATGGAGGAATTTTTGAATTTCCTTAGGAAATTAATTTTCTTGAGAATGAAAATTAACGTTCTGATGTGTAAGTCTTTGTATGAATGAACTTTCAAAAATCAAATTACCACTACACAACATGAATAAATACCGTCAAAGAAGAATCATTCTCAAACAATTCACTTCAATCTCTTCTTTGTATATCCGACATAAACTTACATCATATAAAATATTAAAATAACCTTTCATTCATGTGATGAAACTTTAAAAATTTATCATCAAATAAGAAAAAGAGAATTCAGCGAAGAAAATTTTCTTTTCGACGAAATCATTTACTTAAGCTGTACATTCGTATATATAGTAATATGGAAAATATATGTCTATAGGAGGCTAGAAAAGATTGCATTACAAAATTGATTCAACAATAAATAACAAATGAGGTGACGTACTAATCAAGGGGTAAGGAAGAAAATAATTTATGGGTCACATAATAGTTCAATTAACAGATATGAAGTAAAGCAACAAACATAAAGGTCATAATAATAATAATCTGAGTAATAATCAAGAAAACTTGTATAAGGTAATAATAATAACTGATTAGAGATTAAATGTAAAATAGTAATTTAAAAAACAAAAAACCGATAATAATCAGATAAAAGTACAAAAAACAAAAAACCAAAAAACGTACCCAATGAGGGAATTAGGGCCAAGGAAGGGTAAGAGGTTGGACAAATCGTTTCTGCACGCAAAGTTCAGGCTTGAATTCATGGATTGCCAATGCCTCAGCAGTGCATAAAATATTGATTCGACCTCCCTTTGATCCGGTTCCTTTAACTCTATAGATTATTTTAAAAGACGTCTCTTTTGGAGCAATGTGTCCGCAATTGATCAAGTGCTCTTGTATCGAACTGGTTATCTTCTTACATTCACCTTTTAGGAGCCAAGCTGGATAGTGTTCAGAGATACGTTTGGAAAGCGATCGCTTTGTGCGGCCTATATAACGTGCTCCACATGAGCAAGTAAATTTATAAATACACATCGATGTGGCCCAAAGCGAAAGCTTATCCTTAACACACCCCCGAATGGTAGGCCGGCTAGAGAAAACGATTCGGAGCTTGGCTGTGTAGAAAGTTTTATTCAACGTTTTTGAAATCCGTTTATTCAGGATTTCAGCAGCCGTGTCTCCCTTGAATTCCATATTCATAAACAAGGTTTTCTTCTGCACTGTCAAAGTTATTTGTTGCTGACGTCTAGATGTTAAGTTGCTATCAACGAACCTCGGTGGATAACCATTTTTGATGAGGGTCTGTCGAAGATGAAGTAATTCCTCATTTATTGTGTCACTAGAACAGATTCGCTTAATCCTAGATGATAAAGAGTGAATTAAGTTCCTCTTTCGACTCAATGGAACCCAACTATGGAAATTCGTGTATTGTCCATTCCAAGTGGGTTTTCTATACATAGATCTTTGTAAATAACCATCAGGCAATCTTTTCAAATGGACATCAAGAAAATGGAATTCGTGGTTCGATTCTGCCTCTAAGGTAAATTGAATTGAAGGGTGACAGTTATTGAAAATATTTAATATTTCATTGTGGTCCATGTTATCATCACAAATAATGAAGGTATCATACATATATCTCTTATATAAATGAAATTTCTCGATTATTTGACGAAGTGCTGAATTTTCTAGATTGGCCATGAAACAATCAGCCAAAAGAGGACCCAATGGAGAGCCCATTGCAACTACATCTGTTTGTCTATAGAAACCATCATTAAATTTAAATTGTACATTGAGCGTGCATCGTAGGAGTAGTTCTTTAAGATAGTGTTTTGGGATACATATCTCCAGATTATTATTTTCAATATAGTCACATAAAAAACAAATGGTTTCTGTGAGAGGAACATTTGTAAACAACGACGTGACATCTAATGAGAGCATTTTCTTACCCATTACGTTGATATTTCTGATTGAGTCGACAAATTCAAAGGAATCAAGAGCATTGTATTTGTTGATATGACTTTTAACAGGTTGTAAAATGTCAACTAACCATTTAGCAATAGAGTGATATGGAGAGTTGTTCATATCAAGTATTGGACGTAAAGGGACATTATTCTTATGAACTTTTGGGAGTCCATATAGTCTAGGTACGACAGAACCCGATGGTTTGAGATGTTCAAAGAGGTCACAATTGATAATGAACTCATCCTTCATCTTCTTTAGAATTTTAATTAGCATCTGTTCGGTTTTCTCAGTTATGTCATTTTGGACGGTTTCTTTAGAGAATTTGACCGGATCAGATAGTATCGAAGACATTTTGGAAATATAGTCAGGGCGATCCATAAGTACAATTCCTGCACCCTTGTCTGGGCGACATAACACTAAGTCATGATTTTTCCAAAGATCAGATAATTGAGATTTATGTGTTTTTGTGAGTAAGCGACTAACTGTAGGGATTTTATTTACATATTGATTACAGCAGTCTACAAGAGTTGTTTTGAAATGCTCAAAATCTTTATTAGATACAGGAATAAGGTCATTTGTTTGACGAATAAGACTTTCAAATTGGATTTTAGCGTTCAATTCATCAATGTTAGTAGACGTACTACAAAATTTTGGAGCAAGGGATAATGCTTGTAGCTGAATAGTCGATAATGTTATGCTTGAATGATTGAAAACATATTTCTCTGGCGATTCGGGAAAAGAAGCTTGAATCTCCGTCTGTTTTAAACTTTTCATTGATTTCAAAGTCACATCTTCGGTACGATTTTTGCTAACAATATCAATGTAATCTTTAAATTTGAAGCGTTAATCTTCTGATAAATCAAATAACGTATGTGAACGTAGTGAGATATTCCGTTCGAATTCCGGGATTCTAGATTTAATTTCATCGACATAATTCAAAGTAAGACGTTTCAAAGACCGATGATTTGGATGAATATGGTTACGGCGTAATGATTTGAAAAATGGTCTTGGATATTCACGTTTGTCTATACAACTTCTCAGAAAATTGATTATAATATTCGCTATTGCAAGCTTGACAGAATAACTAAGAAACCCACTGAGTTCCTTTACTGTCGCATGATCCTTGCAGCTCTTTAGATAACTAAAATAACTCATAATGTCATTGAATAAGAAAAATTCTCTAAAGAAACCGTCCAAAATGACATAACTGAGAAAACCGAACAGATGCTAATTAAAATTCTAAAGAAGATGAAGGATGAGTTCATTATCAATTGTGACCTCTTTGAACATCTCAAACCATCGGGTTCTGTCGTACCTAGACTATATGGACTCCCAAAAGTTCATAAGAATAATGTCCCTTTACGTCCAATACTTGATATGAACAACTCTCCATATCACTCTATTGCTAAATGGTTAGTTGACATTTTACAACCTGTTAAAAGTCATATCAACAAATACAATGCTCTTGATTCCTTTGAATTTGTCGACTCAATCAGAAATATCAACGTAATGGGTAAGAAAATGCTCTCATTAGATGTCACGTCGTTGTTTACAAATGTTCCTCTCACAGAAACCATTTGTTTTTTATGTGACTATATTGAAAATAATAATCTGGAGATATGTATCCCAAAACACTATCTTAAAGAACTACTCCTACGATGCACGCTCAATGTACAATTTAAATTTAATGATGGTTTCTATAGACAAACAGATGTAGTTGCAATGGGCTCTCCATTGGGTCCTCTTTTGGCTGATTGTTTCATGGCCAATCTAGAAAATTCAGCACTTCGTCAAATAATCGAGAAATTTCATTTATATAAGAGATATATGTATGATACCTTCATTATTTGTGATGATAACATGGACCACAATGAAATATTAAATATTTTCAATAACTGTCACCCTTCAATTCAATTTACCTTAGAGGCAGAATCGAACCACGAATTCCATTTTCTTGATGTCCATTTGAAAAGATTGCCTGATGGTTATTTACAAAGATCTATGTATAGAAAACCCACTTGGAATGGACAATACACGAATTTCCATAGTTGGGTTCCATTGAGTCGAAAGAGGAACTTAATTCACTCTTTATCATCTAGGATTAAGCGAATCTGTTCTAGTGACACAATAAATGAGGAATTACTTCATCTTCGACAGACCCTCATCAAAAATGGTTATCCACCGAGGTTCGTTGATAGCAACTTAACATCTAGACGTCAGCAACAAATAACTTTGACAGTGCAGAAGAAAACCTTGTTTATGAATATGGAATTCAAGGGAGACACGGCTGCTGAAATCCTGAATAAACGGATTTCAAAAACGTTGAATAAAACTTTCTACACAGCCAAGCTCCGAATCGTTTTCTCTAGCCGGCCTACCATTCGGGGGTGTGTTAAGGATAAGCTTTCGCTTTGGGCCACATCGATGTGTATTTATAAATTTACTTGCTCATGTGGAGCACGTTATATAGGCCGCACAAAGCGATCGCTTTCCAAACGTATCTCTGAACACTATCCAGCTTGGCTCCTAAAAGGTGAATGTAAGAAGATAACCAGTTCGATACAAGAGCACTTGATCAATTGCGGACACATTGCTCCAAAAGAGACGTCTTTTAAAATAATCTATAGAGTTAAAGGAACCGGATCAAAGGGAGGTCGAATCAATATTTTATGCACTGCTGAGGCATTGGCAATCCATGAATTCAAGCCTGAACTTTGCGTGCAGAAACGATTTGTCCAACCTCTTACCCTTCCTTGGCCCTAATTCCCTCATTGGGTACGTTTTTTGGTTTTTTGTTTTTTGTACTTTTATCTGATTATTATCGGTTTTTTGTTTTTTAAATTACTATTTTACATTTAATCTCTAATCAGTTATTATTATTACCTTATACAAGTTTTCTTGATTATTACTCAGATTATTATTATTATGACCTTTATGTTTGTTGCTTTACTTCATATCTGTTAATTGAACTATTATGTGACCCATAAATTATTTTCTTCCTTACCCCTTGATTAGTACGTCACCTCATTTGTTATTTATTGTCGAATCAATTTTGTAATGCAATCTTTTCTAGCCTCCTATAGACATATATTTTCCATATTACTATATATACGAATGTACAGCTTAAGTAAATGATTTCGTCGAAAAGAAAATTTTCTTCGCTGAATTCTCTTTTTCTTATTCAATGACATTATGAGTTATTTTAGTTATTTATCATTATATCTACCTAAGTGGCAACATTTGAAATTTTAATATTTTATCATATATGATCGAAAGTATTGAGGTGATCTTGTAGTGAACGTGACCACAAATAGGGATAACCGAATGTATTTCAATTTAAAATTACAACACATGTTAGTAAAATCTGAGAACCATACAGTAATTAATTCATTTGCAAACTGTCAATTAGTTATCACAGACTTGATTTTTCTTTTGCCTCCATATCAATAAATTCTTTGTTCTTGTTCTCTTCTCTTTGTTCTTATCCATCTACCTACCTCAAAGTATTTCACTTTTGACTGATCATACATGCTACTTATATCTTTCAACATCAGTAGTACACACTATAACGTATTTATTTATTTGATCTGTATATTCTTATCATTCTGATTAAAAAGGTTATGTGACTTCGATAAAAAATCAATATTGATTTTTTATCGACTGACTTCATTCTTATTTAAATTAATAGATAAAATCAAATAAATTTTTTATTTGACTCTAATTAATTTTTTAAGGTGACAACTAACATCCTTTAAAAATTATGTGTGGAACAACGAACGTGGTTAATGAATGTCAAGATTATTGTTAAATTCATCAAAAAAATCAAACTGAAGCTCCATCGGTTTATTCAAGATAGAATGTTAAAATGGTTTGATTTATTAAAAAGGGGAGTTGAATTGTCTTGCAAATGACCTAAGTAAATATAAAGAAATCGAAGGTTCTGAAGGAATCTCTCAAAGATCAGATATATTTAAAAAGGAAGCAAATCACTAAAATATTACCAATAATATATAATATGAATAAGCTACATTCAACTGTTAATATGATAGACATTAATCAAACAAATCTAAAAGCTTTAAATGAAGTCAATCAATATCATTCAATTATATTTAATCCATATATTGATTATAATCAATTATTATCAATCAATAAAGTAACCAAATCAGATCCACAATACCCTAAAATACAAATTCATAAACGATTATTAAACATTTTACAAAATTTATTATTTATTTTTACATTTTTACAATGTTGTATTATAATTTATTTGATTTATCAATATGATATACATTTAAGATTAAGATCACCATTAAATGATTTACCAAATTATATAGCTACACGAATACCATGGATACCTGAACAATATCAATTAAAAAATCAAATGAGTACAATTTGGTGGTCATTGTGTATTATTTATATGCCAATAATGATAATATTTTGTAGGTATTACTTAGAGGTGAATGAAAATGGGTAAGTCGTTTCTTTTCTTTTTATCAACATTTTATTGTAAAAGAATATCAACAACAAAAGAGAAATCTATGAGATCAACAATGAACATATTTGATAATGGTGAGCAAATATGGATAGTGGCTACCAGTGGAATCTGGGACGCGCGTCTCGTACTATTTGGGACTCGTCAGCTAGATGTACCTGCATCTCAGAGACTGGACAGTTGCAGTCATAAGCATCAATAGGAAGATTCAAGCAAACAATACTAAGTGAATATTTGATAGTGGTGATTCATAGATGGAAAATAAATATTCCCCCCCCAAATCGGTTTTATTCTCCAGTGTATTTAAGTTATCATTCTGAATGATATTTTAAATTTACACTAATATCATCGTTATAGTATAATCGTTTGAACTATTATTCAAGGGATACTATTTCCAGTTAGAGTTTAAAGTTATTATCACATTAAATGGTAGATATGTATATGAGATTTTTCTTAATTACCCAGTCAACAGTCACTCTAAGAACATGACAGTGTTCTTAATTAAGACTTACTTAGATTTTGTAAAGGATATGATTTATGAAGATTTATTGCAAAACATTTTGTTAATCAATAGTAATAGGAACAACAAAATGCAAAGCACATAGTGTGGTGTGTGTTACTGCTGTTGACAGATATAAGTAGTATATAACATCAATCAAAAGTAAAATGCTTGCCAGAAGAAGATTTAGAAGATAGAAGAGAAGAGAACAAGAACAAAGAGTGACTGGTATGAAACGAAGGAACAATCAGGTCTGAGGCAATTGATGGATATTATACAAATGAAATAATTACTGTATGGTTCTCAGACTTTATTAAGTAATTCTGTAATTTCGTATTCACATACATTTAGTTGTCCTGAATGGTGTTTCCATTCACTACAACAGTACGTTTTTACAGAAGATATAAGAGATAAACATAAAAGGACTAAAATGTATTTCTATTTGGGAAGTATTATGTGCATTTTTTTCCATCTATTCCTTTAAGGTTTGAAGTAGTTTAAATTGGTTAGAAATTCTCTTAGAAAAACAGGACTTTTCAAATAGGTAGTATTAATTCCTAATATATGGTTAACTCGAAACATTTGTTTTCACAAAATAACAAATTATTAGATTTATTTAACATCGGCTCATGTGTAATGATATTTGAATGTTCCGATTGATGTTTAGGACTGAAATTGATCAGTCTCTTAGTGACATATGTGCATCCTGTGCGGCTTGCCTCAATATTGCCTTAAATCATAAGCATTATAAGCAGAGATGGGTACTGACTAACAGTAAAATCCAGGATGCACGTTTTGTTCTATTTAGGACTCACCAGAAAAAATGTACTTGTTCAGGAGTAAACATCAACACAAGGATGCAGGTACATCCAGCCGATGAATCCCAAACAGGGCAAATTACGCGTCCTGGATTCCACTACTAGCCACTACCTAGCTCTGCCGAAAATCTAATCGAGTTTTATGAGTTATCCTACTCATATACACACGGACTCTCTATTCTTAATACTTTTGATTCAGATGCCTTGAATTGAATTTCATGATATAAATGAGATAAAAATATAACTTGTAAACGAGATTTATCTGAATCATGAAACAGACACTTGGTTAAAATCAATTGCAGTACTTATTTCCAAATAATAATATTTGTGAATACTATGACACTGACTTTAAATGTTTTGCTAAGTTTTAGTAAAGTTGATTTTCGAAACTAAAGTAAATACTTGGCTAGTGATAAGAAGAAGGTTGTTCAAAAAATTGGTACATACTAGTTCAGTATCATTGATCATAACAGTTGACTGTTAACAACCATCATTTACAAATCAATCTATAGTCAATGATTCATCTTTGAAATTATGTGCTATGATCATCATCTATTATGACTTTTTTGAAAGCTTTAATTATCGTCCTTAGTAAGAAAACCTCAAAGTAACCCTAATGTATATCATTTCAAAGGTTTGTTTATAGACTTTCTTTAGAGTTAGTTCCTAACACCAAATATCGTTTTGTAGGATAAGTTCAACCACCAGTTCTCAGAGAACACTATACATCTATTTATAGCTGAAATATTTATTGATAAGGACTAATTTTAAATTTTCATAGTTGAAAGCGTTAGTTAATTGAAGCTAGACCACCAAGAAAAACCTGGAAGCACTAGACGATTGCCCGACTTCGTGGATTGGTTGGAGTTAGACATTAACACCACCGGACGACGGCTCAGTGGTCTAGTGATTAAGTGCTCTTGCACGAGGCTGGCAGATCCTGGGGTTCGAATCTCGCGAGGCGAGGTCGTGGATGTGCACTGCTGAGGAGTCCAACAATAGTACGAAACGGCCTTGAAGCAGTGCTTCCAAGTTTTCCCTGGTGGTCAAGCTTCAATTGACTCATGCTTTTAACTATGAAAATACTAAATCTCCACAAAAACCCCTTCTGATAATTTTAAATTTAATATTCTCCACAAATCAAACATATAAGTATAAGCTATTCTGTTATTGTATATTTTATTCATTTAATGAAGTGTTAACCATTCAAAACTGCTTTAAACAAGTAATACTCACTTTTAATATAACTTAATGTACACTAATTATATTTTAGACAAAAGTATAGATGGATAATGAAACAAGATATACGTAAACCTCAATCAGAACAATTTTATAGTACAATAGTATTTGGTAAAGAGTTTCGTCAACTCTTACTAGTGTGTTGCTTGACAACAAGTATATTTTTATGGTTATTCTACCTTATAGGGTTGTATAGTAAGTTAATAAATATTAATTGTTCTATAATTTCCTGTTATCAAGTAATAATATTAATAGTATTAATTTGTATATTGAATGATCAATAAGAAATTAAGGACAAAGATGGGATATTATGTAATCAATTACATATAGATAAAGTCAGGAAAATAACAAAAACAAAACAGAATATTAAGAATAATTTTTTATTGTGTATTGCCTTAAGTCACATGCATTATAAGCTCGGAGTAAACATCAAATCTGAGATGCAGGTACATCCAGCTGACCATTTCCAACTAGGACGAAACGCGTGTCCTGGATTGCACTACTAATCACTATCCATCTTTGCTTAGAATGCTTGAGAATTCAGTCGATATCGTGACAATACGCATAGGATGTATATATGCCAATAAGGGATTGATCAATTTCAGTCCTAAACATTAACGTGAAGATCCAAGTAGATATTACCAAATGAATTTAAGTTCAAAGTTGTCTGTAAATACAAAAGATTTGTAATTTAACTTTATCATATAATGAACATATTGGTCAATAAATTTTTTTCTATGCTGTGTTGAAAAGTAACAGAATAAATATCATAATAATAATATACATGAAGGTAAACATTACAAGACATATAATAGGCTGCAATAAGTAAACCTTCTTTATCATTTAAATTCTTCATTATGTTATCAACATTCTAAGTATTCTGTGACGAATTTCAAATTAATGTATATCTTTCTGCGCTCACATAGAATTTAATAAACAGACTGACAGTGATCATATGTTCACTAGTGACTGGCTCCATGATGTATTTCCTGGAGTTCTATTGCGAAACAGTAACCAGTGGAGTTAAAACCACGTCTATTGTGAGATAGTGACTCACTGAAGACATTAGTGAATGGTTGCTCAATTTCGTGAATTGGTTGAAGTTAGACATTAACACCGTTGGATGCCTGCCAGCTCAGTGCTCTAGTGGTTAAGTGCTCGCTTGGGAGACTAATAGGTCCTGGGTTTGAATCTCATGAGGTGGGATCGTGGGTGCTCACTGCTTAAGAGTCACACAATAGGACGAAATGGCCTTGAAGCATGCTTCCAGGTTTTCTATGGTGGTCTAGCTTCAATTGACTCATGATTTCAACTATATAAAACAGAATATAGCTTTAAAATATTTCATTAATTAGATAATTATTTTAATACAATTATGGTTTACTACTATTTATCGTAAACAAGTTGCATTCAATTGGGTAACTGTTTTTTTAGCTGGGGTAATGGGATAATTCAAATCTGTGAAATTGAGAAAAGGTTAATTAGCTGTTGAATACTACTGAATAATATAAACAAAATAAATTTTATCATTCCATCATATTATTAGAATCATAAATAACAACATCCTCTTCATAACCATAAGTTAATATAACACAAGTAAATCAGTTATTAATCTCTCATATTTATTGTTGAATTGTAGTAATCATCTCTGTGTTAATGTGGTATGACAACTCGAACTGATGTACATACGTACGAAATTCTACGTTCTGACTGACTGAGTAATTAACACTAAGTTACTTATTGGTTAAGTTCATAAATTTATCTCGGAATCCAGTCTAAAACATCAGTGTATTTAAAAGAACTTGATCTAGTATTCGTTAGATATGAAGTCAAATTTAAATTAGTGTCAAAGATGAATTAACTGTAGATTTTGATGTTAGATAACATTCACTAGGTTGTCTAATAAAACGTTACCAAAGTAGATTTATATATTTTTCCTAATCGGGCTTCATATAATTCAATTTAATCCAGTTTAACTTGGTGTCTAATAGACATACCCGAAATCTTCTTGTGCAATATTACCTAAACGAGTGTATATGACTTTGACTTTATGGTATTTAGTTAGATTTTTCGATTAAAAACGATTTGGGAAAATAAACTGATGTATTTCAACGTATCATCAAGCTCATTATACAAACAGTCTTGACAAATGATTATTATAGTTCAGAATAAACAAACCTTAAAGAATTACTAACTAATATCATACTTGTGTTCTCTGATGTTTTAATGAAGAATAATGAAGTTTCTATAATAAATCTTTGGTTATTGTTTATGTTTTTGAAAAAGTCAATAACCCACATTGAAGTGAAAACAGGTCCCTATGTTTAAATAAAATACTACCTAACAAAAGAGGTTTAATGTACAGCTGTTTAATATATGATCAACATGTGACAATTTTACTATCTAAAGAAATGGTAAGTTCTGAAGAACCAACACATAAAACATACTGACTGAATCGTGCGAAAGTTTCACTACTAAGTTTGGCCAGGTAAGCATAAGCAAAGGTTTCTTATTTATGTATTTGGGAAAAACAATTTGTGAGACAAGTGAGCTTTAGTGAAACTTTTCTGTTTGACTTGACAAATGTTTGAAGTTTGTGGCTAGTGACATGCCGGAAATAGTGATTAATATGTTCAGATTCGTACCAATATTTGAGCTGGTGTGATGAGATATGTTATGGAAAACTGATATAGTGAGCCAGTCAGAAGTAGCCAAATGACACCGACCATCATAACAGAAACAACCGAGTAAAGTTTAAAAACTAAGTAAATACATGACTGATGACGACCAGAAACACTTAGTTCTTCCAAAATCGCTAATCACCAAATTGTAATGCCTTGGTAAAATTATGGTTTATTAAAGCAAAGCATAAGACTATAATCGTTTATGTTGTATCATTATTGCTCCTTTCTATGTGGATCTCAAACTCACATAAATATTATTGGTAACTTGACATCTAATGGAGAATAGTCCCACGAATCCATTTCTTATAATCGTAACATAGCTTATAGTACTCAATTCGAAACAAAAGAGATCATAATCAAGAATTGTTTACGGCAAGACTTTAATTTATAAATGAACCAATAAAGTTTAGGATAATAGGTCTTGGGTTTTTGGAGCGAAATTCGTTCATCTATTTGATTGAAAAGCGTTTAAAGATTTTAGCTGATATTAGTTCATGATGAAAACCATCAACTGCAAATCATAATCCTAATTCTTCACACAGGTTTATAACTCTTATTTAGCTCTAGTAAGTAGGTGGACATTCTGGAGACCAATCCAACGTCACGCTAAGGTCATCCGTAAATTATAGTCCTACCCTGTTTACTTCGTTATCTTTAACTGAAAAGTTCATCTTCTAGTAGATTGGATTTATTAACTGTTAAACTTAATAAGTATTCTAGAATCATTAAATGTTAACCTTCTGATATAATTGATGAATAATTTTCTATGCATCTTTCTTTTATAAGACTGTTTATATTTTATCCATTTCAATTATTGGCGCAAAATTATACATAATTGGCTCTATGAATTAAAAAGCTTCTATTTATTGGATTTAAAAGAGTCACCTAATGGAATTAAACAAACATCGTCACTAAAAACCCATCATCTACTGGATGATGGGGAAAATTCTATTTTGATCATTGATATTATTCAAAATATGTTTGAATGTTGTGGAATTGATAAAGGGTTTGTGGATTGGGTATCTGATCATGTGGAAACACCATATTTGCATACTTATCAAAATTTGATGAGGTAAGGTTGATGAGTTTTTGAACTTTTAATTGGGTTACCCTTAACTAATCATTTTACATTAAGCATAAAAGTCAGGTCAGTAGAATGAGAGTGTCTTTAATATTATTTAAAAAACCCTAACGACAATTGATAAAGTACGTTACAATCGATCATTGTGAAATGGAAATAGGCATTATTGTCTAAGTCTTGGAAATTTATATTCAGTGTCATGTCTGTATTGTCTGAATAGATTACTAAATCTTTCTTTTGTAAATTGTCATTATATGTGGCAAACTAAACCTACATACTGGGTGCCGTTTACTACCTAGTGAGATTTAGTTTTCAGTTCTGTTAAGTTCGCTACTTGAAGAACACAGAAATACCGTTTGCGACTACGACACTCGAACTTTGAACAGTCTCAAATCAGAAGACAGAAGGAAGGCTGAAGAAGGGTTTACTTAGTAAGAACCGAAATGTACAAAAAACCACAAGTATTTATAGATATTAGCATTTGTTAAATCAACATTATAATTCCGCCAATCCGCGAAGAGGCATATTATACTACTGTCCAATAGTAGCATAGCACGTTGATATTTTAGAAAGCTCTATCATGGTCTGATTGGATAGAAACTCTTCTGCTCCTTTAGAGCCTCTGGAGGCTCTGCTGTAGTTCTCGGAAGTCAAGTCAACAAGTTTTATGTCAGATATTAATATTTCAAATGTCAGTCATCAACTCTTTCTTAAATATATGTAAACTCAAAATATTTTAGGCTTTTAATTGTGTTTTATTATTTGTAAAAGTACAGTTAGTATATGGACAAGCCTAAAAAACCATGACAAATTTTCAGCTAGTTTCTAGTTCACAGGAAAATAGCTTTTATAAATGGATAGTTTACGGAAGAAACAATAATCTTGAAAAGTGTAAATAGATTTTATATTACCTTAACAGAATACTCTGGTTGTAAATCAAAACACCAAGGTAATATATACTGGTTCTAATGGACGTAAGTATTCTTTCTTCGAGAATTCTTAAAAAGAGCCTAGATAGATCATATAGAGTCTCTACATTGTCTTCGCTTAAAGTTAGGATTGACAGTTAAGGGTGAGGGTGATGCTCCCTAAATTAATTTTGTTTTAATGTAAAAAAGCCCCATGTCCATATGAATGACTGAATTTCGCACAAAAAATATTAGAGGAGCTATCTGATTACTCAATTCGTAAAACAAAACAGATAGTGTCCATCTGACTATTAAATACAGTTGAGTTTTTATTGAGATTACAAATCAAATAGTGTTAGACTACCATTGGAAAACTAGAGGCACTGGACAGGCTGCTTTGTCCTATTATGAGTCTACTCAAGAGTGCGTATACATGATCCCACACGTGGGACTGAAACCCAGGAACTTTGGACTTGCTCGAACGCCTAACTTCTAGACTACTGAGCTAGCATCCAACGCTGTAAATGTCTGCTTTCAATCAATCCACGGTATTGCGCGACCATCTTCGATTGTCTTCGTAAGGTAAATACCTCCTACCAGAAACTGTCGAACTCCACTGGTCACGACTTCTTATTGGAATTTGGAGAACTAACCTTCGGAACTATTCACTAGTGAGTAAATGATCTTAATAAAACTCTACAATCTCCGCAACCTTATATTCCCCCTAGATTGTGTTTGTATTGTAAAAAGGTTAGATCACATTTGGCATTACAAATAAATTAATTTGAACATGGTTAATTGATATTTGGTGGTACAAATGATATTCAGTCATTACTGTTCATAAGTACTTACTTACTTAAGCCTGTTACTCCTCGTAGAGGAGCATAGGCCGCCCACCACCATTCCCCATCAAACTCTCTACTGGACAGTCCTTTACAGTTGTTTCCTGTTCCTATTCATTCTTTTCATGTCTGCTTCCGATTCCCAATGCAGTATATTCTTTGGTCTTCCCTTGTTCCATTTCCCTTCATAATTCCAAGTTAGCACCAGCTTCGTGATGGAGTTTGGTCATTTCCATAATGTATGTCCTATCCACTTACAACATTTTTTCCTCATTTCCACATCAGATGGAATTTGGTTTGTTCTCTCCCACAGTAGATTGTTGCTGATTGCATCTGGTCAATGGACATTGAGTATCTTGAGTAGACAATCATTCATAAATGCTTGTGCTTTCTGACGATGGTTGTGTTAGTTCTCCAAGTTTCAGCTCTGTACAGTAGGATTATCTTGACCTTCGTATTGAATATTCTGACTTTGATGTTGGTTGACAGTTGTTCACTTGTAAATATGAAATACATATAATTGATGTATAACATATCAAATTTATTATTGTTTATATGTAAGCTGGTAAAACTATGACATAACGTTATTTTACAATGTTTAAAAGAAATATACTGTCACATTCACACAATAATCAGTGAGGACAATAATGAAAGGTGGAAAGGAAGTTAAAGTATGTATTTCTTGATCGATGGATGGTTGTGGCAATAATGTCTGATTTAACCACCACTGCGATCTACAATTATTTCAGTAATTTAAGTGAACATTGTAGCATACAAAATGGCTTGATTGACTTGGTCAGTATTATATCTACGCTGTCTGATAGACTCAACATTACACTACATTGAAGTATCACAAAGCCCCACATGACGTCTTTAGTTTGTATATTGCAAACGCTGTACTTGAGTTACATCTGACGACTAATTCCCCCTCGAGAAAGATCATCCAATATAAGGAAAAATTGCTGATGTTTTAGTTTAAGAGATTTTCAAATATTGATGGAGTTTTGTGATAGTGGTTGATATAGGTAACTCAGGACAAAGATTTTACAGGTGTTAAGTAATCTGAGAGGGATTATTTAACCGTGAAGCTATTAGTATCCCTCTGAACAACATTATCAGAACATACTTCAAAGGTGAGTAAGCCATCGGAATTTCTCTACAGAGAATAATAGCTTGTTCTATTGGCTTTCAGATTAGTAGGTTTTTATCCATAGCTTTGCAACCGTTGTTAGTTTCGACTCATTGGCCTTGTAACATAAGTTATGGAAAACAGCCAACCAAACATCACTTTAACAGAATGAGCTGTAGTCAGTCGCAGAGAAATTCCAAAATCTTGCCCGTTTTCAAAATATATGTCAGTGGTGTTTTTAAACACAAATGAAGCTCTACAACTAAGTGATTCACTTACACTGATATTGCCTTAAATCACAAGTATTATAGGCAGAGATGAATGGGACCTAGTAGTGGAATTCATGTTCGAGTCTCGAAGTGAACATCAAGTCTGGGATGCAAGTACATCCATCTGACGAGTCCCAAATAGGAAGAAACACGCATCCTATATTTGATTGCTAGCCACCATCAATCTCTGCTTATAATGCCTTTTTATTAATGTTTTAGTTTCAAAGGGTAAGGTAGTTAACTTTTTGCTTCATTTAAACATTTCTATCATCGAAAGGTTAGTGAATGGTTTGTTAAACAGGTTCAATGACTGAACTTTTGAACTAATCACATATGAAACATCAACAATGTAGGAATACATACTGATCAGGTATGATATTTTTGTATAAATTATTAAATGGTGACAAAATTTATCAAAGCCTTTTTGCATAGCTGAAAGCATGAGTCAATTAAAGCTAGACCATTATGGAAAACCTGGAAGCACCGGACGGCTGTTTCGTCCTATTGTGGGACTCTTAAGCAGTGCATATCCACGATCTCGTCTCACGAGATTAGAACCTAGGACCTATCACTCTCTCAAGCGAACGCTTAACCACTAGAGCACTGAGCTGGCAGGCATCCAACGGTGTTAATGTCTAACTTCAACCAATTCACGAAATTGAGCAACCGTCCACCAATTGTCTTCAGTGAGTTCCTATCTCACAATAGACGTGGTTTGAACTTCACTGATTAATGCTTCGCACTAGAACTCCAGGAATTATCTCTTGAAGTCAGCCTTTTTGTCATTATTATAAACTACTATATTATTCTAATTTCATTGTTGTTTTATTAATCATATTTTTTTAATCAGAAATGTAAATGATTCCTATGAAGCAAATTATTCTATTGAAATATCAACGAATAGAAGTGTACCATTTAGTTGTTATAAAAGGATCAAATACAATTTAGACATAGATAATATACTACTTATTAATGGTAGTAATAATAGTTCAATTAGTAATAATGAATTATTTCATAATAAAGGATGTGTTGAACCGATTTTACACTTTGTTACATCAAAATGGATGAAATCACAAATGTTATGCCTATTAATAATTATACTCACAATGGTAAGTTATCAAATTACACCTAGTGTGATGGTCCTTTATGAAGTAATTATGTTTGAAACTATAATTTGCCATATTTATAATTACGATAATGATAATAGTGATTATAATGATAACAACAAAAATGAGTCTAATAAGGACAAGTTGAGAGGTTGAGTTCAATAATTATCAAAATGTTTCAGAGTTCATTGGTAATAAGCTAGTAAATGATTTCACAGAATTAGAATATAAAATTTCTTTTGTTGAGTAATGTTGCATACAGTAATTTCATTCTATAATTTTTATAACCGATATATCCATAAGAGGTGATTTTTGAAATAGGAAACACTTCCCTGAATTGCAAGACTCAAAGAAAAGGATAAAATCAGTGGAGAAGTTTTGTAGCTCAGGTGGATGATTTTGATGGAGTTTTATTCTCTGAGCTGGATAGTTTGGTCGTGAAGCTTTCATCATTCTTCTGAACGACATCATCCGTGGTGGATGAAATATGACAACTACTTTAACCAAATGCACTCTCGTTTATACATCGATTTTACTGATCCTTGGTTATTAGTTAACAATCAAATACAAAGGAAATAAAAAGTTGACATTACACATGACCGATTATACAAAACGCATATTAAATACCATTTCAACTTGTACAATTTCATGTTCGTATTTGGTAACCTATATCAATAAAATGTTACCTAATAATCAGTTTTGTAATAACAGGCAGTCGAAATGAATATTCATGTATGACACACAAACAGTATGATCCTAAACATTCGAATACAAATCAACTAGAATTTTAAAGATCTAAGCTCTAATATTCTTGACTTATTATTATGTCATATTATGTCATTTACTATCAAACATTTTATAACATATATTTTAAACATTTAAAATGATAGGCTTAAATGCTATGAACATAAAATAACTTCAGATTTATAAACATCGAAGATTCAAAACATTGAACTCTGAACACTGTAAACCTTTGATACCGAAACCGGTAGACTTCTAATCTTAGATGTTAATTAACTTATATGTATCGTAATGTATCGAATGGTCACTGAATAGTAATCAATATCGCATTTTCGATTCCTTGGTTCCAGTTGTAGTCTGTAGATTAAGTTCCGATTCGGTCACTACATGAAGTTATATGGAGATACATTTTGACATTAGATGGTTAAATAAAATCAACTAAAATTTCCTGTGTTTAGATTACATTCATCAGCATGGCATATTACAATTTTGGTTGGACTGACGACCCCAAGTCGCCTAGTCTTCCAATCAACAATGCTACCAGTAAGGTCTGAATATTAAAAACTACTCTTCTTAACAACTACATTAGTTAAAACCTTTCCGCCCTTTACCACATGACATATGACATACACTATCCTTGTTGTATGCAGCTTATAAAAATCCCAAACATATAATGAATTCATATTGTTCTACCTCATTTGTTGTTTCGACTTTATTCGAATCCTTGTTAAAGTCAGATTTTTGACTGGTGATATTCATTTGGAGCAAATCAAACGTTATTAGTCTCTTACAGAGATCTTATATTACTCTAGTGATTATTTAGGTGGGCTAGTATAAATATTAATTCAATATCATTATGTTGTAGTGAACAAAATACGACTAGAGACAATCGAATGTATTTAGACACAAATTATAGACTATCTCACTAAATTCTGATAACCATACAGTCAACAGTTAATTTGCAAAATAACAATCAATTATCTCAATCTTCACTGTTCTTTCTGTAAATATCGATCCATCTTATCTAATTCGATTGTTCATGCTTTTTCCTACCAATTGCGCTTCATTTCAGTTCTTTCCTTATCGGTCTTCTGCCGAAATACATTCTATGTTTGACCATCGCCATTTACTACTTATATGGATATAAGTAGACCATACTACAATATAAGTATAGAGTGAACCATTAAAATGTATTCAAGATTTTTCAGTTAATTTTAACACATATATATAAGTAGTATTTACGTTTTTATTTTCAAAATATTTATCAATTCAAGACTCCTCAAATAATCGTGATGTTGGCAAATATTCAGGTGGAAGCATTATGGAAAGAAATAAAAACACTAATGAATAAAATAATGAACATTACAAAAAAGGGAGTACTGAAATTTATAGAAATAGCAAACGCTGGAATATCTCAATTAAAAAAACCTCTTCTTCTACATATTGTAGGTTTAAGTTGAGTTTTTTTTCTTTCTAGTGTTAACATTATGGTATATTCATTTCATAAAGTTGTTTACTGAGAATCTGATTTATTTACGATTTCTAACCTTTATTCATTTTAAGCAAAGATGGATAGTGGCTAGCAGTGGAATCTAAGACGTGCCTTTCGTCCTATTGAGGACTCGTCAGATAGATGTACCTGCATCTCAGAGTTGATGTTCACTCTGAGACTCAAACCTAGCATCGTTCACTTCAAATGCTTATGCAATGGGTTGAAATGTAAATTAATTTTGTATAGTTTGTTTGAATTTTCCCATTGATGTTCAGGACTGAGATTGATCAGTTTCTTATTAGTATATGTGCATTTTGATTATTTCTAAGGCGATATATTCACTTAATCTAAAGCATGAACTAATTAAATTTCAGTTACAGTTCATTTTTAAAGGGTCCCTAACACCAGCAATTTCTGAATTGAACATTGTGGGGGTGATGGAAGAAACAATATAATACAGTGAATATTTATTTGAATACTTAACCATGTCGAAGTGTTTTTTTATACACACTGGCTAAAGTTCACTTGCGTTCACTTACAGCTCATCTTTCTGATCATTGTCCTGATCTATGACTTACTTCATAGTGTTTATATACCTTTAATACTGTGTACTAGATAACTTAATCTTACTTTTCTTAATACAGTTCATAATGGTAATTTCGATTTTATATGAATCTTATGTGTTGGTTCCAGTTAAGGTAAAACTGGAAACAAGGTAGCATTGGATAGTGGTTTTGTCTCGGTATGAGACTCTTCAACCGTTCACACCGACAATTCACCTAGATACCGAACTCAGTACTTCTAAATCTTACAGTGTGGACTTAATCGATAAAAAACACCAGGTTAATGATTAGTTTTCATTTTCAAGCTGTGACTAATATCTTGAAACAATCTTTACAAACTTCTTTGTCGACAAGGATACAAGATCATTCTTCTTAAAAGTTATCTACTTATTTATTTCCTCAATATCAGCGAATAGAATTCATTACAATCTCATATGAATAAGCAACATTTTCTGATTATTAAGCCAAATATTTGTTTGTATTTTCCCTATTTCAAGTTAGTTTTCACCACTAACTGTTATCTAACATTAATTAAGTTTCATTTATTAATGATTATCTTTGAAATGAAATGTCAATGTTATAATGAGAAGCCATGATTGAAATTGAGATGTGCATTATTGATCTTATCAGATGTAAGTCAAGCAATATTTTAAAATGATTCTGTTTAACGCGAAAATCTTACTGCCATTATTGTGAAAGCTTATAACTTCATTCTACTTATTAACTAGAAATAAACTGTTGTCCAGTACTCTCCTAATTTTCATCGATTCACCAGTTAATGGTAAGTTTTTCATGAGGCCTATCTTCTGAGTTCAGCTTTCAAAAATCTAGTGTAGAATGTAATTGTCTAATGACAAATAATTCAGTTCATGACAGTTTTTTGTCATTTTTCATGTTTTGTAATTTACTGAATATAATTATTTCCAATTGTATACTACAATCGTCTAACTTTTCATAAATAATCGGTAGTATAGTGGTGTGTGTTACTTCTATTGACATAAGTAGTATATGATGCTAGTCAGGAATCGAATGTCTGGCAGCAGAATGTCGAGAAAAATGGGGGGCGGGGGGGGGAAAGAACGGGAACAAAAAGAAATTGATATGGAAATACAGGAACAATGATGTCTGTGACAAATAATGAAAATTTCGCAAGTGAAGTATTTGTTGTATGGTTCTTAGATTTCACTAAGATATTCTGTAATGTATTAAAATACATTCCATTATCCCCATTATTGTTCTCGTTCACTACAGTATGTATATAATTAAGAAAGAAGATACTCTTATCTGCCGACAGATAGCTAATGCACTTAAAATAGTAAAGTGGATTAACTTAATGTTTAAATCTCAATTCTATTATCTAGTAACAGAAAATAAATAAATAACTTACTTACGCCTGTTACTTCCAATGGAGCATAGGCAGCCGACCAGCATTCTCTAACCCACTCTGTCCTGGACCTACCTTTCTAGTTCCATCCAATTTTCGTTCATTCTTCTCATGTCTGTCTCTTCTCTGTGTTCGCTTTAAATCTAATTTCTATACTTAAAGATTATTTCTGTAAATGTAAATAAATTAAAAACAGATTATTTACAATGAATTAATTTTTGAAAACTCTCAGCTCATATAAATGCCTACTGACCCCCTCCTCACCTAACATAATGTTTCCTATTCTTTTACTTATCATTCATAGTTTAACATTAAAAATTATGAAGAATACTTTGAAAAACTATTAGAATCCGATGAAAAATTTTACTATGAACAATTAACTAGACATGAACAAATTGATTTCCATGAATCAGTTATGGTTCATCAAGAAATAAAACTTATCGAAACTACACTTGAAAAATCACCATCGATATTCGACCAAAATTCTAAAGTTGAACAGTTTCAACAACAACAGAGTCAACAAATAGAACAATCAACTAGACCAGGACGAAAACAAAGTTATTACCAGTTAACAAATCAACAACAACAACAACGACAAAAACACCGACAGTACTCAGTGAAATATACTTCACATAGAAAATCGAAAATATATACAAATTTAAATAGAATTCCTATAAATAAATTGCATAAGTCATATGTACATATTAGATCTAATACAAGATTACCTAAAGTTAATCCACATATAAATGAACGTCCAACATGGAAGTATACTTATAAAGTATAATAATAATAAGCTATTCATAATAACTTGTCATTCTTATAAACATTAATGACAATATTGAACATGATTACTCTAGAAGAGATATGATTAACATGAATACACATACTAATTGAAAAAAAGTTCAGTGTTAATGTAAAATTCATTGATAATTACAGTTGTCTTTTCTGAGTTTTCTTATGTTCTCAAAAATACGAAAGGTTTATTGATAATATGAAACATTGAAAATAATGAATAATGGTTAGCAGTGAAATCTAAGGCACGCGTTTCGTCCTATTTGAGACTCGTCAGATGGATGTACCTGAGTCTCAGAGTTGATGTTCATTCTGGGACTCTAACTCAGTACTATTCTCTTCAAACGCCATCGCGTTATTCACTCAACTACTGAATCGTGGTAACCACCTGCTTGTACAATGAAGTGAAGTTCCAAATAGGACGAAACACGCGTCCTGGATTCCATTGCTAACCACTATCCATTTTGTTTATAAAGCTTGTGACTTAAGGTAAAATCGAGGCAATCCGCAAAGGATGCACATATGTCAACAAGAGACTGATCAATTTCAATCCTAAATAACAATGTGAAAATACTAGTAAACAACACCAAATGAATGAGTGAGAAAGTTTACAAGTAAAAACAAAAGAAAAGTTTTCGATCTTACTCGTATGGATTAAACATAGAACACTAAATCGAATTTTAAATTACAACCACATTTTGATATTACTAAATTGTGTTACATAAGAACGGAAATTGTTTAATGGATTAATAACTGTTAAATAGTATGTGAATTTAGACAAGAATCAGAATTATTATAAGAATGGGGGTTTTTGGAGAATGTAGTAATTTTCAATCGTAGAATTTATGAATCGTTCAATGTTAAACCACCAGTGAAAACCAGGAAGCACTGGACGACCGTTTCATCTCAGTATGGTGCTCCTCAGCAGTGCTCACTCACGATTCCTCATGCGAGACTAGAACTCAGTACTTCCAGGTTTTCAAAATGGGTTTAGCTTAAATCGACTCATGAATTTAACTATTGAAAAGAATCTGAATTGCCGAAAACAACCTATTAGAAGTTATATCTCCTGGATAAATGAGAATTTATTTTTATTTATTCACAAACCACGTGCAGAATTGATATGTATATTTCCTCAACATTTTTCTGTTACAGACTATAACCAATAAACAATACTAAATATTTACTAGAAAGTGTAATAGGATGAATACGCTACTGACAAACGAAAGGAAACTACCTATTTACAAACCAACAGACCAATAAACACAAAATAGTTTTTAGAGACTGTCATAAATGTTCAGACGAACATAAGATAAGATTTCTATGATAGGACTTCGCCGCAACGTAGAAATTACAGGAAATATTTATGCTCAAAAATGAAGTTTAAATAAAGTCAGAAAATTAACAACTAACAATGTTTGTACAAATTTTTAATCCTAAGTATTGAAGTTCAGACATTTCACTTCAGTTAGACTGTGAATTAAAGAAAAAGCCAGTAACGTGTACAGAATGTGATTTCATAATGACAACTTCGATATAGATTTATGATTGAAAACATCAAAAATCAGAACTTCATGAATTCAAAAACTACTTTTGTAAATTAATGGTTGAATTCATAAGTCGAATTAATCTAGACTTATATGGAGAACCGCTAGAAAGGGTTTACACTTTCCATACGTAGTGGTTTAGTTCGTGGGACTGATCGTAAAACGTGCGATTGTAGGACGAAGACGTTGGCAGAACAGGAAGCGATCGTTGATCCTCGAGTTGCCACCAAAGGTCATTGACGTAGAACTGTACCAGGAGAAACGTACTGTATTGGTTGCTTGGGTTAGCGTGCTACACCAGAATGATTTGTATCCAGAATCTGAAGACAGTGTTCGTAGAGGTCCAGACAGGAAACACTGCAGACGTAGGACGAAACCAGATTGAGCCAAGAAACCAGGTGCGACCAGGATAACCAAGTTCGGGACCAGATATATTACATACGTATTTGGAGCCAGAGAGATCAACGGAGTGCGTTGACTACGGAGTGGGTGACCAGGCCAGCTTTAGACAAGATTGACTGAGGTCGACGATACCAATACGGCGATAGTCGGAGGCGTGGGCTCAGGATGAATAAAAAAATCAAAGAAAAAGAGAAAAGTTTTGCATACCTGTAGTAAAGGGATAGAGTCCTATACCGTATCCGTTGTTGATTGTGAGGTTAGTCGCAAAAGCATAAGGGTAAACGTACTCGGCCACCGGAACGTCAGACGGTAGTCTCGTTCGAACCTCGTGAGCCTGCAATCTCATCCGAAGTCAAGAGAGGCGTGGTCTGCTGGTCTGGACGTAAGACGGAAGTCTCGCCCGAAGATGGGGCAGATGACACGTGCTGCTGACTGGGATGTGAGAATGAGGTATCTGATGTATCTAGCGTGTGGTTCGAAGTAGAACTAGGGATCCTGCTAGAAAGTTTGATGAGCCTATCATTGAGTCCAGGCTTGTCAGATGGGGCACTGTCATCGACGTGTGCTGGCATGAAACGATCAATGCTAACTATCTCGACGCGACCATGTCGATCAACCTTGAAGGTCTTTTTGTGACGGGAAATCACTTGAAAAGGTCCCTCCTAAGGCTGCTGCAAAGGTTTGCGTAGCGAATCTACTCGTATGAAAACATGTGAACAGATAGATAACTCTCGAGGGAGAGAGACCTGTCGATGTTGTATACGAGTTAACACCGGAGGCAGTGTTCGCTTGAATGCAGATGGTCCTTGGACGTAGTCTGATTCGCCGAACTCAATGCTGCTCCGTAGTGTGAAAATTTCATCAGGCAGACGCAATGTCGTGCAGTAAACAAGTTCAGCGGCGGAACATTGAATATTTCCCTTTAAGCTCGTTCTGATACTCAGGAGGACGAGAGGTAAGGTTTCGCACCGATTGTCGTGACAGTCAAGGGACAACCGTACAGAGCTATCCGTCGTTCTATGAGGCGGTGAGCAACTGTCTCCGCCGTAATAGACGTGATTGGAATAGCTTTGGGCCATCATGTAAAACGATCAATGCACGTGAATATGTGATCATACCCGTGCTATGGTGGCAATGAACCTACAATATCTATATGAACGTGATCGAAGCGAGCATGAGGAGTAGCGAAAGTGCCAATGGGGGTGGCTACGTGTCTGTGCACTTTTGATCGTTGACATTGTAAACATTGCTTTACCCACATACGGACATCTTTATTCATAGACGGCCAGACGTATCGTGCAGCTATGAGGCGTAGTATAGCTTCGATACCTGGATGAGATAGACCATGAAGGGCATTGATGACGAGACGACGGTAAGCAGAGGGTACGATGCGTCGAAAGAGACCCGTAGAAGTATCGCATAGGATAGTACCTGAGCTAGTAGCTAGGGGTACTTCCCGGCACTGGTGGGATGTAGACTGTTGTGCTTCCGTGCGTGAAGGATCATTTGCTTGGGCGTCGAGTCGCGTTCGACTATGATCACCACTACAATAAGATTACGCACCCAAAAACGAATTGGTCCCTTTGATAACTCGCAAACCAGAAGACTGTAACTGGTCCAGATAGAGTATATTTATTGGCGATCTCGTGATATCGAAAGAATACCGGGACGTTCCAACCAGTACAAGCAATAAGGGCAGAGCGTAAGAAAGTTTGAACCAAACAAGGCGGACGAGCGAACGAAAAGTGAGCTTGATACAGTTAAACAACAACAAGTACAGTAAAACAATCGCTGGTACAATTGGTTATAATAATAATTATTTCCTTGTCGAAAAAAGCAGGTCGCTACATATTGAATAATAATCTCACTATCCTAGATGAAGTTGTTTTACTCAAGGTTTGGATTTGTTTGTTTATGTCTTTGACCTCAAATATTCTGGTTTCACTTCTTCTTTGACTTGGTGTTTAAATTTTTTTGCTTTTATGGTGTGATTAGTATCTGCTTGTCTGACTCTTTCCTTTTTTAAGAGACGTTTGTATGCATGTTCAATACTGCTGCCCCTTTCATCAATAGTATACTTCAACCAATCAAGCTGGCTGGTGGTTACAAAATCGTTTGTTAATAGAGCGATTTATTCCAGAGCATGCTTTGAAACCATTAAATTAAAAACTATGCTTCTACCTTGGGCCGAAGATGATAGCTCATATAGAAACGCGGTTCTACCCAAGCGTCAATGACGGTGAAGTGAACTTGAAAGGTATGTCTCTTTGACCATAGCATGTGGCTAAAAGGCGGTTGTGGCGTAGCGTCGGGCACTAGCTGCCACACGAAGGGTGCAATGACCTTGAACACAGCCCACCAAGCTACTTGAGCTCCATTCTACAGTGAAAATTACTCAGTGGCCAAAGAATGAAGTGATTGCCGAATACATGACCTGAAACAATCCAGATTCTTCGACAACAAACCGAATGTTTACAAGAATACAATGAACATCCCAAAATAATACGAATGTCTACACCGGATCGAGAAGCGTAACGTCGAGTCAAATAACAAACTAATCAGTGGATTGCTCACTCCCTATTGTATCGTTCATCCTATTCCGTCACAGCATAAGTGCGAAGATTGGACTAGTCGAGTCTAATGCATTCCATCAAGATCAATGTATCAGTGGCGTAACTTTGTTTCTTAGTTGATACGATATATCTATTAGTAGGGATGTATATTTCTTTCACGAGCGGTGCCACACAACAGTACTTAGATTGGAGGCTAATAAAACTAAATTTTTTGGCCCTGAGTTGTCATCTATCAGACGAAGAACGTCCTGCCCAATTCCTCTTTGAAAGTGGTAGATGTGCTGCAGTAAATGTCAGAAAACCTCCCAGTGATGAGAAACGATATTTCGAATCTGTCGCAGCAAGCTGAACAACGTCATCACGAAGAAACATTATCCAAACGTCTTCTGACCTGAGCAATTCAAGGAGACTACTGTGGAATATAAGAAAGCATCCGTAAGAAGATTTCACATCATTTCCTTGCGACAGCTAATAAACGAGACCTGAGAAGAGCATAGCTGATGAATCTCGAGTATCTGCTTTTATCAAAAGATGAAACTGGATCTTGTGTGGGAAGGGCTAATCAAATTAGCCCCAAAGTCCTTTGTCGCGTCATAGTTAGTAGAAAAGAAGGCAGTCAAAGCTTGTACCATCAACCACTATTTTCGCTTAAAACTAAACTAAGTATCTCTACATGAAAAACAGGCCACCAACTTCTGTGTTAACTACGAATATGGGTGCGAAACATGTCAAACCTAGAATGGTACTGTAGAAAGTAAAATCTCTGGGGAGCCCTAAGCTTACATCGTTCTAGGCTATTGCTGTATTAAATGCTAAACGTGTTCCGGTGAAAATCTGGTTAGAGAATCGCTTCAATCTCAAAAGAAACAGAATGAGTAGTAACGGTGAATTACCTTGTTTTTAAGGGAAGAGACAAAAAAAACATGTTACAATCGAGGGCTACGAAAAGTCTGTTGAAATTTAAGATGAGAGCGTAAATTGCCAAAACAAATGATTTTGACGGCTGGTTATGAAATGTGTGTCCAATAAACATTTTTTTGTTTGACTTGTTTTTTTATGTTAATCATGGACTCGATTTATGCGAAGAGTATACATAAATTTACGCTAGAGATTATATTACATAATTCATCGATATTGACTAGAGTATACAACGGGCTGAAAACGCTGTAAGCTTTAATTCCGTACGACACACATTCATCATCATGATAACATCACATAAAGATTTCGATAGTGCACCCCATTCCCGGTCTAGAAAGTAACTCTGGGTATTACCCGTAACATTTTCTTGAGTCCAGTTTCCAGTTTCAGTTTGGGAATGGTAGAAGGCTGGGTGGCCGTGTTAGTCCAGTAATGATGGTCTCTCAGTTGATCCAACTTCCTTCTGGAAGACTCGACGGATGGAGCTTCAGATACGAGTTGAGATAATGAATTCCACTTTCTGATGATTTGATGGAAAAGTAAATAGTCAGTTGATGATTAATATGTTCTGGGCTTGTAAACATTTTCAGACTGTTCTCGAAAAGTGGGGGCATATCGGATGTAAATCTATCACTAGATAATTTAAAAACTGCGATCAAGTAGCCTTCACTTCTTCGCTATGACAACGGGAATCGGTTCAGCTTAGCCAGTCGAGCATCATCATGCGGGAGCTTCGCTATTACAGGAATCAGCCTAGACGCTGTTCCCTGAACCTTTCCCAAAAGTTCATTGTCTTTTTTAAGCAAGGGATAGCCATTTGTATGCAGTACTCAAGTTTAAGACTCATAAACACTATATACAAAGTCAAAAAAGTTTAAAAGTCGACATGAATGATGACCCTACGTGTTGATCACAAGGTTCTAACACCTTTGCTGCTAATGCACGGAAGTGAGCAGCAGTTTTAAGTCTTGAATAACGATGACTTCTAAGTCATTGTGTGTCAAAGTGTTGTCAAACTACAATGCCTGTGGTATCTTCAGGTCCTTTTGAAGTTCAAGGCTATCACCCTTACTTCTTATAGCTCTCCATATCTTGACATCGTCAGTATATATCAAGACTGATGATAATAAGGCGAGAAAGGTCATTCGCATACAAGAGGAATAAAACCGGCCCCCAACCTTTACCCTGAAAAAATCCGCTAAGCTCATTCCCCAACTGCACAATTGGAGTTCACCTTTACTTTTGTTGGCATAACTAGGAAGTTTTTTATCCACATCGATGGATTTTCTCAAATCCTGACATTTCTTAGATTATATGACAGCTGGTTGTGATGAACTTTGTCAAAGGCCTTGCAGAAGTCAATGTAGGCTACGTCGATAGGTACTTTCAGTCTTAAGCCGCTCACCACCTTTTACGATCTACTAATAATTTAGTGAGAGGAATAACCGAATCTAAAATCATGCTACTTTCCCGAAAGAACCAGATTTTCATCGATATATTCAAACAAATCCTTCTGAATAATCTTTATAAAATTTTAGCAACCATGATAGTTAATCTGACCAGTCGGTTGTTCTCAGGTTTATGTTTCGTACCTGTTTTGAAGACTGGGCTTACTATGTCGTTCTTCCAGTCTTTCTGCACTCGACGCCACGTTTAGAAAAAAACTTTATCAATTCAGAATTCCGAACTAAAATTCCAGCTAATGGAGTACCCTTTCCCCCCCTAAGTGCAGTCAGCCTCTACGTTATTCTACCATATGAAGTTATCTCACCAAAATTTTTTTACTTTATTTAAAAGAGAACTTGATGTTTTCTTCGAAAATTCAGAATAGCAACATATATTGATTTGCTGAAACTGCTTCTATGCACCTAGGAATTAGTAATAAATTGCCGCTAGAAAGAGAAGCTACTGTCACTTGCACAACTATTTGAGGCATTCCTTAAGACTGAAATTTGATTATTGTACGCGCCCTAATCACAAGTTGCGTAACTATGTCAGAACGTTCGGAAATGGAACATGCTGTAGCTAGAGTTGGTGCTGGGACAATTCCCTTGTCGATCCTTATTGAATTCATCTCACAGAAAGTTTACACAGATCTAATGCGTCTTATTGATTTGTGAGTCATTTTAAATAAGTAAGGTCATAGTGTAGGTTGCCAAGCAAAACCGATCTTGAAAAGAAGATAGAAATCGCTACATTTTTCAGTCGTACACAACATCTTTTCATAAGACTCGAGGCGTTAGTTAAGTGGTCAAACAGTGCATCAAAGGTTGATAAATGTGAGGTAATATCTCCAGAATTGTAGAAACCTTCCATTAAGAAAATTTCAAACTTTTTGGAAGAGCAAAGTTTCTTCTTGATAAGCACAGCTAATGCTCTCTCTAGGCTTCTTAGAGAGACTTTAGTCAGTGCCAGGTAGATTCATACTATTATTAATTGAGTTTCAGGCTGCCACCGTTTTCTGTACTTCTTGCGATTGATATATTTACAAATAAAGGATATACTCGTCTCCCAAAGTCCATTAAAGTAACTCACTATTAATTTTTATCGCTTAAGAATTGTGCTTTTGTTGCCGAATCTGTTACTGAAAAAGAAAAAAAACAGGCCCTCATCGATCTTAACTGTATAATCCAAAATCGCCTTAGCCTCACCCAGCTACCACATCAATTCCGGACTATAAAAATAGGTATGATTTTATCTGGTATTTTGCAGTTTTAGCTGATGGACGTGCTGTGTTTGTTGTACAGAATGAATTTGCTGTAGGTTGATGAATTCTTGTTGATAACTTCACTTAGGTTACTGTCACACTGATGTCCGAAGCGCTTGACTTCCCTTGGCGAATTTTAGATCTCAAATTTTTACTTAAAGACTCATCGATGAGTAAGTCTACTGTGTACGATATTTAAAAATACTAATTATTGGGTGTTATTTTATTAAAGCAATATCGTGTCCTGTATATTTACTAAATATTGGCTTACTAACCATTTTAATTAAGATTGAAAATCTTACATCTATATTTAATGGTATCTCACTGACATCTCCTTTTCCCATTGGTACATATACCTAAGTATTCCTCTTGATGTTTTTCCCAATATGTTCCTCAGTTTTCATTTGTGGTGGAGATGAGTCTTCTCAAAAGTTCGAACATATAGGTTATATTCGAGCGCCTGTGCTGCATCTGTCATGCAGTATGCAGACATATGTCACTTGTATCCTCAGAATCTCAAACACTGTTTTTTACAGGAGGGAAAGCTTAATTCCCCAAGTTAATATCCTATCAGCATTAATTTCAAACATTGACACCTCTAATTAATTCTGCAATGTATGTATTTGCTTCGATACATAAATCTGTTGCATCCGTTTTTGGTTAATCACTCACCGCTCCTTAATGATGTCCAGATTATGATTATCGGTAAAAGAAATATGGTTTTCTAGTTTATTTATTTGAAAACATTCAAACTACCAAAAAACTTATTGATATGTGCTAGTTTTCGATAACTTCTTACGTAGTATTAGAATTATCAACTTCACAGTGAGAAAAAGTCAAGACTTACAAAAGATTACTGCTTGGTAATTCATCATTGCAAGCAATTGCTGTTGTGAAATTCTACTGATAAATGTTTGTTTCGTATTTTTGTATATTATTTCCAGACTACCAAAATCTTGTTCATCCGGCGCAAACAAGACTCATAATTAACCAAGCCCAGTCTCGTCTTCTTTATCGACAGTTTGATAATCGCCCACCTCTTGTCCACCTCTACGATATGTTGCGTATCCTTTTTAGAGAATAACTACTGAATCAATCGTCTATAATAGTGTACTTAAGTTTGATTTTCTCTCGGTTTTAGTCACAGGTCTTTTTATTTAATCATCCATTGATAATAGTTATTGCCATAGTATTTTCGACTTAACCTTGACTCATACTTTCATTTGTTGTATCTGAATATTCACCAGTTTTTTCCGTTTAGTGACTTATATTAGTAGCTTGGGTTTTACATGTTCTCATAGTTTGAAACTTCGGGAATTTTATGCGTGAAGTTGCACTGAAAAGGATTACACTGAGTACGTGCCAGGGAAGTCCTACTCACTGCCTTCTCGTGGCGGGGGTGTCGTTCGCGAAATTGAGAGGACGAAAAGCGAATGTCCGGCGCTTTAACCGGGTTGGTGGATGTAGAGGATCCACGTAGGGGAGTTGGAAAACCCTGATTCCAAACCAATGGTGCACATGGGCTCAAGTATCCTGAAGGAACGAATGGCGTATGAACCAACTGTTGGTCACCTGCTACCATGGGACTGCATCTCCTCACGATGCTCCACTGCCTTGTGTATCAGATCTTTAAGTCAAGGGCTCCGAGTGTGGTCCCCTAAGAAAACCACCTGTTTCAGTCTGGGCACCTGAGCAGTATCACAGCCCTCACACAAATCTCATTTGATTTGTGAGGCGCATATTTATCTGGTGCTTTTTGTACCAATATTTATGTGTTTAAATAAATAAATAATGACACTGAGTAATAATATGAATAATTTTTTTTCTGGTTAGCGTTTTTTTAGCGGGTTGATTTTCTACTGGATGGGGTCGCTAACCCCATGCCCAACCCTCCTCCTTTACCCGGGCTTGGGACCGGTAGTAACCCCCAGAGGAGCTACAGGCGGAGTTGAGTAATAATGTCGTGAGACCATTATTTTATAAATAAGCTTCGATTAACAGTCCAAGTAGTAAGAACTGTGTGGACAACTTCGATGAGTATGACTTGTTGTAGTCCATAGTAGGTTGAGATTATGACTTTTTTGGTATGCCAGGAACTTTCATGTTTACTTTTTACTATCCTGTTACAATAAATTATTTCTTACTGTAATAAACATTTAAAATTGTATTATTATTGTCACCAATAAGAAAAGTCGTGTAATGAATAAGTTGTAGATCAATTCCTTGGGTTTTTAAGAATCCTTTTTTCGGACAAATTAATTACCTTCAGTTAATGAACTAATTGTGAACCTTCATTAATACGACTTCTGGAGTCATATATGTAGACATTTGACGTCACTTTTTTTTACCGTAGGTTAAGATCAGCAGTTAAACTCAAGATTAAAAGGAGTTGATCTGAATAGTTTAACTTGAAAATAGTAAACTTATTGTTAACATTTCCTCCGCTCCGCCATTGATAACAGTTCATTTAGCTTTTCTGTGTTCTATCCATTCAACTTACTTTTTATGGTGTGTAATTTTACCTCAAGTTTTCTTGGACTGATATGACATCCGCACCACAAGCTACCCCTTATAACACTAGTCAGTTTGGATTTCTTGTTTTACGTGTTGTATAGTCACCTATATTGTATGATTTTATATTCTCATTTGATAAATCAGAGGCATAACTGCTCATATACTGTGACTAGTATCACCAATTAAATACTGGTCAATAATGCGGGGTCTATTATGTAACTAATATTGCAATAACCAAATGTTTGCCAATAAAGTGTACTGAGATTTTGGATGTCAATTTTTTTGTAACGTTATATTTATTCATTCATTTTCCCTATACTCTCACTAAACAATGTACAACAATATAAGAACTCTCGTCTAAATTAGAGCGAATAGTTTCACAGTATTTGAGCGCCGAGTTGATGTAAGACATTAAATAGGAATAATATATATTTGTAAAATCTCAGCGAATGAATTTGTAGTAAATCCAACGTTTCGCCTGACAATCTGGTCCAAGCTTTTTCAAGGAATTATAATCAAACATCAAAATTATCGAATATAAATAGGTACATGGTTCTCCGGGTTCATTGTACACTGAATAGGTCATCCAATCAACGTTAACAAAGTCTAAACTAGGTATGTGTATTAGTGTGTAAGAGATGTGTGATGTTTGTTCTCTGAGCTGGATGGTTTGGTCGTGGAGCTTTCATCGTCCTTCTGAACGACATCATCAGCACAAACTTCGGGTAGAAGTGAAGTGTTTGAATTTCTCCACATGTGATTCACAGCTTGTCCTCTGCACCTCGATGTTGATTGGTTCTTATTGACCTTAAATCTGTCATTGTTTATTTCTTTGTTTTGATTGTCTCTCCTATTGTTTTGATTTTTGTTCCTATGTTCCTGCATAATTTTCTTGATTGGTTGATAGATTGGATTGATTTCAATATGTTTGTTTATTGCAGATTGACCTGAGTGCCAAGCTTCTAAAAATTCTCTGGTATTTTTGGAATTGCCTCTGTCCAAAATCTGCACATTTTCCCAGTCGAATGTATGTCCGTAGTTGTCCACGTGTATTGATATGAGTGAAGAAATGTCGTGGCGTTTGACTGCTAATTGGTGTTCATGTAGGCGAAGATGCAGGGGGCGTCCGCTTTGTCCAATATCAAAACAAAGAAATAAACAATGACAGATTTAAGGTCAATAAGAACCAATCAACATCGAGGTGCAGAGGACAAGCTGTGAATCACATGTGGAGAAATTCAAACACTTCACTTCTACCCGAAGTTTGTGCTGATGATGTCGTTCAGAAGGACGATGAAAGCTCCACGACCAAACCATCCAGCTCAGAGAACAAACCAACATAAAAATCACCCACCTGAGCTACAAATCTTCTCCACCATCTCAAGATGTGTGATGTGAAATGATAAGCGCTAATATAACATATTGTATAGAAAACGTAAGATGTGAGAGGAGAAATTATATTCACGCAATATATTATCTGTTATCAGTGAATTTATAAGGAAACCATACAATTTGTAATATATGATATGAATCATATTTGTCACAGCATGTATAACATGAAATAAAAGGTGAAATTTGAAGATCGTAATTTTTGACTGTATGTATGTGTCATTTTTAATGTTTGTTTAACATATTCCGATAAGACAATAGATTAGAATCATTGAGTGTAGATTGTTGTCATTTTAGATAATACGAACTAGATAAAAACATTAAGGAGTTCAGGTTTTTACTTATTAATGATTAGCTGCCATGGCACTGTTAATTATATTCCATCCCTCCTATTAATATTGTTTGTATTAGCCCAAATGTATAGGGCTTCAGCTGTTTGTCTTTCCTTGTAAGAATTGAAATCTTTTTGAAGGATTTTTGTGTGAACGAAATCAATTGTATGACCCGATTCTATAGAGTGTAATGCTATCGCTGATTTGTTCCCCAGTTTCCTTGCATCATCTGAAGATTTAGGAATGTGTTTCAAACATTGCTTGTGTTCCTTCACCCTCACATTCAGTTGTCTTGATGTTTCACCTACATATGTTGCATTACAGTCACTATATTTGATTTCATAGACAAAATTTTGTTGTTCTTCTTTGTGAATTGGATCTTTAATTCTTAATAATTTTGATCTTAGGGTATTGTTTGTTCGAAAGAATACTCTTATAATTTGATTATTCAAGATTCTTCTAATATCTTCTGAAACTCCTTTCCGATAAGGGATCACCACTGTGTTAACCCATTCCTTTTTCTGTAATCTTTTTTTACTAACAATGTCGTCTTTTCTTTCATTCTTAATTATTCTTTTAATAAAATCTTTCGGATAATTGTTTATTTCTTAACATATCATATATAATATGTAGATGCTTTTAGTTTATCACTTCAATTGGATATGTTGCATGAACAGGCTCAACGGGCACGTTCAAAGCGACCACCAGATCAACTTACAATCGAAGCCTACAGACCTAGTAGATGTTTGTCAATTTCTTATTGGCATGGTTTAGCTAGAACTCAGTATAATTCAGTTATGGGTCTTGATGGAAAGTTACATCCTACAGGTATGTATGAATCTGTGTGTTTATCTTTTGTGTATGAAGATAACGTTGCTATCGATGGAATAAACACTAGTAAACTTATAAAAGAATGATTTTATTAATGGATTGTTTTCCGTGATTTCTCTTAAGGAGGTAGTAAATCTCCATCAGCCTAGATGGTTGCGAATTGCTTTACGTATGCCTGAACCCCGCTTACCCCGGCGAGCTATTTTGTCTGATGTAGGAGTAGGCTGTGAGAAATTTAGAGGTGGCTGAACCAGAGCATGAAGTCAGTCCATGAAGTTATTGACAATTAGTCTAAGCCATGTTAATTAATAGGTGTAGACTACTTGGCTGGGTCCCGTGTGACTATTGTAACCAACGGTTAGAGACTTTGAGTGACATGGTTCAAAATCATGTACAGTAGCGCAGGCGCATCCATTCTTTGTATTTCTCCACATTCTAAGCCTCTGAATTCCCCACAACGTTTTGCATTTTTACTTCACAAATTTATATTTTCATCTTGAATCGTATCTTTGATGTTTAATCTTTTCTGTTACCACTAATACTGTTACTACCTCTATCGTTCTGGGATTTGGCCAGACAATTTCATTTATCTGTGCTAATACGGTGGCTATGGCAACTTGAACCGATGTACATACGTATTAGGTCTTATGCTGTAACTGACTGACTGAAATCTTTTCCAGTGAGCTCATTTTCAAAGTTGTATGATCAGATATGTATTAAGTCCTAAGTCTACAAATGATATTTATGTGAAGATATTAACAGTGCGCTGTAATTAGTAAACTGACTGCATATTATTGAAAATTGTTAATTATGTAACTTGAAAAATATATAATGGTTAGTATCAGTCAAATTACTGTGTATATAATTAAAGATTAAAATGGAGATTATGCTACACAGAGTAACATAAGCCCAATTGAAAAAAGAAGTATTTTCACAATAATAGATTAGAAAACGCAAGGAGAAATAAGAATCTGGTAATTTCTGTCTGTAAAACGCAACAATTAAAGATTGTAGACATGTACTGGGTGCTGGTAGCCACTGCCAGGGAAGTCCTATTCACTGCCTTCTTGCGGCTGGGGCATTCTTTACAAAGTTTAGAAAACGAAAAGTGAATGTCCGGCGATTTAACCGGGTTAGTGGGTACGGAGGTTTTAGTTAAGGGAGTTGGAAAACCCTGATTCTAAACCAGTGATGCACATGGACTCCAGGATCATGAGGGAACAAATGGCGTATAAACCTATTGTTGGTCATCGCCTACCATGGGACTACGTCTAAATTCGCCCCACTACCTTGTGGATTAAGCCTCTAGATCGAAGGCTTGAGTCGTGGCCCCCTAAGAAAACCACCTGCTCCGATTTGGGTGCCCGGACAATATTCCATCCCCCACACAAATCGAATTATGACTACAGATGGAAAACTTATTCTTGCTTTAATTCATTCGCATTCTGACAAACCACTTTCATAATCATTCGGTAGCATTCGTCTTTTCTTTTATACTACGCCACTTGTCTACTCCTTTTTATCCTCATTTTGTGTCCTTTTATTTTTCAACTTATACAGCAGCTCACTTATGGTGGAAATCCTGTCCTATCTAAACGATTTGAATTTATTGATTGGCTGAAAGTTGATTGCTAACACCAACTACAAATAGTGAACCAGCCTTTCTGAAACCAAATATGCAAGTCAAACTGCCCTCCTTCAACGTTCTTATATTAATGCAGAACGGACATCAGATAAGGTTTGCTATGTCCATATAAAGTCTCAACAGCGATTTTTGCTGTCTATCCGGGACCCGTATTCAAGACCCTGGTGAATTACTACATATTCAGCTTCCTGTCTCTTCAAAAAGCTTATTTTGCTTGCGTTTATCCGGGGGTCCTCTGGCGTCTTCGCATGGTTTCTCTGGCGTTGATGTCGCACTAGGCGCTAGAGCTGAAGCAGCACAAATCGATCGGATCCTCAACAGTCGGTCATGTGTCGTTAGATTAGAAAGCTCCATCAAAGCTAGGATAAATGGGTGTGAGAAACGATGCATTTTTTTTACCTCCACCTACACCAACAGGTTGCCTTCAAATGCCCTGGTACGACCGAGAGTGGGGAGAGTTCGCTCTCCCTCTCGAACTGCTCTCACATGGCCAGCAAATATATAGCATCTGCCAGGGAAGTTCTACTCACTGCCTTCTCGTGGCGGGGGTGTCGTTCGCGAAATTGAAAGGACGAAAAGCGAATGTCCGGCGCTTTAACCGGGTTGGTCAGTCAGTCAGCTACAACGTAGGACCAGGCACATATATGCATCGGTCCAAGTTGCCATACCTCTTTAGCACAACAAGATGAACACCGGATTCATAGAAGCAATTAATTTAGTGATGGTAGTATATAAAGAAAGATTGTATAGAAGGATATAGTACAGGAAGGAAGAGAGATATGAAGCAATTTTAATCTCAAGGTTTAAGGGAAGATAAAGAGTGTATACACCTACGCCATTGTGATCGATTCTGAGCCATGTCACCCAGAGTCTCCAACCATTTATTACGATAGTCACGAGGACCCCAACCAGGTAGTCTGCATCTGCCAACATGGCTGCTACCTCCCGACCGTTGCTGCTACCTTGACGTGGTGGTCGGGCTTGCCTATCGTGGTGAAGCAATCGAGCTATGCTGGCTGGAACAATCGTTCCTCGAGGTCCTACCATGCCAGACAGGTCGATTGAAGAGCGGTGAGACTAAAAGCAGCAAACCCAAGGTCCGAAGGCGAAGTCGTACTGCTGACTGTACAGAGGTGTGAAAGCAGTAAGGTGTTTCCTTCAGACAACCAGCATGACAGCGATGCTGCCTTCCCACAAGGAGGGGTGGGGTTAGAAAAGGTCGACCCTAAAAATGCACACCTCGCCTTATCCCACGGATATCCGTCTCCGGCGGTAAGGTTTTTTTTTGAAGAACGGAGCTAACACAAAAACTACCCACAAAAAGGTCGTGTGTGACCGACCTCAAGCAGTTGTCCCTTGGGCACTGCGGTCACGCTCTCCGGTCATTAAGACCACTTCTAACCCAATTTCCTTTTCAGGTACCTCTAGAAGAATCCTTCCACGGTGTGGGCAACCGGGAAGTGATAACTGCCCTCATACCTCTAACAACACTCAAGACCACTGTATTCATAATCAATCTCCAACCGGGTTGGTGGATGTAGAGGATCCACGTAGGGGAGTTGGAAAACCCTGATTCCAAACCAATGGTGCACATGGGCTCAAGTATATTGAAGGAACGAATGGCGTATGAACCAACTGTTGGTCACCGGCTACCATGGGACTGCATCTCCTCACGATGCTCCATTGCCTTGTGGATCAGATCTTTAAGTCAAAGGCTCCGAGTGTGGTCCCCTAAGAAAACCACCTGCTTCAGTCTGGGCACCTGAGCAGTATCACAGCCCTCACACAAATCTCATTTGATTTGTGAGGCGCATATTTATCTGGTGCTTTTTGTACCAATATTTATGTGTTTAAATAAATAAATAAATATCCAACAGGTTACAGCTCGTATGCGACCAGTGATGAATTTAACCAACAGTTAAGTGTTCTACACATATTGTAGTACTAGCAGGAGACTAAAATGCTCAGATTGGGTGTCTAGGCACGGAAGAGAGTTTTTTAGGTGACCAATGGGGAATCGCTGATCACAGGTCAGATAATGGTGACCGTCTACTGCAACTTTGCACAGACTACAACTTGTTTCTGGCTGGCACTAACTACCGGCATGATCATCGCTAATATGCTACCTGATGTCCTCCCCCTGCATCTCAAACCTGAACTCAGATTGATGACATCGCGATCAGCTACCGTTGGCGTGGTTGTGCACAAGACTGACGCTCCTTTTTGGAGTACCTATCTAGACTCTGATCACGCACTTGTTGGAGCCTATCTTACCTTACGTTCCAGTGGCCAACAAATCCATCGTCGTAAACGGATCGATGTCAACAATTTGGCTGTAGCTTCTATTGCAACTTAATATCACACCAAGCCAAGTTTAAGACTGGCTGTCAGCCCACCATAAATTATAGATGAGCGTTGGCTGCAATTGCATGATGCTATGGAAATGGCAGGTAAAATTGCCTGCAGTTTAGCCAAACGTCCTGCTTATGAGCACTGGGTTTCTTCAGGCCCCTTACAACTCATTGAAGCACATCGGTCTACTCCGGGTGACCGCGAGTTTGACCATAAACGAAGACTGTCACGTAATGAAATTGTGCAAAGCTTGCTTAAGGACCGAGAAGCCTGGCTTTCGGAGCGTGCTCGCGAGTTGGAAACAGCGGTTGTTTCTGGTAACTGCCGGAAGCCCTTTCAACTCATCCGAGTCACTGGCAGCAAGAAGTCTAGTGTGAGTAAAACAATCTGTGAAGCTGACAGGATGCCAATTATTAACATCTACCGACGACTTGGACGATGGGCAGAGTTTTTCAAGAAACAGTTCAATTGCTTTGCCGCTCCGGCGACGTCGACCACACTACCATGTTCTCTATGATCAGTGACGACTAATTCATCTAACGAGGCGGAAGTCCGCAAGGGACTCCAACTCTTGAAGTTCCACAAATGCAACAACTATGGGGGGATAAGTCTACTTCCGATTGCGTCCAAACTATTGGCTTCTGTCATTCTTCGTAGGTTGTTTAAAACCCGAGAAAGATTGACTCACGAGGAGCAGGCTGGTTTTCGTTCTGGTCGAGGATGCATTGATCATATCTTCACCCTCTGCCAAATGTTAGAACACCGTCATACTTATCACAGGCCAACAATCGTAGTGTTTCTTGATATCAGGGCTGCCTTCGATTCGTTGGACAGGACTGTTCTCTGGGATTGTCTATTGAAGAAGGGTGTGCCTGAGAAGTTTATTAACATCTTAAAGGCCCTGTATACGAACACCTCAGGCAGAGTGAGGGCATACAACCACCTTTCTCCCTTGTTCCATTTAAGCAGTGAGGTTAGGCAGGATTGCCCGATCTCACCATTCTTCTTCAACCTTGCCATCGATGACATTCTGGAAACAACTCTGGTGGATGTAAGTAATGACGGTGTGGATCTGCTGCCTGGAGGACGACTTCTCGACCTTGAGTATGCGGATGATATTGTCTTACTGTGCGATAATGCCCAAGGCATGCAACCCTCACTTAATTTGTTGACATTCAATGTCCGTAGGTATGTCAGGTGTTTTGCACCTTCCAAGTGCAAGGTGCTTCTACAAGACTGGCAGGACCTTGATCCTGCACTAACCCTGGGTAATGAGCAGATTGAAGTAGTCGAGAAGTTCGTATATCTAGATAGGTGCGTAAGTGCTGGTGGTGGCGTGAGCGATGAGATCAATTTACGTATAGGGAAAGCTAGAGAGGGCTTGTGAAACCTGGCCTATCGGAGTTGAGTTTTAAACGGCTCTCTATATTTGATTATCGTCGTCTACTGGTTGCTGACATCCAGTGGCAATACCATATTAGTAATGCAGGGGTTTTGCAACATGTGTTTGGGCACAGCGATGATTATTCAATTACTGTCACTATCTTGAAACATTCACATTGTTGGCTTGAACATGTCCTACGAGTATCGTCCCAGCAAATTCCACATCGTTCATTATTTGCCGATTTTGGGGCCGTTTGCAAAAAGCGAAGAGGTGGTCAGCGCACGACATGGTGCTGTGGCATGAAAGGAGGCTCTACAGGACTGACTTTTATTGGCTGTTTATGAATCCCTAGTTAGGATTCTAGAGATGGTGCTACACAGTAGCTTGGGACGTTATCTAACATGGCTCAGAATAAAAGCCAGTGATGATCCTGTTGTAAATTTCTTTTACTTTCTTGATGAAAGGGAACGTAATATCTGTAAATGAAGGAACTCTTTCTGGTTGTATTTTTCCTAGCTGAACTGCTCCCATTATCATTATTATGGTTACTATTATTATTTCACTGTTATACACTAACTTCTGTCCATTATTGCTTTTGTTTATATTATACTCTCCTCCATTCTCTATCTCCCCACAAACATTGTTATTGTGTGACGCATATATATTCGGTGCCCCCTTGTACCAATGTTTATGTGTCTAGATAAACAAAATTCTGATTCCTGACACTATTTTGATGCCGTTCTCAATGAACCATCCCTTATCGAGTAATATTTTGTCCTCTACTTTATTGCTTCTGAATGTCACATAAGTTGACAGAATATTGTTTCTTACCCACCTCTTAATCTTTTCAGCTTATTTACTTACCATTCATATTGATCCAACGGAACCTCAAAGACCACTATGTGTTAGTCATCGTCCTGAGCTTACTACTTCAAAATCCCAATTAGTTGGAGCTACTGTACAGGTGAGTGCCGGTCCATGAATATATTATGATGTGGCCGTAGAAGAATATTACAGTTAGTAATTAACTAAATTAATCTGAAAGTTGACGGGTTCAATATATGCTGTATAGAACAGTAGTAGAAATCGGTAGCTGAAACAAATTTAAAATCGCTTATATGTAATCTTATTTTGGTATGACGTATTACAATCGGCTTCATAATGTTTAAGGAACAGATATAAGTAAGTTTTCTGGTTAATTACATACCGCAGTGACGGTAGTAGCTATCCTGATAAATGTTCCGAACTATTGAAGAGATGAATAGAAGTCATTATCTGTAAATAGTACTAGATTTTGACACTATCATACGGAATAGTACCCTTGAGATTATTGAATTAAATGTATAATAAGTAGTTTACGAGCTACCCATTCAGAAAGGTTTTCATACATCTAAATGATACTCAAAACATCTTTTTAAGGTAATAGTAGGAAAAGCGTTATTTCTGGCCGTCTTCATCCTATACCCATTGTCTACCTTTTTCATTTATCTTGTTATTAAGTGAGCAAAGTAATCGTTCTCTCGTCTGTATCTTGTTTTTGTCTCTCCCAGTCCATTTTATAATGTTTGAAAAGAATTTAACGGAAATAATTATCCATTTGTCTTAGTTTTTTTATTCATGACTGTTTGTTGTTTTTCACACTTATACGGTCACGCCACGATATTTTTCCATACTGTGGCAATTCACGTGTCATTTTCGGCAGTTTTATACAGACGTTTTCTTATAAAAGTTAAAGATCTAACGTATCCTAATCACTCGTGTCTCAACAGAGTAAAATATAGACTTTGGTTGACGGTGTATTGTGTGCACAACCTCTGAAATTTTATTAGTTCGTATTGAATGTGAAGCAGTAGCTTACTTCTTGAGACACACTGTTACTGGGCTTCGGGTTTAAGCTATATTAAACGTATCTCGGGTTAGGAAACCATGTTAGTATCGTTTAACCTCATATAAAAGGTGTGGCTCTGCAAAAGTAGTGTGTAATGTTTTTTTTTAAACAGTTTTCAGGGTTCTCAAAGAGTTATGCAAACATTGTTTCTAAAATGGCATCAAAATGACTTCGAGTTTCATTTAATATTTATGATATATAGTTAACAAAGATTTTGTATCTTTCTATATGAACTAATAATATCAGGTGAATATTACTCTGTAATGAGTAAATAGTGATATCTCAGTTCATCCGTTAAAATAACCTGATAGCCACATAAAGGCAATAAGTTATAATGCAGTCAACATCTCTTGTTCATGATTAAACATTAGTCTATAGATATTAATTAGTTCACGGTTGAATGGTTACTGTCTCAGTATAATAGTAAGTTATAAGAAGAGGATCTTGAACCGGTATTTTACCCCCTGAACTGTTGAACCTATGAGGGTGAGTAAGATCCTTTCTAACTATATATTGTTAAAGGAGAATAATTTGGGTTATATTTCCAATAAAATTTCTCATGATCATATTTTTTTCAATCTTTGTATCTTTTTGTGTTTATACAAAAAGGGTGATTGTTTATCTATTGAAACTCTGTTAACGAGAACTATGGTGGCTCGAGCTGAACAAATGCTACAGGTAAGTAATTTGATTATTCTAAATAATTTGATTGTCATTAATAAAAGTTAGATAGTATCAGTGTAGAAAATTCATTTTCTCTTTCCTGTCACACATTGTTTATCGTTGAGTTACAGAAATGTGATAGATTCTATCATGTAAATAAAATTTATAAATTTGTACTAATAACTGTATACATTACGATATATACATGTATCCGCATTCCTACTGTTGAAGAACATATAGAGATTTGTGAGGCGCATATTTATCTGGTGCTTCCTTGTACCAATATTTATGTGTTTAAATAAATAAATAATAAATATAGAAATCAACCAGTATCCAAGTCAGAATCTCCAATACGAAGGTCAAGATGGTTTTATTGTACGGAACTGAAACTTCCGGAACTAATACATTTATCGTCAAAAAAGTAAGAGTATTTATAAGTAATTGTCTACTTGAGATACTTAATGCTTGTTGACCGGATACCATCAGCAACAATCTACTGTGGGAGAGAGCAAACCAATTTCCGTTTGATGAGGAAATCAGGAAAAATGTTGGAAGTGGATAGGACATACATTATGGAAATGACCAAACTCCATCACGAAGCAAGCGATAACTTAGAATTCTGAGGGAAAACGGAACAAGGGAAGACCGATGAACGTACGACATCGGGAATCGGAAGCAGATAAAAAAAGAATGAATGGAACTGGAAACAACTGTAAAGGATTGTCCAGTAGAGAATTTGATGGGGAATGGTAGTGGGCGGCCTATGCTCCTCCACGAGGGGTAACAGGCGTAAGCAAGAGCAGCATATTTACAACCGAAGAACATTTGGAACTCAAAACAATTGTCAACTAACACCAAGATAAGAATTTTCAATACGGATGTTATGACAGCTCTACTGTATGGGGCGGAAACCTGGAGAACAACGAAAGCCAACATCCAGAAGATACAGGTGTATATTAACAGTTGTCTATGCAAAATACTTCATATCCGTTGGCCAGACACTGTCAGCAACAATCTACTGTGGGAGAGAACAAACCAGATTCCAGTAGAGGGAGAAATCAGGAAGAAGTGCTGTAAGTGGATAGGACACAGAGAAAAACACCCAACTGAGTCACAAGGCAAGCCCTCACTTGGAATCCTGAAGGCCCAAGGAGAAGAGGAAAACCAAAGAGCACATTACGCCGAGAAATGGAGACAGACATGAGAAGAATGAACAAAAATCGGACAGAACTAGGATTGAAGGCTCATTACATAGTGGGTAGGAGAATGCTGATCAGCGGCCTATAATCCATTGGAGGTAACAGCGTAAGTAAGTAAGTACCGCTAAAGTTCATCAAGAGGATGGCATATATGGTGGCTTTTTTGGAGCGATATCAATCCCCTAGTCTTTTGAATAATAAGTGATTTTTTTTCATTTAATAATAACTCTGTCTTGGTGACATAAAGATAAAGCCTTCAACTCATCTGTTCATACCCCTTTTTTATTTTATAGGATTTGAGACAAGAGCTGCTGATTATCAGTCCTGGACCTGTACGTCTTGCCGATGCTCCATTATGCTTGTATGTTCCACTTTTATGGCCTTGTAGTCCACATGAATTATTACAAGTACGCATAGATCCTGTACAAGGTTTTGTATGTACTTCATTTCCATTACTTACTTCACTCGATACTGAGTTCGGTGCTATTGGATCAGTTGTTGTTAGTGCTGATTTTAGTTCTTCTACTGGAGTTTCTGAAAATTTTTCTCGTTCCAGTGTTATTAATACACTTAGTTCACTTGAGTCTGCTTTTAATCAAGCATCTTGCCATCGTGTTCGTCTTGTGTCTGCTACAGGAGCTCTTGTCCAACCTCATGAGAGTGATCGCATTTGTTCAATTCAATCCCGTAGTTTACGTAATCTTTCCCACGGAGATGCTCGATGGCGTTCTGTGATTTGTGAGTGCTTGGAACATCTACGACTGTGTTTAGGTTTGGCCAGGCTAATGCAGACAGCAAAGATACACCGACCATTTTGGCAACCGTTTAAACGTCATCTACCTTTAATATTGTCTCCTGCACAAGTCAACTTATCAAGTTCATGGTCTAAAATGCTAGTCCGTCTGCAGCAGTCATATCGTTGGCCTATTTTATTTGCTCAATTATTTCCAAATAATGAATACTATATAGCATGTGAAGTTATTTCTGGGCCATTGAGTGTGGACTACAAATATTACTTAATTGTTTGTAATGCCCTTCCAGAACATATGAATATCACTACAAATTTACAAGGTGTACTTGTTTTCAACTCGGAAATAAATCCCGCCTCTGGACATTTAAATGAAACTGGATTATTTCTTCAGGTGACTCACTTTACATCGCTCATAGCTGATACTGTTTGGTCTAATAATCCATCAACAACGGTGAGTTTTTGTGTTTTGGAATGTATTGTTTTGTAAAATTCGCATACTTTGAGTGTTATTTTTGTTGTACACTTAACCAGGACAATAGTTATGATATCTATAAAGATATGTCAGTCATATACAACGTAAAACCTGACACATGTGCATTAGTTCAAGTTGGTAAATTACATTAGCACGACAGGATAAAATTAAGTCAGAATAGATTTAATATATTCGCGTTTGCAAAGGCGAGGACGAAAATATATTAATCACTTTTCTGAGTTCACATAAAATTACATCAATTAGCTTCATGATAGGTTCTTAGCTTTCTACGAAGATGTCTAAATACATTAACATGCTTAATTATATGATGATACCGGATAATTCATCGCGACATTTACATAGTTGGAATATGGATAAGTGAAATTTAGATTACATTTAACAATATATAATAATATCAAAATCACGACTGATTTCCACATGTCCTGGCCACGAACGCTGGCCAGTAGTTTTTTCGTACATTCGTTAAAGTGGAGAATAGCAAGGATCTGTTAATGACATCAACTTGACAAACGTGTGATTTCAGTTCAGTCACACTAGCGTATACTCATTAAATGACTTACATTGATGAAGGCATAAGTTTATGGTCCTGACGAATAAACTACTCTATTGACGAGTTGTCGACTTAGCTGTCATATGCTAGCAAGTTCTTTAAATCATTCGAACTTGTGACCTAATGGCTGTAAGTCGGATGCCTTAACCACTAACCTATCCCTCGACTTTTATAACAAAAGTATATATGCTATTGCTAGTTGTTGTTTTAAGTATATATTTATCTTAATCCTAAAATAGTTGACGTATACCTTCTGTTATTTCGATTTTCTAACTTATAAACCAAATACAGGTTCCTTTTATTTAACTAACTATGAAGTATGTATCTCGTGTGGGAACTGGCAGTGATATTACCTGACTACTGAAACCGATGTAGATGGTCCGACGTTTGGAAGTCTATTTCTTATTCTAACCCATTTACTATGTATAGATACGTGTAATTGTCTACAAACCATATTGTAACTGTGAGGGCTAGTGATACTACCCGGTTGTCTAAATCAAAATGGGTAGAGCGCATATTTCTAACCTTCAACTTAATAGCTGAAAGTTGAACATCTTAACCATTGAGTTACCATTGCACAACGTTTAGTCTTACAATCCATCCGTTCAGTACTGTCAAGCATATTAACCACTAAGCTAATACCTTACACCGTTCTAATATCATCTTTGGAAATAAAAGTTATAAGTATCGTTATGCTCTTCTTTTTCCCTTTTTGTTTCTATTTAGCTGGAACAATTATGTGCTTGTATTAAAAAAGCTCAATCTACCATAGTGAATCAACGCTCAACACGTTTAAATGAATTATTAAATAAACTAAAACTGTCACATGCAATTGACAGTGAATCAGTTTATAATGATGCTGTTGTTACTCGCAAATCAATGCGTTTATTTGAACCTCAAGCTACTGTACCAACATTAGCTCGTCTAATTGGTACTTTGGAAGAGAATATACTCACTAATTATTTAACAGTGGAAGTAAGTTTTTTCAAAGGCATGTATGTATTTTGTACTGTTTTAGCCTTTAAGAAGGCATTTTTTCATCAATAAAAGGTGGCTTAGTCTTAAGAATACATTTAATTTCTTTTTCAATTAAAGGTGAAATCCCTTTAGAATGTTTGTTTATATGTCAATAATTTCTATTCCTTTTTTAACGAGATGGTAACTATTTTGGGTTATGGGACATTTTCAATGAAAAGAAAGTCTGAACTTTTCATCTGTTAAGCGGCTTCGATCTTTGGACAGTTAATAACCGAAAATATCCCCTTTACGCTCACTGTCTGTTCCCATTACTAATAAAATGTCTTCATCAAATTTAAGAGAGTTATAATGACTAAATTAATCCGAAGTCAATGCATACACGAAATAATTGATTCCAATCAGGCTGATAAAGTTGGCAACATCAAGTAATATTTAGTATAGATATGAAGAAAAGTAATTATTTGAATGGAACCAAATATGTAACTATAGCACCAAGCAATATGAAATGAATTATGTCTACAATCAATTGCTTTAAGACGAGCAAGGCAGTTGTGCAATAATGGTTAATGTTAACTCATGAATAATATGATTGAATACACAAACTTTACAACAGTTGATTTCCTGTTTGTTCGATTGCAACGTAATATTGCCATTGTCATTAGAACACACAAACCACGAAAAATCGTACAACATGCAATCCCTTGAATACTTCGAATGATGGTACATGAATTTTTGGAATTGGTGCCTATTCATCAAATATTAAAATGTTACTTCATAATTATTCTGCTTAAACTCCTAAATTTATTATTTGAAGTAAAGTAGTTGAGTGCGTTGATCAGCTCATTTATCTGTGACGTTTCATTAGTCACCGGCTTCACAATATTCGGATTTTTGCTTAACGTCTAAACGTTAAGGAGGCAGTTAATCTTTCTTACACGAAAATTGCTCTTTTATTCCCAAACTAATAATCCATAAGTAGGCCAAGTTTAAGGCAAAATAAGCTGTTTAAAATTATAGCATGTGAATTTAAGTATTATAAAATAAAACAAGATTGTTAATGTTGGCTGGAATCAGCTTATACGTTAAATGAAATTATGAGATCCATGATCAGGAAGAATATGGGTTAGAAAGTGGAAGAGAAATAATAAGGCAATTACAAATTCGATCAAACGTTTAATGGGAAACTGTATTGTGCATAAAGTTACATGAATTAGATTAGAACTTCTAAAGTGGAATGGGTGCTGTGTCTTTTCTTTAAAAGATTAATAGTGATGCTAAACCAATAATAATCATAATAGTAGCGGTGGTATTAATAGTATTCATGTCCTGTATTGAATATCAGTTTCAGAATGCAGGTACATCCAGTTAAAAAGTCCCAAATAGGACGAAACGCTTTTCCTGGTTCCCACTGCTTGCCACCATTAGTCTCTACTTATGATCATACAAAGATATTTATGTAAGAAATATATTGCATGTACATTAGTAAAATTAGGTTATTTTTTTGGTTAAAATTACTATTGACTGGCCATTGTAGGAAAACGTGTTGAATATATTTTCATGTACATATAACTCCGGTAGTTTTTATTCCGGATGGCTACTGTTTCTGGCGTTTGAAGGTGCTTAGGTCAATCTCACTTAAACAGAAGATTACTAACACGACAAATTATTGAGAAAGATAGACTTATACTGGTGTTATGACCAGTTTGCACTAGACTGGCTAGTATTGAGTTGTTCACTGTCATCATGACTACACTTTTGCTTAGCCACGCTGTAAAATGTTCAAGATCACGCCAATGCAAATTCCTAGAATCTCGACCAATGCAACATGCTACACAAGAGCAGTCAAATTGGTAAGTGCAAACAGAGTTTAGCATCCTAATTAATTTATTTCTGGCGTCGGTCTCAACATTGGGTTTGTGGAAAACACTTTATTTTATTCTGCACATAACCCTAAAATCATATGCCATAATTGAGAAACAATGTATTTTGCCTTAATTCGGATTAATAAACTTGTAAAACCTGAAGAGCATTTATTGAAAGTAATATTCTTTTATCTATCAGTGTTTTTAGTATGATCTGGATTTTTAAGCAGTAAAAATTGTCTTGCTTTAAATAATACATGTAGCTTTCATGCGCTGGCATAGAACACAATGGAATGCGTTATGACGGTGCAGGTTGTTTATCTGCCATTACAATTACCAGGTCAGTTAATTTTATTGATTCATTAATGCTATTAAAATGACCATTACTGGATAATTATCACTACTTATCAGTCAGTCAGTTGCAACGTACAACCTGGTACGTAATTACATCGATCCAAGTTGCTGGTAACGGTATCTGTGGTAATAGAAACGATTAGGTAGCGAAGATACAATTCAAGACAAAAATATGAATTTGGGAAATAAAAGCAGTTATGTATCTGATTTCGAAGATATTGACCGAAAATAGGAATTCTGAAGAGTTTTTATGTTTAAAGAAAAGATAAATAACATCACAGTATACACAGTAATGTTTACTGCTCAATGATAAGTCAATTTATAGACCTCAATACTACAGGAAATGCGTCGTGGCTTTAACGGTTCAGTGATAATATCTCAAGCTGTGAAACTGGATGATTTATTTTCTGCAATCACCTGATACAGATACACGTTTCCCACACCCTTTTCCAATCTGCTATGTGAGTGAGAACACTAAGTGTTGAACAGAATATTGTAATTGGTAAAACAAATATATCTTACATAAATTATAGGTTTACATTCATATGTCCTCCTTACTCAGACTGGTACATGTAGGTTGAGACATTGATTAGGTATGCAATCGGTTTTCCTTCGAAGTTACTCTTTGTTCGTCATCTACATTATTGGTCTTGAAATGCTCTCAGGCATATGATATTTGTGAACTCATCCAACCTATCAGTGACGCAAATTCGAATCCCATAGAGAGCATTTGTTCTCCTCAAGATAGTATTTACACCTTGCTAACAAGTGCCAGCTAGCACGAAACCAGAGTTATTACTTAGTTATGGCCAGGAAGTGTAAATACTTGAAATCTATACCTCATTATATCTACCTCCTAAGATGCCAAGTAATAATATCAAATCTTATACATATCTGTGCATTTGATACTACTGAGTTACAATTGAGATGAGCAGACTTTATACCATAATATATTGGTTCAGTATCCAATTGATCTGTATTTGTTCAAGATTCATCCCTCGCAGCTTTACTTAATTTTGAAGAATTGAATTGTCTCGATTTTACTTTTCCCTTACATTGATTGTTATTTAATAAAATACAAATGACCGAGCTCATTACACACATTTTAAAATAATTCACTTGAGTCCCTTGAATAGTTCATTTGTTGTTAATAAGTAGTTCTGCATCTGAATTTGCATACACATACTATCCATTTATTCAATTACATTTGATATATTTTTCGCTGTCTTATGTTATCATGATCGTGATGTAAACTGTGAAAGTAGTGGTAACCTGTTTTAGAATATTAAGAGTAAAATATGGAATTAAGTAATTTATATTGATGAAACGTTTTGTAATTAGGTATATATTCATATAATTGACTTTGAAACACATTCAATTTATTTGTTACTTATTTGAACATATAAACATTGGTACAAAGGGGTACCAAAGTATATATGCGCTACACGAGGCATTAATTTTGTGTGTGAGCTTAGACACTATCCGGGTGCCCAAACCGGAGTTGATAGTTATCTTAGGGTAAGTCAGTCATTCAGCTACAAAGTAGGACCAGGCACATATATGCATCGGTCCAAGTTGCCATACTTCATTAGCACAACAAGATAAACACCGAATTCATAGTAGTTAATTTAATGGTGGTAATATATAATATAAAGATTGTATATAAGGATATAGTACAGGGAGAAACAAAGATATGAAGCAATTTTAATCTCATAGTTTAAGGGAAGACAGGGAGTGTATACATCTACGCCATTGTGATCGATTCTGAGCTGTCACATAGAGTCTTAGGGGGCCACACCCCTAACCTTTGACCCAGATGTCTAATCCTTAAGACGGTGGAGCAACATTAGGAGTTGCCGACCCATGACAACCTGTGCTCAAGGACGTTCATACCCTTCTTGTCCCCTCAGGAACCTTGAGCCACTGTACACCATTGGCTTGGAATCAGAGTTTTCTAACTCCCCCAGATAGGTCCTCCGTACCCACCAGCACGGTTTAGACCACAGACATTCTCTTTTCATTTCCTCAACTTTATCAGTCAGTCAGTCAGTCAGTCACAACGTAGAACTTCCTCAACTTAATAAACAACATCTTCACCGCGAGAAGGCAGTGAGTGGTTCTTCTCTAGTAGTGGCTATATGAAAGCATTTCGAGAGAGTGAGCGGACTCTTCTCACTCTTGTCCGTACCAGGATATTATGTATGTACGAATTGTAGAGCACATGTAGCTTTGGAAAGTGAGGTAATTAAAGCTTGTTTAAGGGCTTTTCACTTACGATACAGTGGTTAAAAATAGAATACTGAGCTGCAACTTTATATTTATAAATGAAACCACCATTTTGCTATGTATACATATACATGTTGTTACATTGTATCCATTTGATATTTTTTTTAACTATTCTCCTTTCATATACACAGTATACCATTCGATCCGCCAAGTTGGCATCCATCAGATATTATTCCTCTAGTAGATTTTGTTCATGAAATGATACTTCGACCACATTTCGATCCTTTTACACATCGTCGAAGTTGGCAATTAGATATTGTCTTTACTGGTATTGTAGCTCCTTTAAATGGAATTAATCAAAAGTCTTCAACTTATTTGCGTCATCAAACTGCTGAATGGACTGTAGCAAGATTAGAACATTTCAATATTGTCGTACAAAATATACTGGTCGAATGGGAAAAATTATGTTTAATGCATGCTTTATGTTATCATGTTATCACTAATCCCGGTAAGGATAATTTTATGCTTAACTCAACCTTTACTGCTAAATTGTGATACGCTAATTAGTATTGTTCATCATAATATAATACAATCAAGCTCTAAATTTATTTGGTATTGTTTACTTGAATCTTCCCATTGATGTTTAGGACTGCAATTGATCAGTCTCTTATTTGCATATGTGCATCCTGTGCGTATTGCCTCGATATAGCCTTAATTCACAAGCATTATAAGCAAAGATTGATAGTGGTTAGCAGTAGAATCCAGGACGTGCATTTCGTTATATTTGGGATTCATTAGCTGAATGTGCCTGTATCCCGGAGTTGATGTTCACTCCAGACTCGAACCTGACACCGTTTTCTTTAAAAGCCAACAATACTTACTATGGACAAGTTGATACAATAACTATGGGCGCATTTCTAGGCCCAATTTTAACCGATTTCTTCGTAGCAAAGTTTGTGAGCTACTGTATTTTATTTTAGGCAGACTAGTGATGTTACTACCAGATTAAGAAAATCGATGACGCTTCGAACTACGGTTTATGAGTTAATGTAAGCCGAGGACAATGAAAATTACTTGGGCCATCGTTTGGATAGACTTCTGAATGTAGTCTATCCCATTTTGTCGTGTATAATATTAACTAACGTTGAAATACTCTAATTAAAGTTTCTCCGGTCATTGGATTTATCTACAGGGAACAGACTTTTCTGGCCAAATATTGAATGTCGAAAGTCATTGAAGTTGAAATTCTTCATAATATTTTTCCTGAAGCTTTCACATCAAGATTATTACATCAAAGTATATCATATCATTGAGAATCTTGATTACAGTACAATCTATAATTGAATTTAATCACCTCATGTGATAATGAATCAGTAATAGTAGTTCACTATTCAGTGGCAATCTATGAATGTGTCTATTTATGCGGTTGTATTTACTGTCAACAAACCTATTATGAATCTTCATACAAACGCAAGTTTTTTTCTATCGACACATAAGTTGTTCAACTATGGGTTTGACACAACCGTCCGCATGAGATCGTTCACGTTTTCTCATGTCAGTATTGTCACATTCAACTGTATGGCATTCCAATCCCGTCAGGTTGGGTTTCTCCATAATTTTAGAAATAATCATGTACATAATATTTCACTTTGAATTAAAATGAATTACTGAATTGTTTTCTTCTCTTCAATAGATGTTTATCTTCCTAAAGGTACACAAGTTTATTCATACAATCTTAGAACATTATCATTAATATATGGTACTTACTACTTGGTAAGTTTGATTTATTGTTATTGGTAAACTGAATATTGCACAGTGTATGTGTGATATTCTCTGTATCTACTGTTGAATCTATTTAATTATCTGATCACATGAGCGCGAAAAATCACAGTTCAACAAAAAGATTTTGCTTAGAAAATGGTTTCATTTCTACAAAAATATAAAAATTAAGTATACGCTCTAATTTGTGTAGTATCTATGTATGTAGGGATGCAAATAATAGCTTGTATCTGTGTCTAAAGTTGACAGTGATTATTTACAGTCGAAACAGAGACTAAAACATAAACTATGGGAACTGATACACTTAAGCAGTCACTTACAACATAGAATCTAATACGTATGTACATCGGTTTAAGTTGCCATACCCACCCCATTAGTACAGATAAATGAAATTGTCTGGCCAAATCCCAGAATGATAGAGGTAGTAACAGTATTGGTGGTAACAGAAAAGACTCATCATCAAAGATGCGATTCATGATGAAAATATAAATTTGTGAAGTAAAAATACAAAATGTTGTGGGGACTTCAAAGGCTTAGAATGTGGAGAAATACAAAGAATGGATGCACCTGCTATACTGCACATGATTTTGAGCCATGTCACTCAAAGTCTCTAACCATTGGTTACAATAGTCACACGGGATCCAGTCAAGTAGTCTATACTTATTAATTAACATGGCTCAGACTAATTATCAATGACTTCATGGACAGATAAATGAAATTGTCTGGCCAAATCCCAGAATGATAGAGGTAGTAACAGTATTGGTGGTAACAGAAAAGACTCATCATCAAAGATGCGATTCATGATGAAAATATAAATTTGTGAAGTAAAAATACAAAATGTTGTGGGGACTTCAAAGGCTTAGAATGTGGAGAAATACAAAGAATGGATGCACCTGCTATACTGCACATGATTTTGAGCCATGTCACTCAAAGTCTCTAACCATTGGTTACAATAGTCACACGGGATCCAGTCAAGTAGTCTATACTTATTAATTAACATGGCTCAGACTAATTATCAATGACTTCATGGACTGATTCCATGTTCTGATTTGACTGCGTTACGAATTTACAATTGCAGTAATATGTAAATTGAATATTAACCCAAGACAACAAATTTTGTTACACTAAATGCTCAAAATGATGAAGGTGAAATTAATTACTGGATCTAATTAAGTAATGTGATGCAGTAGGGAGAATCAACAGTCATTTTATTCTATTTCTGTTTCACAATTTATCTACATATAACTTTATAAAATGTTAGCACTGTGTTTTAGTTCAAACTGTCTATTGATTTCTTGATCGTACTATCTCAACATGATATGTATGATTGACTGAAGTCAGCCGTAGAACACCTAATCACTAAATAGGATTAGGAATCTATTCCGTTCTAGTTCAGATCATATCGCGCTATTTAATCTCGATGAAGAACATCCAACTGCTGAGTCAGTTTCCAAATGATCTCTCTTGACTTCAATTGATTTGTGATACACCACAACAATTAACAACTGATTTTGTTAGTAAGTGTGACAGATAATAATAAAAACCCTAGTTCTAGGCTTTCTACCGAATCCCTAATCCTCTCCGTCAAGCCAACATCATATAAAAGATACTTCTTACTCCAACTATATGCTTTTAAGGTGTCTGAATATTAACAGTTTTCCGTATAGATGACAAGTCCGCTTGTATTTATAATCTGAGACTCGTCAGAAATATATATGTATATCACCTAATTACTTTTGACCGTAAAGTTGTTTAATTTCACATTTTTCTATCTTTTAATCTTCTTAACTATTTTCTGTCTTTTAGTGAAAAGACAGAATTCAATAAAGTCTATTACAATAATGAATTTTCATGTCATACTGTTTGTTAAGTTCGTTCACATTCTCCGTCCTTATTCTCTTCTCATCAACTTTTTTGTGTGTATTGTTTTATACTACTTATCAATATTGAGTAAATAGTTTTATTCCTAGCAATTCTTACGCGTATGTTGTAACCCGAATTCGTTGTGTAATATTCTAGAATATCTACAGATACTAATCACATTTATCATTATAACTACTTCCTCTCAATCCCTGTGACAGTTATTCCTTATTTTGCATGGTCGTTTGATCTTTGTTTAAACTAAACGGTCTCCATGTTCGAATCCCAGAGTGAACATCAACTCTGAGATGCAGGTACATCCAGCTGACAAGTCCCAAATAGGACGAAACGCGCGTCGTGGATTCCACTGCTAGCCACTATCCATCTCTGCTAACCATGGTCTCCATGTTTGTTTGCTATTGGTTCCTTTTTGTTTTTTGATAAACTGTTATCAAGATTAGACACACTATCAGCTGTTATTTGCATTAGCGTGTCATAATTATTCTTTATACTACTATTGCAGGAAGCACTTCTTTCAGGCTTGCGGACGCGCTAAGTGCTACATAGACGTCACGAGTTAATGTTTGTAAATAATTTTTATATATTGCTCAATAAAAACCACTTTTTTTGACAAATCGCTGTTTCCCGCGTATCGTAATCATGTAATTAGACGCTTCGGTAGACTTAACTTTCTTATTTTCTCTTTTTTAGGCTGATATATCTAATCCAACTGGACATAAATTTACATTGGCCTTAGGTTTTCGACCAACATCATTGATTAATAGTAGTGATACAACAAGAGAATTAAACTCTGACGATATCAATATGAGTAATACAATAAATGTTGATTTCAATCCACATATGATTGCTAGACAACACTTGGAAGAATTGTTAAACACTAGGAAGTCGATATATTCTTTAGCTACAGTGAGTTTTTATGAATATTATGGTTTATTTCATACTCTCTGATTCCTTAATCAACTGAAATGAAGCACAAAGAAGATGATCTACAAACTAACGTGGATTCGTAATATTTTAAGGCTTCTCCTTAGCTGCAAACGGAATTCTGAAAACTTCACTTCCTTTCAGACGTACGTACGTACGAAGTTCTACGTTGTAACTGACTGACTTCAGACAAAACATATAGGAATATGTTAGGAATGCTATGTAGATATTCTTTTTTTTTCAGTCCTTCATGTGTACATCCTTACGCAAGTACACGTAAATGCATTTGGAAGTGACCTCAGAAGGTTGTTTATACATTTTTGATTGATTTAAGGAAAATCCGCTGTTATATACAAAGAATAGTTGATCATCAGTGAAGCGTCTCTTTAGTGCAACTGTAATCCGTTCCATCGATTGTTGTTTGTTTAGGATTTTATAGTCATTTTCCTGTACTTCATAGTTTAAGCTTAAAAATGGTTTCTTCTTCAAAACTCTTTCGATCGTCAATACAATTTGTTGAAGATGGAAACACATATTCATTATCTTAATAAAATATGTAACTTTCATCAACAAACTTCGGTCACTTTGTTTCATCTTTGTATAGCTTACTTTACACTATACTTCAAAAAAAAGATGAACCTCTTCATGAGGTTTCAAACTGTTGGTATCATGTTCAAAATGTAAAAAAAGTATACCCTAATGCCAATTTTACAAGCTTGTTTCTGATTCATTGTATTGTATCATTGATATTATTTCTGTTTCGTTGCATTAACTCTGAAGTGTTGGAATCTCGTTTTGTTAAATAATTCATAAGGTTTATGTTATATCGTGTTAGTGTGTGCGTGCCCTGTTTATTATATATGAATGATAAAATCGCCTATCAGCGGGGAGTGATTTTATCGATCGGATCCAGTAATACACAAAAGCCGTATGAGCTGTCTTCAGTACTTATCAGTCCTGCTTTCTGCCTAGCCCAGCCAGTTAAGTCCAGAACACCAATAACAGCCTCTGTGGTATGAATCATTATTCTCAAACATACTGGGTTTATGTGCCAAAAAACTGACCACATCGTACCACAAAATAGAAAATAACCTTTGTACAAGATTCAGCCAAATGTGGCTGTGAATAGGGGGAACAGTAATTAATGAACTAGTGATAACTCAAGAATGGCAAATTGTATAATAATAGTTCATAGGTCAAAATAAAGCTTATTATAAGGGGGACACGAATACGAATAGTTTAGTTACTTAACAATTATACAATAGGAAATATACATATCACATTGATCCACAAATAGTTCTCAAAGTTACCTATCATGCATCTCCGCGGGATACAACAGTTTAAAACGTGAATAAAATTAGTGGGTTTTTTTTATAATAAAATAACGTTTACCGATAGTTTGTACAATTTTAAATGTTTAATATCACTGATTTTTTTTAATACTTCAAAGAATTCACCATTTAATAATCTTCATTACTTTACCTAATATGGGGTTACGTTTTTTCAAAAGTCCAAGGAAAACGTAATGGGTAACAATATGGGATAGTATGTAATATATCAGGGTCGAAATTTCATCAAAGTCAAGTGTCTGTTTATTTTAAAATAAACACGTATTTTCTTCATATTAAAACGAGTGGGATGGGAAGCTTTGTTGCTATATTAACAAAATATGTGAACGTAAATGGTGATTAAGCTAAAAGCTTACATTAAAATAAACGACACTTGAAAGTTTTTAGTACTCAGTATTCAGTATAACAAAAGTCTTGCTAGTCCGATCTATAAAAATTGATCACTAGTCAATTTATGACAAGAACCTATTATATTTCAAAGAAATTTAACATAGAAGAGACTGGCGTACATGCAATTAGACTCCCTACACACCTAACGAAAGTATTATTTTTTGTCGTAGAAAATGGCAAATCATGCAATGCAAAGAAGGAAAGTAAAGAACAGATTTTGAAAGCGAAAATCTTATAAAAAACTATTTTAGCTAGTCTATAAGAACAACAAGTAACATGAAATGTGCTTTTGATCAAGTTATTTGTAAAGGAATTTCAATTTACAGTTGTTTCTTTCAGTTATGTTACAAGTCGTTCCTATATTTTTAAATTTTTTCATCTCTTAAAATGAATACTCTTTCCAAACGTTTCAAATATTTTTTCCGGTAAAACATAAATTATCCAGTGATCATAGTTGAGAAAATGATCTCGTTTGTGAGTCATATAACTGGTCTAGAGTGTAGCATCAGAAGGCGGTTTTATTAATCAAGAAATATATGAAAACCACAGTACATACCAGCTTTTTTGTTGTTGAATTTTTATCCGTGTTTCAACAATTCGGTACAACGTTGTCGATCATAATGCAACTACAGTAGTATTTATCCAAATTTCTTAGAATTTTTTTTTCATTTTACGGTTATGTAATTGATTTGTTTTAAAAATCCTTATGTTTCGACACCTTTTTTGAGGAATATGCCTTTTTTTCATTGTTTGTAGACAATGTTGAATACATTGGAATTCTTTCGATGTGTGGAACCTCTCCGGGATCAAGTTTTGTCTTATAATGGTCTTAAGGTAATCATTTTTTAGTGAAATTTATATTGTCTTTATTGAGTATAGAATTTCTCAGTATGCTAGTATCAATTACTGTGTACTATCACTACGTATTTTTTTTTCATGGGATTTATTTGAGTAAACTACTCTTTATTTTATCTCACAAAGTATAGATTAATATTTCAACTTAAAATTTAGAACAAGATAAATGGTTTCGCTCTACTGTAATCATTTTCAAGCCATGTATATCTTAAGGTCTGCAACTGTAAATTACAATCATTCCATAGACCGTATATGGCCTATTATTTTCGTAGATTAATGTATATAAATTAATATACAGGATGAATTAAAAAAGAATTGGAACTAGTCAACTGAATATCGACACTAAATAAGACAGTGTAGGCTTACTGAATAGAAAGCTAGATGCTGTCAAATCAAGACACTGCATTAGCTTATGAAGTCATTCACTGTTGAATTAACTCATATAGATGAGTAGAAACATATCTGGTTGGGGTCTCCGCTACTTTCGTAACAAAAATTGATGGGACGTTTGAGTATGATTGCGGTGAATCGATCACAATGGTACATATGCATTCACTCTTTATTTTCGCTTCAAACCTGAGCTTCAAAATTATTTCGGCTGTCTTAACCTGGGAATTTATTCCTTCTCGAATTATATTATCTATGCTTTATCTTTTCAACTATTGGTAATACAGTTACAACTTGTACTACTCTTAGATTTTTCATGATAACTTCACTTAAATTTGCTGATATATGATAAGTCAGGTTGAGCCGATAAACATATATTCCGTATTCTATGTCACTCTTGACTGATTGACTGACTAAATACCCTATTAATAAGTAAGAGCTATTTTGTAATATTTTTTAATGATTAGATTTTTTTCTAATTTTAATGACTGTGGGTATATTTATTTTTAGTTCTATCTTTCTTCCTCAATGAAGTGTTCTTATTCGTTTAGGTTATTTCTCCGCATAATCATTGTTTACAAGCTGCGTGTGGTATGCTATTAATCGCCTTATCCCCTAGTGATCTTATTCTAATCTATCGTGCATCACTAAGTTTACGAATTACACTAAATATTATTGAACATTCAATTGTATCGTCTACAATGTCATCATCCAACAATAATAATGACACATTAAAAAGAACTAAATCTATTCAATTACATGATGCCTATAATCAATTAACAACGGGAAAAAAACCCTATCCACCTATTTTCAATACAGATGGATGGAATAATCAAATGTTGGATGACAAAGCTTTATGCAGCTTAGCTCCATTACCTGCTTTCTCGGTAGGTTTTTGTTTATTATTAGTTGTGTGTGTGTTTTTGTTGTTGGTGTATAAAACAAAGACGATGAGCATAGTAGAATAAGATGAATTCGTTTATTTCATGTGGTTTTAATTGGCTGCCCACAACCTAGAATTATTAATAAGAATTTCGTTGATTTATATTGAATGACTATGAATGTTAAAGTTACGTAATAACAACTGTGAAATTTTCATAGAACAACAAAGTAAGGTAAATGAACATTCATCCACTTTACGTAAAATGAAATTCAGAACGGTCTTTTCCAATCTGGGTCATCTTAGGCGCCGTCGTGATGTTAGTCTGACTGTAAAACGTTGGCTTTATGCCCGGTTGGTGAGAGGAGTTTTTATCTAGTCTTTCCGATTTAAGGATTTTAGGCAAATATCTGTATTCGATCATTATTGTCTCCAAAGAATTGCTAATAATTAGTGTCAACACCATGTTAGTGATGTAGAGGTTCGGCAACATGTGTTCGGGTACAATGAGAACAATTCAACTAGTATCACTATTTTGAAACACTGGCCCCGGTTGCTTGGACATGTACTACGAATATCTTCCTGCCGAATTCCACATCTCGAATTTTTCGCGGACTCTGGGACTGGTTGTAAAAAGCGGTAAAGTGGTCTGTTTATGACAAGATTCCGGTGTATCAAAGAAAGCTGTACAAGACTGACATCGTCCGGTCCTTCACGACTCCCCTGATTGGGATCCTAGAGATAGTACAACTCAGTGGCTTGAAACGTCATCAAACATCGTTCAGAATAAAAGCCAGTGGCGATCCTGCTGTAAGTTTCCTTTACGTTCTTCAGTCCTTCTTCACAAATTGTTTTCTCAAATGTTTAATCTTTCACGATTATAAATAATACTATTATTTTGATTATTTCACTAATCATCTATTTTTGTCATGTTCATATAATATGAAGACATGAAATAAAGCAAGTTTCTGTCAGGCGCTTTAAGGATTGTGACAACTGACTGGCGGTGACATGAACATTTAATATTTAAATTTAAATGGATCTACTCACCAAGTAATTCGTTACAAACCATACTTCGAATGTGAGGCCTATTAGTACTATCTGGTTGTCCAAACTGAAGTAGGTAAAGAACAGTTTAAACCTTAAGGCTTGGTGTTCTAAAGTCTAACCATCCATTCGACATATATGTCGTTTGTTTTCCTGAAAGACTTTTGTCTTTTGGTTGTAATCTAGGTGGTAAATATTTCTGTGACCGATATATTTTTATACAAGCGTTTTTCTTCCAATATTACTACGTTACTTTTCATTTTTTTGTTAATTTTTGTACAGAAATTCTTAAAATCCGTTCAAGAATTATTTTGCATAAATTCAGATGGTAAGCGATTACATTATTATTACTATTATCATTATTATTAATATCTATTTTGATTGTCAAATAATTTAGGGAAATCTTAAACATTATTATTCATGGAGGTGTGTGTGTGGAAATCAGTAAATAGTTTAGCTCACAAACTGATCCTAGTTAGACAACTATTAACAAACCAGAAAGCACACTGGATTGTTGTTTGCAGTAGTATAGGACTTTTCGGAGCAATACACATCTATAAGCTCAATGAGATTTCAGAATACCTAAACTAATGTTGATTAATATGACTCGATCAGGACTAATCGAGTAGATGAATATTACGCTACTCTTCAATAATTGATCTATCCATAGCAAAATTAATCATAGTTTCTTTATTGTGTATAGTTTCGTCAATTGGTTACATCATTTCTTCGTCTTACATCTAAGTCTTGAAAGCCAAATTCATGAATGTGTTTATATTCCGTTGTAAATCTGATATTTCCATAAACACTGTTTACATAAGAAAACAATTCGAATTGCTGGTAATATTTTCTTATCTAACAAAAATTTATAGGATTGGGGAGTAGATTTAATTTTCGTGCTGTTCGATACTCGTCAAGAATGTGTACCTGTAATTTTAAGGCAAGTGATGCTCCTCAGCAGATTCGATCCCGTGTCACCCAGCTTCACACTCAGAGATTTTACTACTGAGCTATCCGTCTCGCGACTGACCCACTGTAAGACAAATGTATCTACAATTGATTAATCACTGAGTAGTGAACAAGGTCAGGTCCACCACAGAACATCAGCTGTCAAGATTACACGCACACCTCGCCGACGAGTGCCAAATGACACGAAACCTAGGTCCAGGATTCCCTGTCGACTACCTCCAACAACCAATTTGAATTGTTTTGCTGGAGAAAATCATCATCGAATGCTTTACAAAAAGAAAATAAATCATTTGAATCTCTCCATAACTGACTGACAACTTGTTCTGCTTAGTTGTTGTCCACAATTGTGTTGCTCGTATTTACGTATTTGTTTTAATTATCTGAAACCACGGATTAAGCGCAAATTCAGTCAATTCTTTTTGTGAAGTATGTACTGAACATATTGTCTAGAACTTACGCCTGTTACTCCCAATGGAGCATAGACCGTGGACCAGCATTCTACAACCCACTCTTGTCCTGGGCCTTAATTTCTAGTTCTATCCAATTTTTGTTCATTCTTCTCATGTCTGTCTTCATTTCTCGATGTAATGTGTTCTTTGGTCTTCTCCTTTGGCCTTCAGGATTACATGTGAGGGCTGGGTGATTTCCTCAATGTAAAACTTTATGATCAAACTATCTAGGCCAAAAGTCATACAATACCTTGAAATTCCTTATCATACTCTACAAATATTATCTATCCCCTTGAACTACCACAATTATTTCAGATGATCGTTTAATCTCCAAAATTACTATCATTATTAATTTTTATTTTTATACTTTATAGAAAAATTGACCAGCTTAACACTTACTCAATTCGCTCAATTAACAAGATTAACATTTGATAAATTTAAATCCGGCATAATATCATCAAAAACATTTTCTCCAACAAATTGTCGTCGTACTGATCCAGGTTCAACACTACTAGAATCTTATTTATCAACAAGTTTATTATTTCATGCTGCAATCTTAGCTATACAAAGTTTAGATGTACCGATTCGTCATGTTCATAATGAAATCCCCTATGACCAACAACAACAAACTGATGAACAACAACGAATCAAAAATCAAAATGATCTACTTGAAAATGCGGTGTTTATGTGTGTTTGGCCCGTGAGTCAATTAACTGTTCAATTGTCAATGTTATGTCAACCAACTACCAGCAACGGAATGGAATCTTTTTGGTGGAGGCTGAAACTTCAACTTAGTCAAAGTGTTAACTCATGTGACCGTTGGCCACCCGAAACACTGAATGTTTTTGAAGAGTTTTTTGACAAAAGAGTAAGTTATAAGTCATACATACATATTACATGTGATTTCATACTGTTGTTTGTGACCAGTTTAATTACTTCTACACGTGATCTATTCAGTGAATGAGAGTGAATCTCTCTACTTAGGACATTGAATGAAGCTTGAGCGTAATCCACGAGAAATTTCCAGGATTTTTAGGATTATTTATGAATGTCTGTTTTACAAATAGTTTAACAGTTTTGGTGAATGCTGTTAGTACTTGAAGAAATTTAGGCCAACCACCGACCTTTTATTTTGGTAGAAAACAGCGGACATATGTAGTATTTTAGGCTTTCTGATTGGCGATTTACTGTCTGAATAATTACTGAACTTCTGTTGCGGTGGACACGTTTTTGGCAAATCACTTTGGTGTTGAAGGGCGAAAATCACTCTGTTTGAGGACTTTTAGGAATGTTTCGAACAGTGGGAGACGAGGTTAAACGTGTTTGGCGTTAGGTGGTGACTACGCTACTCAAGCTGGAAACCCTAAATTTTGGTTTCATGCTAGTTTGGACTTGCGATAAAGGCATACCTGCCATCCTAATAAATCTTATCTCGAGTTGCTTAGACGAGTGACTATACTATAACTTTATCGGTATCATGTGCTATTAGAAGTATGAGGGTAGCTGTCAGTTCCCTAGGTTACCCATACCATGGAACGACAGTTCTTCAAAAAAAGACCTGAAAATGGACTAGTAGTAGAGGTCTTTGAATTGATAGAGCGTGATCTAAAATTCAGGGGATCAATTCCCTGAAGTCGGTCACTTTCAGTCTCTCTGTGAGTAGTGTTAAATAAGTTAGCTCCGTATGTTTAAAGGCTTAACACTGGAGACTGAAATTCATGGGGCAAGGTGTAGTACGCCGTTTCTAGCGTCAAAGGTAGTCATGTGTGAAATTAAAACAAGCTTCATGGTTTATGTGACTAACTAGCAGAACTGAATAATATTATTGCATTACCCTTACCATGAACATGAACAATTCTTTTTTATAGTTCTCATCTTGAGCTAATCTTGATTAAACAAACATCAAAAATCCAAGAAGCATTGGGTGGCTGTTTTGTCCTGGTATGATACTCCTGAACAGCAAATTAAAAATATATGTCATGGAATCCCAATTGATTAGTGTAATGGTCAAGTAGTCGCTGTGAGAACTGAAAGTTCCGAGTTCTGTCTGCAGTAGGTTTGCAGATGTACACCACTGAAAAATCTTATAATACAACGAAACAGTTGTGTAATGCTTTCTAGTTCTCTGATTCGTTGTCTAACTATCATCAGTTCTTAAAGTGAACTACGAAATTTCCTGGTATTAACACAGAATTTTGTTTCCCTTTTTTCTGTTCACTGTTATATTTCAGGTTTGTTCTTTCCCATTTCAACCAAGTGCTGTGACTGCGTTTTTCCGATTATTGTTACTACCTCCGCATGCATTACGTGCAATGGGTCGCGTTCTAGCGTTTGATTTACATTCACCTGCTCAAGCTCCTGTTTATGTACGTATAGGTTTAATTGGGATGGGTGTTAATTCACGTGTTACTGCTATCAGTAGTAGTAGTTCATTAGCAAATCAACCACCGAATGGAGCAGCGTCAGCGGCCACTGGGGCTGCACAAAATCTACTTACATTTGACACTGGTTCAGATTTACAGCCTGGTATGCCTGGTATCATTGTTCGTCCGTCGAAAATCACATTACAATTGTTAATAACGCGTTCACATTCACGACATTTGGTAAGCTTTTTGTTATTATTGCCTAATAAAAAATACCAATCATATAATTTGAAATCAAATATATTTATTTTCTGCTTAAGCAGGCTAGTGCACTAGATTTTCGTTTTTATAGAATCAGTCTATTGTATTTTACCAGGACAAATGAGCATTGGTTTGTTCAGTGATTTGATTACAGGAGTACATCAATTGGCAACTTATCATGTTATGGTTGGCCAAGTGTCGGCCATCTGTACGATATCGTCGTCACCTTCAAAGCTGAAATAGATAAAGGGGTGATGTTTAATGTCAACCGTAATTGCCGTTTTTTTGGTCGACATTTCTGTATTTCACTTTTGAATTGTGACGGGTTCGTACACAATGAGGTACTATTGAGCTATTCTAATACGAATGGTTCTCCTATGAACTGTTTAAATTCCTTATCATCTAATTTGGTTTATACAACCAGATATTATCAGTAGCCTCCTCACATATAAACTGTTATATTCCAAGTTAATTACACAAATATATACTTGTCCTTCGATAATTTACACTTTATTGTTCTGCTATAAATAGTGGTATTCATTCACGTTTATTGATTCTTTCTTGTTATTTTTAGTCTAAAAATCTTACCCCATTAGCTCAATTAGTTGTTGTTGGTTATGATTGGGATGTAAATCATGTTGTTATCTATCCAACTATTAATCAATCACAAAATATAATAACAAATAATAGAAATCAATCAGATACAATTAATTTAAATCTTTTAAGATTATTACATGATACTGATGTAGAATCAAAAGCAAATGCTATGGCAACTAGTAGTAATGATTCAGCATTAGTTCAACTTGTTCTACTTATTACACAAACTGTAGCTGCATCTTATCCAATCAGTTCATCCGATTCTACATCATTGAATAATTCCAATGTAATGACTGGATTTGGTATAGGAGGAGGAGGAGGAAATGTTAACAGTGGAGCTGGTATTGGATCACAACAAGTATTGTATGGGTAAAAAATTTGTTGTGAATGAAGGATTTTTTTTATAAAGTTTATTTTTTTCTTTTATTTTTTTTTTCTATCTCCTTTTTTAAAATAAGATTTCTTCTCAACTTTCAATGTGTGTACAGCGACAAGGTGTTTTCCTTTATGATCTTTTCTTCTGTATAAATTTGTATTGTATTATATTTGTATAATAATCAGTTGTTTCTTTTGTAAAAAAAAATTCCACTTTATTCCCTATGCATTTAACAAATGAAATATTAACCAGTTGAACTTTTTAGTTATGTACTATAATTTAAAACTAAGTTATAGTTGGATAGATGTTCTGATTTGTTAGTGTTATATCTGTATCTCCAATTACTTGTATTGTAAAGTGAGAAACTACTACAATTCCCACGATGTGAAGTAAGAACATAAAGACTAGTACGAGGGAAGATATATTACCTCCCCTCCATGAATATCCGTCATATCAACTAGTTAGCTTACGATACATCTAAATTGGGATTTGTTTTGAGGTGGATGCTTTTAATACTAAATGGGATTTATGTAGACTAGATAAACTGGATGACTAGTGCATAACACGTCAACAATAATTCCACTTAAGGATTAAAGAAAGATATCAGTGTCAAAATGATAATAGAACAACTGATTATTCGACTGTGAATAATTACAAAGACAGGAAACTAGTAATGGTAAAAACCAACGCTAACTAGTGCTTGTTTTAACTGTCACTTGGATTCATGTATAAAGTATATCATGCCGGCTGCATCTGAAAATTTTCAGAACTGCAATTCATTGTACCTTTTATATCCAATTATCAGTCCATGTTAGGCAATTAATCTTATTAAAGTTTCGACTTGAAAATATTTATTGTGTAGGGATGAAAAAATTAGTGTAATGAGTGGACCAACAATCTGTTGATTATTAATGATAATTGCATAACAAAACTAGTTAAGTGGTTAAAAATCGAGATAAATGTACAAATTATAATTGGTCGCAAAGGTTGGATCTGTTTAAGCGAATTCCTATGACTTTCTTGGTGACAGCCTTAAACAAATAGGAGACTGTGAAATTCGATATATTGTCTACATTTCTCTAGAGAGCTCATGAGCCAGTAAAACTGGATACAATCGCTGTCTGGTTTTCTCAAAGCATAATCAAATCATCATAATGCTTTTTTTTTTATCCAATTGCCTATAAATATATTTTAGTTGGAAAGAAAACAAATTACAACATTGTTCTGTGATTAGTTAATATAAAATGAAACATCGTCATATTGAACATTATGAGAAATTTTTAAACTCTGGTCTATATATTTCTGTTTGCAAATTAATCTCCAGATAACTGAGTCGAGATCCAGTGGTGTACAAGTCTAGTTTGAACCAATCCACAATATTGCATACCAGTCTTCCATTGTTTTCAGTGTGTACTTCACACTTAATACGGTTTAGTAAACCCATCAATAGTTCACACTAGGGCTCCAGGAATTTTCTGTGTAAGCTAGTCGCTAGTGAGCACAATAACTGTCAGTATGGGGATTGCAAGAGTACTCAGTGGTCCGAAGTTTTTATTTTTTCCCACCAAATATCATGTGAAAAATAAGTAAGTCCTGGGTTTACTTACCGACGGGGTCGTGAATCCACATTGCACAGGAGTCGCATGCGTGGATTAGACAGTTATTACTTCTTAGTTCGTGGTTTGAAATGTGAAATTTAATAATCTCCACAAGTCCCTCCGGAGCAGTTCATGAACCCTGGTTTTACTGAAATTAAATTACAGTCCAGCTACGATAGTTTACATATATTTTAGAATCCAGCGCCATCACAAAATATACTTGAAGAAAGTGACGAGGAAATATGTCAGTTCCTTCGATCTTCTAAATACCAATAAAAACACGGAAATCTATTCAAATCTTAATTAGCAGTATTCCCCATTTGTTTTCAGAATGATTTCATATTTTACGAGATTGTTACAGTATACTCATCGAGAATAGCTGATGTTCAGGGAGCTGAAAATTCAGGTATTACTCTGGTTGATTATTAACATGATATCCTGTTTATTACAGAAGTGATGATATCATGAATATGGTCAAGAAATTATTTAGTTTATTAGGTTTATAGTTACCACTTAATACATGGATTATAGAGTTGTAGAATATCGTCAAATTTAATGTATAGAATATATTATAGACATTGTTTCACACATGAATAAACTCAAACCATCAGCCTACTTAGAATACTGAATAAGCTTTCATACATTTTATTCCTGCAGTCAAGTTTGTTTTCATACTGAAGTTCAATAATTATAATATAACCATTATCCTAAACGGTAATGTCAAATGAGAATTAGACAGGCGTATGTTTCATTTGTTTCCGTCAAGAATCGTTATATGGAAAAGATGTCATAGACTACAAGTCAGTTCATTATTTCAGTGACTGATGTTGTTTTCTATCACTTGCTCTATCCCGTTCCAGGATATAAATACTAAATTGATCAGTAAAATCCTTATAAGTTGTATCTGCTTTTTTAAGATCACGCATAGATGCACATCACATTTCTGATGATGTCAAATCAAGATAATCGACTTTTATAATAATGAATCCAAAACACGGAGTTGGAAAATTTACGATAGAAAAGGAATTTTCTGCAGAAACCATCTATACACTTGTTTGCTACTTTATAATCTACTTAAATTCAAATAGGGTATAAAACTGTGAACAGTCAAATTATGTGCCTCAGTAAACCTTGATCAAAGCTTATTAATCTCCTTAAGGTCGAAAGGTATCATGTCTTCAATTTTCCGAAATGATAAGAACTTAGTCTCTTTGAGGTACAATTTTCAAACTAACGGACGCATGAAATCAAGTTTCAAAAGGTTTATTGTATATGTAATCGTTTTGTTGAACAAACATAAAAGTTGATATATGTACGGGCTTTGAATAACAGGCTTTTAAATTACTCGCCTAAATGAAAAACCTATTGGAGGAAATCAAAGTAGTGGGATTTTTACTAACTTGATGTGCTTGTTAACAAGTTTTTCCATTTCAAAAGGCTTTGAAGAAAGTATGCAATATATCAGTTGATAACCCAAAGTTGATGACCTGAAAAAATTTACCTCATGGGTTTGTGGAGATTGTTATGGTTTTGACTGAGATGGTGAATCGATCGATGTTCAACTCCTAATGAAAAACTGGAAGCGCTGAAGGACCGTTTCCTCCTAGTATGTGACTCCTCAGCAATTCACATCGACGACCTGGCACGCGAGATTGGTTGAAGTCAGACACTGACACTGCTTATAATATTTAAAATCAAGTTTTCTAATAGTAATTTCATTGAAAACCGTTGATTAAACTGCTATTTAATTATTATACTACATTAACTTTCACTATGAAATTGGCACACTCATAAATAGTGCAAATTGTTTTATGGTTAAAAAGATCATAAAAGACACAGTCAAACTAGAATGAAATAAAACCAGTTGATTGACAAACTGTCAATAAATCGTTGTTATACCGAAGTTATACGTATATATCATAGTTTTATATGTTTATTTAATGAGAACAGAATATGATAGTGTATAAACTAAATGAATGTTCAATTTCCTTTCAATTCCGTAGGTTTTTTTTTGAATAAAATTTATGGACAGTAAAGATCACGAGATTTGTGACTTATATTAGAATATGTACTTCAGGGTTATACAATGTAGTGAACTGTTAAGAGGTATACACTTGTACATTAAGTTTAACATTACTAGAGATTATTACATTCTATTGTATTAGTTATATATTAGTATGTTTTCCATAGTTTCAAATCATAAGCTGATTTTTCGTCGACCACTCTTAAAAAACAGGATATTGGGTGACTATCTTAAGGTGTCTATGGTGGATAACTTTTACATTTGGCATATTTGAACTACACTAATCATGGCTTCAAACGAGAACTCGAAGAGTTTCATCTTTAGTCCATTTGCTAGTGATTACATGACTTTTAATAAGGCAGTGAAATTTGTGGAGATTATAGAAAAGTCATGACTAACGGAAATGAATAATGTCGGGTGTGAGACAGTTATCCACCTCATCTAATAGAAAATGGTCGTACAGTATCATGGATTGACTGAACATACGTATGTACACCACTGTATTCTGGTTCACTGGTTTGGAGAGTTAAGCGTAAGTCCTTGGTTCGATTCTAGGATGGGGAGTTGTTAATGTAAATTGCTGAGTCCCATATTAGGAAGAAACAGGTGTCAAGTGCTTCCAGATTTTCACTGGTGGTTTGGTTCATGATTTAATCTGTGAAAATCATACAATTTTCAATAATTAGTTTGAGAAAATAAAAACTTCCAGTAATTTCTCTTTGGTATGACAGTTAAAGCAAAGACTTATAGGAAAGTGAATTACAATACTTGATACCATATTGAGTTATATTATTTATGATAAGCTGAAAATCGCTTTAATGTTGAACTATAAATATAGTAAGATGTAATCTCTTGAATACCTCTGTTTTGACTTTCTATAGAAATTACGTTGGCATCTAATCCTTAGGGTCTTCGGTGAATGTACACCACTTTAGAGTTTTAACTTATATTCTCTTCTCTTTTTTCAAAAAAATATTCTCACTAGTGACTGACTTCAAGAGATATTTCCTGGAGTTCTAGTGAGAAGCAGTGACCAGTGGAGTTCAACCACGTCTGTTGTAGAGATATCAACTCACTGAAGACAATTGCTGAATGGTTGCTCAAACATCGTGGATTAATTGAAGTTAGACATTAACACCGTTGGATGCCGGCCAGCTCAGTGGTCTATCGGTTAAGTGCTCTGGTGCGAGACTGGTAGTTCGTGGGTTCGAATCTCATGAGGCGGGATCGTGAATGCACACTGCTCAGGAGTCCCATAATAGAACGAAACGGCCTTGAAGCCGTGCTTCCAGGTTTTCCATGGTAGCTTCAATTAACTCATGATTTCAACTATGAAAATACTGAAATCTCCACAAAAACCCCTTCTGATCTAAAACAAAAGTAACAATCAGTAGCAAATAACAGTTTAACATAGAATTTACATAACATCCATTGTATACATCATTAATAGGATAGTGATTAACCCATCTAACTAGCAAAAAAATTACAATTACGGAAACAGTTTATTAATAGTTGATAAACAATACTGAAGCAATAATGATAATTAATTGATGAAATAATTTTTTTAAAGTACATTTTATTCTTTCATTGCATCATTATTACAGTAGTAATAATAAGTAGTATAATCTAGAGAAAACATATTTTATTCATTATCTACATTAAATAAATTATAAAGTATAATGTAAAATGTCAGGGACAACTTATAAACTTATTCACACATCATACAAGTTGCCATGACAATGAATGAAGTTATTTGTTCACTTGTTTGTTTGTTTGTTTTTTTTTCATTTTTCTTTCCATAATCAACATTTTTCTTTTGCTATATCTTCTTTTGGCATACATTCTCGTTAAACGATAAAAGTTGAACAGTTCAAATTTTTATAAACTTCCAGAAGGTAGTTATACAATTATGATTTCAGTTTCTGGAATATTGATACCGAATGAAAGAATGTGTCTTGGATATGCATGCACTTTAACAGTATGAAATTGAATTCATTTTTATGATATTTTAGTACTTTTTCTGTTTATTATGAAGTTTATAATTTGTAATCTTTAAGCACTAGACGTCCATTTTGTTCTTGTATGGGGTCCTTAGCAGTAGGAATCTATGACCACATTACATGTAATCGAATTCAGAACCTTTAGTATCAAGCATGAACACTTAACCGCTAGACAACTAAGTTGGCATTCAGTGATGTATATGTTCGACTCCAGTTAATTCACAATATTTTGCGACCATCTTTCATTATTTTCAGTAAGTATAGTCCTCGCATCTAACATGTCTGAACTCCACAGGACAAGACCTTTCAGAATTCCGAAAATTTTCTCTCCAAGCTATCTCGTTCTATACTAGGACGAGATAACCGTACTGTGATTAAAGATTAAGAGGCTTTCAGAAAATCACTAAAAATTTACAAACCTTACTTTGATGCCATTAATGCATTTTGAATGAACTTTATGCATTATTCATTTTACTATAATTAGTACATACAAAGAAACAATGTATACTTACAAAAAAATTTAATAGTTAAATTCATGAAATAATTAAAGCTAGACCATCATGGAAAACCTAGAGGCATTAGACGGCCGCTTCGTCCTAGTATGAGACTCCTCAGCAGTAATCATCCACGTTTCCGCTCGTGGGATTCGAACTCAAGACCTTCGGTCTCGCTCACGAACACTTAACCTGTAGAGAATAAAATTAATATGACGTCAATATGTCGGTTGTTGGTATACAATTGTTTTATGAATCTATTTATATTCTTCATAATTTTGACTTTCAATCGACTTCAGTAGATAAATCTGATAGAATGAACTGAAACGTTTAAAGATTGTATCAAAAATTCAGTAGTAAATATTCCATTCCTCAAACAACCAAAATGGATCCATAGTGACATATGTCTACTGTGGACTTTCTTGTATGAATTAAATAACAGTTATATAACTGATTACTTACTTACTTACTTACACCTGTTACCCCTCGTGGAGGAGCATAGGCCACGCACCAGTTTTCTTCATCCAATCCTGTCCTGGGCAATTCTTTCCAGTCACAAAATAAACTTATTAATTAATACATCCATTCAAAGACAATAATTTAATATGATTATTCAGAGATTTGAATATCTTTATTTAATGTATTACATAGATAATGACAGTTGTACAGAATTTACAGAATTTGTAGTGATTTATTTCTTAAACAATTACAGTAAGCTGAAAAAACGAGTTAAATTAGTTTAATAGTTGAGATCAAGAAGCAATTGAGGCTAGATCACCATGGCAAATCAAGAAGCACTGGAAGGCCGTTTTGTCTTATTGCGAGACTCCTCAACAGTGCGCATCCATTCATGATCTCAACTATTAAAATTACTATAATATCCACAAAATTCCTTCTAATATTAATCAATATATGCTCACTAGTGACTGGCTTCAAGAGGTATTTCCTGGAGTTCTAGTGAGAAGCAGTGACCAGTGGAGTTCAACCGGGTCTGTTGTGAGATAACAACTCACTGGAGACAGTGATGGATGTGTCGCTCAATTTTGTGGATTGGTTGAAGGTAGACACTAATACTGTTGGATGCCGGCTCAGTGGTCTAGAGGCTAAGCATTCGCGCAGCGAGAATGATAGGTTCTGGATTCGAATTTCGCGAGGCGGGATCGTGGATGCGGACTGCTGAGGAGTCCCACGATAAGACGAAACTACCGTTCAGTGCTTTCAGGTTTTCCATGTTGGTCTAGCTTCAATTAATTCATGATCTCAACTAATAAATTACTATAATATCCACAAAACTCCTTCTGATATTAAATTAATTCAACTTATCAATCGAATTATTCTCTTACTTCCCATAAATAATCTTAACGTTGTAGCTTGATAATCAATATGAAATGTGCTAACCAATGATATTTCTGACTCCATGGAAGAAAGATCAATCTCAACAAATCATAGAATAATAGTCAAAGCAACAACAAAACAGGTTAGAAAGAGGCTCATAGTTCGAACTCACAAACTATAAATATTGATTGGTCACCAGCTAGATGTAAGCAGTTCAGAAGCCGAAATCTGAATAATATTCATTTTTTTGAATGTACATTGCCAGCCGTCACGACGTCTCGGATTGTAAATTTTTATAACTTGTACAGCGAAAGGTCGTAAACTTTTCACAGTCGTACCTGAATAGATTATACAATTAATTGCCATAATGATCTATTAAAACAAATAGCGAAACAGATAACTTGTTGAGATATCTAGATGATAGGAACAGATAGCTCAGATATTCAAGCCGGCCGTCCGAATATGTACTATAGTATGACATTTTTCCGATCTTGTTACACAACAAAATTTGTCGAGTGCAACCTTTTAATTAGATCCTTCTATTAGAATATATGTACTTTCATATATCTATCAAAAATGTCTAACTCTATAATGTTTTACATCTCAACTTATATGATCATTTTAAACTGGGTTTTTATATTACCTATCAGTACGTTGCATTTTTCATTGTTAATTTTCAGATTAAATCATCAGTCACGCCTACTATTGAGAAGGTATCACCTGTCTATGCTCCACCAGGTAATGTATTTACCAATTGAATAGGTACACCTTAACAGTTTAATCATTTATAAAATGTTCGGAGGTTACAATAAATAAAGGTTTTATTGTTGTATTGTAGTGAACAGAACACGATTGGGGACAATCAAATGTATTTAAGCAAACATTACAGACTATCTCAATAAATTCTGAAAATCATACAATGGACAAATTCATTCAGTATTGCTTTTTTGAATCTTCCCAACGATTTTTTAGGACTGTAACTGGTCAGATTCAAACAAACAATACTGAATATATTTAAACTTCACCCCATCGCACAAGCAAGTGGCTATCAGGACTCAGTAGCTCAGTGGATAACGCGATGGCGTTTGAAGCGAGGGTACTGGGTTCGAGTCTCAGAGTGAACATCAACTCCGAGATGCAGGTACATCCAGCTGAGGAGTCCCAAATACGACTAAACGCACGTCCTGGATTCCACTGCTAGCCACTATCCATCTATGTTTACCATACAATGGACAGTTAATTTGCAAATTAACAACCAACAGTCTCAATCTTCACTGTTTCTTCTCAAATTCTATTGTTCGTGCATTTTCCTACCCATTGCGCTATGTTTCAGTTCTTTCCTTATCGGTCTTCTGCGAAAATTCATTCTATGTCTGACCAACACCATATACTACTTATATAGATATAAGTAGACCACACCACAGTATTATGTATTTAAATTTCATGAAATTTTGTTTCATACAGTGTGTTGTAGTGAACGAGAAAATTAAGGGGGACAATCGAATATATTTGAATACAAAATAACAGAATGTCTTAGTAAAATCTGAGAACCATATAGTAAATACTTCATTTGAAAATGACAATCAATTGTCTCAGACTTCATTGTTCTTTCGTTTCCCCACCAATCATTCACTGTTCTCGTTCCCTTTTCTTCGATCTTCTTAACCTTTTGCTTCCAGGCATATCACTTTCTATTGATGATATATACTACTTATATCTTTCGACATCGGTAGTACCCACCACACTATCCTTAATGATTATTTAATTTCACTGACTAATAATATTAGTAAATACCTTTTAACATGGAATTTTTCCCAATATTATTTTAGTCAGTTGTCAATAGAACTGAATTTTCTAGTATATATTGTCTATCATATAATTTATATTATGCATGTTTATAAAAGGCTCAGTTATTGGATTGAATGGAACAATTTTCACTAGTCGATTTAGTTCAAATTTGGATGTTTTCACAGTTGGCAGATCACAAAGTATCATTAGGTAATTTCATTTGATTCTGTTATTATTATATAAATCTATGTAGCGTGTTATGTGTTTTAAGTACCATGATATTGTAAACATTTTAAAAGTAATTCTCTAGTCAGAAAGAGGTTTTTATGGATATTATAGTAAGTTGATAGTTGAGTTTATGAACCAATTGAAGCTAGACCACTATGGAAAACCTAGGAGCACTGGATGGCCATTTTTCCCCAGTATGGAACTCCTCGACAGTGCAAATCCACGGTCCCGCTCGCATGATTCGAACCCAGGGCCTATCGATCTCGCGGGCAAACGCTTAACCTCTAAACGGTTGGGCCCCTATCGAACGGCGTTATTGTCAAACTTCAACCAATCTACGTTACTGCGCTCCCGTTCACCATTGTCTTTAATGAGTCTGATACTGGGATAAAACGGCCGTCCAGAGCTTTCAGGTTTTCCATGGTGTTCCATCTTCATTTGACTCATGAGTTCAACTATTAAATTATTTAGTGTTTGGTGTGGTAATGTAAACTAATACATTGACTTATTACTACTCTATTTGTGAAAATATTTATTATCTTGACTTCTTTTATGCCGACAATTATTAATGAAACTTAATTGTGACCTATAGGAAAATGCTTGGCAAACTTAATGTTCAATAAAATGTTTGAAGTGAAAGACATTAGAACAGTGTACCTTCCTTAAACTGATTGCTTAAGCTATAAATATTTGTTAATATACTGACATTCCTAGGGGAGTTTATCACATATGTGCTGATATCTATTTCCTTTAGTCAAGTAGAATATCATTATATTGCAATATCTTTTCATAAATCAGTAAACTTTATTATAAGTAACAAAAAAGAATGTTATTTTGTGTACTTAAAATATTGAAGACAGCTTTATCTCGAAAACAAAACACAATCAGCTGTATGGGAATTCGTGAAGATGAATCGATCTAAGCTTGATCACTATTTAAAACCTAGAAGCATAGAACGACCGTTTTGTTCTAGTTTTGGACTCCTCAGCACTACTACAATCTCCACAAATCCCCATACTGATAATAATCATGTTATTTATTTATTTAAACACACAAATATTGGTACAAGATGGCACCAAATATATATGCGCAATACAAATCATTCGCTTTGTGTGAGAGCTGAAATACTTCCCGGGCACCCAAAACGAAGCAAATGGTCCTCGTAAGGGGCTTTTCCCCGAACCTTTGACCTAGATGTCTAATCCACAAGGCAGTGGAGCGACGTCAGGAAATGCAGTCTCATGGTAGCCGGTGACCAATAATTGGTTCATACGCCATTTGTTTCCTCATGATCCTGAAGCCCATATCCACCATTGGTTTGGATCCAGAGTTTGTCAACTCTCTTAGGTGGACCCTCCATATTCACGGACCTGGTTAAAGCACCGGACATTCGCTTTTCATCCTCCCAATTTTGTAGGACTTCCCTGGCAGTGACTGTACACGCGTGGCCATGTGAGAGCATCTCGAGATGGAGGGCGGACTCTCCTCATTGTAGACCGTACCAAAGCATTTGATGGTCTACTAGTGGCTAGAGTCAAGATGGATTTAACGAAGTCCTAGGGGAAAGCCGTGACCAGTGAGGACGAATCCATGTCGGGTGTAGTACAGTTATCTACTTCAGACAATGGATGAAGGATGGATTAAACTTTGATATTGACACCGTCAGACACTGCCTCAGTGGTCAGGGGGTTAAACGTTCACGTGCGAGATAGTGGACGCGCATTGATGAATCGTCCTATACAGGGACAAAACGGCTGTTCAACGATTTCAGGTTTCCAGTTGTACTTTAGCTTAAAGCGACTCGTGAATTCAATTGTGACAATCAGTTGTCTAACAAAAAATAGTCAGCTAACAATAGGCTTTTACAAGTACAGCGAAAGGTATTTGAACTACGTTTAATTTCCTGGTGAATTTGTTTTTAGAGTTTTCTTTACTGAAACAGTATACGACTGTTACTTATAATGAACCACACAAATACTGACCGTTTTGATTAGATTCAACTTATATTATTAACTCTAGTACAATATTTCTATTGTGTTTTGCTTTTTCAACTATGAAACTTAGGATATACGATGGCCCAGGAAATTGTGAACCTCAACTGCCAAACAGTGACTTGTAGTAAGTTAACAAACTTTTCACTGACTTCACTCTGATTATAAATCGGTTTATATTACATGCAGTTTTCATTTTTCTGTGAAATTTATTTTACATAAAATGTACTACTAACAAATTTACCAAGTAGTATGTGTAAAGTACATACTCGGGCAGTTTAGGTTATCAATACTGTTGTTCTACGTAATTCCGATCTAAATCTTTATATATTTTCTAAAGTTGCTAATCATTTGCTGTAATTATTAGTTGAACAAATAATCCAGCGTTATATTCTGAGAATAAAAAAACTGTAAGCAGCTGAACAGAATCCATAGAATATTACGAAATTACCCTGTTCTGCTTCAACTCTTGGTCATCTGTGGTGACTAATAAAGAAAATACATCGTATGTTAATATTTAATTTGGATTTAGTAGTGTATGTTGTACTAAAGATTTCCTCCAACAAATGCTATTCACAGGCGAATTAGTATCGAGAATCTCAGTCAAATGATTATATTCTCTAATTACTTACTTACCTACGCCTGTTACTCCCAATGGAACATAGGCCGCCGACCAGCATTCTCAAACCTACTCTGTCTTGAGCCTTCCTTCTTAGTTCTATCCAACTTTCATTCATTATTCTCATATCTGTCTCCATTTATCCGTTTAATGTGTTAGTTGATCTCCTACTTCTCCTTTGGCCTTGAAGATTCCATGTGAGGGGCTAGCTTGTGACGCAGTTGGGTGATTTCCTTAATGGGTGTCCTATCCACTTCCAGAGCTTCTTTCTGATTTCTTCCTCCACTGAAATCTGGCTTGTTCTCTCCCACAGTAGGTTGTTTCTGATAGTGTCTGGCTAACGGATCCGAAGTATATTGAGTAGACAACTGTTAAGGAGCATCTGTATCTTCTGGATGATGACTTTCGTTGTTCTCCAGGTTTCCGCTCCATATAGTAGAACTGTCTTGACATTTGTATTGAAAATTCTGATCTTGGTGTTGATTGACAATTGTTTTGAGTTCCAAATGTTCTTCAGTTTTAAATATGCTATATTCTTTATCTGGTATGACAAATTATTACCGTCCTATTGCAATAAATAACTTTGGAAATTCCAAAGTGACTAACTAAATCTTAATTGACGTTTCATAAATGGCACAGAGTAACCTGTGCTGAAGAATTATATCCTAAGACTTTTGATACGTACTTTTTGTTAAAGTAAAGTTCAACAGATATAAAACTGACTGTTTATAAACACATAAAATCGATTACAGTAGAATGCTTTTTTAATTTCTTAGTTAGGTGACTTTATTCAAGATGTAATTGACAGATATCAATCACATATTGATAATACTTGTTTCTTCCTACCTTATTTAAGCTTTTTTTCCTACTCTCTCCTGTTTTAGCTATGGTATTGGTCTACTTTCTCCTACATCAGACAAAGGTTATATTATGTGTAAACGAAGCGTATCACATACAGGTAATAATGAATATAACTATTATAATCATTTTCATTCGAACTTTAGGTTCCGTGAATATCAGTTTCATAGTTGATGCACCATATGGACGGTAAGTAAGGGTATCAAATTTTATATACTTCGTTTTAACTATGATTACAGCAATGTTTACGTTAAATTAGTTGTTAGTATAGAGTGTTTATGGAGATTACTGAATTTTCCAGTTTAGTGCATGGAATGATCCTAGTTGGACAACTGCTAAAAAACTGGGAAGCACTAGATACCTGTTTTATCCTAGTACGAACACCTCAGCAGTTTGGATCTATAAGCACTACGGGAATAGAACCCATGACTTAATGAACTCCCGGTAATCATTTAGCCACTAGACCATTAAGCCAGCTTCCAGTGGTTCAAGTGCTTATCTTCGATTAATCCGAGATATTGCAAAACTATCTTCCGCCGCTATCAGTTAGTGATCGACATGACCTTGAAATCCCTCAAATGCTTCTGACTGGCTCGTCCATAAATTATAGTCTCACCAATTTGATTTTAAAAGCTGTCCATCACTTGTTTCTTTGCAAATTTTGTATTCCATTTCGATTATTCTCATTTATAAGTTATTGCATAATATGTCACTCATTCAGTCCCACCATTTCTTTCTTTTTTTCCTTTAGAAGTAAAACTTTAGAGTCAGTTTATCGAGTTGACAGAAATGAACAAACTTTTATGCATCAGTCTTATTCCGGTAAATAATTGATAATTATTTTTTTGAGTAATAATAAGTACCAATAATAAAAAGCATTCGATTTCCTTAGAAATAATCACTAGGAGAGTGTTTGGTTTCTCGGATAGAATTATGAACCATTTAACTAATTCAATAAAATGTATTACAATATCTAATCTAACAGTACAACCGATTATGTCACTTCGGGAATACATTTCCTATATTTTACGTCAAGGGCTAATTCAAGTTAGATGACCATTATAAACCAAGAGTTATCTCAGTTACTGTTGAATCCAGGAGCCTCAACTCTTGTGATGAGTGTTTAACCTTTGTACCACTGAGCCAGTATCTAATGATTTCCATATTTAAATTCAATTTCTAATAAGGTTATGAATGCGTACTCCTGAGTAGTCCTATACGTGGACGAAACAAGTGACTAGTACTTCATGGTTATCAGTGATTGTTTAACTAGTATCAGTCCTCCGTGTAGACTATGGAATTCAACAATCTTTGCAATATTTTGTAATGACATATTTTTAGGTTACAAATGAACGAAATAGTTTCTTTTTTTTTTGGGGGGGGGCAATTCTGAGAAATGTTAATGAATTGTATCCATGTAAACACTTTTAATTTGAGTTTTTATGCGAAAATGAATTTTACATGTCTATATTAATATAAATATTTTGTATCTAACTTTAACCTATGGAATTTTTCCGTTATATCTTGTGGCCTTGTGTCCCTAACAATATATGACGTATTGATAGTGCCAATTAGAGAGCAGTGAATTATTAACCGAACCAATGATGCATAAACCCAAAAGAGCAGTCTAGAGTACTTATCGGTCCTTCTCCCTGCCTAGTCCTGCCTATTAAGTCCGAAACACTAGTCTCAGCCTCCGCATTATGAATCGTGTACTTCAAACATACTGGGTTCATATATAAACCAAAACTGACCACATCACACTATAAAATAGAAAATAACATTTGTATAGGATCTAGCCAAAAAGTGGCTGTGAATGAGATATAACATTTTCGTGCAATATTCTCTAACTATTGATATTTATATGAAACGTCTTAATAAGTTACATCTATAAATATATCTCATTGTTTAGAATGAGGGGAAAAATTAGTTTATACCATTGATTTATGCGGAAATGTTTCGGTTTCGTGGTTATAATAATAATAATAATAATAAGCAAAGATGGATAGTGGGTAGCAGTGGGATCCAGGACGCGTGTTTCGTCCTATTTGCGATTCGTCAACCACTATCCATCTTTGCTTACAATGCTTGTCAATTGAGGCAATATCGAGGCAATTCGCACAGTATGCACATATGTCAATAACACACTGATCAATTGCAGTGTTGAACATCAATGGGAAGATCCAAACAAACAATACTAAGTAAATTTAATGATAATCATTGTTGTGATTATTACTACTAACATATTTCAGTTATCAACAATGTTACATCCACTCAAACATCTTCGTCCGGAGGTGGCTCAATTGAAATAACAGGCGAATATTTAAATTATCAAAACGATGTCACAATCTCTGTAGGATATACAAAATGTTCACCAACATTGGTAAATTCAACATATATTCAATGTATCCTTGATCAAATTGAACAAACACCGAAACCTAAATTTTATTCAGGTTAGTTTATGTATACCGTAACAAATTGGTTATGATTGTTTTAGCATGACTTAAACTTGCTTAAATGGTTTGTGAGAATCAGTTCGTTTTGAAGATATTCTTCGTCACCTAACCATAGCAGTCAAAACCCATTTAAAACCAAAGAGTATTCGTAAATTTTCTTCATCCAAATGAAATGTTTCTCAGTTGTCCTCATTGGTGATTTCAAATTGAATCCAACTCCATCAATTTTCAAGTAGAGAAGTATGTACGACACCTTCAGATCATGGAATCATTAGGAAATGATTAACATAAATTTGACTCATTTATAATTACAATCGTCATAGAACTAGATGAATAAGATTATGTAACATTTATTTGTCATGTATTTCAACAAAGCTAAAATATGGATCTTTTTATTTTAAAATCAACAGGGAATCGAGGATTAACTGTTCAGTTTTGGTCAGATTTGAAGGCATCAAGTGTCAGTGACTTGCTGATGATAGATTTTGATCAAATTACAAATACAACTCTAAAAGAAGCATATCTTTACGAACCAGAATTTATACCAAAAGACTTATTTAACGGGACAGGAATAATTCGTCTTTCAATGATATTTGTACCTCCGAAAAATTCTCATTATCAATTCATAGTTACTTCAGCTAATACATATGCTCTTCTTGGTGGAAGAATTAATGAAACTCTGGTATGTCAACATTAGTAAACAACTGTATTTAAATGAAATACTTGTATGATCACAGTCTATAATACCACACCGAATGAAAGTAAAAGCACTAAGCCTACAGAAGTCAACAAATAATAACAAGGCTACTTAGTTATCATAGACAAATGCTTAATCACTGACTTACATGAATCTTTAAATTATTGGCCTATCACTCTCATTGTACTCTGTAAAATTAATGCGTCTAAAGTAGCTTAAGGTTTTTAGCATCTAGAAAACAGCTTAGTCAAAGACCAGCAGCTTGATTCGACTAACTCCAAGTGAAGCGCTTAGTCTCTCAAACAAATAACTAACAAATATTTAATGATCCAATACCATACTTTCTCGCAGCATTACATTTCTAGTAAACTCTAAAACCGTGTTTTGTGATAGTTGGCACATGTTAGCATTGCATAACTGAAATCTTGAAAAAGCTATCTGTAGGTTTCGAACGTATACCATCCAGTATAACTACCCAAGATGTGACTAGTCAGTTAGTTGGTTATTGAATATTTAACGATAAAACCTAGAAATATACACTATAGTCATCGAGAAAATTAGTGCGGATAATCGAATGTATTTGAACACAACATCACAGAATATCTGGGAACCATACAGTAAATACTTCATTTCCAAAATGTCACTCAATTGTCTCAGACTTGACTGTTTATTCGTTTCCACGTGGATCATTCTCTGTTCTCGTTCTCTTTTCTTCGATCTTCCTGACCTTGTGCTTCCAGGTATTTTATTTTCGCTTGATGATACATACTATTTATATCTATCAACATCACTAGCACACACGACAACATTAATTAGTTACTGAGTGATATCCACTATAATATTCTGTAATTGCTAATCGAATTGCATCTCTAATGTTCCAATGAACAGCATCAATGTAACATAGCTAAAATTAAACTCTTTAGTGTAACATTTCTAATGTTCAAAAGACAGATAAGTGATAATAGACTAAAAATTAGAAGATTTGTTGTAAATACAGCCCAGTAGGTATATATTTCATAACAAAATCAGTGTCTTGAATTTTTACACAATTTGTTTTTGATATGCCCTCATCTCAAGGACATCAGGCGAATCGGAAAAACCATATCTTTTTTCAAAGGGGGGGGGAAGTGATAGCTTAGCCAAATCAGAAGTCATCGAAATAATAAGTACTTGTGATTGACCGAAAAATGACTTACTTCTGAACTATGAGATATAGTCCATTAAATGTCTTAACTTTTTAAGGGACAAAATTATATACGTGGACATGAATGATTATATGTGAGTATGTGAATTAGTATATATGTGCTTTAGTCTAGCCAATAAACTCCATTTCTCACTGTCAATCTTTTCGTTCAGGTAGCCGGTCAAACTTATATATAAAAAGACTGTATTTTGGTATCACATCTAGGATACCCGACATTATAAAGTGCCAGCCCCATTGAGTTTGGCCAAGCCTCTTACTTACTTACTTACTTACCTACTTACTTACTTACTTACTTACTTACTTACTTACTTACTTACTTACGCCTGTTACTCCCAATGGAGCATAGGCCGCCGACCAGCTTTCTCCAGCCCACTCTGTTCTGGGCCTTCCTTTCTAGTTCTATCCAGTTCTTGTTCATTCTTCTCATGTCTGTCTCTATTTCTCGGCGTAATGTGTTCTTTGGTCTTCCTCTTCTCCTTTGACCTTCAGAATTCCATATGAGGGTTTGTCTTGTGACACAATTAGGTGATTTCCTCAAAGTGTGCCCAATCCACTTCCAGCGCTTCCTCCTGATTTCTTCCTCCGCTGGAATTTGGTTTGTTGTCTCCCAGAGTAACTTGTTGCTGATAGTGTCTGGCCATCTGATCCGAAGTATCTTGCGTCAAGTATCAAGCCTCTTAAGGTAAAGCCTATTAACTTTTCTGGTAGATGGAAACCATCCTACAAAGCACATATACTCATTATAAGTGTGTGATTTTTGGAAAAATTGTGATAACCGCAGGGTCTGAGAGCGGGATAAATATGCGTTACACGCGTAGCGGTAAGACATAGGTTTACACTTACACACCTCGCAGCATACTCATAGGTGCACTCGCCCTCTTAAGAAGGTAGTCAGTCAACGCTCTCTTCAATATCATTTGCTACTGGTTTCTGGCAATCATGCATCTCATGCACACCAGTGGTACATAGGTTTGCGCCCATTGACTTCATAGCATATACAGAGGCATAAGCACCCTTAAGATAGGGAAGATCGTCACCTCTCACTTCACTTATATTTGCTACCTATCATACTTTCTATGTTTGACAGTCTGATGTTAACATGCCCATAAAACTGCACAACAATTGGATAGCAACCTAAGAATATGTATATAAGATAGATGAAATAACTGCGCTGCATCTATCTCTCTATATCCTTACTATGAAAATGAATTCGTAGTTTTTTTTTACGTCAGCAGCAACATCATTTACTATTCAGATGACTAAGATAACACTTATAACAAAATGTCTTATATATCATAAACAAGAATCATTTATTTTATGTCATCATTACAAAGATGGAATGTATACTCTTGAGGTGAAGAAGAAGAAGAAGAAAAGCAGTCAGACAGTATACAAATAACAACGATAACTTATTACTAGTCAAGTTTCAAGATGTTACATTCCCTAAATTGTTAGTTCATAAACCGAATAAGTAGAATTAGTTTATAAAAGATTTCCAACTGAGAATGATATTTATTTTTCATTTTAGACACAAATGACTATAACAAATAGTCGAACGAAATCAATTTACTTAAACAGAAATGAAGAGTAAGTGTATTTCTTAAAATGTTTCATTTATATGAAAAGAAATACAGTTTGTTAAGCAGTTCGGTGGGTTTGTTTAACATATTGTTAGTGGATAGTTTATTGTTCAAGTTGACTTTAAATAGTAAAGTATTCACATTTATAAGACAAGATTCTTGTTTTGTGTAGCACTACCAATGGAGAGGATTTGTAGCTCAGGTGGATGGTTTTGATGGAGTTTTGTTCTCTGAGCTGGATGGTTTGGTTGTGGAGCTCTCATCGTCTTTATGAACGACATCATCAGCACAAACTTCGGGTACTGATGATGTTGTTCAGAAGAACGATGAAAGCTCCACGACCAAACCATCGAGCACACAGAAAAGAAATCCTTCAAAAAGCTCTATCAGTGTTTCATTTAATTCGAAACTTCTTGTTTAGATATAACTGCACTTTGATAAGTTTGGTTGTTTGCAATGATGAAGCTGAAGTTTCGATTACGTGTAAAATTACAAATACTTAATTGTATTGTTTGTTTGAATCTTCCCATTAGCGTTTGAGACTGCATTTGATTAGTCTCTTAGTAGCTATCGTGACTCAGTAGCTAAGTGGATAACGTGGTGGCGTTTAAAACGTACGGTACTGGGTTCGAGTCCTAGAGTGAACATTTACTCTGGGATGCAGTACATCCAGTTGACAAGTCCCAGATAGGACGAGACACACATCCTGGATTCCACTGCTAACCACCGTCCATCTTTATTTAAATATACTTGTGAAAAATTCATTACCTCACAATAGGAGTTCTTGAAACTTATCACTTCATTGCTTTTTAAAAGTAAATCTTGTCAAATAAGATTTTTCTGTTCTGCAATTCAGTCATAATACATATAGATATGGTTTTCTATACACATAAAAGTGTAAATGGTCATTTGGTGTACCTAAACAAAGTCTTAAATCTTATCAACACTGATACGCTGTTGTCACAAAATACAACAAACCTTTAGACGATAACAACTTCAAACAAAAGTTGCTGAACCCTTCTTCCTAACTGTATGAACTTTTAAATTCATTCAGTATTGTTTGTTTGAATCTTCCCATCGATTTGTTAGGACTGCAACTGGTCAGTCTCTAATCGGCATATGTGCATACTGTGCGTATTGCCTCAATATAGCCTTAATTCACAAGCATGGTAAGCAGAGATGGACGAAACGCGCGTCCTGGATTCCACTGCTAGCCACTATCCATCTTTGCTTATAATACTTTACACTTTGTGAAAAAAATGAGCTATGAATCATCGATTGATTAATCTACACCCTTAATCATTTTTTTACAGTTAGCGAACATAGAAGCAATTTTTTTGGGTGATAAAAATTTGATATTTTTGTACTGTTCTCTTTTTTTTAAACAAATTTCTCTGAAGCTTCTTACTTGAACTTCGTTGTATAATTTCTCAACCTACATCTGTTGTACGCTTATGTGCTTCTTTATCAAATACAAGTTTAAATTACCAACAACTCAAAACATCAAAACCAACATCCTATTTGTTATCGATTAAATCAAACGACAATTCAGAGAAACAAGTATGTATAGCATAGGTGCAATTTTGTTATAATTTTTACTGTGTGTCTCAAGAAAACCTTATATATATTCATCAAATATAGTTCAGCATTACCAATCCTATCAGTCATTAGAATTGACAACATCAAGTGTTATTCGTCAGGATTTCCTATTTTCCCCATTCTTATTTAACTTCCTCATAGACATTGTTTTAGAGATAACGAGATGATAGTCTGACATTGAATGATAACTTGTGAATTAGGGAGTTGAAATAAAGTTAGGCTCACCCAAACAAAAGTGCAGAATCATTCAATGAAGTCGCTGACTGATAAACTACGCAGTATAATTAGATACAGGTTAATTAACTGTTATCTGAAGAACTATAACAACCACTCGAGATCCACCACAGTGCTGTCGAATTATTCAGTCTTTATCATCCCTTGGATCTTAAATATACTGTGATAACTTAAACTGATGAATATATATGCCATGTTCTACATTTTCTATAACTAAATGAATGTGTGAGGAACTAATAGAAACCTGTTAGTACTAAGTAGTTAATTTGTTTCAGTTGAAAATAACGTAGCAATGGAAAACTCAGGATTAAACTCAGGACCTTTAAGTTATGAAAAGCTAACTCATTAACATTATATCACTAGGCTGAAATCCAGAGGCTTAGATTTCCTAATCCAGTCATTTCATGATAAAGCTTACTTCTTATTTAGTGTTATCCATGAGTTAATGTCATACTATTGGTTTTTATTAATCATTCCCTACATGACTGTGTTTATTCATAATTACATAATTTCTTAATTTACTTCATAGGTCATAGATCATTCAGCTTTGATAAACTCTTCAATTGTACCAATATCTGAGATTCAAACAGTCAGTATACCAACGGCCGCTACCCAGTATAAGCTGTGTTTATTTAATTCGTGTACATGTAAGTGATGTGATTTCAATATTCATAAACATAAAAATGACAAGCACAATCTCTTATTAATTTAATTTTCAGGAAAATTAACTTAACAGATCTAGGATGATTTATTTTTCAATATTTTTTTATAGTTAGGATCATGAGTCAATTGAAGCTAGACCACCGTGGAAAACCTGGAAGCACTGGACGGCCGTTTCGTCCTATTATGGGAATCCTCAGGAGTGCGCACCCACGAACCCGCTCTCGCGAGATTCGAACCCAGGACCTACCAGTCTCGAGCCAGAGCCCTTAACCGATAGACAACTGAGCTGGCCGGCATCCAACGGTGTTAGTGTCTAACCTCAACCAATCCACGAAATTGCGCATCCAACTTCCAATGTACTGAGGTAGATACCTGTCTCTACCTGACATGGATTAGCTCCACTGGCCACGACTTCTCACTAGAACTCCAGGAATTACCTCAAGGAGCCAGTCACTAGTGAGCATATGATCATTATCACAAGGGGGTTTTTGTGGAGATTTAGTAATTTTTTATAGTTAAGATCATGAGTCAATTGAAGCTAGACCACCGTGGAAAACCTGGAAGCACTGGACGGCCGTTTCGTCCTATTATGGGACTCCTCAGCAGTGCGCATCCATGAACCCGCTCTCGCGAGATTCGAATTTGAGTAAAAGAGAAAGAGCGAAACTTAATGTCAATATCTAGTTATATGGTAAATTACGTCCTCTTCATTTCTAATTTTGGTACATAAATTAAGAAACTTGGAGAAAGGGTTTAAAAACTATCAATATATAATAGGAACATATTATTAATTACCTGTTAAGTAAACATTCATTGACCAATTAACATATTGAAATCATCATGAACTGCCTATTTAATCAGTATCCTCTTCACTCACTTCACAAAATTCAGGTTAAATAATAATTTATTTACTATTAACCTTAAGATTGTTTGTGTAAAGATGCTCAATGGAAGAAAATTTTCATTCTGAAATGAAATCAACCTAGGAAGTTTAGAATAACATCATTTGTTAGTCGCTGATGTTTAAGAATGAATAAAATTCTAATCTTTGAAGAATCCCATATGGATACTGATTCTCTAACTAAACGATGGTGTTTTAAAATAAATGAATGTTACTATATGATGGAAAAGATTTGCAGCTCAGGTGGATGATTTTGTTGGAGTTTGGTTCTCTGAGCAGGATGGTTTGGTTGTGGAGCTTTCATCGTCCTTCTGAATGACATCATCAGCAAAAAACTTCGGGTGCTCCACGACCAAACCATCCAGCCCAGAGAATAAAACTCCATCAAGAATGTTACTATATTTTACTGTACAAAAACACCTTTAAGTAATCAATTCTTCCTTCAAAACTTTACTTGATATGATTTTGCTAACCACTTACCTAAGTTATCAACTCACTGAAGCGGATACATTTGAATTGTATTATTCAGGATATCAGTAGTATAGCGTTATACTTAACTTAAAAGACAGTAAAATAATGTTTTCTATAATTGTTAAATCATGTAAAATTATTATTTCAGTGCCTTTACCAGTTCAAAATCCAAATGTTGATTTAATTAATGAAGAGATTAGCGAGAAATTGAATGGTTCTTCTGTGAAAACGAAAATTGTACAAACAACAAATGATTATTTGATCCTTGAAATAACGTTTCCTCAAGAGTTTGGTATGTATATAATGATGATGTTGACTATTAGTTATTTAATATACTGTACAGCCATTAACAGATATTCTTTTGATAGTTTTTAATTAACGAACTGATTTCATCTAGATCATCAGTGAGAACTAGTAAGCACTAGACAGATGTTTCGTCCTTGCATGGAAATTCTTAGACATGCATAACCAAGACTGGGCCACAAGGAATCGAATCCAGGACCTTCAGTATTGCACGTGAATGTTAACTATCTAAACCACCTACCCAGCATTCAATGGTGTATATATGTAACTTCAATCAATCCTCAAACGATATTGTGCAAACATCTAGTACTTGCAGTGGACAACTATCTCTAATCCAACATGGTTGAACTCCATGAATCACAACTTCTCACTAGATCCCCACGCATTTTTTCTTAAAGCTTATCACCAGTGAACACATGATGACTGTTGGTTTAGGAATTTTTAAAGGTGCTAGAAGTTTCCTAGTTTTTAAACCATAAATTATTTTGGCTAGACCATTATCGAAAGTCGGTATTCCCTGCTATGAAAACTCTACAACCTCTACAAAACCTTATACTGAAAATACATTGTTTCTTCTAAAGCGAATGAATCTATCACAGTATTATCAACAAGTATTTACGTAAAATAATACACAAAACAAAGTGAATGGTAATTGATAGCTAAAAGTTTCCTGCTACTACATTACTTCTGTTACGCCTCACAGAGGAGCATAGGCCGCCCACCAGCACTCTCCATGCACCTCTGTCCTTGACAATCTTTTCCAGTTCTTTCCAGCTGCTTTTCATCTTTTTTCATATCTGCTTCCATTTCACGACGTAGTGTGTTTTTAAGCCTTCCTCTTTTCCGCTTCCCTTCAGGATTCTAAGTTAGTGCTTGCTTCGTAATGCAAAGTTTTCTTACATTTTGATTAAAAATTTTTTATTGTTAACTGAAAGTTAATAATGCTAATTTCGTTATATGCAAAAAAATAATAAGGCACACACATATCCATTTGACCTTACACAAAAGAAAACGTTTTTGACCATAACAGTAATCACATGTAATAAAGTCCATTAAGCTTATATTTAAACTCTAATAAACAAATCATGTATATTATTTATACTAATTTGATTTATATTACATCAATTATTACAACAAAGGTGATATACCATTGCTAAATGTACAAAGCTTTCCGGAAACAATCAACAAACCACAAGTTAATGAAACTGTACAAGGAATGACAGGATTTTCGAATACAATTAGACCATCCTATGGTGGTATGTACTCATATATGACCTATACACTTACCAGTACTGAAAATGAAGTAAGTAAATATAATGAACAGTACCACGATATTTTGTAAAATCTTTGAAGTGAAAACTCATTATTTGATATTATATTGTTTGATTGATCATTATGTTTAATTGTATCATTACTACTTATATTATAGATTCGACAAGCATATCTCAATCTTGGCTCATCATGGTGCCCTTCTAAATTGATTAATCCTACATTTAAATATGCTGTTCTAGATGATTTTGAAACATCAACACTTAATACTGTTACAACAGAAACAGTCGCATTTTGTGGTCGACAATCTGCTTTCAATTTATTTACCTACCAATTTACTCAACTTATCTCAGTTAACACTAATCCTTATGTAAGTTAATTATTCTTGATAGAACAACGTTTTGTATTATAATAAAGTTTTTTCTATGATTCAAAGAAATAGTTACCCTTAGCTACCAAAAAAAGTTGTTATCAGAATGTTTTCCTTATAAAAGATACTACTATTTAAGCTAATCAGTAGTTGACTATACAATATGTATTGTTTCCTATCAATTAGATCATTAACTGATTAGATTATTGTAATGATAAGATTCTATATTTATACTTAAAGATCCTTACTGATATGACAGAATCAATATTATTTATAAATCATCCATTGGTTTAAGAGGAATAAGTTGGTGCAAATAGCCAATTGACTCATTAACTTTTTGAGAATAATATACCCAAAATTGAACCAATCAATTAACAGTTATGATATCAAAAATGTATGAACCAAGAGTTATTGTAAACTTATACTGTATGGCTATCAAGACTCAGTAGGTAGATGAGTGGATAACGTGATAGCATTTGGAGCGAAAGATACTGGGTTCGAGTCCCAGAGTGAACATGAACTCTGAGATACATGTACATCCAGCTGATGAGTCCTATATAAGACAAAACACGCGTCGTGGATTCCACTGCTAGCCACTATCCATCTTTGTTTATTGTGAAGATTGTTATTTCTTGATAATTTTTTTATTTATTATAACCATTTTTATTACGATCTAAATTGAAATTATATTTTTACTGTTAAACCAGCAGATATGCAACTTATCTGATTAAAATTGATTGTTTGATACTAAAACAACTGATAGATTTAAATAGAGAACAGAAATATTTAAAATGATATTTTCGTGTGTAGTTATTTTAAAATATTCCATTATTAATATGTAGAAATGAATGATTAAAAGTTTGGTCAGAAATAAAACTAATCACAGTGGTCTAGAGGTTAAGCGCTCAGGCGTGAGACTGGTAGGTCCTGAGTTCGAATCTCGCGAGGCGAGATCGTGAATGCGCACTGCTAAGCAGTTCACAATAGAATGAAACGGCCGTCCAGTGCTTCTATGTTTTTTATGGCGGTCTAGCTTCAACTGACTCGTGAATTCAACTATATAATCACATAAGTGTTGGGTAAAATGGACTCAATCGTTAAGTGAGTAACATGTTAACAGTTTTAAAGGAAACGTTCTGGGTTTGATTCTACAATGAATATCAACTTCAAGATACAGGTTCATTTAGTTGATGATTCCGAAATGGGGAAAAACTCATTTTCTAGATACCTTTGTTAGCCACATTCCATATATATTTATTGGAAAAGACAATGAAAAGACAAGTTTTCCTTGAAGAATAAAGATAGTTTATTGACAGCGGAGATGAAAAACTTAGAAATAGAATTGGTTTATCTCATTCAGCAAATTTAGTTATCCTAAGTTCCTTTAAATTTTCCAAGGAATCAAGTTACATAAATGATGATTGGTTTTTGATTTATTTCCATGGTACATATAGAAAGATTTAACTAAATTCAACCTAAATGCATTTAACACATAAATTACTTTTTGTCGTTAGAATGACAACAATTCGAAATCTGGATTATTTGTTAGTTGTTTTATAGTATGATGTAAAGCCTTGCAATTGTATACTCAAAATCTAATAACCAAAAAGAATACTGGCGATCGTACCATCTTAGGTTAAGTGGACATCTAACGACCTTATATTTATAACTTCAGTTAACTCATGATATTACGTAACTATTATCATTTTTCATCAATTAGTGAAATAACTATCCAGGATTTGATTGTCTAAAGAAGCGGAAAATAATCAATCATTATATTGAATGACTACGTTGATTCATAACGGTGTATATTTGTACTAATTAAAATGTATTCCATCAAATATCACTTACAATTTTCATGGTTGAAAGCGTGAGTCAATTGAAGCTAGATCACCATCGAAAACCTGGAAGCACTAGACTGCCGTTTCGTCCTATTGTGGGACTACCCGGCAGTGCGCATCCACGACCTTGCCTCGCGGGATTCGAACCCAGGACCTGTCAGTCTTGCGCCAGAGCACTTAACCGATAGAACACTGAGCTGGCATCCAATGGTGTTTATGCTTAACTCCAACCAATCCACGAAGTTGAGCAACCGTTCATCAGTTGTCTTCAGTGAGATGATACTTCACAACAGACTCGGTTTGAACCCCACTGGTCACTCGCGAGGCGAGGTCGTGGATGCACACTGCTGAAGAGTCCCACAATAGGACGAAACGGCATTCCAGTGCTTCCAGGTTTTTCCTGGTGGTCTAGCTTCAATTGACTCACGTTTTCAATAATGAAAATATTAAATCTCCACAAAAAACCTTCTGACTTACAATTTTGTTTGTTTTTTTCGCTTTTTTTTGAAACAAACATTTTTTTGCAAATTTACTTATAGTTATGTTTTGCAATAAAAGGAAAAACGAAAAACAGTGTAAATTTACTATACAATGCTATTGGTGTAACATCTCGTTTATTGAAACAAACATTAACCTATTCAATTGATCTTACACTAAAAGATGAAAATTCGTAAGTTGATTTCTTCTTGTTAAATTAAATACTACGTCTGAATATTTTTTACGAAACTAATAAGTTTATCGGTAATAATATCATGGTTGGACATAATAGTTTTAAATAAATTGAGCATCGGGTAGAGATATAAGCAAAGATATATAGTAGCCAGCAGTGGAATCCAGGACGCGCGTTTCGTTCTATTTGAGACTCGTCAGATGGATGTACCTGTATCTGAGGCGATGTTCACTTCGGGACTCGAACCCAGTACCTCTCAATTCAAACGCCATCGCATTATCCACTGAGCTACTGAGTCCTGTTAGCCACTTGCTTGTGCAATCGGTTGAAGTTTAAATTCACCTGGTATTGTTTGGTTGAATCTTCCCATCGATGTTTAAGACTGCAATTGATCAGTCTCTCATTGGCATATGTGCATCCTGTGTGCATTATAAGCAAAGCCACTATCCATATTTGCTTATAATGCTGGTGAATTCAGGTTATATCGAGGCTATACGCACAGTATGCACATATGTTAATAAGAGACTGATCAATTGCCGTGCTAAACATCAATGGGATGATTGAAACAAAATATTACCAAGTGAATTAAGTAGAGAGTTAATTATAAATATATTTTTGTTATATCTTATGAATAGAAAAATTATATTTCTGGTGTTTCGTGACTGAATGTAAACTACTTCTTCAGAGTAAATATGTAACCGAAATTTCGATGAGAAGAAGAACACTTTATATACTTATGTAAATATTATAATAATCTGATAGATGCATGTATTTGTTTTTGTAAGTCACCTAGTTCATTATCTGAATTGTCCATAATAATAATTGTTTAAATAAAAAAGAATTCACTAAATACGAGAGTAACTGGTTGATTAGACCTTTTACAAAAGAGGTGACTAATAAATAATTATCTTTGAAGTTGAATGTATGAACCGTCGGCTAATGACTCTGTGATCTAATTCTGAAATGTTTATCACAAAATCTGAAGATCTTGGATTTGATCTACTGTGGGATCGTGTGCTCACACTCTCTCTGAGTTCAACACTAGAATAAAATAATTATTTAGCTTTTCCTGGTTTTCATTGTTTGCCTAGCTAAAATCAGTCAGTGATGTTAACTAAACAATGGTTTTCTAACAATAGAAAACGTTTTCAATTAGCAGAATAGTGGAAAAGCGGTAAATACAGTCAGTTAGTTGAAAGAACGTAAAGAATGTTTTTAAGTGGTATAATGTAAACTGGGATATAAAACTTTATTCCTTGTATCAAGTAGATTTATAGAACTAGTTAGTTAGATTGCAGTACAAGGAATTACTTTCATTATCAGAGTCGCGAAAAAAAATAATTTCAAAATATATAGAATGATCACCTACTGACTTAAATTTCATGTTACTTATATATTCTCAAGAAGCTTATTCCATTAGATTATTAACTTGATTTTACCAATACCTGTTATCATTTTCCGGGTGAGTAAAGGAGATAATAATATAATATAGCATAGACCGCCTATCAGCATTCTCTATACAACTCTGTCCTGGACAAGCCTTTTAGCTCTTTCCAGTTGATATTCATTCTTTCAATGTCTGCTTACAATTCCCGACGCCACATGTTCTTTGGTATTCCTCTTCTTCGTTTATCTTCAAGATTCCAAGTTAGTGCTTGACTCGTGATGCAGTTTGACGGTTTCCGAATTGCATGTCTCATACACTTCAACCTCCTTTTACTAATTTCCTCATCAGATGGAAGATGGTTTGTTCGCTTACACAATAGGCTGTTGTTGAGTCTCTTATGTAAACAATTGTTTATAAATACTCATACGCTTTTAATGATGTTTGTGGTAGTTTTCTAAGTTTCAGCTCCATGGAGTAGAACTGTCTTGGAGTTCATATTGAAGATTCTGAATTTGATATTGGTTGAAACTTGTTTTGAGTTCCATACGTTCTTGTCCTTGCTTAGCCAATCCGTGCTTACACATCTGCATCAGATCATTCTACTTTGTCGATGATGCTGTCCAGCTACGTGAAAGATTCCACATCTTCTAGAATTTCTCCATCAAGTTTGATTGTGTTAGTGTTCTCTGTATTGTATTTCACAACCTTGCCTTTTCCCCTGTGTATGTTGAGGCCTACTGCTTCAGAGGCTTCTTTTACACTGTCTGTCTTCACCTTCATTTCTTATTGTGTATGGGATAAAAGAACTAGTTCATCTGGGAATTTCGAATCGTATAGTTGCATCCACGTTGTCAATTGTACTCCGTGTTCCCCTAAGATATGGAGGTCTTTTACATATTAATGTAATCATGTAAAAGAATCAAACACTGTGATCAGACTACGTAAAACAAAATTCATTTTGCATATTTGAATAACTGTTTCGCCAATCTTTATATGACATACCAAATATTTCACAACTAAATTCAATAGACTTTGAGTATGAAGTTAGTGGTCCTTAAATAGTAATCAATGGCATATTCAATTGTCATGAGAGTCAATCAAATTCAAAGTTGTAATAATTCCGATAGTTTAACTTTATTTTCGAATATTATCCATTTAAAAGTAGTCACTAGCAAGCTCCATTTATATTGTTCATGTAACATTAAGAATTAGGGGATGAAAATTCATAAGTATTTAGTGACTGACTGGTAAAATCGGTTTAGTCCTACGGGGAATCAGTCGCCTAAGTGATAATATCTGAATGAATGATCTCACTTGAAAAGTCAGTTTCTTCAAAACTTCATTACTAATAATGACCAACTACAAAAAAGGCATTTCAAAATACTATAATAAGTTAGTCATGAATTTAAATGGTTTAATCTGTTCTATTTCTATTCTATTCCATCTAGTTGGAAATTCAAATGTATTAATGTACTACAATTACTTCGTACAGATCCACGCAATATAAATGCAACAATTTTTCAACTTGAATCATTTGCTATACCACCAAGAAAGAAATTTTACGAATTGGAATATAGTTTATTCTTAGATACAGTATATATGGGAACAAAACCAATTTCCGATAATCCAGATGGTAAATTGTAGCATCAATGTATAAATGAATTGTTTACTATTTATTGATAGTTTTGTTGGCATGACATTATGTGGGATGAATTGCTAAACTTTAAAGCTTCCACTTCAGTTATGAATAATATCATTATTATTTATTCCAAATGAAAGTAATCACGAACTCTAAGTCAGTTCACTTAGTATTGTTTGTTTGAAACTTCCCATTGATGTTTAGCACTGCAACTGGTCAGTCTCTAATTGCGTATTGTGTGCGTATTGTCTCGATATAGCCTTAATTCACAAGCATTGTTAGCAAAGATGGATAGTGGCTAGTAGTGTAATCCAGTTTGACGAGCGTTTCATCCTATTTGGGACTCGTCAGATGGATGTACCTGCATTTCGGAGTCGATGTTCACTGTGGGACTCGAACCCAGTACCTTTCGCTTGAAACTTCATCGCCAGAGTGAACATTAACTCTGAGATGCAGGTACATCAAGCTGAAAAGTCCCAAATAGGACGAAAAGCGCGTCAAACTGGATTCCACTGCTATCCACTATCCATATTTACTTCTAAGTCAGTTCGTTCTGATACTTTTTTGTTTATAATTGATTGTCTTTATACACTGTTAGCTTTATGTATCTTTGAGTTCTCATTGACTATTGTGCTATTTGATAATATTGTTCTGAATATCAATAAAAACTTCTTTATTAAACCAGCTACCTCACAGAATGTAACACCATGAAAATCATCCATCTGTGCTACAAATATTCTATATCACTTATCGAAATTCATGATTGGTTTATTCATTTCATCTGTAGGTGTTTAAGAATAAATTTAGTAATTCAATATTATCTATGTTGAATACAAATAAGGTGTTATAACTTGTGTTCGCCAATTAGAGAGCAGTGATTTATTGATCAGACCAACGACAGACAAAACTTGTACGAGCAGTCTTGAGTACTTATCGGTTTTCCTCTCTGTCTAGCCCAGCCACTTAAGTCCAGAACATCGGTAACAGCCTCTGGAATATGAATCGTTATATTTCAAACATACTGAGTTGATATACCAATCAAACAGATCATACCGTACCGTAAAATAGAAATTAACATCTATACAAGATTTGGCCCAAAGTAGCTGTAAATGTGGGGAACAGTAATTAATAGACTGAGTATAATTCAAGAACAGTAAATCATATAGTAACAGTTCATAGGTTAAAATAAAGCCTATAATAAGAGGGATACGAATATGTATAGTTTAGTTGGTTAACACTTATACAATAAAAATGTATGTATCATTTGGGTCCATAAATAGTTATCAAAAGTTACCATTCATTCTTTTCCCATAGTTCAATAGTTATCCTCTTTTTATTTTGAATCTTCATAAAAATCCAACTGTAAGGTTCATTTTTTTGACACACTGATTACATAAATACTACTGATTAGGATCATAGTTGGTCTATAAACTTTAATATACTGTGGGTTTTTATCCACTTGACTTTTGAGTAAGTAAGTACCTGTAACTATTCATCTAACTACATTCTATCTGAATTTTGAAGAATTTACAATTTTACACATTCTATCTATTTAAGTTAGTAAGTCAAAAATTAAGTAAATTGTCATGAATACTTTAGAACGGATTCATCAGTCAATAAAATTTGGAAACAAACAATTAGATGAGACAAGTTATAATTACTTATATTGATATTTTGTTGGTAATTAATTTATCAGAATTGTTTTTTTCTGGTTAGCGTTTTTTTAGCTAGTTAGTATTCTACGGGATGGGGTGGCTAAACCCATGCCCAACCCTCCTCCTTTATCCGGGCTTGGGACCGGCAGTAGCCTATGGGAGGGGCTACAGGCGTAGTTAATTAATTTACCAGATATAGATACATATACTTAATTTCAAGTCTAACCTCTAAGTATGAAAGCTAGTTATACCAGCTGATTAACTTGACTAAAATAAGTGTGGAGAAGTTCGAACTTGTGACTGGATGTTTGAAAGTTGAATAGTTTAACCATTTAGCCATTTCATCCAATTTATACCATGTAAAGAACTTTGCAAATGTTTTAAATTTGATAACTGTGTCAGGTATCTATGCAAATAAATATTGGAATAATAATTTCATTGTCTCGATGACTTATTAGCTCGAGATCATTAGTTTCATATTAATAATCTAAATAACTGAATATGTATACATGGATTATTGTTAGTAGCCGAATCCACGCCGTTTCATTTTATTTTAAGCTTTCATCTTTGATCTATTGTGTTACACTAATAATTGAACTCATAAATTCTATATTTCAATACATTCAAACAAATCGTTCAATTTGAATGATACAAGCCATTTAAGTTTATGAAATGAAAAATCCAGACTCATTGAATAAATCCTTTGCATTTATGAACATATATAAGTTATTTTCAGATCAAAACGTGAAATAAAACCATGATGCTTTAGGGATTGGTGCCAGTTTCATGTTACAATTAAACATAATTGGATAGAGTTGAGATCATTAGTCAATTGAAGCTAGACCACCAGGGAAACCTGGAAGCATTGAACGGCCGTTTCGTCCTATTGTGGGACTCCTCAGTAGTGCGTATCCACGATCCCGAGATTCGAACCCAGGACCTAACAGTCACGCGCCAGAGCACTTAACTGATAGACCACAGAGCCGGTATCCAACGGTGTTAATGTCTAACTTCAACCGATACACGAAATTGAGCAACCATTCACCAATATCATCAATGAGTTGATATCTCCCGACAGGCCTGGTTGAACTCCACTGGAATTGAAATATTTTTGATAAACGAGGTTGGAGGGGGAAGTAATTAGGCGATACCTTTTATTTAAAAGATGTTAATTTATTCTTTTTCACCCCTATTATCATACCATAATCTGTCATTATTCATGTGCAATTTTATCCTGATAATCAAGTTATTTTGTTTCAGAAAAAATTACCTAATTCATTCTAGTATGATATATTCATTGATTAGTCAAGAAAACTACTGAAACATCAGATAAATACTTTAAACCTTTTCCCTTCATAATATTTATCAGACGTTGTTACATGGCCACGATTTCCAAAAGATATATTCAGTGATATTAAAATAACAAAGAATTTAACAACCTTTGGTGTATTCACAGTTGAAATAATAACCAAATCATGTAGAACCAATTTTGAACTGTTTGGATTAACCGGTGTGAATGTAAGTTTAATTTTACATTATATTATTGTGTTTCATTTAATTAGAAGGGGTTTTGTGGAGATTTAGTATTTTCATAGTTGAAAGCATGAATCGATTTAAGCTAGATCATCAAGGAAAACTTAGATGAACTGAACTTACGATTCATCCTTTTGTGGGACTCCTCAGCAATGCGTATACACGACCTCGCCTCGCGAACGAAACGGCCGTTCAGTGCTTCCAGGTTTTCCTTGGTGATCTAGCTTCAATTGACTCAAGCTTCCATCTATATCATTTAATTGTTTTAAAACTTATGATGACGGTAGACATCTTACAATTAGTTTCTTATTGATAATTTACTTTGTTAAATAAGATATAATGATTCATATTTTCCATTATATCAAACATTAAGATGCCAAATGACAATAAAACTATTAATCAAAAAGTAATCCTTCGAGATGAAAGATGGCCACCAACTGTTCAAAGTTCAGTAGCACGAATTCAATCAGCTTCACCACCTATTGATGGAAATTTTATCTTATCATTTAAAGGAGTACCTACTTCACGTGAGTAAAATTATTCTGTTATAACTTGTGACTTATCGATACCTTGTGCTGAAGTCATCAATAAAATTTCTGATTTTAATGTTTGCTATCCCTCGTCTGTCGTTTAGTGTCCTAGACTTGACTAGTTATCACAATTAACCTTAAGCCTGAACATGCTGACCATCTATTGGTCTACTATCTACAATTCTTCTTTTATTCCTTTACTCCGAGCCCGAAAAGAAGTCAACAGTCAACTTTTACTACATTATATACAAACACACTGGATCGAATTACACCATAAAATGGAAAATCACATTTATTGAGGGACAAACCAAAAGTGGCTGTCAAAAGAACATTGTGTGAAAAGTCGATAGGCAGTAACTAAGGAATATAAATCAGTTTAATAATCGTTAACTAACTAAACTAAAGCTTACGGTAAACGGAATATATATATAAGCTTAGAAATCTAGTCAGTTAGTAATTATACAATAAGGATAAATATAATAATAATAAACAATACTAAGTGAATTTAAACTTCACCCCATTGCACAAGCAAGTGGCTATCAGGACTCAGTAGCTCAGTGGATAACGCGATGGCGTTTGAAGCGATAGGTACTGGGTTCGAATCCCACAGTGAACATCAACTGTGAGATGCAGGTACATTCAGCTGCTAATTCCCAAATAGGGCGAAGCTCTCGTCAAACTGGACTCCACTGCTAGCCACTATCCATCTCTGCTTACAATGCTTGTGAATTAAGGCTATATCGAGGCTATATGCACGGTATGCACATAGGCCAATAAGAGACTGATCAATTGCAGTCCTAAAAATCAATGGGAAGATTCAAACAAACAATACCAAGTGAATTTAATCCACAAATTAGTTCTTCAGTACATTTTGTTTACCTTAATATTGGGCTGACTTTTATTCACTTGACAAAAGTTTCAATTGTAAATCAACGTAATCTAATGGAATATTGATAACAGAGTAATTTCTAGATGCACACATGCGTATAAGCAACTAAACACTTATTAGATGGTTTTAAAGTTATCTATAAAATATAACTGTAATATAAGTTTTCAATTAGGAATTGGTAACAACATTGCCTAAACAAGAACCTTTCATTCCATTTCATGGTAACTTTGTAAAGTCCAACTAGCTAACAGAGATTTACTGTCAAGTAAAGATATGAAATAACTGTAAAAACTCCCGTGTTCATAGCTTCACAATCCGACGTGTTACCACTCAGCTGACCGAGTTGCGACTGGTGTGTTGCAGGATTTAAATAGTTAAAACTGATTACACGCTGGATATTGATTAATATTTTATCTGTCTAGTCCCCTTATCTCAATAATAAAGGCACACTTTAGTGACGAGTCTAGAGCAAAATGATACATACGTTTAGGGTTTTGTATTAAATACCTCCTACTGACTTATACCAAAACATAGTCCACGTAATGTCGATTTATTTAGACTACTGGCTATTGAATTCCATTAACACTAGGCACTAGAACCTTAACTTAATCCTTACCAATATTTATAACTCAAATCAAAACAAAAAATGTGTGAATGAATGCTTATTTCAAACAACATTCATACACAACTTGATGAACTGGTAAATTTAAACAAAGTTAGAACAACATGTTGTATGGAATAAAATGAATTCATAATTGTATTTGAAGACTGCTTATTTCAGCTACAAATAGCTTAAGTTTACAAGGTGTAATATATTCAGGAATCAAATTTTGATATACCATAGTTGGTGAAGTTGAAATGGATACTTAAAATAAAACAGCAAACCCTAATGAGAATGATGGAATACAGAATATCTGAATAGACATAATTACGACTGACGCGTGTTTACATATTGAAAAAGTAGTGATGAAGAGCAGGGACGGTGAGATTATAGTTAATAATAATAATATTAATAATAAGGGGATTGAATGGTCTATCGAGATAACTAGAATATTGTTATTCCTTTTTGTCCAAACTTTTGTTTAGCATTGTTTAGCATGTTTAGCATTGCAACTGGTCAGTCTCTAATTGCGTATTGTGTGCGTATTGTCTCGATATAGCCTTAATTCACAAGCATTGTAAGCAGAGATGGATAGTGGCTAGCAGTGTAATCCAGTTTGACGAGCGTTTCATCCTATTTGGGACTCGTCAGATGGATGTACCTGCATTTCGGAGTCGATGTTCACTGTGGGACTCGAACCCAGTACCTTTCGCTTGAAACTTCATCGCCAGAGTGAACATTAACTCTGAGATGCAGGTACATCAAGCTGAAAAGTCCCAAATAGGACGAAAAGCGCGTCAAACTGGATTCCACTGCTATCCACTATCCATATTTACTTCTAAGTCAGTTCGTTCTGATACTTTTTTGTTTATAATTGATTGTCTTTATACACTGTTAGCTTTATGTATCTTTGAGTTCTCATTGACTATTGTGCTATTTGATAATATTGTTCTGAATATCAATAAAAACTTCGTTATTAAACCACCTACCTCACAGAATGTAACACCATGAAAATCATCCATCTGTACTACAAATATTCTATATCACTTATCGAAATTTATGATTGGTTTATTGATTTCATCTGTGTGTGTTTAAGAATAAATTTAGTAATTCAATATTATCTATGTTGAATACAAATAAGGTGTTATAACTTGTGGTCGCCAATTAGAGAGCAGTGATTTATTGATCAGACCAACGACAGACAAAACTTGTTCGAGCAGTCTTGAGTACTTATCTGTCCTCCTCTCTGTCTAGCCCAGCCACTTAAGTCCGGAACATCAGTAACAGCCTCTGGAATATGAATCGTTATATTTCAAACATACTGAGTTTATATACCAATCAAACAGACCATATCGTACCATAAAATAGAAAATAACATCTATACAAGATTCGGCCCAAAGTAGCTGTAAATGTGGGGAACAGTAATTAATAGACTGAGTATAATTCAAGAACAGTAAATCATATAGTTATAGTTCATAGGTTAAAATAAAGCCTATAATAAGAGGGATACGAATATGTATAGTTTAGTTGGTTAACACTTATACAATAAAAATGTATGTATCATATGGGTCCATAAATAGTTCTCAAAAGTTACCATTCATTCTTTTCCCGTAGTTCAATAGTTATCTTCTTTTTATTTTGAATCTTCATAAAAATCCAACTGTAAGGTTCATTTTTTTGACACACTGATTACATAAATACTACTGATTAAGATCATAGTTGGTCTATAAACTTTAATATACTGTGGGTTTTTATCCACTTGACTTTTGAGTAAGTAAGTACCTGTAACTATTCATCTAACTACATTCTATCTGAATTTTGAAGAATTTACAATTTTACACATTCTATCTATTTAAGTTAGTAAGTCAAAAATTAAGTAAATTGTCATGAATACTTTAGAACGGATTCATCAGTCAATAAAATTTGGAAACAAACAATTAGATGAGACAAGTTATAATTACTTATATTGATATTTTGTTGGTAATTAATTTATCAGAATTGTTTTTTTCTGGTTAGCGTTTTTTTAGCTAGTTAGTATTCTACGGGATGGGGTGGCTAAACCCATGCCCAACCCTCCTCCTTTATCCGGGCTTGGGACCGGCAGTAGCCTATGGGAGGGGCTACAGGCGTAGTTAATTAATTTACCAGATATAGATACATATACTTAATTTCAAGTCTAACCTCTAAGTATGAAAGCTAGTTATACCAGCTGATTAACTTGACTAAAATAAGTGTGGAGAAGTTCGAACTTGTGACTGGATGTTTGAAAGTTGAATAGTTTAACCATTTAGCCATTTCATCCAATTTATACCATGTAAAGAACTTTGCAAATGTTTTAAATTTGATAACTGTGTCAGGTATCTATGCAAATAAATATTGGAATAATAATTTCATTGTCTCGATGACTTATTAGCTCGAGATCATTAGTTTCATATTAATAATCTAAATAACTGAATATGTATACATGGATTATTGTTAGTAGCCGAATCCACGCCGTTTCATTTTATTTTAAGCTTTCATCTTTGATCTATTGTGTTACACTAATAATTGAACTCATAAATTCTATATTTCAATACATTCAAACAAATCGTTCAATTTGAATGATACAAGCCATTTAAGTTTATGAAATGAAAAATCCAGACTCATTGAATAAATCCTTTGCATTTATGAACATATATAAGTTATTTTCAGATCAAAACGTGAAATAAAACCATGATGCTTTAGGGATTGGTGCCAGTTTCATGTTACAATTAAACATAATTGGATAGAGTTGAGATCATTAGTCAATTGAAGCTAGACCACCAGGGAAACCTGGAAGCATTGAACGGCCGTTTCGTCCTATTGTGGGACTCCTCAGTAGTGCGTATCCACGATCCCGAGATTCGAACCCAGGACCTAACAGTCTCGCGTCAGAGCACTTAACTGATAGACCACAGAGCCGGTATCCAACGGTGTTAATTTCTAACTTCAACCGATCCACGAAATTGAGCAACCATTCACCAATATCATCAGTGAGTTGATATCTCCCAACAGGCCTGGTTGAACTCCACTGGAATTGAAATATTTTGATAAACGAGGTTGGAGGGGGGAAGTAATTAGACGATAACTTTTATTTAAAAGATGTTAATTTATTCTTTTTCACCCCTATTATCATACCATAATCTGTCATTATTCATGTGCAATTTTATCCTGATAATCAAGTTATTTTGTTTCAGAAAAAATTACCTAATTCATTCTAGTATGATATATTCATTGATTAGTCAAGAAAACTACTGAAACATCAGATAAATACTTTAAACCTTTTCCCTTCATAATATTTATCAGACGTTGTTACATGGCCACGATTTCCAAAAGATATATTCAGTGATATTAAAATAACAAAGAATTTAACAACCTTTGGTGTATTCACAGTTGAAATAATAACCAAATCATGTAGAACCAATTTTGAACTGTTTGGATTAACCGGTGTGAATGTAAGTTTAATTTTACATTATATTATTGTGTTTCATTTAATTAGAAGGGGTTTTGTGGAGATTTAGTATTTTCATAGTTGAAAGCATGAATCGATTTAAGCTAGATCATCAAGGAAAACTTAGATGAACTGAACTTACGATTCATCCTTTTGTGGGACTCCTCAGCAATGCGTATACACGACCTCGCCTCGCGAACGAAACGGCCGTTCAGTGCTTCCAGGTTTTCCTTGGTGATCTAGCTTCAATTGACTCAAGCTTCCATCTATATCATTTAATTGTTTTAAAACTTATGATGACGGTAGACATCTTACAATTAGTTTCTTATTGATAATTTACTTTGTTAAATAAGATATAATGATTCATATTTTCCATTATATCAAACATTAAGATGCCAAATGACAATAAAACTATTAATCAAAAAGTAATCCTTCGAGATGAAAGATGGCCACCAACTGTTCAAAGTTCAGTAGCACGAATTCAATCAGCTTCACCACCTATTGATGGAAATTTTATCTTATCATTTAAAGGAGTACCTACTTCACGTGAGTAAAATTATTCTGTTATAACTTGTGACTTATCGATACCTTGTGCTGAAGTCATCAATAAAATTTCTGATTTTAATGTTTGCTATCCCTCGTCTGTCGTTTAGTGTCCTAGACTTGACTAGTTATCACAATTAACCTTAAGCCTGAACATGCTGACCATCTATTGGTCTACTATCTACAATTCTTCTTTTATTCCTTTACTCCGAGCCCGAAAAGAAGTCAACAGTCAACTTTTACTACATTATATACAAACACACTGGATCGAATTACACCATAAAATGGAAAATCACATTTATTGAGGGACAAACCAAAAGTGGCTGTCAAAAGAACATTGTGTGAAAAGTCGATAGGCAGTAACTAAGGAATATAAATCAGTTTAATAATCGTTAACTAACTAAACTAAAGCTTACGGTAAACGGAATATATATATAAGCTTAGAAATCTAGTCAGTTAGTAATTATACAATAAGGATAAATATAATAATAATAAACAATACTAAGTGAATTTAAACTTCACCCCATTGCACAAGCAAGTGGCTATCAGGACTCAGTAGCTCAGTGGATAACGCGATGGCGTTTGAAGCGATAGGTACTGGGTTCGAATCCCACAGTGAACATCAACTGTGAGATGCAGGTACATTCAGCTGCTAATTCCCAAATAGGGCGAAGCTCTCGTCAAACTGGACTCCACTGCTAGCCACTATCCATCTCTGCTTACAATGCTTGTGAATTAAGGCTATATCGAGGCTATATGCACGGTATGCACATAGGCCAATAAGAGACTGATCAATTGCAGTCCTAAAAATCAATGGGAAGATTCAAACAAACAATACCAAGTGAATTTAATCCACAAATTAGTTCTTCAGTACATTTTGTTTACCTTAATATTGTGCTGACTATTAATCACTTGTCAAAAGTTTCAATTGTAAGTCAATGTAATCTAATGAAATATTGATAACTGAGTAATTTCTAGATCCACACATGCGTATAAGTAACTAAACACTTATTAGATGGTTTTAAAGTTATATATAAAATATAGTTGTAATACAAGTTTTCAATTAGGAATTGGTAACAACATTGCCTAAACAACAACCTTTCATTCCATTTCATGGTAACTTTGTAAAGTCTGACTAGCTAACAGAGATTTACTGTCATGTAAAGATATGAAATAACTGTACAAACTCCCGTGTTCATAGCTTCACAATCCGACGTGTTACCATTCAGCTGACCGAGTTGCGATTGGTGTGTTGCAGGATTTAAATATTTAAAACTGATTACACGCAGGATATTGATTAATATCTTATCTGTCTAGTCCCCTTATCTCAATAATAAAGGCACACTTTGGTGACGGGTTTCGAGCAAAATGAAACATACGTTTAGGTTTTTATATCAACCTCCTACTAACTAATATCGAAACATAGTCCACGTAATGTTGTTTAATTTAGACTACCGGCCACAGAAATCGATTAACACTAGGCACTAGAACTTTAACTTAATCCTTACCAATGTTTATAGCTCAAATAAAACAAAAAATGCTTGAATGAATGCTTATTTCCAACAACATTCATACACAACTTGATGAACTGGTAAATTTAAACAAAGTCAGAACAACATGTTGTATGGAATAAAATGAATTCATCATTGTATTTCAAGACTTTTTCATCTCGGCTACAAATAGCATAAGTTTACAAGGTGTCATATAGCCGGGAATAAAATTTTGATATACCTTAGTTGGTGAAGTTGAAATGGATACTTAAAATAAAACAGCAAACCCTAATGAGAATGATGGAATACAGAATATCTGAATAGACATAATTACGACTGACGCGTGTTTGCATATTGAAAAGGTAGTGATGCAGAGCAGGGACGGTGAGATTATAGTTAATAATAATAATATTAATAATAAGGGGATTGAATGATCTATTGAGATAACTAGAATACTGTTATTCCTTTTTGTCCAAACTCGTGTTTTAACCTTAGATCAATAAATTGACCTTAAAGAATTTGGGAGTACTATGTTCACTGTGGTAAACTGCTTTGATTGTCATTCTGAACAACATCTTCAGCTCTTACTATATGTAGAAGTGGATTCTTTTTTTCAGTTAATCCACAATCATCATATATCAGCTCATTCGGATGGTCTTGTTCGTATTTTGTTGTTTTTTGTTAGTTGTCTTCTGACTTCATGATTAATATATGTCAATAATGTCTGTTGATTGCTAGTTCATTTGACTGCCATGCTTGTAGAGATTTTCTGCTATTCTTTGGAGATTTCCTGACCGGAATTTCAACATTTTTTCAATCAGATTGACATTTATAATTGTTTAAATTTATTGACATCAATCATTCATAAAATGTTTATATATACTTGAAATCATGAGTCAATTGAAGCTAGACCACCATGGAAAATCTGGAAGCACTGGACGGCCGTTTCGTCCTTTTGCAGGACTCCTCAGCAGTGTGCATACACGACCTCGCCTCGCGAACGAAACGGCCGTCCAGTGCTTCGAGGTTTTCCATGGTGGTCTAGCTTCAAGTGACTCATGATTTCAAGTATATATAAAAATTAATAAAAATCTGCACAAACAACCCATTCATAAAATGCATGATTCAAATGACCAACATCATACACAATAAGAAGAATATTGATGTTCATCCAAAAGGACAGAACCATAATGTATATGATGTTGTTCGTTATTCAGTCCAACTACTTACCTAATCAAAATCCTTATTTATTCCGTAATTTCATGTTATGTATTTTATATTTGATATCATAAATAAATAAAAAATATTCTATTTCATTTTATAGGTATATCAGCTAAATATATGGAACCAAGTGTCATTGAAAGATTGTTAAATTTACATCCATTAATGGGTACTGTACGTGTTAATAGATATGGATGGTGTAGAAATTTTCAATATAATTTTTGGCTTGAAAGTTTACCTGGTGATCAACCTGAAATCTTAGTAAGAAATTAGAAATAATTTGTTATATGTTTTAATCAGTATGAAGTATTATTATTATAATTATGTAATGAGCAAGTATATGAGTTTATTTTCATAGTTGTAATCATTATTCAAGTGAAGCTATACAACCACAGAAAACCTGTATGGACTGGACGGCCGTTTCATCCAATTGTGAGACTCCTCAAGATCGTGGATGCGCACTACTCAGGAGTACCACCAGAGAACAAAACGATCGTCCATTGCTTCCAGGCTTTCCATGGTGGTCTAGTTTCAGTTGAATCATGATTTCAACTATGAAAATACTGAGATTTTTCACTAAACCCCTTCTGATTAAATGAGTTTATTTTAATAATGTATGACTGTTATATCCTAGTGAAAATTATATTAAAGGTAACTTTGGACAGCTATTACTGGACTATCATTATACATATATACTTATTGTTCAACTAATAAGTATATATGTATAATGATAGTCCAGTATATATATATATATATATATATATATATATATATATTGATAGTTGAGGTCACGAAAGAGTTGAAGCTAGAAAACCATGGAAAACCTGGAAGCACTGGACGGCCATATCGTCCTATTATTGGACTCTTCAGCAGTGCCCATCCACGATTCCGCCTAGCGAGATTCGAACCCAGGACCTACCAGTCTCGCGCGCGAGCGCGTAACCACAATACCACTGAGTCAGCCGTCCAGTGCTTGAAGGTTTTCCATGGTGGTCTAGCTTCAACTGATTCATGATTTCAACTATCAAAATTACTACAATATCCAAAAAAACCCTTTAGATTATATATATATATATATATATATTTCTCTTATTATAAGCTTTATTTAGACATATAGACTAGTATAATACGATTTACGATTCTCAAGTTATGCCTAGTTTATTGATTACAGTCTCTCACAATCACAGCCACTTTTTGGCTTGATCCTATACTAATTTTTTTAATTTTTTTTTATTTTATCGTGCAATGTGGTTGTTATGTCTCGTATAACAATCGTTATTGTATATGAAACGTGCAATGATACAGAAAATACGTACGAGCAGTCTTGATTGCTATTCGGTCCTTCCTAACTGCCTAGCCCAGCCCGTTAAGTCCAGAACACAAATAACAGCCTCGGAAATATGAATCATTATTTACAAGCATACTGGGTTTTTATACAAACCAAAGTAATCAATAAACTGATTATAACTCAAGAATCGTATGATCATAAATCAAAGATCAAAATAATAGAAAACACGAATATGAATAATTTAGTTACGTAACAACTGTACAATAAGAAATAGGCATAATACATTGATCGATAATAGACCTCAGATTTACGATCCATAATTCACCAGGGGATATAACACCTCCCCTTTTTGAGAAATCCGGAGTTGACATCCGGATTTTTAATTTCTCGAATTCATCCTCCCCCACGAAAGACTGTTGGATCCTCATGTACCCAAGTTACCATTATTGTGACATTATTTAAAACATATTCGTCGTATTTAACAGAAAATCCACCAGAACTGATTATATCGTGAGGATCGACGACATTCGATTTGAGGTCACCGGCGTCTGATTCTTTTGAAACACTTTCCTTGAATTTACTCGGAACCTCATTAGTAGATAATGAGTCATTAGGATAATCAGTATCTATGAAATTTGTATTGGATTCTTGATTATCATTTAATGCATCCGATATTTTTCTCCCATTTTTATAAGAGATTTGAACTGGAACATATGAATCAGTAAAATAATCGGGATCTGGCAGAACAATTAGATAATTTTGATCATTAGATTCATTAGAAAAATTTTCCGTATCATGAATAATTTCATTTGGCGCCTCTGCATTCAATATACTGCTCGATTTGCTTCCCATTTCTTCGTGGGCGGGTACTGCAGCAATTTCATGAGCATTTGACATGGCATCATGTTGCTGAGAGCTGGGAGCATCACTGTTCGGACCTGCTAATTCAGGGATAGTGGTGTTTGAATCCACTACCGGGCACGTTTCTGAAACAGGCAGCACCGGACTACTGGGCTGATCATGTAGGACTGTTACTGCTGCATCTAAATTACTGTTTTTCGCGGATTCATAGAGGCTTTCCTCTGCATATTCATTTGTTCTGTAATCGACTTCCAGTTCTATACGCAATTTAGAAATCAATGCGTCAACTTCCGTTGCACCCCCAAAGCATGGGTGATTCAGCAGCGTCGCGTGTAACTTGTCAATGAAATCCAACTGACTCTTTTTAAAACGCTGCTCTTGTCTCTGAATTAGCAACTGAAATTGATCGGAAGTTAAAGCCATTTTTTTACCCTGTCGTCAGTTGTTATAACGTATACCCTCTTAATACATAAACGTTCAATGATACATAAAGTCGTACGAACAGTATTGGGTTGCTGTATTTTTTTCCAGAATCCCCGTCGAAAACTGTATACTTTTTTCTTTTGCGTACCAAAATCCCCGTCGCCACTGTTATAACGTATGCCCTGAGCAGTCTTGGGTGCTATTCGGTCCTTCCTAACTGCCTAGCCCAGCCCGTTAAGTCCAGAACACAAATAACAGCCTCGGAAATATGAATCATTATTTACAAGCATACTGGGTTTTTATACAAACCAAAGTAATCAATAAACTGATTATAACTCAAGAATCGTATGATCATAAATCAAAGATCAAAATAATAGAAAACACGAATATGAATAATTTAGTTACGTAACAACTGTACAATAAGAAATAGGCATAATACATTGATCGATAATAGACCTCAGATTTACGATCCATAATTCACCAGGGATATAACAGTGGTCTAGTTTGTTTATATATAAGCCAAATATATCTTAAATGAATGATTTGTATAGTGGAAGCTGATATTGACGTTCTGGTTTCAAAAGGCCAGGGCTAGGTAGAAAAAGTTCCAATAAAGATGCTAGACTGTCAATGCTGGTCAATACTCCATGAAAAACTTGAAGTACCCTTAATATATTTCATCAATCAATAGCATTGACCATTTAAACTAAATTCTAGGAATTAACATTTTATTTACTTAATTGAATTCTATAATCCTTAAATGGATAACTTTTTTCTAGAAGTTTCCAGAGTGTTGTATTAGTTTGTAGACTAAGAAAGTTGAATTTAAACTCGAAAATAAAGTATCATTTGAATAACTGTCTTTTCATTTTGTTTAAAAGTATAGACTTTCTTAGAGTCACAATAGTTTGAAAGTTAACTATGAACTGAACACAATAAGCATTTGATTCCCAAACTTAACGTCATTTTAAAATAAAATTTTACTCAGTTTGAAAAATATAACAAAAAGCTAATCAAAAATTTATTAGACACTGTGTTATTTACTTGATTCTTATTTGTTTATATAGGTGATGAATGAGACAAGACTGATTGGTGATTCACCGCAGATTATCATACAAAAGTCTGCCATTGGAGAATTAGTTATGTGTCCGATATCAGGGGACATGGCAGCAACAAAACACTCTGTTCCACAGGTTAGTATCTACGTGTTACATGCTACATAGATATCGTAGTTTTGTATTATTTTTGATGGCTACTATTTCAGTAATCATTTAAGTTATTCCATCTGTTATATTTTTCAGTGATAGGGTTTGGAAAGGGGGAGAGTTTCTTGCTTCATTTCCGATATTACAGCTTATAGACTAAGTCAGAATATATTTTCTTAAATTAACACTCACTAAGGATGTAGTTTGATGGTATTTTGAAAAGAGATTGGTCATCATTCAACCTAGTAATTATATTTTCCTTTTGTTTGTCTTAAAACAATATTGTATATCTGTATAAAATGATGGTGTAATTGTTATATCTTCAAATAGAACAGGATCTTGCTTTGTATTTGGAAACGTTTGATCAGACTGTTACTATGATAATAGTTCTATGGTCTAATCTGATTATTGATCAATTCTTTCTATAACTGTATGAACAATGACCTATTTCACCAATAATTCAATGGGTAGCAAGATTATAACGTTAATTGGCCCTCAAGCGACCTCTAATCTACTGTCCAATTGAAAGACATGACTAAAAAGTAGACAACACCTTGAATGTGTGGTCGTGCAAACCCATACAACAGTATCGAGAGATCTCCTAGCACTATCAATCTGTAATCATTATTAGATGATTTTAATAACGAATAATATATCTTGGTAACATGATGATAAGGACTAATTACATTTGAAGTATTCTGAATATTTAATCCATGTATTTTAAACAGTACATTCCTAGGATAATAATATTAAAACCATTGAAGATATAAGAACTATCGGATACTGTATTGCAATTAAATGTTTATAAATGGAAACGTATTGAACATTACTCAATGTATTCAGGTAAAACTGGGAAAAGAAGTTCTTGATGCTTTGAAGTGCATAAGTTATACTACTTAGAAAAGTGTATTAAATGTCATACTATATATATGTATATACTGCAGTTTACAAAATGTGTATTTGGATGATTAGGAAAAATTTCCACGTTTAAAGCTTAATCTTAACTCCTTGGAATAGAAATTTGAAACTTTCAGGGAGGACTTTCAAATAGATTAGTTCATCAACATCACCTTCCTGTCATCCAAATTATTCATAAGTATTTTGATGTTATACGGAAAGCGGAAATTTTTCAAACGTATAATTGAATCTGTTTACCAAAACGAGATCAATAACTGTTACAATACATTCTATATTATGAGATAATGTAAAATTATTTTGTTTTTGTAGGTTAGATTATACGTTGATAATTTCCCGGCTTACTGTGAATCGTCATGTGATCATCAGTTTATTGATTTATTAAGCCCTGTTGTAACCAATTCAACAGTACAAATAAGTAAGTAAAAGTTTATTCCCTCAGTTTTTTTATCGATTGTATGGGATATTCTATTTTCATTTTATGTGTCTACATTTAACGTTAATGAATAGATGATTTTGCATAACATATCTCTTCTTCTGACATCTTTACTAACAAATCAGTTTCTTACAGCCTGCAGGATTTCAGATAGACTATGATGGTAATATTTTTGATTGAGATCATGAATCGATCAACGTTAGACCACCATTACAAACCTGGAAGCATTGAACAAAAGTTTCGCTTGATTATGGGACTTCTTCATGGTCCATGGTCTAACACTGATCGATTCATAATCCCAATCAAAAGCTCAACAATGTCCACAACCTTATAATGATAAATGACTCAAAATCTATCGATTGTCAATAATTTACATCACATATGATCGAACAATAATGATTTTTTAAACTTATTATCGTAGATACATGGAGTTACCACGTAAATGATATAAATAGAGAATGACTAAGATATTTTATTGAAATATTTGTTTTAACTTATTGAGAAGATCAAAAGGAAGTTTGTGGATATTTCAGTAATTTCTCAATTGAAATCATCAGTCAATTGAAGCTAGACCACCATGGAAAACCTGAAATCACTGGACGGTTGTTTTGTCCTACTGTGGAACTCCTCAGCAGTGCGCATCTACGATCACTCACTCGCGAGCTTCGAACACAAGACCTACCAGTCCGTTGGATGCCGGCTCAATGGTCTATAGGTTAAGCGCTCTGGCGCAAGACCGGTAGATTCTGGGTTGGTATCTCGTGAGGCTAGGTCGTGAATGCGCACTTTTGAGGAGTCCCATAATAGGACGAAACGGCCATCCGGTGCTTCCAGGTTTTTGATGGCGGTCTAGCTTCAATGATCCCTGATTTTCACCATGAAAAAATTATAAAGAAGAGTTATTAGTCATCATGCAAAGATAACCAATATTTTGAAATGAAATAATGGAAAATACTTTTGACTAAAGAGTGTCTGTCAGTATAGGTTCGTGGATATTGTTGAATTTCATTGAAATCATAAATTGATATAAGTTAAACCACAATCGAATACCTGGAAGCGCTGAACGGCGATTTTTCTCGATTGTGGAACTCCATTGCGCACATCTTTGATCCTGAACGCAGGAATCGAACTCAGGACCCTAGATCTTAAGTGCGAACGCTTAGCTAGTTAACTAAAATGATCTACAGTTCTGACTTATTGAAAACGCAGATTGAGTTACAATATGTGTTATATCCATGGTGTATTAAGTTATAAACTAATATTACAATGGATAACATGCCGTCACATAAAACAGGTATTAGATACTAGAGCATAAAGTCTATAAAGTTTACCCTTTTAAAGACAACTGTATATTCTCGGTAGTTCAATTAAGTTATTCCTTCATCTTATTATCTAATTTTGTTTTAGTTAACAATAATCTGACATTGATTTTAAATGGAACCGATTTTATTGCCAATTCACCAAATTCTTATGAATTATTCCTTATGTTCAATGATGAAATTGTATTAAAAGAACAACCATTTTTAACTACTACAACAAATTTATACTTTTTTAATCAAAATGTTAATGTTATTCCATCTGGATTACTGATTGGTCGATTACGTTTAATTGATAAAGGATTTCTAAATGATCCAATAAATATTCAATTAGGCAATGAAAGTAGTGAAATTAAAGATATTGTACAGACTGGATTGTTTGATGATGGTAAGTCCTAATCAATATTTTTATATGGATACTTCTCTTTAACATCTTGACGGGTACAAGAATAAAGATTTGATTTGAATAGTATGAAGTCATTTATTTTGTTTGATTCTTATCAGCTGAGTACAACCTGGAATATTAAAGAATCATAATTAAAAAATGAACTTCAATCACCTACATGGCAGAGTTCAATTGGAAGTTGCTATGATCACAGATCACTAAAGTAAAACAAAGATGTAAATTCATCCAACAAACTAAATAAGATATTATAGATATATATCTCATGTGTGAGAAGATTCTATAACAAGAGACTAAAGGGCTGAAAACAAGTGATTACATCATGAGTAAATGGTAATAATAAGTAAGAATTAAATGAGCGAAGTTCATTTTGCCTATCAGCGGTTCTCACTCAAACCTTATTAAAATTGTCTCAAAGTTAGTTGATGCTGTGATGTGTGCTACTGACGTTGACAGATATAAGTAGTATGTATCATCAATCGAAAGTGAAATACCTGACAGAAAGAGGTTAAGAAAATTGAACAGAAGAGAACGAGGACGGAGCGTGATTGTTGTAGAAAGGAAGGAACAATGAAGTCTGAGACAATTGATTGCAAACGAAGTATTTACTGTATGGTTCTCAGATTTGACTAATACATTCTGTAATTTTTTTATTACAATGGATTGATGTTCTAGTTCACTACAAAGCCAGATCATGGCGAGAATTATTTCTAAATTCGTCACAATTTACCTAGAAACGCCTAATTAATTCTTAGAATCTAAATTTCTCATAGTGATTAACGTTGTTAATAGAAACAATAGCGTGACTATAATTTATGGACGAACCAATCACCAATAAGATAACAGGTCTCCAATTTTACCGTAAAATCCACTCATCCATTTGGCTAAATGGAGTTTTGGCATTATAACTAACGTCAGTTCGTGATGAATACCTTAAATCAAATTTCTAACCTTAATCATCAACTGTGAATCATGATTCTAATTACTCACACAGGTTTATAACCCTCATTTGGTCCTGGTTACTAGGTGAACAACTCCGCCTGTAGCTCTTCTAGAGTTACTGTCGGTCCCAAGCCCGGGTAAAGGAGGAGGGTTGGGCATGGGGTTAGCGACCCCATCCCGTAGAAAAGCTAACTCGCTAAAAAAACGCTAACCAGAAAAAATAATTCAATCCATTTAAACTCTGCCTTGGGAGTTGAAGGAATAATTATGACGTCTCATGATGAAAGCCGAAATTCTTCGGAAGTCACGAGACCGATGCACCTTCTAACAACCAGAGCAACACTCTTTATAGGTACATGGAACGTCCGGACAATGTGGGAGACAGGAAAGACCAGCCAAATAGCAATGGAAATGAGGAGATACAACTTGGCAGTACTCGGAATCAGCGAAACCCATTGGACACAAACTGGACAACAAAGGCTAGGTACAGGAGAGATGCTGCTGTACTCCGGTCACGAAGGGGAAAATGCTCCACACACTCAGGGAGTTGCTCTAATGCTGTCCAAAGAAGCAAGAAATGCACTTGTGGGATGGGAATCTCATGGACCCAGGATAATCAAAGCATCCAATGTTATGCACCCACCAATGATAGCAACGACGATGATAAAGATCAGTTCTATGAAAGGCTGCAATCAATTGTAGCAAAGTGCTCAAGAAAGGACCTCACCATCCTGATGGGAGATCTAAATGCTAAAGTTGGAGTGGACAACACAGAATATGAAGATATAATCGGACGACACGGACTAGGAGAGATAAATGAAAATGGGGAGAGACTTGCAAACCTGTGTGCTTTCAACAAATTGGTTATAGGCGGCACAATATTCCCACACAAACGCACACACAAAGCTACATGGATCTCACCGGACCATACCACAGAGAACCAGATAGATCACATCTGTATCAACAAAAAATTCCGAAGATCAATGGAAGATGTGAGAACCCGGAGAGGAGCTGACATAGCTTCAGATCACCACCTGGTTGTGGCCAAGATGAGAATGAAGCTTAAGAAAGACTGGACAAACAGCACTACAAAGGTTGAATACAGCATTCCTTCGAGATACTGACAAGCTCCATGAATTCAAGATAACTCTTAACAACAGGTTCCAAGCTGTACAGGATCTACTGAAAGAACAAGAAACTACTTTGGAGGACAACTGGAAAGGGATAAAAGAAGCACTAACTTCAACGTGTCAGGAGGTTCTTGGTCCTAAGAAGCATCATCACAAGGAATGGATCTCTATGGGGACCCTGGACAAACTTCAAGTCAAAGCACAAGCAGACTACGTAGAAGCAAACAGGGAAGTGAAGAAAGGCATTAAAGCCGACAAGCAGAAATACATGGGAGAACTAGCAACGGCGGCGGAAAAAGCTGCAAGAGAAGGGAATATGAAACAACTATATGATACAACGAAAAAATTAGCAGGGAGATATAGCAAACCAGAGAGACCAGTCAAGGACAAAGAAGGAAAGACAATCACTGAGATTCAAGAACAGAAGAAAAGATGGGCAGAATACTTCGAGGAACTGCTGAATAGACCAGCCCCATTGAATCCACCGAACATCGAAGCAGCCCACACAGACCTTCCAATAGATGTCATTCCACCAACGATCGAAGAAGTCAAGATGGCCATCAGACAAATCAAAAGTGGGAAGGCGGCAGGACAGGACCTGACAATATACCAGCAGAAGCACTGAAGTCAAACATTGAAATAACTGCAAACATGCTTCACCTTCTATTTAAAAAGATTTGGGAAGAGGAACATGTGCCAACGGACTGGAAAGAAGGATATCTCATCAAGATACCAAAGAAAGGAGATCTGAGCAAATGCGAGAACTACAGAGGTATCAGTTTGTTATCAGTACCAGGAAAAGTTTTCAACAGAGTGCTGCTGAATCGGATGAAAGACGCAGTAGACGCCGAACTAAGGGATCATCAGGCTGGATTCCGTAAGGATCGGTCGTGCATAGACCAGATTGCGACACTACGGATCATCGTTGAACAATCAGTTGAGTGGAACTCATCACTATACGTCAACTTTATTGACTACGAGAAGGCGTTTGACAGCGTGGACAGGAGAACATTATGGAAACTTCTTCGACACTATGGAGTTCCTCAGAAGATCGTCAACATTATTCAAAACTCATACGATGGATTATAGTGCAAAGTAGTGCATGGAGGACAGCTGACAGATGCATTTCCAGTAAGGACCGGAGTCAGACAAGGCTGTCTACTCTCCCCATTCCTCTTCCTTCTAGTGATTGACTGGATTATGAAGAATTCGACATCTGAAGGTAAATACGGAATACAGTGGACAGCTCAGAATCAATTAGATGATTTGGACTTCGCAGATGACCTAGCCCTCCTCTCTCATACACACGACCAAATGCAGATGAAGACAGCAAATGTAGCAGCAGCCTCCGCATCGATAGGTCTCCACATTCACAAAGGAAAAAGCAAGATTCTCAAATGCAACACGGAGAACACCGACCCAATCACACTTGACGGCGAAACTCTGGAAGAGGTGGAAACATTCAAGTACCTGGGGAGCATCGTTGATAAACAAGGAGGATCGGATGAACATGTAAAGGCGAGGATTGGCAAAGCAAGGGCAGCATTTCTACAATTGCAGAACATATGGAACTCAAAACAACCCTCAACTAATTTCAAGGTCAGAATCTTCAATACGAACGTCAAGACAGTCCTACTGTATGGAGCTGAAACGTGGAGAACTACTACGGCCATCATCAGGAAGGTACAAGTATTTATAAACAGTTGTCTACGCAAAATACTCAACATCCATTGGCCGGATACTATCAGCAACAGCGTTTTATGGGAGAGGACAAACCAGCTTCCAGCTGAAGAGGAAATTAGGAAAAGACGTTGGAAGTGGATCGGACATACATTAAGGAAATCACCAATGTGCATCACGACTCAATCCCTAACTTGGAATCCGGAAGGGAAGCGGAAAAGAGGAAGGCCAAAGAACACACTACGCCGGGAAATAGAAGCCGATATGAAAAGGCTGAATAGTAACTGGAAAGAACTGGAAAGGAAGGCTCAGGACAGAGTTGGATGGAGAATGCTGGTGAGCGGCCTATGCTCCTCGACGAGGGGTAACAGGCATAAGTAAGTAAGTAAGTACTAGGTGGACACTCTCAAGGTCAGTCTAGCATCGCTCAAAGGTCGTCCACAAATTATAGTCTCAAGGAAACAATATCATCAGAAAGTTAATTTGACAGAAATACTTATAATTAGACAAAGAAATTTCAAATTCAACTAAAGATTAGTCACATAAACCTTTATAGAGTCACATTATGTAAAAGAACAAACATTTCCCTCTTTGTAAGTTCAAGTGACGGTAGCTATTCATGATATGAACTATAATAAAAATAATACATACTATTGATACTAAAGATCAAATTATTTCAGATTTATTCTTTCATTTCCATTGTTTTCTGCCTGTTGAAATCATTAATCTAAGATCGTAGTTTAGAACTTTTATAATTTCGAATATTATTAGGTAATATTATATATTATCTAATAGTATAAATGGTAGATATTTCTGTAAAGTTAATTTTACTTGAACTTCACTTATTTTCTAGAACAAACGTCTCAAGTCAGTCATGTTAGCTAGACTCGATGGTATTTCATAAGAAATAATCTAACGACAAATAACTTAAGGTCAATTGATAATACTCCTGTAAGAACTCATAGTTAGTTGGATTCTAAAATATTAGTAAATAAGAAAAGATTTAGCTAAGTTTGAAATACTCAGAATAAATTGTGTAATTAGAGGTTATCTACAGGGTGGCTTGTCTGATCTAGGCTATTTTTTTTGTTATTTGGCATTAGTTAGCAAGATGTACATATAATGTTAAAAGAACTGGTACATCGTATAGACTACCTATAACCGATCAATAATTCAACACAGTATACGCATCATCAAGTCCACCTACAAGTGTCTTTTATTTCTTTATCTATTAGATAAAGAATATATAAGAATAACTGGATCACGTTTTCTTCCAAATCATTCATTAGTATCATTTGATGATATACCATGTGAAATAATAAATATGACAACAGTTGAAATATACTGTTTACTGCCTATCACTGTAAGTTGTAATTCATTTTGTACTAATTGTTTGAATTGAATTTAAATGGATTAAAATTCACCCTATTCTGTAGGATAATTGCTATCTAGATACAATAACCAAGTAGATAATGGGATAGCGTTTGAAGCAAAGGGGATTTGGTTCGAGTCTCAGAGTAAACGTTTACTCTGAGATTCAGGTACACTCAGCCAAAAAAACATAAATGGGACGAAAAGTGCGTCCTGGGTTTCAGTGATAGCCACTACCTCTTAGTGCTTGCAAGTTGTAATGCCTAATCCGTACATTTTTTGATTTCAGTTAGTTTTTGTAAGAAAATACCTTGGAGTTGTATACAGTGATCCCAAGTCTCAAATTAAAGGTGTTTTGCAACATTAATTTTGAATGAAACAGATGGAACGTAGCTAGTAGTGAAATTAAGGACAAGCATTTGGATCTATTTGGAACTTATCGGTGATGAAATCAATCACATGGACCCACTCATTGATAGTCAATAACAAGAAAGTGTATCGTAATGTTACTTCAAATGAATTGGAGACATGTACATCGTTTACATATCCAAATAGTTCATTTGGTCCATCAAGCTTCATAGTCTTACTCTACTCAAAAGCAACAGGTGAATGTGTTTGTACATGCGATTATGGCAAACATAAACTTCACAACCATTATCAACATTGAGGGATATATTGTCATGTGATTAAAATATTGAAATTGTGGAAACTCTAACTTGGTGTAATTTTATTGATTAGTGACAATACGCTTTTTCGGGATCTACAGATATTTTCATGAGTATTATTAAGTTTTAAATGACATACTGACAATCATTACTACATCTAGATGAAGACGATTGTCAGAAATGATACTAGCAAATAAACACTTGAATATTTTTTTTAAAAAAGAATAGTGATTTATATTATCATCAATCATGTAGATACCAGACCAGAAGTTTTCAGTTATATGTAGTTATTTGCAGATCATCTCGTTGAGAATAAATTAGAATGTTACTTAAATGTCAACTGAGTCACCAGATGTCTAAAAGACATAAAAATAGGAGATATTTAAAACTATTCATTTGTCTACAGATAAAATATGTATAGTGCCAAAATGGTGCAGTATAACATCTCAATGATGATCACATTCTACATGTCAACCAACCAGACGAAATTGAAACGTTCACTCTTCATAAACACAAGTTCATCATGATCATGGTTACTAGTTTTAATGAAAACAAATGGACCTAATCAACAAAAAGTGAATTTTACCACTTTCTAATTTAGTTATAAACTACATGACCATTATATACATCACTCAAGCTAGGTACAATTAGATGATTCGAGAGAGATCGAAGGTCCTGTGTTTGATTTCGACGTGTGGATTCATGGATGCACACTGTTCAGTAGTCACATACCACCATGTAACTGTTGTCTAGTGATTCCGGGATTTCAATCGTGGTCTGACATTGGTCAGTTCCTAGACAAATTCAGGGTTAAAACTGATTTTTTACCTGTACAAGGAGGGTTTTAATTTTTTGTGGTTATCACTTCTATAAACCTAAGGAAGAGTTGGTGACAATGCCTACAGAGGCTCTCACAGGGTTAAACTTATGAATTATTTCAATGATACGTTTTGCTATCGTAAAACATAGTTTTCTACTTCCCAACTTACTCGGGCATGTGGACGGGATTCTGAATTTGTCTAGCCACATGATCCACAACCCTCGAATTTACTATCTGATTACTTCATATACACAGACGTGTAATGGTTAACTAAATGAGATGTTATACAATAATGTATATCCTGTTGAGGTCCTGGTCATCTCAATAACAATCGGTCTGATAGTAAAATGTCTGGTTGACAACTTTTTCCGCCCTCTTATTTGTGCATCACTGTTCTCTTTCACACTTATCGTGTTAAAATCACTGACAATAATCAACTTTGGAGATATTGAAACGTCATGGCTTCATTACAAGTAATTGATGTTGGGTTCCCGGGCCAAAAATATAATTAATCTAATATGAATTTGTCGTAAATAATTTTTATGTATAATATTTTAAATGATTTATTTTACCATTTCAGGAACTTACAGGTCAAAAAGTAGTCAAAATTCAACAACACAATAGTATCATCTCCAAAACAGAAGATTTTACTGCAATACAAGCCAATGGACCAGTTATTACATCTGTTGAACAAACACAAATTGCTTCAGTTTCTGGTAAGTTTGATAATGAAAAGCATTTTGGATAATCTTAGTATGGGTAGCAATGGTATTAAATCATTACGTGATGCGTGATTTTAAACTTGACTTAATGAAACGAGTAAGAATATGAACAACATGCCGTTTGGCTGACTCAGAATATACATGAATCAACCAGTGACTGACAGGAAGGGTAAAACTGTAAGAATCTGAGTGCAAACGTATCATTCACTTCCATTTACTGAAAGACTGATCTACAATCATCTGTTAACATAAATTAGCAATAACTTTGAAAGGATAAAACACAAACTAGTAGTTTATAAGTCAAAAGAAAAATTACATGCAGATGATAAGTCTTCAGGCTGAACGTTAACACAGATTTCCTAAACGTTTCTAATAACCCCAGGCTAAACTTACACAGCAACTTAAATAGGAGAGAAATGAAACGAAATGTGAAAAGAACGCTCTACATTAAGGTTAGTTTATGTACAGTAAATTGAGGGTATTTATAGTTATCCAGTTAGCTACGCGCATTATACACATATCCTAATAAGAGACTGATTGATGGCAGTCCTAAACATCAATGAGAAGATTCAAGTTTACAATGCGAAGTGAATTTGAGTCAATAGATTCTTTAAAAGATTTCTAAAAATCCATACATATACCCTATTCTCTGTTTGTTATGTCCCGATAACAATAGTGAATGGTAACTTTGGGATAAATTTATGGACCAGTATTGTGTATATTTTTTTATCGTATAATTGCTAAATAAATAAACTATTCATTTTCATATCCATCTTATTATAAGCTTTATTTTGACCTATAGACTATTATCATACGATTTACCATTCTTAAGTTATCCCTAACCTATTAATTGATGCCTCCCACATTCACAGCCACATTTGGCTAAATCTTGTACAAATGATACTATGTAATCAGTCTGTTTGGTATATAAACTCAGTATGTTTTTTAATACAATGATTCATACCGCAGAGACTGTTATTGGTGTTTTGAACTTGACTGCCTGGGCTAGGCAGAAGCAGGATCGATAGGCACTCTAGACTGCTCGTACGGTTTTCATGTGTCACTGTTCCAATCGATAATTCTCTGCTCTCTGATTGACGGTCTTATCACGTCATACATTAACAGGGCATCTACTAGGCCACAAGATATAACACTGTTCTTCCATTGTCTGCATATTATTACTCAGATTCTAATAAGGATAACATGAAAAGGGGACTTGTAGTTTATCAGTAAAAACTGTTGTTTTTTCTTCTGTAAAAAATGATTGTCATTCCAAGTATTTTTCAAATAAAGATCAAAGTATCTATTTCAGTAGTTCATTAGTAATGTAGTGAATTAGAACACGGGTGGGGACAGTTGAATGTATTTTAGCACAACATTACAGAATATCTCATTAAAATATGAGAACCATATAATAAATAGTTAATTTGAAAAATAACAATCAATTGTCTCAATTTGACTGTTCTTTTTGCAAATATCCGTTCAAAGTCTCCGATTATAATTGTTCATGCATTTTCGTACCAATTGCGTGCCGTTCCCCTTTTCTCCTTATCGAACTTCTACTGAAATACATTCAATGCCCGACCAACACCATATACTACTTATCAGGATATCAGTAACCCACAGAACAGTGATATCTGTCAATCCACTATATTCTATTCATATATATTATTATTTCACAATGTACACAATTCATTTAATACATTATTTTATTTAATAGGTACTACACAAATTATAATAAATGGTCTTCGATTCACTCCTACAATGTTAATTTTTGTTGGTGGAGTAAGAGTGGAAAATTTTACATTTATTAATGAAACACAAATAATCATATTGGCACCTGTACAAAAAGTAAATGGTGAAAAAATTATCTCATTATATGGTTCATCTAATGTTTTAATAGAATCTAAGTAAGTATAATGATCTACTTAAATATTTCGGTTACCTATTTTACCAAACTGTGTAAATATTGCAACTAAACTTATTGTTTTAGATTTGTTTTCAGTGAATGAGAAGCAGTGACCAGTGGAGTTCAAACCACGTCTGTTGTGAGTTATCAACTCACTGAAGACAATTGGTGAACGGTTGCTCAACTTCATGGATTGGTTGGAGTTAGACAATAATACCATCGGATGCCGGCTCAGTGGTCTGTCGGTTAAGTAATCTGTAGCGAGACTGGTAGTATGGGACTCTTCAGCAGTGCGCATCCACAGTCCAGCACCTGGTTCTCGAACCCAGGATCTTTGGTCTTGCACGAGACCGATGGATCCTGGGTTCAAATCTCACGAGGCAGGATCGTGGATACGCACTGCTTAGGAGTCCCATACTAGGACGACCGGCCGTTCAGTGCTGTCAAGTTTACATTGATGGTCTAACATTGATCGATTCATGATATCAATCAAAAAATAATATTTATTTCACTATCTTGACTGTTCATTTCTCTGCCACTATTTACATTTTCACATTTTATTCACGTATTCCAGTTTTTCAGTGACTTATAAGTTTGAAATATCTGGTATAAAACCACAAATTGGTAGTTTTGTTGGTGGACAAATTGTAAACATAGTCGGTGAGGGTTTTAATGATAATGTGAAAGTTTTTATGAAACCAATTACTGTCGAAAATCAATTATGTAATGATCGACCTCGTGCTGAATGTGAAATACTATCTAAAAATTCAACAACAATACAGTGCAAAACTACGTCGATGGTTAAAACTCATTATGTTCTTGACAGTGGAATTGATTCAGGTAAAATATTGTTAGCTGATAAGTTTTAACTGAATAATTGTTTAAATCTTATGTGTTTTTGATCTATATGGAAGGAAGCAAGATGTGATATACCATTAGCTATAGTGAATAAAAGAGATTATTTTATGATTCACTTCGACTCTACTGTGATTTTACCCTGTATTGATTGTATGAAATTTGTATGGGTAAATTATTGTTCCGGTCTATAATCTGTTTCTTAGTCGTTAATTGAACTTTGAGCATCTAAATTTACAAGATCTTGTATCATGATCTATTTAGTGATTATTCCCTCTATTATGTAATGTCAAATTATACTTGTCTTACCAGTCAAATTACTTCATGCATAGCATCTAGTGTCAGAGTGGGAAGATTGCAAGAATAAGTAATATTTTCCCTGTCATATCACTTTCCTCTTGTATATAATTGATGTCAAAACAGAATAAAACATATCTCCATTTACACGTCAAGATTTTAATGTGTGTCTAGTGCATAGGTGGAGTTCATACACTGCCACTGTTGTTGATGAAGAATAAAGAAAAAGTAGTGATACTTAACAGTATTCATATGGGTTTTTTCGGAAAATTGATAATATCATAACATACATTTCGAATAAACCATTTACGGATGTTAACTTATTGTACATTGTAATTCATTGATATATAATTTACCAAAGAAAAATGCTTATATTAACAATTTCAGATTATTATATATAGTTGAGATCATGAGTCAATTGAAGCTAGACAGCCATAGAAAACCTGGGAGCACTGAAAAGCTGTTTCATCCTATTTTTGCACTCCTCAGCAGTGCACATCCACAATCTCGCCTCGCAAGATTGGAACACAAGACCTACCAGTCGAGCTCGTGAGTGCTTAACCTGTGGACCACTGACCCGGCATCCAACGGTCTTAATGTCTAATTTCAACCAATCCACGAAGTTGAGCAACCATTCACCAATGCCTTCAATGAGTTGATATCTCCCAACAGACCTGGTTGAAATCCACTGGTTACTGCTTATCACTGGAACTCCTGGGCTGGAATCTTGCGAGACGGGTTCGTGGATGCGCACATTTGAGGAGTCCCACAATAGGACAGAACGGCCGTCCAGTGATTCCAGGTTTTCCATGGTGGTCTAGCTTCAATTGAATCATGATCTCAACTATATAAAATTACTAAAATCTCCACAAAACCCCTTTCTGATAATTTTAAATTGTTATCTATAATATTCGTAATTGTACTTTACCAAACATCAGATTAATTGTACATTGATGAAAGTTGTACTGTGTTTTCCCACCTTTATATAAAATGCAACTTTATTTAACAACGTAATAACAAAGAATTATATTTAAATGTAGACTTATTATGTGTAATGGTTTAGTTTTCGTAATTGGCTAACATCAGCCTGTGTATCACTGAAAACCAAGCAGGATTGATCAACTATTCATTCCTAGTTTATGATCTATTAACAATGTACACACACTATTTTTCCAGCGATTAAAGTCAATGCCTTCAGGTTTCTAGAGATCTTGTTACCTTTAGACTACCTAGTTCTAATCGAATGGTCTACATTCCCAAATTTAAACAATGAATAATAGTTCAGATCGAAAAAAATGTAATTAACAGGGTCGATAATCTTTGAAAGGTATTTAATTTTATACTTATTGGTAAAATGATCATACCTGAATATACAACAGACTTTAGACAACCAAAACTTTCCAACACAAGCTAAGATAGCCATCAGGTAGTATGACCAAATAAATAATCTCAAATCTGAAAAGTCAATTAAACATGTTTAACAACTAAAATAAAATTTTTTAAAAAAAGGAAAGAAAACTTTCTTTTCGACGAAATCATTTACTGAAGCTGTACACTTGTATCTATAGTTTTATGATAAATATGTAGGTCTATAAAAAGATAGAAGAGATGGCATCATAAAGTGGTTCGAGACTTCAAATATCAAATGAAGGCTGCGTAATAAATCAAGAGGGCTGAAAATCATTTACAGGTCAGATATGTGAAAGATAATTGTTCACTTGAAAAATTTATGAAGAAAAATGTGAAACGTAAAGATCATAATAACAAATCGATAACAATCATGAAAATTTATTAGAGGAAGTACAAAATGATAATAAAAACAAATGTAAAAGCCAAGTTTACTGGAGAATGATATAAGGGTCATGCACGTAGAGTTCAAACTTGAACTGGTGAATTGTCAACACTTTAACATTTCATGATTATAAAGACGAGTTTTGGTCTGTTGTTCTTCATGGTGATAAGCAATAAAACCGTGATGGTTTCACATAATTGATGAATCTATTAAAGTCTTTTACTGATTTTCCTGACTATAGATGACAAGTAGAATTGCATATAAGTTCGTTCATGTGGACATATATGGTATAAATTGAATTGTTACTTGTACACAGTATTTTTTTAAAATTTACTGTAAAATGTATTGACCTTCAGGAAACTAATTTTAAGGTGTCCATGAATTTCTAAAATAACATATATCCATATTAGAAGGGGTTTTGTGGAGATTTCAATATTTTCATAGTTTAAAGCATAAGTCAATTAAAGCTAGACCACCAAGGAAAGCCTGGAATCACTGGACGGCCTTTTCGTCCCATTGTGGGACTCCTCAGCAGTGCGAATCCATGACCTCACCTCGCGAGATTCGAACCCAGGGCCTACCAGTCGTGTATGAGCACTACTGAGGCGTCCCACAATAGGACAAAACGGCTATCCAGTGCTGCCATATATTCGTATTAGTAGCATAAGAAGTAGTTCGTATTGTTAATATATAACAAAATTATTGTTAAAAATACCTAAAACCAACTGATCAGCATAACGAAAATCGATGCAACTTTATGACTTCTATGATTCATTTTAATATTTGAAAAAGTGAGTTCAGACTATAATGGAAGGGCGAACATTGAATGGCACCAAAATGGTCTTGGGAAAATTCACCAACCTGTTAGGGTTAGAAGTCATAGTTAGTGTTTTCATGACGAAGTTATATCAGCTAAATGACAAAAATGTTAGACATATGGATGAATGAATTTTGCTCTCAAACCCAAGACTCGCCACTTTAAATCCCATTGGTTGGTTCATAAATTATAGTAATAACGGATACTTCTTATTCATTTAACGAATAACCTGTCACCTAGGTAATCATGTGAGTTGTGTGTTCAAAAATAGAGAAAATTGCAACTATTTGTCTACCTTCTTGATCATTTAATCGGAGGTTTGGTATATGTAAAATTGTACGCGGATTATTGATAGACTAACAAACGAGTTATATGGATTTATCGTCAACAACCTAAGGATAATCATACAAATTCCTTATAACAAATGTATTTTAAATAACTCCAAATAACTCGAAACAAAAGTAAATTAGACAATATGATCATTTAAAATTGTCCTTTTTTTTGTTTTGAAAATTTTTAGTACGTGGTTTAGGCTATGAATGGCAACCGAAAACATTAACAATAATTCAAGGTGATAGTGTCGTGTGGATTTGGAATACAAGTACTCGTGTAAATCCATTAATGATAGCTGAAATATCTGGTCTTGAAGATTTAACTCCATCTGAGTCAGGATTTCATAGTGGTCAACCAGTACAAAATGGTAATATAATTAAGTGAATTAAATCAATTGATTTATGTACCGTATATCTATTAAATAATTATCAATTATAACAATGTCTATTGACCTATGATTATTCAATCAATTGGCGAACAGATTTCTTGAGGGAAATCTGAGGAAGCAATTGCTTATGACGATATCATATAATTTCACAGTTGATTACATTTTCCAACTGATACGGTATGATGTTTAGGTTTTGCACTTTTACGTAGTTTTGATGAGATAAGTGAAATCATAACTGGGTCCAATCACTTAACTCCCTAAAGTTAACTGAAGACACTGAGATGAGACAAACATTCAAAACTGTAAAAAAATCATTTGCAAAAAACACTTGAAAGATTACAGGAATTGTTAATATTACTCCTGTTTGACAAACTGACGAAATCTCTCTAAACAACAGTTTACAAACCGAGGGCTTGGCAAATGATGAATTACTGAATAGTATGTTTAACATCTTTTAAAAGGTAATATTTTTTAACGATGTAGGATTGATTTAACCCCCTCTACCTTCCAGTAGTACCCTTTTCTCACCAATCAAAAGCATCATTTTAGTCCGCCAATAAAATGCCGATAATAGTAGTGAATTTGGTTCGACAATACCAGTCCTAGTCAGCGCTGTTGTTAGCCATGTCTATTTCGGATAGCGTAGCTGTTTTGACTTTCAGAGAGATGTTCGTTGTTTTAGGATATTCAACGGAAGCAGAACTCTTGAGACAACTGAGAGCTTATCGGAATGTGACTTTCTGCCACTTCATATTGCGAGAGTCATTGAAATCTAAATGATTTTTATGTAAAATATGTGTTACGATTATGATATGTAATCAAGACTTCTGTAAGAGAATATCACATTCAATAATACTTTTCACTGTACATATCAACGAGGATTCAATGACAACACAACATTACCGTCTTTAGGACTCCGTCCACAAACTGATTTAACAATACGACTTAATTTATTCCATCCGCTGTATTAACGATAGTCTTTTCACTCGGTAGAAATACTTACTTACTTACTTACTTACGCCTGTTACCCCTCGTCGAGGAGCATAGGCCGCTCACCAGCATTCTCCATCCAACTCTGTCCTGAGCCTTCCTTTCCAGTTCTTTCCAGTTACTATTCAGCCTTTTCATATCGGCTTCTATTTCCCGGCGTAGTGTGTTCTTTGGCCTTCCTCTTTTCCGCTTCCCTTCCGGATTCCAAGTTAGGGATTGAGTCGTGATGCACATTGGTGATTTCCTTAATGTATGTCCGATCCACTTCCAACGTCTTTTCCTAATTTCCTCTTCAGCTGGAAGCTGGTTTGTCCTCTCCCATAAAACGCTGTTGCTGATAGTATCCGGCCAATGGATGTTGAGTATTTTGCGTAGACAACTGTTTATAAATACTTGTACCTTCCTGATGATGGCCGTAGTAGTTCTCCACGTTTCAGCTCCATACAGTAGGACTGTCTTGACGTTCGTATTAAAGATTCTGACCTTGAAATTGGTTGAGGGTTGTTTTGAGTTCCATATGTTCTGCAATTGTAGAAATGCTGCCCTTGCTTTGCCAATCCTTGCCTTTACATGTTCATCCGATCCTCCTTGTTTATCAACGATGCTCCCCAGGTACTTGAATGTTTCCACCTCTTCCAGAGTTTCGCCGTCAAGTGTGATTGGGTCGGTGTTCTCCGTGTTGCATTTGAGAATCTTGCTTTTTCCTTTGTGAATGTGGAGGCCTATCGATGCGGAGGCTGCTGCTTCATTTGCTGTCTTCATCTGCATTTGGTCGTGTGTATGAGAGAGGAGGGCTAGGTCATCTGCGAAGTCCAAATCATCTAATTGATTCTGAGAAGTCCATTGTATTCCGTATTTCCCTTCGGATGTCGAATTCTTCATAATCCAGTCAATCACTAGAAGGAAGAGGAATGGGGAGAGTAGACAGCCTTGTCTGACTCCGGTCCTTACTGGAAATGCATCTGTCAGCTGTCCTCCATGCACTACTTTGCACTATAATCCATCGTATGAGTTTTGAATAATGTTGACGATCTTCTGAGGAACTCCATAGTGTCGAAGAAGTTTCCATAATGTTCTCCTGTCCACGCTGTCAAACGCCTTCTCGTAGTCAATAAAGTTGACGTATAGTGATGAGTTCCACTCAACTGATTGTTCAACGATGATCCGTAGTGTCGCAATCTGGTCTGTGCACGACCGATCCTTACGGAATCCAGCCTGATGATCCCTTAGTTCGGCGTCTACTGCGTCTTTCATCCGATTCAGCAGCACTCTGTTGAAAACTTTTCCTGGTACTGATAACAAACTGATGCCTCTGTAGTTCTCACATTGGCTCAGATGGATAGTGGCTTTGCTTATAATGCTTGTGAATTAAGGCTATATCGAGGCGATGCTCACAGCATGAACATATGTCAATAAGAAACTGAACAATTGCAGTCCTAAACATCAATGGGAAAATTCAAACAGACAATACCAAGTGAATTCAAATACCACAACGCTTTAAAAATGATTTAACAGTCATGTTGAATATCCAGAAAGTTATTCAACGATCGACATAGAATAATGATAAGCATTAGGATAGCAAAGGTTAGGAATTTATGAGCTTATACTCAGTTTATTCTTAAATCAAAAATCAATCTATTATCTTTTGATAAGGTGATTGCATATGTTGTAAAGTTTCCAGATATTCTCTTTTGAATACTTGCACATTTTGTGGATAAGTTACTGCATTTGATCGAATTGATAAAGAAACATTCAAAATATAACTATTCTACATACAATCTGTGTTTAAGACTCGTAATAATAATAATAAATAATAATAGAAATTTTAGAATAGATGGATTATAAGATGCAGGACGTGGATTTTGTTTTGTTTAGAACATATCAACTGGATTTATCTACATTCCAGTATTGATATTCATATTGGAAAATTGAACTTGGTGCACTTCACTTAAAAAAGTCACTGACCTACTGTATCAGTGATCTCATGATATCAACTATACAAAATTACTAAAATCTCCAAAAAAAACCCTTCTGATAATGACCATATGCTCACTAGTGACTGGCTTCATGAGGTATTTCCTGGAATTCTAGTGAGAAGCAGTAACCAGTAAAGTTTAACCAGATCTGTTGGGGGATATCAACTGATTGAAGACATTGGTGAAATGGTTGCTCAATTTTATGAACCATTGAATAATGTTGATCATCTATTATAACTCTTTTACTCATTTAAAAACACAATATTTTTTTGTATTATTCCATATTTAGGTGTATATAGATTTAATTTTACACAACCTGGAACATATTATTATACATCATCTGAAGAATTTTTAATGACAGGTGTTATAGAAGTCAAAGCATTTGATGATTGTATGACTGAAGTGATTGTAGAAACAAATTATTCAACAGCTATTCATACAAATGTTCCAGGTATGAAATTATTATTTCATTATTGTTTTATAATATTGAAATGATATTGTAAGCCAAACAAACCCACGCCCCCAAATGCCCTGATACGGCCGAGAGTGGGGAGAGTCCGCTCTCCCTCTCGAAATGCTCTCACATGGCCAGGCATATATAGCCTCTACCAGGGAAGTCCTACTCACTACCTTCTCGTGGGATTACTGTTGTTTACGAAATCGAGAGGACGAAAAGCGAATGTCCGGCGCTTTAACCGGGTTGGTGGACACGGAAAGTCCTTTGCCAACTCGTGCGTACACATCTGCATCAGATCATTCTACTTTGTCGATGATGCTGCCCAGCTACGTGAAAGATTTCATATTTGCCAGAGTTTCTCTATCAAGTGTGATTGTAATAATGTTCTCTGTATTGTATTTCATGACCTCGCCTTTTCCCTTGTGTATGTTGAGGCCTACTGCTACAGAGGCTTCTGCTATACTGTCTGTCTTCGCCTGAGATGGTTATTGTGTATGGGATAAAAGAGCTAATTCATCTGAGAATTTCAAATCGTGTAGTTACATCCACGTTGTTGATTGTATTCCGCGCTTCCTCATGAGATGTGGAGGTCTTCATAATTCGGTCAACCACCAGACGAAAGAGAAGAGGTGAGAATAAGCAGTCTTGTTTGACACCAGCAGTAACCCTAGAAGTGCTACAGATGAAGTTACAGTTCAACAATAATCATGAAAACTGTTTACGGTGTAGAATTACAAAACAATGATTAAACTAAACAAGACCAAACTGCACTGCCGAAGGGAATTAGGGCCAAGTAAAGGTAAGAGGTTGGTCATGTCGTTTTTATATGCAGATTTCCTAGCTTGATTCGATGGATTGCCAACGCCTGAGCAGTGTATACGTTTTTGATTCGGTGTCTCTTCGATTCAGTTCCATTGATTGTGTAGTTTGTTTTGAAAAAATACTCCATTGAGGCGACGTGTCCAGAGTCGATTAGATGCTTCTGTATTGAACTAATGATTGTTTCTCATTCTCCTTCAAGCAGCCACGCCGGGTAATATACTGAGGTGCGTTTGGAAAGTGATCACTATGTGCGGCCAGTGTTACCTTCCTCACATGAGCAAGTAAATTTATAGTTGCACATCGATGTGGCCAAAGGTGCAAGTTTATCCTTAACGCATTCACGAATGGGAGGCCGTCTTCAAAAGATAATACGAAGCATAACTGAACAGGTTTTATTCAGAGATTTCGAAATCCGTTTATTCAGAAGCCGTATCTCCTTTACATTCAATATCCGTGAAAAGAGTTTTATTTTGAACTATTTGTGCTATTTCTCGACGTTGTCATGGTATTAAGTTTCTGTCAATGAATCATGGTGGATAACCAGTTCTCATGAGTATCTGTCGAAATTGAAGTAGTCCATCATCTATTGTATCATTAGAGCATATTCGCCTAGTCCTTGAGGATAAATGGTGAATTAAGATTCTCTTCCTACTCAATGCTTCCCATGTATAGAAATTCGTATACCGACCATTCCATGTCAGTCTTTATACATAGATCTCTGTAAGGAACCATCTGACCATTACAACAGGACACCAAGAAACTTAAGTCCTCGTTCACCCAAAATTCATCCATAAATTATAGTCTCACCAGTTGTCCTTCAATGTGATAAAATTAATCACCCAAGATTACTACTATGATACATTAAATGTAGAGATATTTTTCGAAGATTATTTTATATATCATGATGTGTTACATTCTGTACAGTATATTCTTTTGTACAGATACTCTATACTGGGATTAATCCCAGGATTAATCCCAACCTGTGGAGGTGGTTTCAATTGTGAGATATTAACAAAACCATCCGAATTACTTACAAAGCATGGATTTGTTTATCGAGGTTGTGCAACACCAATAGTATCTTCATTCAGTCCATTTAATATTTATGCTGAAAGTATGATTACACTTTCTTCTCCTGTATTAGCTAATTGTGCAGATCAGTTAATGATCAATATTGGCGGAGCTGATTGTACACAACCTATTCAAGATATTAACGATTCAGAATCTATTGTATGTAATTTAATTGAAGAACAAGTTATTCCAGCTGGTCTATTAACTGGACAAGCATTAAGACCATGTATTTCACATAATGATCTTGGATTAGCACTATTACAAGTTTCAACTAATGAATTTGAACAATATGCATTCTTCTTACCTGAAATTAATTGTAATAAGACACATGGTAAAGGAAGTATTTATGGTGGTGGACAATTAATTGTATATGGTTCTGGATTCGATCCTATTTATACAAATTTTAATAAAATTGCATTGAATAATGAGAAGGAATGTTCAATTATCCAAGTTACATCAGGTTATATTAAATGTTTAGTACCGATACCGGATAATCCAACAAATGAATCAAATATAGACGTTACTATACAAGTTAAAATAAAATCAAGGAATCAAAATAATTGGATAGATGCTCAACATGATACTCATAGAGATTGTATATATTCATATGATGTAACAGCAACACCTATTGTAAAAAATATTGAACCAAATGAAATAATCAATATTAATCAAACTTTTATTATCCATGGTAACAATTTCTTATTACCAAATGAAAATTATACAAATTTACAAATTTATTTTGATAACACCCCATGTATAATTGATATAAAATCAGTTGCCATGGATACATTATCATGTCAATTATTAGAATCACCCTCATCATCATCATCAGATTACGTAATCTTTAAATTATTTCATGAAATCCGTGGTTATTCAAAATATGATATTAATACAACAATCAAAAATCATATTATATTTAATACAATTGATCCATTAGAAGGTAGTTTTGCTGGGGGTACAATTATCAAATTCCATGGTAACAATTTAAATCATTCAAATATTAAAATTTTATTTAATTTAAAAGAATGTTCAATAATCAATGAGAATAGAACTAATGATCAAATATTATGTCGTACACCAGAACAATTAAATTATTCATATTTAGATAATTATAAAGTTTCAATTAATATATCTAATGGTTCATTAATGACTACTGAATATACTTATATAAGTAGTAAAACACCAAAAGTAATAAATATTACAATGAATTCAATAAATTCTAATGGTACATTAATTACTCAATTAAATATATATGGTATAATGCTTAATGGTGATAATACAAAAATGATAATGACTGAAGTGAAATTAAATCAAATTATATGTAATATAATAATTATTCAAAATGATTATATTCAATGTAATGTATTAAATTTACCAAATGGAATATATCAACTTATTGTTGATACACCAATATATGGTTATGGATTAACAAAAAATAGTATCTATGTAAATTTTACATTAAATTCAATTAGTCCTAATTCAGGTTAGTTGGTAAAACTGTTATTAATTTAATTGATTTTTTGCTATGATTTCTTGTTCAAATGTACATACAAACATACATACATACATACATACATACATACTTCCTTCCTTCCTTCCTTACCTACTTACTTACTTACTTACTTACTTACATACATATTTACTTACTTACATATATGCATAAAAACTACATACAACGTACTTACATTCATACATACATACATACTTGCTTACTTACTTACATACATAGATCCATGCATACTTACATATGTACTTACTTACGTACCCACAGGATTCCAAGTTAGTGCTCGCTTCGTGATGTAGTTTCATGGTTTCCGAATTGTATGTCCTATCCACTTACATGTTCTTTTCCTAATTTCCTCTTCAGATGGAAGATGGTTTGTTCTCTTACACAATAGGCTATTTCTGATGGCATCCGACAAACGGATATTGAGTCTCTTGTGTAAACAATTGTTTATGAATACTCATACGTATTCGATGATGTTTGTGGTAGTTTTCCGAGTTTTAGCTTCATGGAGTAGAACTGTCTTGACGTTCATAATGAAGATTCTGACATTGATACTGGTTGACAGTTGTTGTAGATATATTCATAATCGATTTTTAGTGAAGATGAATTAAAAATGAGTAGATCTAATTTCACATTGGAATAATTTTGTGTTGGATTTGTAAAATATGAAAAAGTATGTTGAATACATTATCTACACATCTTCCTTAAAATGTCACTAACAAACTCTATCATTTCTCAATTCCTTTTGCGACTTGGACTGTTTCCATTGTCTTATTCTTCTCATGTTCTTTTTCTGTCAATAAGGATCCTACTTTCAATTTTTGATCTATAGTTGTTAGGTCCTTGGTTTGTCTACCCACTAATATACAGAAGATAGCTTATCTCAATCTAGATTAAGCCCTTGATACGATAGGCTAACTGGTTTAACCTTTAGGCTAGAAAGGCGTGAGTTCCAAGTGAGACTAACTGTCTTGGGCAGAGAGACGAAAACTATCCTATCATCTATAAGCAAACATGGGTAGTGGCTAGCAGTGGAATCCAGGACGCATGTGTCGTCATGTTTGGATTTGGTCAGCTGAATGTATCTGCATCATAGAGTATGCACAGTATGCATGTATGCCAATATGAGGCTGATCAACTGTCGTGATAAATATCAGTGGGTAGATTAAAGTAAACGGTGCCACGTGAAGTTATCCTGTCATCTGATTGCTTAACAAATACGCGCTACAGAGAAGACCACTCAACTGGAGCAGTACTCGATTTATATCCTATTCCGGTTTCAACTCTGAATACACTCCAATTTGGTTTCAATTCAGATTAGTGTAAAACCACACATTAATAAATAGATCACAACGCACCGAAAATTAGGAAAATACAACTATCTCCAGAATTGTGGATTAGGGTAGAAAAATAGTGTAGCAAAGGCTACGTTTAAACTACAATAACTTTGAAACAAAAAGGGGTATGACAGTGAATCACACATCAAATAAAAGTTTATGGCTTTTAGAATGAACTAGGGACAAAGATAAATGTTGGTGCTTCACAAGCGTTGAATCAAGTGAAATAGCGTCCCCAAAAATAGCTTCCGTTGTTTGTCATAGCTTCGTTGTTTCTCTTTTCTCAACAATACTACTTACATCTGTCTGAATGAATAGCATACCACAATCGAACTCAACTTATCTACCTTTAAAATACTGAGAATCTTCTAATCTAACTATTATGATAATCTGTACTTTGTTTGGACTCTTCAAACTAATTATAAACATTAGCTGTATCATAGAGAGTGAATAATGCAGTTAACTACTACTACTACTACTACTACTACTACTACTACTACTATATTTCAGAGTTATGCTTCTTTTGTTTCTGTATTTACACCGTATCAATGCAATAAATGTATCATGAACTTATATGTTATAATCTATGGAGGAATTTTGAAATGTATTATCATCTGACTCACTTGGTCTATGCAAGGATATATACATATATCAATGACAAAAGCTTATCAAGAGGAAAACGATTTGTAATATACCTTAGTATTGATAAATAAAAGTATCGATGTCTTTGACAATTCAGTGTTATAATAAATGAAGGGGTTATTTATAGATCAATTTGACTTATTGATTATATTCATCACAGATTGATCTCATTTGACTTATTGTTATTAGTCGGAATTTACTGGATATCTTTCTTTTTGAGTATGGAAGTTCTCCACAATGTGCATCCATAATTCTGCTTAGAATAGAACTCAGTAGTTCTAACGATCACGTGTTTGTCGCTGGAGACTTAAAGAACCTAGGTATGATTCCTAGTAGGGTCATTAAATGAGCACATAATGGGACAAAACATTTGTTCAATGCTTCATGGTTTTCAATAGTGTTCCCTAACTGAAATTAATCTGCGACAAATACAATCTACAAATCTGAGATATATATTTTAAAAACTAAAAGTAAAAACTTATTTATTTAAAGTATATCATTCATTTAGATTGCGTGCGTTCTTATTTTTTTATTTAGGTGGAACAGAAGGGGGTCAATTAGTGGAGATTCAAGGGATAGGAATGGATGTTGAACAAAGTACTGTTAAGATATGTGATCAAATTTGTCCAATAGTTGGAGGGAGTTCACTTGCACTTAAGTGTGTTACGCCTAAATTATGTAAGTGAATTAAGTAGTATAGTTTTTTTAATTCGAATTAATAACTATTTCTTTTATTGTTTGTTGAAATCTTCCCATCGATGTGTTAGGACTGCAACTGGTTAGTCTCTAATTGACATATGTGCGTAATGTGCGTATTGCCTCGATATAGCCTTAATTCACAAGCATTGTAAGCAAAGATGGACATTGGCTAGCAGTGGAATCCAGGACGTGCTTTTCCTCCTATTTGGGACTCGTCAGCTGGATGTACCTGAGTGAGCATCACCTCTGCAACTAGTCATTTTGAAATTCTTAAATCATCACAAAAGTTTATTCTTAAGAAAATTTCAGTGAGATTGTTTGTTTACTTACAAAACGGGCAAATGAGTTTAGTTTCTGTATTGAAATAAACCAAGAAATATTTATTAAAAACTATTTTTGTAAAACTATACAAATTTTTAGACAGACTTTTTGTTAGTATAATCAAAAATAGTCAGTCAGTTAGTCACAGTGTAGAACATCGTACGTATGGATATCAGTTCGAGTTGTCATGCCACATCAGCACAGAGATGTAGTTGTTAACTCAAATCCAATGGTGGTAGAAGTAGCAAGAGTATAAGCAGTAATCCGAAAGATTAGGTTTTAAAGATGTCACTTAAGGAGTATAATCCAGTAAAACAAATTTGGAAAGAGAAAAAAGATAGGAACATAAAGAATCTAGAAGATTAGAATTTGGGTAAATACAAAGAGTGGATTCACCTGCACCATTGCAAACGATTTTGAGCCATATCATTCAAGGTCTCTAACCATCGGTTGGTATCATCTCGCGGATCCTAACCAGGTAGTTTGCACCTATCAACATGGCTCAGTTCACTTGCCAGTAACTTCATGGATTTGTGGCACGTTTTGGTCTGACTGCTCCTAGGCTTCTTCCAACCTACTCCTACACCACAAAACATTGCATGTCAAGACAGTCGGTGGTTGAGCATACATAACACATGTCCCAGCCATCTCAACTGATGAAGTTTCATTACTTTATCAATAGACTTGCTATCCTTACCTAGTACCCGTTTCCCAACAAAAGTAGAATAACATCTACCATTAAGATTTTTTTCGATTTGTTTATATTAAAAAAAGTACTTTATTAGTTATAACTGAACTTGTTATACATTTTTTGTATACCTTAGCTACATTGGACATAAAGATGTGTGATGTTACAGTGATAGTTCCTACTATTGATAATATATTACAAAAAAAATTAATTGGAGCATTCAAATATAATGCAGATCTTGCACCAAGAATAATCAGTGTAGATCCATTAATTGGTGGCACTGGTGGAGATACAAATCTTACTATAATTGGTACTTTGTTTGAGTAAGTTAATTGATTTAACAACTGAGCTCTTTTTCTTTGCTCAACGTATTGTAATGGCAATAAGTATTGATACTTTGTTGCCATAAAATATAATATTTTGTACAAACCCGGTTATGTCTGTCATTATTATGTCGACATAATTAGTTAACTGACTTATGTTTAATACTAAAAACACCGTTTCCGACGACGCATAGTGAAAAAAAAACGAAGACTAGTGATAATGGATTTATTTAATCCTCAGAATTCAATCGATATGATGTATGAATACACGATTTTTTTTATATGATTGGTTTACGGTCAGATTTCTATAGATTGTTATTGCTCACGAACCAGCATGTTTTCAGCATTAGATAGATCAGATCACTGAACTCTTTTATCTTTAGTTAGCTGATCATGAATCGTACAATTAATTGAGCATATATACATATGTATTTTCTAGCAAGAGAAAACATTTTACCATATATATATATATATATATATATATATCCGTTTTTTCGTAGTTATATGGCATACTAAATTAAAAGTACTGTGGTGTGTGATATTGATGTTGACAGATATAAGTAGTATGTATCACCAATCGAAAGTGGAATGCCTGGAGGTAGAAAGTTGAGAAAATCGAAGAGAATGGAACAAGAACAGAGAGTGATTGATATGGGAACGAAGGAACAACAAAGTCTGAAACAATTTATAGATATTTTGCAAATAAAGTATTGCTGTATGATTCTCAGGTTTTGCTAGGAGATTCTGTATTTTTTTATTCAAATATATTTGGTCGTCCTTACTTATATTGTCATTCACCACAGAATAGACTGCAAGTGAAATTTGGACTTTTTCGCTCTTCTAGAGCCAAGCAGAATTTGTTGGTGGTTGAGACCACAACCAATAAGGTAGATTCATTACATTCATCCATCAGTTAAAGTATTACTGTACTCTATTTTCTTAAAAAAATTCTTTCCATGTCATTGTGTTTTATCATTCATCAAAAGGATGAGTCGTATGAACAGCGACAAGATTAATAAAAAGTATATTTGTTCAGTTAATATTTGCTGAGTGTACTATTTATTCATCTCAATTAGTAGTTAATTGAACTTATCCTTAAAAATTGTCATTCACGGATATTTAGACTAAACCATGTTTTAATTCATAGTCCATTCACCTGTTGAAACAACAATACTTGTGGTTATTATGGTTTTTATTTTGGAGTTAAAGAAGAATCTTCTATAGCCGACATCAGAAGGACTGTGGCTTTTTCACATCAGTTGTAACGATGAATTTTGAAGGAGTGACCATAAGTGTTAAAAAAACTAGGGACCTGTTAAAATGTAATATATCATTTACACATCTTCTTTGAATTATCATTTAGAAGCTTCATTTTTCATTCATTCTTCTTGTTACCCTGATTACTAGAAGATTGATTCTCTTTTCTTTATTTCAATCTTCTCAACATTCTGCACGCAGACATTCTACTTCCGACTGATATGACATTCTACTTGCATCTACAAACATACGTAGCATATACCTCATGACCATTTTCGAAATTATTAATATTATTGGGTGACACGTTCGACGAGTATAAATGAAAAAAGATTATGAAACATTGTTCTTTGATCCATTTAGCGGGTTTAGATAATAAATTTAAGCTACAGTTGTTTCATTGTTGTTTTCCCTTTCTTTTTTTAGTGAATCAACTACGGTTACGGTTGGTGGTACTGACTGCCAATTAATATCGCTGAATGATACTGTCATTATATGTCAAACTGGTGAACATAACAGAAGCGCAAAAGTACCTATTGAAGTGATCGTTGAAAACAATGGCAAAGCATCTGGAGTAAGTATATCGTTTGTTATTGATGTTGAAACAATGATACCAGATTGAAATGTTAAGAGGGAAACAAAATATGATGATTTATTATGATTTATACCAATAGTGGTATTGTATTGAAATTTGAATGGAGATTCAGCTGAATTCCCGATATTTAACATGCCTACAAGTAATCGGAATAGAACAAGAACTATGTGAATTAAAATAACAATTTTTCCGTGTCAAAGACTTCAAAATTTCATAGAAGCATATTAGCTGACCGTTTGTTTAATTGTTTGATGGTAAAATTGATGGAGATTGTTCAGTTTAAACATTATGAATGTTATAAGTTTGACCATGTAATAGGTGAGATAGTTACCGCTGACGGCAGTGGATGAAGACCAAGAGATACCATAACTTAACTGAAGTTGAAAATATGAACTACAGAGTGCCAGTTCAATGACTTAGATGTTATTAGATAATCATGAGGCCTAGAAATCCTCAATTACATATGATGACGAGGCAAGTGTTCAATGTTTTCCGGTTGTTTATATCTGTCTAGTTAAATCCAAGTTATAATGTGATATCTATTCATCATAAATGTTTGTGTACACACAATTTCGACTAAATCTAATCTTGATTACATTTCGAGAGGATTATAATAGAAACTTTTTTGATTTGACTGAGAATATTTTCTTGAACGTTGACCAAGAACTCCATATATAATAATCCTTAATTCCAAAGTAGGACCAAATCATAGGACAAGAAACTGGTCATATGAATGATCCTCTCCTGTCATATAATTTAATTATATTTTTAAAGATTTTGTTGGTATCTTGAAGATTTCGTAAACATTGAGAACGACAGAGTACTAAACCGTTGTTTATTTTAACATAATTTCGTTTTCAATGGTTTCTCAGTTTTGAAGTTCTGTCTCACAGTTCAGGAAATAAACAGCAATCATTCAGTAAACTGCCGACAAAATTAAGCGAGGATCATGCAGTTTTACAGTCTCACTAGGGCTTTTAATACCGACCATTGAATCTTGACTGTATACATTAGTCTTATCTCGTCTCATATGAAAGAGGCATAGATGAATATTCCTTTAGGTTATCAAAACAGGATAACATAATCGCTCAGTCCTTGGTGGTTTTTAATGATTTTCAATCGTAATCTAAAAAATCTAATCAAATAAATACATTCGTCAGTATAGGGTTGTGGAGATTGTTGAGTTTCAATTGAAATCATGAACTGATTAATGTTAGATCACCATTGAAAACCTAGAAACACTTGATGGCCGTTTCGTCCTCGTATGCGAACCTTCAGAAGTACGCTTCCACTAGAACCCAGGATCTTTGACTTCAGTCAAATCCAATTATTTCTACAAACCTATACCGACAAACACTATGTGCCTGGATTTGACTAACTTTTAAAAGAAATTTCAGTTCTGTTGTGAAGTCGTGACTAATATAGTGGAATCTCGTCTAGTATGAGGAAGGCACCACCGAAGACAGCAGAAGTTGGTCACACAAAATTATAAATTGATCAAAGTTAAACTTGTATACCATTGGATTCAGGCTCAGTATTCTAGACTTTAGGCGTTCACATGTGTTATATCGTGTGTGTGCGTGCCCTGCTTATATATGAACGTGATGATTCCCGCCAATGAGAGAGTAGCGAATTATCGGTCAGTGCAATGATACACGAAAACCGTATGAGCAGTCTAGAGTACTTATCAGTCCTGCTATCTGCCTAGCCTAGCCAGTTAAGTCCAGAACACCAATAACAGCCTCTGCAATATGAATCATTATTCTCGAATATACTAATTTTATATACTAAACAAACTGACCATATCGTACCATAAAACAGAAAATTACATTCGTACAAGATTTGGCCAAATGTGACTGTGAATAGGGGAACAGTAATTAATGGACTAGGGATAACTCAAGAATGGTAAATCGTATAATAATAGTCTATAAGTCAAAATAAAGCTTAGAATAAGATGAACACGAATATGGATAGTTTGGTTACTTAACAATTATACAATAGGAAATATACATATCAAATTGGTCCACTGATAGTTCACAAAGTTACCATTTATAAATCCCCACGGGATATAACATATGTGAAGCTGAAGGTCCTGGATTTAGTTCGCTGTGATGGGTTCGTAGATACGCGCTTCTCAGGAGCACCATACAAAGACGAAACGGCTATCCAGTACTTCCAGATTTTAAACGCTTGCAAAAATTAGATCAGTTCATGACCTCAATAGAATTCAACAATATTCACAAACGCATATTAATTTAATAAATAACATATAATCACTAATTTATTATAAAATGCTTAAGTATATATACGTTTATATATATCTTCTCTATTTTCTATTGCCCCTTTCTTTCATATTATCTTATAAAAGAATTTCACATTTTACTATGTGGATCGTTGGTCAAGTCAATTCACTTGGAATAATCAACCAATTCCTGTTGAAAATGATTTTGTTGTTATTAATGCCAATCAAAATATTATGTTAGATGTAGATACACCAATTCTATCAATGTTACTTATTAATGGTGGTATATTATTCTTTGATCCAACAAAAGATATACAATTAAATTCAAAATATATATTGATACTAAATGATGGAAAACTTCTAGTAAGTTCCATTAGGTTACTGCAGTGAAATATTTGTAGGTGGGGGGGTTTTCTGTGGAGATTCTAAGAAATTTTTATGTATAGTTGAAGTCATGAGTCGACTGAAGCTAAACCACCGTAGAAAACCTGGAAGCACTGGACGGCCGTTTCATCCTATTGTGGGACTCCACAGCAGTGCGCATCCACGACCTCGCCTTTCGAGATTCTAACCCAGGGCCTACCAGTCTCGCGACAGAGTACTTAACTGATAGACCACTAAGCCGGCATCCAACGGTGTTAATGTCTAACTCCAACCAATCCAAGAATTTGAGCAACCGTTTCACTAATTTCTTCAGTGAGTTGATATCTCCCAACAGACCTGGTTGAACTCCACTGGTTGCTGCTTCCCACTAGAACTCCAGGAAATACCTCGTGGGGTCAGTTTATGTATATATATGTATTTACTAAAATGCATTAAATGGTGCTGAAGATAGATAGATGGATGGACAGATAGATAGATAGATAGATAGAAAGATAGGAAATACATTGCCGTAGTGTAAACATAATCAATGATGTAATTTAGCGCATTTTATTGTATTCTATTTCAAATAATATAAAGCATTAAATTGTATATTCTAAACAGTCAACTTCTTTACTTTCGGGGAACAGTAATAATCAGGTACAGAGACAAGTACATAGACATTAGAAAATCATTGAAAACTTTGGTTTACTAATAACAAATTATCTTAAGATATAAAACCATCGACTTTAGAATCTTCCTTTAATTTGTCGAGAAACTTCCATGGAAACAATACATCTTTTCACTATTTAGTAGAACATGTATAAAAATTTAGTAGACAAATAATCCAACTGATATTTATTCAAATTTTAACTAACACTTGAGTGTTACAAGTTAAGCTGATTGATTTCCGGTTTAAATTATAACTCACTTACTGATGGATGCAAATGCTTGTTTCAAATTTTAATTACCCTAGTTAGAAATATAATTTGTTAGGAAATATTTTGATTTGTTCTAATGTTATTCTTGTGTAGGTTACTTATAAGTAGTATATAACGATGGTCGAGCATTGAATGTATTTCAGTAGAAAATCGATAAGGAAAGAACAGGAACAGAACGCGATTGGTATGAAAATGCATGAATAATAAAATCAGAGACGATGGACTGATATTTGTCGAAGGAATAGTCAAGATTGAGACAATTGATTAATAGTTTGCAAATTAAGTGTTTACTATATTGTTCAGAGATTTTACTGTGATATTCTGTAACTCGTATCTAAAGACATTCGACTGTCCCCATTCGTACTCTTGTTTTCAACAGTACTAAGATATGTGTAAGTCATATTTAGGTAACTGGAAGTGTAATGTATGTTGGATGATATTACTATTACTATCATTATTATCATTATTAGATTGGATCACCAGAAGAACCCTATACTAAACAGGCTACGATAACACTACATGGACATGTACGAGAAAAAGAACTACCTATGTACGGTGCTAAAGTTTTAGCATTACGTAATGGTACAATCAGTATACACGGTCAGTTGCATTATCGTTTCTTTTTATTAATTGTTACAGTTTTTTCGATAATGTAATAATAATAATAATCAGAACTATGTGATGAGATATTAGCGCAATACATTTCGTACAATTTGATCACACATGTACTTGTTAAGAACATTTATTTATAAAAATAAAAGGTCAACTAGACTGGAAATGGGGGGGGGGTAAGAATAGACAAGGATAAAAATAATAATAATAAATAATGTAAAAACAATTTGAAACCTAATCACTTTGGATAATAAGCATATATTACCAGGGTAGGTTTAAGGAGAGAACATACTGTTTTTCAATACACAATGGGGGTTTGAATTTTCTTATGGCTAAGGCTTCAATAAACGTTAGCATACACCCTTTTACACTTTTATACAACACCACAAAAGCCGAGTTAAGATCAATCTTATAGCCTGTTTCGATTATATTTTTTGCAATAGAGGATGATAGATGTTTATCCTCTCATTTGATTCTATTCGTTTTTGCAACCATTTTGGTACATGTTCACCCACCCTAATTTTCAGATCATGATTGCTCCTCCCTACGAATGTCTGACCACATACACATTTAAATTGATAAACACAATTATGTTTTGCAAAGATGGATAGTGGCTAGCAGTGGAATCCAGGACGCGCGTTTCGTCCACAAGCAAGTGGCTATCAGGACTCAGTGGCTGAGTGGATAACGCGATGGCGTTTGAAGCGAGGGTACTGGGTTCAAGTCCCAGAGTGAACATCAACTCTGAGATGCAGGTACATCCAGCTGACGAGTCCCAAATAGGACGAAACGCGCGTCCTGGATTCCACTGCTAGCCAATGTCCATCTCTACTTACAATGCTTGTGAATTAAGGCTATATTGAGGCAATACGCACAGTATGCACATATGCCAATTAGAGAGTGACCAGTTGCAGTCCTAAAAATCAATGGGAAGATTCAAACAAACAATAATAAGTGAATATACAATTATGTTTTATTATCTGAAAATAGTTTATTTAAATAAAATTCTACAATTATGAATGTTGATTTCTAAACACAGTAAATGACCAAGTTAAAAGGAAATTGCACATTTTTTAAGACAAGGGATATTATTTAATATACATTTTAATAGAATCGTAGTTGAAATGCTAATAAGTTGTGTTGTATACTACTTACGTCGATAGATAAAAGTAGTATGTAGCACCAATGAGGGTTAGAAACCCTGAAAGCGGAAGGCTATGAATGTCAACTTGACAAAAACAGAAACGGAATTAGAAAGGAATTGCTGATTGGAAGAGTCAGACAGAATATGAAGGACAAATAATGGAGATTTCTAAATGGACTATTTGATGTATGGTTCTTATATTTCATCAAGAGATTCTGTAATTTAGTATTAAAATCTAATTGGTTGTCCCCCACTTATCTTCACTATATTTTTTTGAAAAATAGTTTACACCATAGACTGGTCTTAACTAATTTTAAGTAATTAGTCCCTTTTGATAAGACTATGAGAAGACGCCATATATTTCGAACAATCTGGTCACACATATACTTGTCAAGCTATTTACCCTAGCAAACCATATAATTGAAACAGGGCATAGGATTGAAATCATTACAACTTTGAAAACGTTTTATAAAAATTCTGAAGGATGAATTCTTAGGTTTATAGAAGCTTTGAGTACAAGTAAATTCAAACTCCCCCTAAGTGTACCGAAATAATTTGTCGTCACCTTGAATTTGACCTGATAATCCTCAAGTAATTTTATTATTGAGGATAATGAGACAATTTACAATTATTTCTATATAGTGTTTGTTTTTCTCTCTCCTTTATTTACAGTTATTACCTTATGTTTAATTGAACTTTCATTTAATTGACCTTAATTAATGTTTATTTAAAATGCCTTGACAAGTATATGTGTGACCAGATTGCTTAAAACATATAGTGCAAATACATCACATTTTTCAGTCTTAACTTAGTTTAATCAGGATCAGCTCATGATGTAAACAGTGAGACAAACATTAGCTTATCATTGTATGATGGTGGCGCGATATTATGAATACGTTAAAGTGAATCGCCAGATACCAGCTCAATGGTCCTGTCCTGGGCAATCCTTCTCAGTTGTTATTCATCCTCTTCATATCTGCTTCCAATTCCCGACGCAGTGCGTTTTTTGGTGTTCCACTTTTCTGTTTCCCTTCAGGATTCCAAGTTAGCGCTTGCCTCATGATGCAGTTTCGTGATTTCCGTAATGTATGTTCTATCCACTTCCAACGTCTTTTCCTAATTCCCTTCTCAGATAGTATCAAATTTCTTGGAGAACTTTTATGTTTGTCACTAACTGCTTCTACTGAACACTTAACTGGCTCATGCTAGATATTAAGAACTTTAATCAAACAACGTGTAGTGAAAAACAAAGATTGGCGATAAGGATTTATTTGACTGTTAAAATAAATTTTTATGGTGTATAAATACACTACTTATTATGTAATGTCTGTACAGTCAGGTTTGTCTTAATTGAAATGAATAATAGCCAATATGGATGGATCAATTACTTTCTATAATATGTAGTTGTTATGTCATAGTTATCGATTTTCATAAGGATCAAATTTTGCATGTTTAATTCTATCATATCACTTTCCTTCCCTGAAAATAAGTTCACCTAAGAACGTTAGAATGAGCGTACATCAAGAACACGTGATTAAAGACACATAGTGAACACCGCAGACTAATTTACGTTTAGAATGGATAAATTGTGACTAACGATGTAATTCAAGACTTGCGTTTCGTCTTATTTGTGATTCATCAACTAGATGTACCTGCATCCGAGTGTTAACGTTAAAATGATAACCAAAATCCAATACCTTTCACTTCAAATATCAACGAATTATCCACCGACTTAATGACTCCAGATGATAACTATAGTTTTAAAACCATATATAATATTTACATCGTTATTAGTAAGGTTTTCAATTAGGAAGTTGTCAATATTCGGGATAGAATTTTAATCAACATTTTTTTCATACGTTTATTCTGTACGGACTGTCTTGAAATAGTCACTAGAATGTACATGTTGATGAAATACGATTACATTGATAGACATATATGATAATTAACTATACTGAAAGATTAGGCACGGTAGAGATTAATAACCGATAAGATAATTCAGCCTCATATATATGTTCTGCATAATTTATCCAGAGGAGTACATGTACAGTTTTATTTTATTGCAATTTTTGTTTAAGTAAATCAAATAATATATGTCAATGTTTCTCTTTTAATACTTAAGGTAAACCTAGAATTATTACATGGACACGATTAGCCGAAACAGCTGAACCTGGTACGAATAAACTAGTACTAGAACAATCAGTTGATTGGCAACCTGGTGAACATATTATTATTACATCTACTGGAGGAAAATCATCACATAATGAATCTGAAGAACATATCATTCAAGGTAAATTTATGATTGCTACTTTTCAGAAAATTCAAGTTCCAATTATTCAGTATAATACTTTTATTGAATTCTTCATGATTTGATTTAGTGAAGAATGTTTTTGAAATTATTATTCACAATCATATCTCATAATTAACCCCCCAAAAAATTGTTATAAAATTTCTTTATTACTTAAATCTCATGTTTCAATCAGTATTATAATTAACTCATAACTTAATGGTATTTCAGGTTCGTTTTTACACTATTCATCATCATCATCATCATAGTGTAACCTTCATATGGAATTTAGTGAATAGACGAGATTTGTAGTTCTCTTAACTAGTGAATAAATTGTTGATTCGTAGATGGATGTGATGATAATTGCCTACTAGACCAGATTATTGATTGGAACCCAAAAAATACTTTGAAATTTCCCGCCTAGATGCTTTTCATACAAAGAAAATAAATTCAATATTGAAGTACTCTAGTTTTGAACAACTGTAATCATTGTATTTAATTTGAACACTTACTATTGTAAAAGAGTGATTAGGTTAGAAATCAAATATTGGAAATCAGTTGAACGCTGAATATCTACTTTGATTTGTGACGTTATATGATGCAAGAGCCAATTATAAGTTTAAAAAAAACTTATTGAAATTTGAAAAGTTCCAAGTGGTTAATGTGTTATTGTCGGTTTTTCTTGATGTTCATCATGAAATCGTTGAAAGTCCGAGATTTAAGCAAATACTACATTCAGTTATGAGCTATTTTGTTCCTATTTTATTGATCATCCTAAAAAAAATTATTTTGTGTGGTTAAGAAAAGTAGACGTTTATAACGTAATAGACTGGCGAAATAGTTCCAATCCCAAGATGTTAAAAAGTCAACTGAGAAGCCTAAATGAAAACATTGTAAGTACAAAAGTACATGTTCGGCACCAAGTTATCGATTAATGTGATAATATCACCCACCAACGCACTCACTCTTTGAGTCCATTAATAATATTCTGATGCAAAGCGCCTTGTCATAACGACTAAAACAAATGACTAACTAAATAACAGAAAGTATTTTATCTCATTAACTCATTAACTCAAGTGTAATTTGTTATATATTATGAATAACTGTGGTTTAACTATAAGAACGTAGTAACAGTACAATCACTATCATGATGTAAAGGGTTATTTGTTTAGGTATGATGAGATATTTGCATAATTAACTCTTAATGACATTTTTGTCGTATGCAGTAATAAAGATCATTCAAAGAAAATTTCGCATTGCTTAAATTCGGAATTCTATTCCTTATACTTTCTACTGTATGAAACAAGGTTAGCTGTCGGTAGGAAACATCCATTAATATTTATCTTATGTATATAAAACTACAATTTCCCTGTAAAATTATTGCGAATGTGAGGAATTCTATACAGGCAAAATAATGAGATAGACCAACATTATCCCAAGATATTTGATGATTTTTACTTTACACTAAAAGACAACTATAGACCATTGACCAGGCATCCATTGATATGTATGTTTAACTTTAATCAGTTTATGACATCGCATACTGGCTCCGTAGTTTAATCGTTAAGCGTTCAACTCAAAAGATATTCCTATTATTGAAAGGATAAGATGAGAAATAGGGAATATGAGATTTGGGTAATTATTCTATGGTTACACAGAAGTAATTCTAAATGGAACTACATAGTTTGATTTATTTTACATATTTCGGTTTAGTGTTGATTAAACATTTGTTTGATGATAACTCTTCTGACTGCCTGGTTCTTTGAATGTATTTTGAACGGAGGTTTTGTGGAAAGGGAATTCCTATAAGCTGACAATCGGGTGACAAACAGAACCAACGAATTTACTGTTACTGATAATAAGTAGACATAGGTATCAATTATATTTGTAAACCTAATTAAACTCCTATTATATACCTTGTTGTTTAGAAATTTCATCAGATAATCGTACAATTACGTTAGTTACACCATTAGCTTACAAAAAATTATCCGTAAAGAAAATTTATCCAAATGGTGTTACTGGAAATTTCGCTGCTGAAGTAGGTCTATTAAGTAGAAATATTTTAATACGTGGAACACAAGAACCAGTTGTCTCATCAGATGTACCAAAATGTTCAAGTGCTTTTAGTACAGGTATGACCTTTTTTTATGAATTGGTCAGTTCTTATAAAATTAACTATATAATGTGGCTGTTTTGATTTTGTAACGTTAAGAGTTTTGGTTTGTTGTATAATCTGTACACGTTTACAAATTCTGAAATTCCCTTGGAATAAGTTAATGTCTATGGATTATTTCGAAATAATCACTTGATTTTGAATTTTCACATCATTGGTTCGAGTCCTGGATTGAATATTAACGTCCAGCTGACAAGTCCTAAGTAAGATAAAATGCACGTCCTAGATTTCACTGTAAACCATAATCCATCAAGTTTATATCAACTTGTGTCATGATGGCTATATCGAGAAAATTCTAACGGGACGCACACATGACAACTAAGACTATTCAAATTTCAGTCAACAATATCAACAACAAGATAATTTAGACCATTTCAAATTGAATGGATTGATATTCAATAAACAACGAATAAAACTAGAAAGCTATTTCGTTTAAATGTGAATCAACTAATCAGTCCATAATATGAAACTTCAAATTTAATCATTTCTATAACACCTTACATTGACGATTGTTTAACTATCAAAGCTAAATAGAATTATATTGAGTGACGTAAATCATATGGGTTCGATATGAATGAATAAATTAACTAACACTGAGTCAACACTGATTATATTGAATGGTGATAGTCTATTCATCTTGCCATAGATGTTGCTATACACAAAATTTATCATGTGTATCCGTTTATTACGAGTAATTTATAAATTTCTAACTGCAACAAGTTGAGAATTTCAAGCAATATTAAGCAAACTTTAAGTACTCTTAGTTATTCATTTTGATTGAACTCCGTTCAATACATCAAGTCTAAGCGATAGAACAGATATTGAGTCATAAAACTTTTCTTATGCGATTGCGTTATGAATTCTATCTTACAATTGGGGAATAGAGGGTTAGTTAACCAAAATAAACTATCTGTTTCCGAACAAAGTTTTGTTTGTTAAGAGAATTTTTCATGTGCTCAGTGTCATTCATATTGTGGTGTATGTTACTTTTGTCGACAGATTTTAGTAATATGTAGCACCAATCGAGAGTGGGAAAACTGCAGCAGAAAGCTAAAAAGATTGAGTTGAAAAGAATACAAGAAAAAATAGGAAGGAATTGTAAACTGAAAGAGTCATACAGAATGTGAAGGACGAATGACGGAAATTTGTAAATGAAGTATTTAGTATATGGTCCTCATATTTTATCAAGAAATTCATTCAAGACATTCATTCATCTTCCCCACATAATGCTCTCGTTCAATAGAACACTAGTGAAATTAGTCTGTTGATTAATAGATTTGATGCAGGGAAACGATCAAATTTATTAATTATCCGACATTTATAGCAAGATTCCGACTCCGTTGGGAATGGTGAATGAAGCATCAACATGAATTCTCCTTTTGAGTTCATATATTTTACGTAGACTAACCGCGTTTGAGCGGCAGCAGAAATAAAAACCAAATACAAATCAAGTTGGATGAATTTATTTCAGGAACATATCTACTCGGACACAGTAAGATAAGAAGCGAATAAAACAAACGCACCAACCCCATCTAGTTAAAACATGATTCCCAGGAGTTCAGATTAGTCGTGTAAGCGTGTTACAATACTAACGACTACAGATCTAAGTTACAATTGTCCATAGTAGGGATATTTATTAAAATGATCTTGAAAAAAGTGATCAGTATATTAGTTGCATGGACCAAATAAAACCTTCGTGAATTTCTTGTCTATCATATTGCTAATACTGTTTTTCTTTATAATGATAAATCTGGTCAATTAAGGGAAAGTTTCTTACTTACTACTTCTACTTTATCGATTGACTATACAGTATACTTTTAAGTACTAGTTCTAAACAACACATTATTAGTTTATACAAGATCGTTTCAATAAATTTGTACAAAAGTCTGTTTTATTTAAGACTAACTAATCTTAATATTGATCGAATACACTTCTATAGACAAGCGATCAACCGGAGATCATATCTATTAAACTAATGAGGATTTAAAGCAGATTCATTTATACGCTATGCAGATTATTTGTCTGCTGGCTAGATTTCCCATAAATAAGTTATATCACATACTAATTCTGGAAAAACTCTGTTAATTTTCGTAAAGTGATTTTGAATTACTGAATTTCGATTCAGTAATCTGAAAGTTTCATGTCCACTATAAAATATTTCTTCTTTAATACATTTAGATCAATTTGCAACTCATACATGTATGATAGGTAGTCCAGATGAACAGTTGGGTGCAAATGAATATGGAGGACATGTACATATTGGTGGTCCATTTTTAGATAGTGGTGCAGTTAAAGTCTATATATCACATACTGAGTTTTATTTCATGGGTCAAGCTTATCGACTTGGTCGATATCCTGTACATTTTCATTTAAATGGCTTGATGAATGGGTAAATTAATTATTATTCATTATTCATTCATTATTCATTTATTATTTATAAAAGATAGGTTCATTTGTTTGGATAGAAGAATACTACTCATAAATTTCAATGCTACTTACACCATAGAATGGTGCTTTCAAATTATGGTACTGTTGAGTCTATTTCAGGATTCAGAGTAAACAATTAAGTTACACACAAATTTCCGAAATAAAGCTACGGATTTGTCTTTAATACTTACTTTTAATAAAAAGTGTATGACAAAAGTAAAACACTTTAAAGGAGAGTTGAATAATGACTAAGATTGTGATTCAGAATTGGTGTTGCATCAGCTGGATATACCCGCATCTAATGTTGATTTTCACTTTGGGATTCGAACCCAGTACCTTTAGTCCTAAATGCTCAGTGAAAATACACGAGATAAAGCAGAACTATTAAAATTGTTAAGCGTATGGAATAGCAATTATCAGATGATTGCATTTCACAAATTCATGTGAATACTTAAAATTATCACACAAAATTGAAGAGAGATTGAAAAGTATATATATTTTTAAAAATGATTGACAACGAAATAGATTACTGAATATAAATAAGTAACATAGCTAATATACAAAAAAGACCAAATAAGAAATGAAGGTGAAAAGACCAATGGTTATTAACAAGTTCCTTATACGCAGAGCTGAATGGTGAAATGAATATGAAAACAGGAATGCGGTTATATTCAACCGATGAACCATAAATAAAAAGAAATGCTTCTTCATATGTACTTCAATAAGCCTTGTGACTTAATGACAAAATGCAGAGATTCTGCACAGAGTATACATATGCTAAAAGAGACTGATCAACAGCAGTTCTAAAAATCAATGGGAATATTCAAACAACTGATATAAATGAACTAACAAGTATCTTCCCATAGCTTTAGTTATTTTTAATAATGTGAATTCGTATATATTCATTGCTTTGTAATTTAGTTCCAAATTTAATGTTCGTCTGCTGTCGAACTAAAAATGTCAAGATATTACAATACGAAAGAAAGAATATCGTTGAAATCATTACAATGGGTAGGAAAGAATAACCTTTACTTACTCAGTGAACATTATTTGTTTTTTTGTCTCATCATTAAACAACTTAATATATATTGTAGTCATAACCATTTTGAGAGGACATTTTCTTCATAACTTATATTATCAGAAGGGGTTTTTTGTGGAGATTTAGTATTTTCATAGTTGAAAACATGAATCAATTGAAGCTAGACCACCAGGGAAAAAGGTTGCTCAACTTCGTGGATTGGTTGAGGTTAGATATAAACACCATCGGATGCTAGTTCAGAGGTCTATCGGTACCACAATAGGACGAAATGACCTTGAAGCAGTGCTTCCAGATTTTCCCTGGTGGTCTAGCATCAATGGACTCACGCTTTCAACTATCATAACTTATAGTTTAGATTCCATATCTAGTATGGTCACTAAGAGTTCCGTTCATTGCAGTTTACTGTGATGATATTTTGAAACGAATCCCATGATCAGAAGTGTTTTCTTTAACACTATCTAATTCATCCAAATGTTCCATTAATCAATGATCAAATGAAACATTGCTGAGGAGTCCCACAGTAGGACGAAATGGCCGTACAGTGTTTCCAAGTTTTCCCTGGTGGTCTAGTTTCAATTGACTCACGCTTTCAACTATTAAAAGAAATCAGTTCTTTTTCTTCTGTTTAATATTATTTTAATGTGTACACTTTATTTCATACAAATTAACTCTTTTATTTTCAGTTCTTATGTACGTGGTTGTTCTATACATAAAAGTTTTAATCGTGCTATTAATATACATAATACACATGAAGTATTAATAGAAAATAATGTAGTTTATGATATAATGGGTGGTGCATTATTCTTAGAAGATGGTATTGAACATGGAAATTTAATTCAATATAATCTATTTGTACATGTTAAACGTACTAGTAGTTTATTAAATGATGATGTTGTACCAGCGGCATTTTGGATTACACAACCAAATAATACAGTAAAACATAATGTTGCTGCAAGTGGAACACATTTTGGATTTTGGTAATTTTAATTAAACATTTTATCGATATATTATTTGTATAGATCATTGAATCTTATTGAAATCATATATTGATCAAAACTGAAGAGTCTTAAACTAGGACGAAACAACCATGAAATGTTTTCAAGTTTTGAATGATTGTTTAACTTAGATTGGTTTTTTGATTCCAATGGACATTTTGACTTCATTGAAATAATATTAGTAACTATTTAATGTTATCAGTATCGGGTTGTGGAGACTAATATGGTTTTGATTGAGATCATGAACCGATTATTGTTAGACCACCATTAAAAACCTGGAATCATTGGATGGTCGTTTCATCCTATCGTTGGTCTCCTCAGCAATGCGCATCCACTGTCCCGTTCACGCTGCTGAGGAGTCCCACAATAGGACGAAACGGCCGTTCTGTACTTCGAGGTATTTAATGTTAGTTTGTTACAATGAATGTTCAATCTTCGTTTTGTGGAACTAAACGTAAACTAATTATACATAACGAGCACTAGTCAATTCATGTATTCTTAAGTGTATATTATATCACTTAAATTGGAGACAGACTCATTGGTAGACAAATTCGTTTCAATGCTATCCAATCAATGCTTCATCTGAAAACAATCACAAGTGAACACCGGTCGATAAATGAATACTTCTCAGATGTATTACTTTTAAAACTTACAGAATACTCAACACAATATTCCCAACCAGATATTGGAAAGCTTAGCACATTTTTTTCCGTAGTAAAGCTATCATATGGGACCGAATTTCCAACTTCAAATGTTCATATGTTGTCATATTCAAGTAGGCCTCTAAAGATTTACTACTGGCACGTTACATAATTTCTACTGAAGATATCTAATTTTGAGAAACGTAATAGATGGTAACTTGTTTGTTTCATTATACAAATGAAGGTCCCGTCAGTAAATGTAGCCATATCGATTAGACTGGAAGCAATAGGAGATATTTCTCCATGTATTTGTATACTATTATTTAGCGAATGACTGATAATCAGTAGTCAAATAAACAGTCAGATAATTCATTTCTGACTATTGGGTCATATTTTCAATCTTCAATCCAAATGACGGAATTTCTCTACACATATTTTACTATTATGAAAAAGAACAATGACAACGAGCATACAAGACTAAAAGTAATATAGCTTCAATAGGTTAATCATATTGTCAAATACATAATCAAACAGAATTTAAACCTTTCAAGGTATTACTGGATGAGTAAATCACTACGTGTACTCTGAGTCAAGGAACAATACATAACTGTCATGTGAGAATATTGACAATTACTGAAAATAAATTAAGTACTATCTCAAAATTAGGCAAATCGTTCAAAATACAAGTGGCGAGACTATAATTTATGGAGGAGTCAATCAGAAACGTTTGGGGGGTTTCAAGGTCACAGCGCCAATTTCAGTACCTCGCGCTCATGAACAATCGATTCACAGAGGAATGGGACTACCAAGAAGTTCCTTTATTTGTAATTGCGGCAATCAATTGACTTGTAGACCTTGTGCAAATTACTGTGATGATGTTATCTTTTGATGTAATATATGTTAGAGGAAGAAGTCTGCTAGAATAGGACCTTTTTTCTCTTCATCCAGATTGAGAATAAGGTAAATTATAACAATTGCTGCGAACTGTATAATAAAAGCACCAGTATTATTGACTTCAATATTCGCAGATGTTACTGAAGCTTCTGTTGTTCAGAAGTATGAGTATTGTAGGGATATATGCGTAATAAAAATGACAAACTTACACAACCGGAGTACATACAAACAATATTAAAGCCACGTGGTTGAGGCTGAGAGGGTTTTTGTGACTTTATCATGGCTCTAGAGACCGAGTATTATGGAGCCATATGGATGAGTTCCTCTACCTTATGCAGTACGATTTTAAGACCTTTGAACCTCTTTTTAACCTTGAAAAGTTTTTGAACCATGTCAAAGAAGTGTATCCACTATAATTCTTTGGTGTTGTATAATATATATTTTTACTTTATACTAACTATTACCTGATTGGCTAAGATTTCTCAAGGTCACTCGAGATTCGTTCAAACGTCGTCCATAAATTATAATCTCGTCAGTAATTATCTTATCAAATCATAGTTATTAATATGTTATATTCAATCATTTTGACTGAAACGTCTTTTCTTTCTGTTGTTGTTGCCATAAATCTATCAGGTATCGTATGTTAGAAAATCCAAGTGGACCATCAACTACCACAAGTGTTTGTCCACGTAAAATTCCTTTAGGAATATTTGAAAATAATACAGCTCATAGTAATGGTTGGTTTGCATTATGGATTCATGAAAGTTTTTTCCCAACAAAAACTGGAACGTAAGTTAAATAAGAAATTGTGAAAATTCCTCGTAGTTTCATTTTGTAACCTAAAAATTTAATTTAAGATCAAAGTATGAATTATACTAAACTTTATGTTAAGTCATTTGAAATCTTGATACAAATGAGTTAGGAGATCAGTCATATAGCTTTGGATTCTATCAGTTCAGAAATCCTTGTAATCATATAGTATTTCTAGCAAGGGTTTGAAATTTTCCGCTGCTAATATTTTAAGTTTACAACTGATCATTCTCGGTTGCCGTATTTGAATTCTGAACAGATTGTCTAGTTATAAACCTTAGCCACTAAATTCAATATATATGCCATGTGGCTAGTAGTGTTGTTCAGAAAGTGCTTTATGTCCTATTTGAGAATCGTCATTTGAATTTACCTGAATACTGGTGTTAAACGCTTCTTTCCGTTCATGATGTAAATATAACATTAGTAAGTGACCAACTGTTGCCTTGAATGACAACAACCAGAAATCACGAACCATTGTTAGTGATTTCGAATCCTAATGTGAAAATCAACACTAATGTAGGTATATCTCGCTGACAAGTCAAGAATGGGATGAAACATACGTCCTGGTATTTGTTGCTAGCCACATACATATTACATATAAACAAAAATATGTAAGGATTTATTAAAGTAACTGATCACCTAAAAAATTTGATGACATAGTTTAGGATTTTATCATAAAATAATTTACAATGAGTTGACGCTTTAATTTCTAATCGTTTTGGTTATGAGGACTTCCAATTGTAACAAAAAACTAGAAAAATATTTCACCTACTTCCTTATCTGACATTGAATATGCGCGTTATTGTTCTTTTCTATGTTTTTTGCTATATCATTATGAACCCCACTCTATCAGTGACGGCTAAATAAGACTGATACAACCACTGACCTTCAAAAACATAAAAATGCTACTGAAAGTCGAATAAATGAACCAGTACATGATTGAGTGAGTAACATTTCTATCTAAGTAGATGAAATTAGCACTCTGTAGTTTTGTGTTTTTAAATGAAAAATCACAAGCTCATTGACACAGAAGTTTAGGGGTTCTAATAAAAATTAGTTTAGGCTTTTGTATTGGTTGTTTGAATCTTCACTTTGATGTTTAGGACTGCAATTAGTACATGTGCATGCTGTGTGGATTGCCTAGATATTGCCTTAAGCCACAAACTTTATAAGCAAAGATGGATAGTGGCTAGCAGTGGAATCCAGGATGCGTATCTCGTCATATATTGGGATTCTTCAGTGGAAAGATACAGACAACCAATTCAAAAATGAATTAAGCTTCAACTTATTGAACAAATTGGTGGTCACCTAGACTCAGTAGCTAAGTGGATAACTTGATGGCGTTATAAGCGAATGATACTGGGCTCGAGTCCCACAGTGAACATCAACTAGAGTATGCAGGTACATCCAGCTGACGAGTCCCAAGTAGGATGAGACGCGCGTCCCCCATCCCACCGCTAACTACTATCCATCTTTGCTTATTGGTTTCGATTCTTTGTTAAAATATTCACTAATAAAGCAATGATATTTGTTAAATTTAGTTATTTATTATTTCAGTTGTGGAACAACGAAATGGGATAAGGCTGTATTTCGCAAACTTACTGCTTGGAATAATAATAAAGGACCGGAGTGTGTTAATTGTGGTGGTGTACAATTTGAAGATATGTTATTAGTGAATAATGATGAGGCAGCAATCGAAGGAAAACGTCTTATGAATGGAAATTTATATGATCCAACAACTGGTCCTTTGTATAGGGTAAGTATGGTAAATTAAGCAGCTTGTTCCACGACTTATGCCTATTTATTCAATCAATTTTTTTGAAATAAGAATGCTGAAATCATGTATTAGTTGTTTACTGTTTATGAAACTACTCTCCTGTAGTGAAAAAATGCTGTATAATACAGATAGGTCTCTACTAGCTGAGAATTAGTTATGTTTTATAGATGTAAGTCTAATTAACTAAATATATGTGACAAAACAACCTTCCAATAGCTCCTAAACTTTCATTTAACAGTGACATTTTGACTAACTCTTACTCTATTTCAACTGTATATTTTGTAATATTCTATCTAACAGAACAGTACAATTGTTGCCTATGAACCTGATCTTACCAATGGAAATTCTGACTGTCATACAAGAGCAGTTATTTTGCCATGGGCACCTGGTTTAACCGTTGAAAATATGGTAATGAAAAATTTTAATAGTCAAAATTGCACAGCGATTCATGGTACTGTAATTACATGTCAATGTAGGAAACTTTGTGGTGGATATGAATATTTATTTAAGTGAGTTTTGGTGTCACTTAATTTTCTTTATTGAATTTTTATGTAAATATAGTGAAAACTATTGTGACTTATTGAATTAAAGATGACTGAATTGAATACAACCATCATTGAACAGAGTAGTAGAGTTTTATTGAAACTACGAACTGGTTTCATTTGGACAATCATCGGAAACGTGGAGCCGTTTCATCCTTGTATGGAAATACTAAGGAATGAGAACCCTCAACCCTACAATTATGAGTCGGAACTCGGAATTTCGGTCTCACGCGTGAACGCTTAGGCTCTAGATCACTGAGCTGGCATCTAATGGTGAATAAGTCTAACTTCAATCAATAGATGTTTTTGCTCAACCATTTTCTGTTGTTTTCGGTTGGTAACTCTCTCATATTCAATACGATTGAAATAGACTAGTTATGACTTCTTACCAGAACTTCGGAAATTTTTTTCTCAGAGCTAGGCACTGGTGAGCAGATGATAGTTATCAATATAGCATTGTAGAGACTGTTTAGTTTCATTAAACAAGACAGTGGAACACTGCCGTACAGTGTTGTGGATTGGTTAACGTTGGAGTTCTACACTATTGAATGCTGGCCCATTGATCTAGAGGTTAAGTGTTCACGCGTGCGACCAATAAGCCTGGATTTTATTCCCTGAGTATTCTCATACTTGAAGGAATTGGATCGGATTATGATCTCAATAAAACTCAACAAACAATAGACTTATCAATTTAAAATCTAAGATTGAAAAACTTTCTTATTTCAAGCTTCTACAGACAAGTCATGTGATATCCCCAAGTTTCATGATAAGTCAGATCTAAGTGAGGGATGGCTGTTATAAGTATGTAAAGTATTCACCTGAACAAGGTTGTCTTCAGCACACAGACTGTAGTGTATACTTATTTAACATTTGGGAAAACAGCTTCCTATATCGTCATATTTTTCCCGGTCATCCAGTCTGGCTGAACACAAGCTTAGAATTATCAGGGTCATATAATCAACTAGTTACTAATACTTCGAGATTTACTTTCAATGATTGTAAATATACCTCATAAACTATTCAGTAGACATGTAGAACCAATATGTGTAGGTATTCTTTTATCTATCCATTATATCATCAGATTACTTCGTCAATCATATTGTATTTTATATTTCTAGATGATGAAAATAAGCTCTTCTCCCTTGATTGTCAGTATTATGCTTTTATAGTTAAAATGAATTGATTGTAAATACAATCCAAAATATTTCCACTATGGGGTTGTGGAGATTATTTAGTTTTTCATTGAGATTATGAACCGATTCGTGTTAGACCACCATTGATAACCTGAGGGTATTGGACGGCCATTTCGTCCTAGTGTTGGACTCAGAGCTGCGCACCCACAATTCCGTCCGCGGGGTTCGAACTCAGGGCCTTAGGCCTCGCGCTCGAACGCTTAACCTCTAGATCACTGAGCCAACATTCAACGGTTTACCCACTAGTGACTAGCTTCGTGAAGAAATTCTAGGATTTCTAATGAGAAGCCATGAGCAGTGGAGCTAATCCATGTCAGGCAAAGACAGGTATCTACCTCAGTACAATGAAAAACGGTCGCGCAATTTCGTTGACTGGTTGAGGTTAGACATTAACACCGTTGGATGCCAGGTCAGTGGTCTAGAGTTTAAGCGTTCGCGCGCGGGACCGAAGGTCCTGGGTTCTGAATTTGGCTGGCGGGATCGCCGATGTGAAGTGCTGAGTCTCACACTAAGACGATACGGCTGTACAGTACCCTCAGGTTTTCAATGGTGGCCAAGTATCAATCGGTTCATGACCTCAATCAAACACCAAAAGATTTTATTGAGATCACTTATAACCGGCAAAACTATTTTGTAATACATAGAGATAGTGATAATCTTTGGTGATTTAATATCTGCTGTTTTCTTAGTTATTTTTAGCCAAACTATTTACAACGTCAACCAGTATTAACATTTCCAACACCCCAGTTTTTATTTTAACATTCTATATCAACACATAACATACTCCAGCAAAAATACCATCTCAATATTCGTATTTTTAATCGAAACGTCGTCTCTCTCTTTGTAAATTTGAATGTATTCCAATTTTACAATAACGGTAAATGTAAATTTGTCCCATAAATCACTATTAAACAGATTATTAATATCTTTCTGATAATTTCATTCTTCTTACTGTAGAGATATAAAATGGGAGAATACTAATAATCGAGCTGAATTTCGATGGCATGGTGATTTCAGTCTTCGTGATGTAGATGGATCATTGACAGATGGTCTTCCAAATGTTCCAAAACTTCCTGGATCTTTAGTCGTAGGGAAAGCAAATCATTTACCTGCTGACAAATGTGGTCCAAGTGCTCCAGGAGCTGGTGATCTTGGGAGTGCTTTTGGTCAAGGCGCAGTTCCAGGTGTTCGTTGCCTTCCTGATGTTACAGCATTAAGGTATGCTGTTGATCAAGCAAATCCATCAGTACTTATGGGCAGTAATATGACTGTTACACTGCTTGACGGTGGGACAGAAGAAGTGCCCTTCAAATCCGAAGCTCTTACTGACAAACAAGGGTGGATGACTACGTTGGTAAATAACAGAACTTATATTGTCAATTGGGATGCGAGGTCATCATTTACCAACCTTAGTTATATTGGCTACCTGGAAAATTTCAGGGTAAATCATTTCGTAGATGAAGCTTTGATTTATTTGGTTTTTAGTAAGATATAAAAGTTCATAGTACAAAATACTTATTCCTTAAAAGAACCTTGATATTTCTATGGATCTGCAATTTTACTTAAGAAAATAAATGCTATTAAACGGAATGGATTTTGCATAGAGTAGTTTAATTTGTAGGTTGTATTTGTCACCGACTGATGTCAGTTGGGGCAACACTCAAATCTAGTGACCATGGAACAGTTACTTCATCCTAGTATGGTTCTCCCTGACTGTTCATACCGTCTTGTGGTCTTGTGGCTAACATTCAACAAGTAAAACAGCTGCATCAGTACAATCTCAATTCCAATCAATTTGCGCTCTGGTATAGAGATCATTTAATGTTATGTCTTATGATTAATTTACTTTCTTATCTCCACATGTTGTTGTGCATACGCTTCATTCAGGAAGATATTGATGTAATTATTAAACTGTCGACTATTGACTCAATACGTAGTATAATTATTGATTAAAATATAATCCTATGAATGACGTAAAAACATGGCCAGGTGAATTTTAAATTACAAAACCATGGGGTAAATGAAATACTGTAAAATGCTGTTTTCACGTTCGATATTTGAAATCTATTGGCAGAATGTCCTAAAATTAGAGTTTACCTACGTCAACACTGTTATGATGCGAGGTATCCGAGACTGATACTGATACACAAACTTCATACATGCAAACTACAAAAAGCTACTAAATGAGGAGACCAAGAGTGGAGATAAACGTTTATCGGCGTAAATCAAATCAAATGCATAAATACTCGTTTATATAAGTGTCTTCTGTTTAGAAAATGAAACTATTTCTTGACCATTAACATCTAGTCATTAAGGAAATTTTTGATTGAAACTATATGGCTTTCTTATTTGACGACTTCTGATTGGCCCACTGTATCAGGAACTTATTATTATTAATACTTCTCTGATACATTAATCTATCACCACTAATTCAAATACACATAGGTGTTCAAATCGTCAGTTTTCATCTTAACCATCAAACGTAGTGTAAGATAATGATGTTGCATATAAAGTTCCATCTATAGAAGATAGGATCTACTTATATCTATCGACATCATTAACACACACCAAACAATCAGGAGAAAATGGAAGGAAAAATGTCGATTTATTTCGTGGTATTATCAGTCAAAAACTCATACGGTTATATACATTTATTATAAAACCATAACACACAATAAATAGTAAATAACAGGACCGTTAAATGAAATATTTCATAAAAATACACAATAACAACATATAAAACAGCACAGAATAGAACAGTTTCCAAGGTACAAACTTTTCCATGTATTCACTCATATTTAGAATAGACATATGAGAACTCAGTGTTCACTGACGATATTGGCTGTTCTGTACAACATACTGTAAATAGTAATGTGGACGATTTAAATTTCAGTCTATTTATTTAAAGATATTTTCTACTTTAGGACACAAGAACACTTCTTATGAAATTGTAGATACCTAGTAAGGAGTAGTTATAGACTAGACTAAAACGGCTATTCAATGGAACCAAACGATATCAATTCGTGATGAACATTCCTTGAAAATTAAAGAACTAAGAGAAAATAATCTTATCTCAACATGTTAGGATTCCTTCTTCTTATATAATTATTAGAAAGGTTTTGAATTATTTTGATCACGATATTCTTGACCGAATTTTAAACAGCCTTTGTTGGGATATGTTTATCAGGTGTGAATCACATAGATACAGACATTCTATTACACTCTTTTTTATAGAGAATAAATGAACTGTGACTAGCAGTGAAATCCAGGATGCGCACTTCGTCTTGTTTAGGATACATCAGCTTTATTTATTTGAATCCCAGTGTAGATACTCATACAGACACTCGAACTCACTACTTTTTATATCAAAAGCTCAATGCTCTATTTACTGAGTACTTTCCACAGGATGGGGACATGCTTACAAAAAAACTAATCAAAATTCAGTAAAGAATACCAAGAACAGGATGATTCGAATACTTTCCTATTATATTTTTGGCATAAAGAAATATCTATTTGAACTTAGTATTTCAGTGAATAATGTTTTTAAAGCAAACGGTAGTGGCTTCGAGTCCCCGTGTGGACCTAAACACTAGGATATCGGTGTAACTAGATGACAAGTCTCAAATAGGATGAAACATGCTTCTTGGATCTTTCTGCTAATGACAAAAGACCCATTTTATATAATTTCCTCTTAATATTCCAGATATAAATAGTTTCATTTCATTTTATACGTTTATTAAAAGCAATCTGATTATGTTATAATTCGTCATATGGGCATGGATATTAAACCAGATAGGGTTCAAGTCCTCTCTGGTCAAACACCTAAACAACCAATTACTGAACCTTTGGATCCATCTATACATAATAATGGTGAAGTGTTTTATAATGAAACTGGGAAATATATTGAATATTTAGGTAATTTGAAATAATTACTTCTTACCCATTGTGGATTTTGTAGTTTTAGTGTTGTTTTTTATCAAATATGTTTTTCATTTATACAGAAATGATTTTGTTGAGAGAATAAAGACAGTATAATGAACATTACTTCGTTACTTACGGTTTGAATTCTTTTTTCTGGTTAGCACTTTTTAGCGAGTTAGCTTTCTACGGGATGAGGCGGCTAACCCCATGCCCAAACCTCCTCCTTTGTCTTGGCTTGATACCGGTAGTAACCACAAAAGGGGCTCCAGGAAGAGTTACAGTGGACATAGAGTAATATATTTATTTATTTTTCTTTAAAAACATGTATAAACCCCGATAAATGATTGATTCATAATTTTCTTTCATAAACATTTTATCTAATGAAATTTCGCCAAATTGGATAGTAGGCAGTATAAATGAGTTACTGTGACTAATTTAAAAACACATATAGAGCCTTCATGGTTTAGTATCTGGAAACATGGTTTTATTGACATGCTAAGGAATGTTCTAGTCCGCTCAGTCATAACGCCCCCAAATGCCCTGGTACGGCCGAGAGTGGGGAGAGTCCGCTCTCCCTCTCCAAATGCTCTCACATGGCCACGCGTACACAACCTCTGTCAGGGAAGTCCAACTCACTGCCTTCTCTTGGCATTACTGTTGTTTACGAAAATGAGAGGACGAAAAGCGAATGTCCAGCGCTTAAACCGGGTTGGTGGACATGGCGAGTTCACCTAGGGGAGTTGGAAAAACCTGATTCCAAACCAATGGTGCACATGAGCTCCAGCATCCTGAGATAACAAATGGCGTATGAACCAACCGTTGGTCGCCGGCCACCATGAGACTGCATCTCCTTACGATGCACCACTGCCTTGTGGATCAGACCTTTAGGTCAAAGGCTCGGGGTGTGGTCTCCTAAGAAAACCACCTGCTTCAGTTTGGACACCTGGGCAGTATCACAGCCCTCACACAAATCAAATGAGATTTGTGCGGCGCATATGTATCTGGTGCTTTCTTGTACCAATATTTATGTGTTTAAATGAAAATAAAATAACTCAATCAGAACAGAAGCTTTGGGGAAAACATAGAGACATGGGAAATTGAAAGGTGTTTTTGTTTTCAGTGGATAGCCAGTAAAAATTCATAGCTATATACTTATAAAAACACACTATATGACTATGGTTCTTCATCTATCGGCCTACATGTAGATTCTGTATGAGTTTCACAATTCCAAACTTTTCTGGCATTTCAGTTAAACCGCAGTAAAATCTTCCTTATTTGTTGATAATTTACTTCTCCTACATGTTATTATTTTAGGTAATAATAAAAGGTTTCTAGTTTACTTAAGAAATCAAGTTTCTTGATTAGAAAATATAACAATTTTCAATGTTGAACAGCTTTGTGTTTCAACATCTGACTAAATAAAGTGTGTTTAGGGCCTGCAAACAATATTGACCTTCTTCAAAATACAAGCTATACTTGGGAACACACATCAGTAGCCAAGTAAGCTAAGGATATAGTTTCTTGTGAATTACTACTCCAAAATGGCTAGGCAGCTTGATGTTTATCTGTAACTCCCTCAATAAGAGTCAAAAGTCGAACAATTATATCTAAGGAATTTCTACAATGAATGAAATGGATTGATGTATATATCTGTATACTGATACATACATTGAATAAACGATGAGAAAATTTCGTAAAAATCTCTGTTATCGACTGTAACTACAGTAAGTTATTAAAATTAAATTTTATATGTTACCTCTGATAATTTGTTCTTCACTTATTCTTTTCTAAATACTTCAGTGAAAGCTCCAGTTAATCCATCATTATTCAACAGCTATCGTCTATGGGTGTCATTTTATAAGTGCTTTTTTACTGATTGTATTGTTCCAAGTTCAAGTTCCGTAAGTGTATTGGATACATCTCGACCAGTGGATGCATTATATTGGTCAAAGAATAATACATGGGGAGGTGTGCTTGGACCTCAGCCAGTAAATGGAAGCTCGGTAAAAATAATATAAATTATTCCCCAGTGTATATATTCAAATGTTTTTCGTTTTACTAGGAGCATTATTCTTCGTAATAATCGTTAGTGTAATCTTAGAAAAAGACATGAAAGTGTATAATGTCCGACAATAACTTCTGATTTGTCGGTCACCGAGCATTGTTCCCTTCGGAAAAGTTGTACATCACAGAATAACATCAGCTGAAGTAAAGTAGAAAAACATATGTTGCTAAACAACATTTTGTCTTTATTCCGAACTTTCACGTAAACCATGGTAACGATATTCTTGGTGTTCATTATATTAGAGATGAATGTCTAAAAGACCATCGGTAACAAGATCAACATATATGACAACACTAGCGTTTTCTTCAAATCATATTAAATATACGATGAAATGATTGTCTCTAATTTTCACTAGTTCCATGACTGATATCAGTCTGTGAAGATGACTGTTGTTAGTTCGTCCTAGATTTCAACTTTAATGAACAGTATTATAAAACTAATGATACCGTGCGAACCAATCATCTTATAACTCTATCAGATCATTTATTTTACCGATTTGAAAACGATTCATTATTTACAAAATAAATAGATCTGTTTTTGTTTCATAAGCAAAAATGGATAGTGGCTATCAGTGGAATCCAGAACGCGCGTTTCGTCTTGTTTGTGACTCGTCAGCTGGGTGTATGCACATGAACACAGAAATGGTAACTAATCACATGTGAATTCCACTTCGAAAATTTACATTTCTAACGAGCAATTAATTTCATGATCGGCTGTAAACATGATACAAGAACTAATATGATAAATAAATTATTTCGAAAATCTCTTTCCGTTTATCTAACGTACATGTTAGTACAGCAATATTGATTATGATATTATTTATGGTCTAGAGGTTAAGCATTCTGGCGCCAGATCAAAGGTCCTGGGTTCAAATACTGCGTGCGGAATCGTGGATGTGCACTGCTCAGGAGTACAATACTAGAACGAAACGGCCATCGAGTGCTTCCAGATTTTCAACAGCAGTCTAACATTCATCTATTCATGATCTTAATCAAAAAATATGAGTGTTAAGCGATTGTGGATAAATTATTGATTGTCTGTTTCCAACCAATAGGAGGATAAGTAAAGATTGATATGCAGTCATGCGCTCAATCAGACTCACATAATTTTACATAGTGGATTAAATGTCTGAATTACAACAAGTAGGCAAATATAAAAATAGTTCAATGGGCTTTCTACAGAATCACTGCCTTATATTTAATATGGTTGACTTAACAAGTTATAACTTTTCATTGATATTTCTATAAACCTGTCCAAAAGTTTGAGATTATTTGTTAAACAATAAATGTTTCTCACTAGAAGTTGGACATAGACACCATCGTATGCCAGAGCAGTGGTCTATCGGTTAAGTGCTCTGGCGCGAGACTGGTAGGTCCTGGGTTCGAACCTCGCGGGGCGAGGTCGTGGATGCGCACTGCTAAGGAGTTCCACAATAGGACAAAAAGGTCGTCCAGTGCTTCCAAGTTTTCCTTGGTGGTCAAGCTTCAATCGACTCATGCTGTCAACTATGAAAATAAATGTTTATATCTGACAACCGTGAACTCCCATCTGATGTGTTATAAATGGGTGGAAATGTAGAATAAACTGAAAAGATAATTTATTTGAAGGCATTTTGTGGAGACTGAATCGACTTGTAGGTGGTATTTGTCACAAAATGATCTCATTTGACATTTAATTTAAAAACATAAACTACTAAAGGATGTTGTTTATTAAACTGATTGAAGTTCGAATTGTATCATTGGAAAACGGTTCATTGGTTCTGTTTGTTAAGTGCTCACTGTCAGACCTGAAGGTTCTGAGTTCGATCCACAGTAGAATTTTTGATGCCGAATGTTGAGGGTACTATGCTACGACTAAAAATCTATCCAATAATCAGTGGTTTCAAATTATGCTTTAAGTGAAAAAAAATCTATGACAAATTGTAAATATCTTACTATTCTCAATGAGTTATACTTTTATCCTATATTTTTTTTCAAATTAATAATAACAATAGCTGATGGTTCCTAAAGGAACATGGTTAGTACTTGATACATCAATTAATATCAAAATGAATAATATTACAATATATGGAACACTTGAAATCGATTCAGGAACAAGTCAAGATCAACGAATTTATAAGTTAGCATTTAAACAAATGTTAATTATTGGAGGTCAATTTTTAGCTGGATCACTTCTTGAAAAACCATTAACAAATGCAACACTTGAATTAACTTTACTTGGTACTATATCTGATGAATTTATTAGTTTAGATGGACCAATAATTGGACCTAAATCAATTGGTTAGTGAAAGAATTACATTTTTTTATTGATTTAATATTACTATTTGTTTTCATTTGATTACACCCTATAGTAACAGGAAAAAATGAGATCGTCCGACAATAATGATACATTTAAGATATGATGATACATTAAGAAAGCAATAAAGATTTTTGGAATATTACTGCTATAAGGCGGGAGGGAGATAACTGTTGAGTGAAGCTGAATTTTCAAAGCTGTTCTACCAGAAATTATTGTGTATAGTTCTACTGTATTGGAGCGCTTCATCTATACTTAAGTCTGTTCATGTTTAATTTTGTCAAGGCCCTTCAATTAATTTATTTAAGGGTCAGCGTCATTTGTCTGTATCTTTGTACTGTCATTATCATGTGTGTATGAACATGTATGCTCGATTACATGTTGCAACTCACTCACATATCCTTCTTACTAGCTTAAACGTTAGTTCCTTAAATTCCTCTGTGATTCACTCGCTTTCCTTTATATAAATATATGCTTGAATCTTATAAACTCATTCGACTCTTTATTCGCCTCTGGATTTGCTCCCATGCACTCACTTGTATTTTCATTTCTACTTAAATTCACTTTGTGTATTTGTGGCTTAGTGATTTGCATTCTACAACGATGAATTGTAATTAACGCTTCTTATTATCTTCCTTAATTCATACACTGATGGAAGCTATCTAATAACGGTTATCAGGACAACGAATATACGAAACCTTTGGAATTATCACGTTGATAATTCACTACAGTATAATTATTCAATACTTGAATTATTGTGCCTTTGCTTTCTTCTAGTTGTTTTGTTTTCGATTCCTGTTATATTATCGGAAAGGGGTTTTGTGGAAATTGTATTAACTTAGTAGTTTGGTTCATGAGTCAATTACAGCTAAACCACCATGGAAAACCTGAAAACAATGAACGGCCGTTTCTTTGTAGTATTAGACTCCTTAGCAGTGGGCATTCAAGATCCCGCTTGCAGCCTTGGTAATATTACAATTTATCCGAAATAGGTTAATGTACAAACAATAAAAACAAATAAGAACTACTTCTACACGTCAATTGGATCAGTAGAGAAAAGACGCGAGATGTGAATAAGAGCTTCACTTCAGGGTTAATTCATGTGCATAGAATGGAGTGCATTTACAGTTATACCTGATCTTGAGCTTCTAGAAATTTCTGAAAACATACCAAATATAACAGTGACATAGATAAATATCCAATCAAAACGTGACACGTAGTTCTCCACTTACTAGGAAGCTTTTACATTTAACACTGACTGAATAAAACATTTCCTGAAAGTTTCTAACCCTCTAGAGACTTTAATGAGGGATATTTCGAGACTCCCCAACACTAATAAAACTCATGTATAAGTCTCATTTAGTATTGTTTGTTTGAATCTTCCCATCGATGTGTTAGGACTGCAACTGGTCAGTCTCTAATTGGCATATGTGCATACTGTGTGTATTGCCTCGATATGGCCTAAATTCACAAGCATGGTAAGCAAAGATGGATAGTGGCTAGCAGTGGAATCCAGTTTGACGCACGGTTATATCGAGACAATACGCACAGTATGCACATATGCAAATTAGAGACTGACCAGTTGCAGTCCTAAACATCAATGGGAAGATTCAAGCAAACAATAGTAAGGGAATTTAAACTTCACCCCATCGCACAAGCAAGTGTTTATCAGGACTCAGTAGCCGAGTGGATAACGCGATGGCGTTTGAAGCGAAAGGCCTTGTCCTGGATTCCACTGCTAGCCACTATCCATCTTTGCTTATCATATGTTAGTGTTTTAACAAAGTTTATCTTAATTTTAGGTCAACATATAATCAATTGATTCCACGTTATATTATGTATCATAATACAAAATATAATGACTTTATCAACGGAAGTTTTAGAGAAAGTCGTAAAATATTTGAAACACCCAGTCATATAACTAAATGCTCCACACATTTTAAGATAATTGTCTACTAGCTTTAGTAATTCATTTTTTACTGTTTTAACTAATAATACAGTAGTATTTCTGCACATTTTGTGTAATTTTACAAAGGTGTTTACGGAATAATGAGTATGCATGCAGTACCCAAAACTATAAGATGGACCACTCTTAAATTAACAGCTAATGCTGGAGATAATCAATTGTATCTTACTGATCCAGTAATAGATTGGTTGCCAGGTGATCGTATAGTCATTGCTACGACTAGTATGAATTATAAACAATCCGAAGTTGGTATAATTGCTTCTGTTTCGTCGGATCGAGTGATAATCACACTTGTAGACAAATTAATATATACTCATGTCGGTGAGTCTTTTACAGTAGTATTTATTCATGTTAAAATTATTCATCAAGTTAAGGTTTCATATTACAAAAGTAAGATAGTATACATAGATCGTGTGAATCATTTAATCCAAAGCAGTCATCTCCAAGTTTAATACATAAATGACACACAACTATGGCACTTCAAATTCAGCAAATTATTATATGAATATGGAGCACCATCGGAAATTTACTATGTGGCTAAAAGTAGAACCAAAATCTCCTATTTTACGGTATTCTGAACCCATCAGTGGACAAAGCGTCGGGCTTTGAAGTGAAAAGTTGTCGATTCAAACCTAAGCATGAACAACAATACTGAGACGAAAATATGTGTATCCAGCCAATACATCCCATAGGAAGAAATGCGTATTCTGGACTACATCGCTAGCCACATATCAATTTTACGAAGTAATTGTGATTAAAGACTACATTGTGACAGTACTCTCAGGATGCACATATGGCAAGAAAACCTATCAATTTCAGTCATAAATATCAACACAGAGAATTTACAACCCAATTACTAATACTATCCCATGCTGTCTAGAGATATCTAGTAAACGTAACACCGTATGACATGTTTTATCTAAAAAGAAAATATTTTCCAATTACAAACTTTTCTAAATATGAATAAGTTTATGGAAATGAGTAATGATTAACTGAATAGATTAATATTGAATAAAGAAATGATAATCTTTCAGCTAAAAACGAACATTGGTAATTAGTTTGATAACGGGGGAAGTAATTTCATTCATATTGTTGTCAGTCACATTTTTTTTATAAACAGTAGCAACAAATTCCTATCATTTGCCTGCTCGACACTTCGATGATATACCTTTGATGGCGATTTGTTCATTCAACGAACCAGAACAAAAAACATAATTTATTATATAGTTAACATCATGAGTTAATTGAAGCTAGACCACCGTGGAAAACCTGAAAGCACTGGACGACCGTTTCTTCCTATTGTGGGACTCCTCAGCAGTGCGTATCCACGATCCCGCCTGATGAGATTCGAACCCAGGACCTATCAGCCTCGCGCCAGAGCACTTAACCAATAGACCACTGAGCCGGCATCCATCGGTGTTAATGTCTAACCTCAACAAATCCATGAAATCGCGCCACCAACTTCTATTGTACTGAGGTAGATACCTGTCTCTACCTGATACGGCGGTCTAGCTTCAATTGACTCATGATCTTAACCATATAAAAAATTAATAAAATCTGCACAAAACCCCCCTTGTGAAAACATAATTTAAATATGTTACGTTTGTTTAGGTTAATTGACAAAGTATGACATACTGTAAACCGATAAAAAAAATCTATACTCTTTCATTTAACTACAAATTCATATCTGTAAATATTTCAACAAAAATGAATTGTATAATTATTTATAATTTGTTTACAACCGATTGATCACTGGGTGGTGATCAATGTCATGTGTGTCAGATCCTTCTTAGTGTAGATCTAATCCTGTCGACAAATTACAATATGGACACAAGTCTAGGGGACTCGACATTGTGTACACTATGTTGAAGTAAGATGTTGGTTGGAGGTAGTCAGTAAGAAACCTTGTACCCAGGCTTCATGCTATTTGGCAATCGTCAGCAAGGTTTACCTGTAATCTTGAGGGAACTGATGTTCCCTGATAGATTCAATCTCGTGCGACTCAGCTTCACAGTCGGAGACGTTACCACTGAGCTTTCTGGGCCGTGATCAACCCTCTGTAGGACTGAGATGTATATACAATTGACAGATCACTGAGTGGTGATCAATGTCATGTATGTCAGGTATGTTTAAACAAAATGGATTTGTAAGTAACTCTTTATCTTGAAGTATTTATTTTATCTTTAACTGGTATCATTTATCAAATCGTTGAAAATCGAGGAATAGTTAGCAAACTGTAGCTAGGCTGTTTTTTACGAGGTGGTATTATTAACCCTATAATCAACTTTCCTCGTTTATCTGGGATTAGAACCAATAGTAGTCTTCGATTGACTCTAAGCCCAGTTATAGTAAATCAGGAACCATTCAATAAGTACTCTATACCAATTTTCCTTTCATTGAGGGTACACATGAATCCAAATGGAATTTAAAATAGGACAAAACTTTGATAGTAGGCAAGAGATCGTTTAAATACTGAGTTAGAATTTAGCAGTTCCTAATTCTAACTACAATTAATTCCTGGTATAATGGTACAATCACTAAGTTTATTCGATAATTGATTGTTTCGTTCCATAGTTGATTAATTTCACTGATCACAAATTCTTAGCGAACCTTCTGGAAGTATTTCTCTAAACTATTCATGAGTGATCATTTTGACTAAGGATGATAGTCGAATATCTCCTGAGTTACTTGTCATTGTTGTATGAAATTCTACAGTCTTTCTTTAATACAACTAATATCATTTTTGATGCAAATTCTAGCATACAATCAAACCTATGGGAATCACAAATTTCTATTAGGCGCAGAAGTTGGTTTGATCAAATCAAATATTATTATCCAAGGTGATGATCAAAGTGTTAACGCTAAATTTGGCGGAAGAATCCTAATTTCACAAACTCTGTACGAAGGTGACATTTTAAATGGACAATTAAAATTATCAGGTATGCAAGATGATAATAAACATTTACATTAATCAATCAACACTGAATAAAGGTTAATTGATCAAACATTAATTTAATAGTTGGATTCACGAGTCAATTGAAGCTAGACTACCATGGAAAACATGGAAGCACTTGACGGCTGTTTCTTTCTAGTATGGGACTCCTTAGTAGTGCGCATCCACGATCCCGCCTCGCCAGATTCGAACCCATGACCTAACAGTCTCGCGTGCGAATGCTTAACCTCTAGATCACTGGGTTGACAACGGTGTTAATGTCTAGCTTTAACCAACCCACGAAATTGCACCATCATCCACCATTGTCTTCAGACCCAGTTGAACTCCGCTGGTCACTGCTTCTCACTAGAATTCCAGAAAATACCTCATGGAGCCAGTCACTAGTGAGCACATGATCATTATCAGAAGGGGATTTTGTGGAGACTTTAGTAATTTTATATAGTTGAAATCATGAGGAGTCCCATACTAGAAAGAAACCTGTCAGTGCTTCCAGGTTTTCTATGGTGGTCTAGCTTCAATTGACTCATGATTTCAACTATATAAAATTACTAAAATCTCCACAAAACCCCCTTCTGAGAACTAAGTAATTATTGAATGAGATCAGTTTAGTGTTTCTAAATAGACCTAATCATTCAATTTCTCTTTAACACAGCTTATTAATCATATTACATTCCTTTTAACTGTTGTAACATTTCATTTATTTTAGATGTACACTTCTATCGAATGGGTCAAAAAGATTTTAATACTGTAACCGATGCACGTTTTCCTATTGCATTTATCAGTGCTGGTGATATGAATAATATATCATATATAAAATCTTGTTTATTTGAAAATTCTTTATCTACAGCATTAGGAGGATTTGCAACTACAGGATTATATATAGAAAATAATATCTTTTATAAAACATTGGGTTCTGGTAAGTTTAACTGATTTTGTTTGTTTTCAATAGTGTTTTAATGATTTTCAACTGATGAAAGGTTTGATATACAAAGTATTGTTTAACAAAATGTCCTTATTATATTGAAAGTTTTAGTATGAGATTTGTGGAGATTGTTGAATTTCATTAAAATCATGGATCAATCTAAGTTAGACCATAGTTTAACATATAAAAGCACTAGATAGGCGTTTAGTCGAAGTATAGGAGTACTCAGTAGTAAACATCCATGATCCAGCAAGAGGGATTCATACTTAGGACTTTCGGTCTTGCGAGCGGAAGTTTAATCTCTAGACTACCGAACTGCCATACAATGGTGTTAGTTTCTAACCTCAATAAGTCCATGTTATTGAAATGATCAAAATAATAGATATATAACGAGACTGATGTCTAAAGAAATAAGAAGTATATATGGCTAATCGAAAGTGGAATGTCTTGAGACAGAACATTGATAAGATTGAAGAGAAGAGAACGAGAACAGAGAGTGATTGATATGGAAACGAAAGGAACAACAAAGTCTGAGAAAACTGATGGATATTTCGCAAATGAAGTATTGTTGTATGATTCTCAGATTTTGCTAGGAGATTTGTAATGTATCACATTACTTTTGATAGTCCCGCATTTGCGTTCTCATTCACTGAAATATTATTTTGGAAATTAAGAAAGAAATTATTTCCATAAATTTTGTTTGATAAACAAGGCTACATCTCAACATCTGTTTAATGTCAATGAAAACGGATTATAGGTAGAAATTTAAGTTGAAAGCATGAGTCAATTGAAGCTAGACCACCATGGTAAACCTGTGTCCAGTGTTTCCAGGTTTTCCATGGTGGCCTAGCTTCAATTGACTCATGCTTTGAACTATGAAACATACTAAATCTCCACAAAACCCCTTCTGATAAGAAATTTAAGTGATGCTGAATTCTTGAAGTTACCTGTTTCAATTACAAATATTTGATTGTCGTTCTAGATAACATTGTTAGCAACTACTTCATAGTGAAATCATAAAGTTGAATCTGATGATTTTCGTGAATAATTCAAATGAAGACTCCTGAAATAAACCATCTTGTTCAGAAAATACAATACTACTCAACCCATCCACTTGATCTGTGAATCTTTCTCATCATTTCAAAGAAAAAGAAAATAAATTCATTCAGTATTGTTTGTTTGAATCTTCCCATCGATTTGTTAGGACTGACACTGGTCAGTCTCTAATTGGCATATGTGCATACTGTGCGTATTGCCTCGATATAGCCTTAATTCACAAGCATTGTAAGTAGAGATGGATAGTGGCTAGCAGTGGAATCCAGGACGCGCGTTTCGTCCTATTTGGGACTCGTCAGCTGGATGTGCCTGCATGTCAGGGTTGATGTTCACTCTGGGACTCGAACCCAGTACCCTCGCTTCAAACGCCATCGCGTTATCCACTCGGCCACTGAGAAAGAAAATATTTGAGAAGAGTTTCAGCGTAAACAGTGATTCGCATTATGATTCACTTTATTCTTATTTCCATAGGAATATAAATGATCCTCATTTTTCATACTTTTATGATTTTCATTCTACAGCAATATGGTTAACAGATGGAAATCATAAATTAATACATAATCTTCTTATTGAATCAATTTGGTCTGGTGAAATAATAGCGGATAATCAAAATTTTGATATTTTATTTGAAGCTGCATTAGATATTAAACAAGCTAGTGATTTAATTTTACAAAGGAATTCAATTGCTGGAGCTGAACGTCTTTGTGTTTATACTCAAGGTAATCCATGTGATGAAAGTTCTACAGCAATATGGTAGGTTAATTGAAATGTTATTTCCCAATAAGAATGATTTTTTTTTTCAATTGGGTTATAGTAGAGAATACACAGTAAGATAATGGAGAATATTTGTAGTTCAGGTTGAGAATGTTGTAGTATCAGTTTATATGTTAAGCCAATATACTTTATTCTAGTTGCTGGCCAAGCCAATTCGCCTATCCATTAGAGTCATATATTGATCTTGTTAATCATTTGCTTATTAACCTTGACTATACTTTCATATGAGCATATATGTGTACACTTCGTATCTTATTCATCGTATGTCTGTCACTCATTTTTTTCTGACTTTAAATGTTGATTAACGCTTGCTTAAAACGAGTTGGCTTCCCAGCCATCTCCACTACGCATTATTTTGCTTCACTCTCGAGTTGGCTTCCCAGCCATCTCCCATGCATGTCATTTCCGCCTCGTTCGCTTCCTTCGCTTATTCGCCTGTTCACTCGCTTGTTATTATTCGCTCAGGTGTTGCTAACTTTCTGATCTGAGTTATTCGACAATAAACTGTAGTTGCTGCTATCCTTTGTCTTCTGATTTTACGCGCCGTTAAGATTAGAATTATAACGGTTATCGAACTAAACGATTAACGAATCGCGGCACTACAATGTTATTATGATCTCTGTATTGGATAGATTTGCTGTGAAGATTTTAATGTTCTTCTAAGCAACATTATCAGTACCTGGTTCAAAAAGAATTACTCTATAAATGACTAGGAGATTGTTCTGATGATATGAAATTTCATTGGTTGTTATCCGTCATTCTGTGATCGTTGTTTGTATGTTTGTTTTGATCGTTTTTCTCCTGATCTGAACTCTGACCTTGATATTATTGATCCTTTTTTCTCATTGGTTGAAAGATTTGGTCGATTTCGATGCGTTTTTTGACTGATGTTTGAATTGTATTCTTCGCTGATAGGAATTCTCTGGCTTTCTTTGTATTTCCTGTCGATGTTTTCTCAGTCGAACTTATGTCCACAGTTGTTTAGAGGCATTGATATAAGCGAAGCTACGTCGTGTCGCTTAACAGCTTACTGGAGTTCAGATATACATGGACGAATAGAGCAACGAATTTCTGTTTGACATACATTTATATCGTAATTATTTGTGTTATATCGTGAGAATGCTAATTGTTATAACTTGTGCCCTGTTTGTGTGCCCAGTTATTATACAACGTGATGATTCCTGCCAATGGGAGAGCAGTGATTTTATTGTTCAGACCAATAACATTCAAAACCCGTGCGAGCAGTCTAGAGCTCTTGTCGGTCCTGCTTTCTGCCTAGCCCAGCCAGTTAAGTCCAGAACACCAATAACAGCCTCAGCGGTATGAATCATTATTTCCAAACATACTGGGTTGATATACCAAACAGACAGACCACATAGTACCATAAAATAGAAAATAACATTTGTTAAAGACTCATCCCAAAGTGGCTGTAAATATAGGGAACAGTAATTAATAGACTGAGGATAACTCAAGAACGGCAAATCGTATAGTAATAGTCTATGGGTCAAAATGAAGCTTATAATAAAAGGAACATGAATATGAATGGTTGAGTTACTTAACAATTATACAATATGAAAAATACGCATCATATTGATCCACAAAAAGTTACCATTCATAATTCTCTTCGGGATTTAACAATTTCAAATTAAGAATTTTCAACAGTCACTATCAGCTATCCATATTCAGTCACCAAAGCTCTCCTCCAGCTCACCTAATACACTTAATTTTTCATATCCCTCAAATGAATTTCAATTTATTTTACAATGGATAGGTAAGAAAGAATCTAAGCCAACAAATTCAGTGTTCTGTTATAGTTTTCCAGTATTTACCATCTCATTAATATTGTAGGGCTTGTATAGTAACTTGTGTCTAAGTACAGTTAACATTTATAATCATTTAGTTTAAACCAATGCAAAACAAGAAGGTTAATGACTATATTTGTACAACTGAAAAGTAGATGGTTAGCAGAGATGGATAGTGGCTAGCAGTGGAATCCAGGACGCGCGTTTCGTCCTATTTGGGACTAGTCAGCTGGACGTACCTGCATCTCAGAGTTGATGTTCACTCTGGGACTTGAACCCAGTACCCTCGCTTCAAACGCCATCGCGTTATCCACTCGGCCACTGAGTCCTGATAGCCACTTGCTTGTGCAATGGGGTGAAGTTTACCGAGGCAATACGCACAGTATGCACATATGCCAATTAGAGACTGACCAGTTGCAGTCCTATCAAATCGATGGGAAGATTCGAACAAACAATACTAAGCTGAATGAAAAGTAGATGGCCTAAATATTAGAATATGTCACCATAAGTTATAACTTTTCTAAAAAAAATAAAACTCATATCTTTTTATTTTGATCAAAATGGTTTGATTAGGCTGATTTTAATATCTGATTTATAATCCTCTCGTGATCGCTGGTGGATCACATTTTACTCTTCACTTTTTTTATGATAACTCCATTTTCTGATTTCACTTACATGACCAATGAACCTTACTGTACTGTTGTTGAGTTTAGTAATATGATCTTGGCTTTGAAGAAGAAAATTATAAGCCAGCTATAGATTTAATAAATATAAATAGTATTTTCGGTGAGACTAGAATTTATGGAAGGATCAATCAGATTTAAAATAGCAAGTCTTAAATCCATCCATCCACATACTTGATAATACAGCTTATGTCAGTTCGTGATGAAATCCTGAATCTCGATTTTGATATCTCACACTAATTTATAATCTTTTGTAGACTATAGTAGGTTAGTGAATTTTCCCAAGGTCATCAGGCAGTTACTCAAATATAACATGGTTAATCAAGCTGACTTGCAATGCTCATTAAAAGCAAATTATTCCAATAATTTATTAACAACTGGCCATTAATCTATCCCGGTTAGGTTGGTATTGACGAATGGATAAATAAAATGATCAACAATGAATGTCATGTTATCCGATTGAAACAGAAATCTATTCAAGTTAGTATGTAGTGACCAATGAAAATCTTGTGGTTTTATGTCATGTTTGTGTTGACCAACTCAGAGAAGGAACATGAGTATAACCGTAGTAAACGTACATGAGATTTATGTCCCCTCGAGAGGAAAGTATGCTGTTAGATCTAACCGTTATGCCCTGATAAGAATGATGAATGGTAACTTGGAATCTATTTAAGGACCAATATTTTATAGTACAATGTGGTCAGTTTGCTTGGTATATAAACGCAGTATGTTTGAAATATAACGATTCATACCACAGAAGCCATTCTGGACTTGATTGGCTGGGCTAGACAGAAGCAGGACCGACAAGTACTCTAGACTGCTCGTAAGGTTTCCTAGTGTCATTTAGTCCGATCGGTAATTTGCTGTTCTGTGGTTGGCAGTCTTATCACGTAATATGTTAACAGGGCATCCACTCGGCCACAGGTTATAACACCGACACTCGTGAAAATGTTGATTTTGAATATTGAAAAGTACTATAGATGCTAGTCATAACAAATAGTCAGTGATAGGGATCAGCGAACGACATATGAGTGTGTTGAAGTATGGTATATTTCGATAACAGTACATTTATCTTTACTACTATAGTAATAGACTTAAGCCGAAAATCGTAGATTTGTCACAGTGTGACTATCTGATCAATAAGATCGTAAGTGGTAGTCACACAATAGTCTACACTGACTCTTTCTATACTAACATTCAGCAATATGATGTCTAGCACTTCTGTAGGACACATTTGGGCTGAGAAGAGAGCAATATATTTGATAAAAAACAAGAGGTTATAAATAGTGACTGCGTCTGCATGATCAAGCCGTGCCATTTCGATTTTTTGTTGCCGCGTTCACCATCGTCGACCTTCTCATAGTGTCACATGCTGAATGTAAATCATCTTAGTAATTATGAGCCCAGCTTCAAAGTCGTATGGTTAGTAACCAATACCATTACACAGCTCTCATCCCAGAATCAACGTGACCCTGGTTCGATACAGCATCGAGTAGTGTTGTCGTAAGGTGGAAGCTACCGAAAGTATAATACCAGTCCTCTGAGTATCGATAAACTGAAAAAGAAGTCAAAAAAAGCCGTGGCAACTGACCGAGAAATACATGTAGTGGTTTTGAAAATGCTCAGTTTTACTCTTAGCAACAAAAATCCATGTGAAGATTATCTCAGAGTTAATTAAGGTGTGATTGTCGCAATGAAGAATGGTTTAGTGCAGAGATATTTTATCAATTCGCATTATGATGTACAGTAATGACCGCTAGTTAGTAGCTTAACTTAGATGTAGTATGGTGGTGTGTTACTGATGGCCACAGCAGGAACAGTATGTATCACCGATGAAAAGTGGAAAGCCCGGAGGCACAAAGTTGAGAAAATCGAAAAAAACGGGAACAGAGAGTGATCGGTATGGATATGAAGAAACAATAAGGTCTGAGACAATTGACGGATATTCTGTAAATGAAGTATTTACTATGTAGATCTCAGATTTTACCAAGATAGTCTGTAATTTTGTATCTAATTGCATTTGGTAGTCTTCCGCTTATGTTTTCGTTCAGAGCACTTGATATCACTGTCAACCGAAAGGCGAAGAGGTTGCTATTTTGCGGACGCCGTTGCAGAGTCTGGAGATGAGGTGGCATTTGGGACGGTCTGGTGAGCTTATACTGACGATTTGCATGCATGATTACGTCGCTGAACCTTGAGTTAGACTGACAAGGTTCTAAGATGTTTACTGAATGAGCAAGTTATAGAGAAGTATACTCAAATCATCTATGATAGGTATAAATAACGACAAGAAAACAACACCACTTAATGATAATTATAAGTCCATTTACCAACCGAGTTTGTGGTAATAGTTTTAGAGCTTCAACTGACTGACGCTTTCAACTATGAAAAATATTGCGTAATCGTTAATTCATGGCAATTCTTCATGACTGTCCAAAAACCATTGTGAATAACTATTAGTTGTGTTGATTGAGGGTTAGCTAGTGAGAAATGGGTCCTGTTGTTCTACGTGATCAAGAAATACCAGACGTTTGTAGCATTAACGGATCCGAGATGTCTGATGATACTAAAAATTGAGATTCGGAAATATTTCTTCGGTTGCTGTTAATTTTAATAGTAGGCTCCAGAGTATTTATTTTGAACGCTTGCTTGATTAAGAAATCGGTTTTTGGAGCCCTTATATCTTTCATATGATGAGCTAATAATGTGATTACTTAATATAAACCTACAGTTTCGTAGAATGGGAGGGGATTTCACATTATCATTCCTCCCTACCTGAACGTGTTGCCAGTCCATCCAGTGTTCGAGCTGAAGAAGAAACAAATGCCACTCAAAAGCGTATCATAAGGACCTTAGAAAACCGAAAAGTCGATTAATTTTTAAAAATTATGACTAAATGAGTAAGTATTGAACAATTAACCTTGTGAAACCACCTTGTAGCGCGGGATCACCAAAATCGTCAAGTTCGTCATCATTTTGTCGTAATGCCATACTAATAGCAAGCACGTTATGTTTTAAGATAGGTGTTCGACAAGAGTGGTGATTTTCGTCTTCTGGGCCTTTTACACGCATCAATAGACGTATTCAGGGAGAAACTCTCTAGTTGTACAAACTTCCTAAACCTATTTTCATTGTATTTGGTACTTACGCCAGTTACTCATTGTAGAAAATCGTAGACCTCTCACCAGGATACCGCATCGATACAACTTGATGGTTTCTGCAGTGTATGCCATACCTCCAGCGTCATTCCTGAACTTCCTCCATCTGGAAGTTGGTTTGTTCTCTTGCATTGTAGGTTGTTACTGATGGTATTCGGCCAACGGACACTGAGTATCTTGTTGTAAATGCTTGTAAATTTTTGATGATGGTCGTTGCAGTCCTCAAAGTTCCAGCTCCGTACAGTAGAACTGTCTTGACGTTCGTATTGAAGATTGTGACTGATATTGGTTGATAGTTGTTTTGAGTTTCATACGTTCTTCAACTGTAGGAATGCTGTCCTTACTTCGCTAATCCTCTTCTGTCTGCGTCAGGTCCTCCTTGTTCACCGACGATGTTACCCACATATATTAAAGGTTCCACATCTTCCATAGCTGCTCCATGAAGTGTGATTTTGTTGGTGTCCTTCGTATTGTATATGAGGATCGTGGTCCATCCCTTGTTTACTGCCTACTGCTTCAGAGGCTGATGATATACTCTTTCTCTTCACTAGGGTTCGTTTCTGTTTATGGGATAAAAGAGTTAGGTCATCTGCGATGTCCGAATCCTCTAGCTGCATCCAAGCTCCATTGTATTCGGTGCTTCCCCTGAGATGTGGAGGTTTTCACAATCCAGTCGACCCTCAGAAAAAAGAGAGAGTAAGCAGCCTTGTCTGACACCAATCTTCATTTTGAATGCATCTATCCGAGTTCGTAGGGGAATATAAATAAATATAATGCAACCCATAAATACTTTTTTTGAATGCACATGATTTTGCGATTCTCTCTCCGTTCTCGTTCCTTTCTCTCAGTCTATGTCATCCAATCATATCTTCAAATCCGTTGTTATCCATTCCGACTTTAGCATTTAGATCTCATTAGGATGGTCTGGTCGTTTCCTAGTCACATCTCTACTACTGACTGCAGCCTCATAAAACTGACCTCTGTCGTCTTCATTGCTATGATTGGTGGTTACATAGCTCTGGATAATATTCATTGTGATCCCTTCCTCCTTTTTTTTGAAGGATACTTTGGTGATCCTGGATCCATGAGATTCCCATCCTATAAGTGCTTTTTGTGCTTCTTTGGACGGCGTCAGAGCAACTTCGTGCGTGCGTCAAGCATTTCTTTTATCATAACTAGAGCACGACAACAATTTTTTTGCCCAGCTTGAGTCCAATGTGTTTCTCTTATTCCGAGTTGTATCGAAGTTGTATCTCCTCAGTTTGGTAGCTATTTCATTGGTCCTCTTGGTCTCCCATATCGTCCGGACATTTCATGTACTTATATTAATTGTTCGGGTTGTTAGGAGTGTCGGTCTTGTGTCTTCCTAAAAATCTCGGCTTTCACTTTAAGGGGTCATACTTCTTAATGAAGATCCTTCAATTGGGAGGGGAGAGTTTAAGTGGTTTAAATTGTTTTTTTTTCTGGTTAGAGTTTTTTCTAGCTAAGTTGTATTTTACGGGATTGGGTTGCTGACCCCTTGTCCATCCATACTCCTTTATCTGGGCTTCGGACCGGTAGTAATCCTACATGGGTTACGTGTTGAGTTTTTGTGATTCTATACCTTTACGCCATCAACTTTACTTCGTCCACCAGCGTATTTTTGATCATCCTCGTTCCATCGTCATTACCTCGAACGAAGATCAATCTGGGTCCCGTCAAAAGTGTACAATTTACCTCCAACATCAACACATACCATGGGAAGCAAGTAGCATCAAGTTTCCAGGTTCTAGGAGGGCTAATAAGATAGGTTGATCTCATTTTCCAAACAAGGTCAAGAAAATGACCTGAAATAGATTCAAAACAATATCAGTGAATCAGGAACCTACAGTCTTGGTGCTAACGATTGTTGTACATACAACAATTATCATTATCAAAACTGCGTTGAACCAATATGGTTTGAACTTAAATAAAATCAGCTTACAGTTTAAAGTTATTGTATCAGAAACACGGATGTTATTTCCTGACAGTATTGATTAGATACTTGGGGAAGATATGCAATAGGAGGAACAGTATATCTTGTATGTAGAATATGTTAGATAGTCTGGGAGTGTTCCGACGACTAACATTGACTGCGTTTGATTATAATTCCTTGAAAAAGCTTGGACCAGATAGCCAGGCGAAACGTTGGGTTTAATTTAAAAAATTCATTCGCTGAGATTTTACAAATATATTATTTCTATTTAATGTCTTACTTCAACTCGGCGCTCAAATACTGTGAAACTATTCGTTCTGATTTAGACGAGAGTTCTTATATATTGACTGCGTTTAAATTCCACAAATGTTTAACGCTTTTTAGGGAGCACGCAAACAATATTGAGTTTGTGTTGAAAGCCATAAGCAGTAACTAACGATTCGAGGTGATTTAAAATTAGTCTCAATAAGAAGTCTCTTTTTCAACCCTAACGCTAAACAATTCTGTCTGTATATTTGTTTCATATTTTGAGCGTGTTATTACTGTGTCATTACTTTGTACGCTTGTCCATTTTTAAATTTCTCGTTTTCTATACTATTGCCAATTGTTCGACTAGCCAGTAATAGATCTTGACAACATCGTAATGTGTCTAATATTCGACAGTACAAGTAGCCTGTCGGTCAATAGATTACTAAATTTTTTTTCCTTTTGTACATAATAAATTAGCAGTTATCATCTGACAGGCTACACAGAAACAGTTCCATTTCTACAATCTATTATTTTGGTCATCAATCGACGTGATGTCGATGTCCAACGGAGATTATGTTCGGATACCACTTTCTGGGAGTTTTGAGGATCAAGGGGACCAAGAACTTCACGGGACATTAGAACATAAGGTAAGAAGTAGGTTTTACACAAGTTTGTTTTAGACTGACAGTGAAAGTCCAAAAACGGAATCCAACGTGGGTCCTCTCACCTTTAAGTTCTACCAACAGTACTTCGATGTTGATACAAGTCAGGTAAGTACTACTGCGTATACAAAAACTTTTTGTTTTCTTGCTTACGTATTCATGTAAGGTAGTATGATTAAAGACAGCTTCAAAATCAGTTTTGGTGTTTAAATGGGCTTTTTAGTCTCAGTACCAAAAAACTTTAAGATGGAGTTAATAAATGAGAAGTGCTAAGGATCATTTATGATAGTTTAAAATACGTTTATACACTTAAGATAATTGAAATGTGTGCTGAATTTATCAGCCTCAGTTACTAGAACGTTTTAAGTATACAAGCAATTTTATTCACTAACGCATTGTGGTTCACATCCTGCAGAATGAATGTGTAGAGCGATTTATTAAACCGATGTATAGCCTGTGATTAGTACATCGGACAGAAGTGCGTTCATTGTTTAGAATATGCTGAGCGATGATATATAGGATGAATTTTCAAAACATTAAAATAATTATTTCTGCGGAAAAAATGTTATCTATAACCTGATAATTAGCATGTTGACTCAAGGTCATTAAGTGTTAGCTGTGTGAAATGTCATGTGATTTATGAACCACTATTTAGTCCAGTAGTCATTGTCAGTCCGTTTGAATGTTGGTTCGGGAATCACTCACTGCCTTCTCGTGGTGGGGGTGTTGTTTACGAAAGTGAGAGGACGAAAAGCGAATGTCCGGCGCTTTAACCGGGTTGGTGGACACGGAGGGTCCACCTAGGTGAGTTGGAAAACCCTGATTCCAAACTAATGGTGCACATGGGCTCCAGTATCCTGATGGAACGAATGGCGGATGAACCTGTCATTGGTCAACAGCTACCATGGGACTGCATTTCCTCACGATGCTCCACTGCCTTGTGGATCAGACATTCAAGTCAAAGGCTCCGGGTGTGGCCCCCTAAAAAAACCACCTGCTTCAGTCTGGGCACCTGGGCAGTATCACAGCCCTCACACAAATCAAATGAGATTTGTGAGGCGCATATTTATCTGGTGCTTCATTGTACCAATATTTATGTGTTTAAATAAATAAATAAATAAAACATTTGGCGAGAAAAGGTTATGGGAATGTGTCATGACTCAATTGCCTTTCTCCCTATTTTTTACTTGCCCGCATAATGCTGAGGAGTATGATATATTTCTTGTAACGCTTTAGTCTTTTGTGTTCAGGCAAGCTATCAAGTCATTATTTGAGGGTGAAAATAATCATTTTTATCCTTATTTTAACGCTGCATACGAGTGAAATTTTGTTACTGAGACCTTTATCGTGGCCACTTACGTAATTATGTAGGTTCTGCATCGCCTTGCCTCTGCATTCATACCTAATCCGCGTATAAATTTCATTCAACATTCTCTAAAACCCCGAGCTGATCTCTATGGTCCATTTTGGATTTCAACTACATTGATGTTAGCTGCCGCCATCGGGGGGAATATATCCAACTATTTGCAGTCGCGTGGTGAGGTGTCTTCATGGCATTATGATTTTCAAAAAGGTGCGTTTCATTTTACTGTTGCATTCGATTTAAGATTTTTAACATTTATGATTCATTTAAGTGTCAAACAATTTGTCATTTATTATCTACAATTTTCGCTTGTGTAGTTTCTTAAAAAAAGCTATCAAACGCTTAGGAAACCAATCTTTTCGAAAGTAGATCCTACCAATCTGTTTGATAAGAAAAATTTCAAATTTTATCAACATATATTCACCTTATCACAAAGAATTTAATTCGATGAGTTTGAGTGGGTAGGATTTAATCAGGGTCGTAATCTTATTACATGTATTAAGTTGTAAACTCTCTTTGTACTCGTTAGATGAAAAAAAGTTTTTTTCAGGAAGCATTTTGCTCAGTACTTGGAAGGGTTATGATAAAGCAATTGAAATAAGTTAGCGTATTGGTTTCACAATTTCACTCAGTTTACTACAGACCGTTCTTAAGCTTCATATTTATTTGTGTAAGTTCCCTGAAACCCTATCGTAATATCTCAAAGTCAAATGATTTAATACTGACAGATTTTCTTGTTTATTCTTAATAATTACCCCCTAGCATCATTTAGAAGACTACATACTGCCCCTTTACATGCTTCGTTTTTCAATTCTTCCGGAACGGTCAATAGATTTACGATGACAGCATGTTTGCGTCTATTATTCTTTTAGGCAGTGGCTACGTAAAGTTTTCTGTTTGATGGATTACTACTTCAATTTTCATAATTTTCAGGTCTACTATTTTTATGCTTTTCTTCGTCATTCTTTATTAAAGTTAATTTTACAATCGTTTGTTTCATAAATGCACACACCAAGTGCACGTTTATTCACTTAACTCTGATCCACACTATTCACATGTGAAGTTTAGTAATACTACAATCGAACTAGGTGAAGCGGGGTTCAAACACAATATGTACTGATTCGGAGACAAGTGTTTTAACTTCAAGACTATCAATTCTCAATTCCTGCATTTTCCTCTATCAGTTGTTATAATGGTGTTAAGAGATAGATCTTCGACTTCACTACTAGTGTCTATAATATGGTGTCTACATGAACTACTAACCTTTGCATTTATAACTAATCAAAGAACTAGTTAATCACTCATCCTTTTTAATTCTACTGTGTATTAATTATCCATTTTCTAATTTTGTAGTTACGTTGACATCAACCATCATTTATGTGTATTGGTGGCTAACACCATTGCTGTTGCACGCAATTATGCACATTAATCGTAAAAACAAGAAGCCCCAGTCCAACGATGCTGAAAGCGATCTCACTGACCTATTGGAGCGTTCCGACACTGATTCATCATCACTTCACAATTCAAAGCATGCGAATAAATTCTTCGTTGTTCTGTCGACCTATGGTTATTCATTAGCAATTTTCATTCCCGTCGCAGTGAGTTATGCTGGTTATATTAGTGGTTTTGGTAATTGTAAATGACTTGTTTGTTGGTAATGTAAGTTATCATGTCTGCTGTTATAGTCTGTCTAGTTGTAATGCATGTTCCTTGATGTTTACTCACTTTAAGTACCCTTGTCTACATTTTTCATAATAGCCGTAAACATTTCAATGTAGGGATATATTTATCGTGTGATAGTTAAGTCAGAATTCATAGTCAATCACATGCTTATGTTGGGGTGTATAAGTCACAACAACAAATACTTTGGTCTTTTTACCTCAACATATTACATGACAGTGCCCTGTAACTGACATCGATTGATATTGATTGTTCTATCTTGTAAAATACTGTTTATACTGTGGTCCGCTGGAACGATGACAATATCTTTTCTATTTCGGAGTAGCGGACAAATGGCGCACCACAGTGATTATGGACAAAGAAGAATACATCAAGAAAGCCGAGGAACTACTCGAGGACAAAAGCATATACTAACCGAGGGACATAAAGCCAGTCAAAAAGTTAGACAACCAAATTTCGAAGACTTTAAACAAGCTCGTCAAAGCAGGAGAAATAACAAAGCAAGATCAATGGAGAATGAAATCCAATGGATCAGTGTTCCCTTGATTTTACGGCAGGCCGAAGATACACAAGCCACGCATCCCACTACGTACAATCGTAGTACTACCCGGAACGCCAACGTACAATTTGTCAAGAGAAATTTCACAAATATTGGAACATTTAGTGGATTCGTCGAACCATTCCATCAAATTCGCCACACAATTTCTTGCTCAGATTAAGAACATTCAAATCAACGACGACGAGCTGATGATATCCTTCGATGTAACAGCGCTATTCACCTCAATTGAACCAAACTTGGCAAAAGAAACTCTATCCTTGCTTCTCATCAACGACGAAAGTCACGCAAAGTACACGAAGCTTCAACGTCAGAGTCTACTAGAACTCATAGATTTAGGCCTAACGACATATTTTCAATTCAACAACAGAATCTATGAACAAACAATAAGGACACCGATGGGATCACCAATATCGGGACTTGTCGCAAAAGCAGTGATGCAGAGACTAGAAACCGCGATCTTACCAGTGATTAAGCCAAAAATTTGGATTTGTTATGGAGACAACACATTCGCCATCGTCAAAATGGATGAACTAGAAAACACCTACAGACTGATCGACAACGTCTTTAATGGCATCAAGTTCACCATGGAACAGGAGTCAAACGACAAGCTTGGATATATTAATCATCAGAACCAACACAGGTAAACTGGAGACTTAAGTTTACAGAAAGCCAACCCACACTGATCAAATTCTCAACTACAATAGTAACAGCCCAAGAGCTCACAAAATCAACTCCATACAAAACTTGTCCAAGAGGGCTAGGACACACTGCAACACGATTACAGCACGAAAAAATGAACAGAAATACTTGAAGACCATCCTTCAAAAGAACGGTTACCCAATCAACTTCATCAAAAAATATCAGCCGCACCCATCAGCAGAAACAAAGTCAAGTACAGAAATCAACAAAAGGATCACTCTACCATACATAAAACGACGATGAGACTGCTGAAAACCTTCGGAATAGGTGTTGCTCAAAAACCAACAAGAGCCCTTTACTCAATCCTATGCAAACCAAAAGATGAAATGACAAAAGAAGACAAACCAAACATCATCTACAAAATAAATTGTACCAACTGCGACAAGCACCACATCGGACAAAACGGACGCCCTCTTTATCTTCGCTTGCATGAACATCAATTAGCAGTCCAACGCCATGATATGTCTTCACTTATACCAATGCGCGTGGACAACTGCGGACACATATTCGACTGGAAAAATGTGGAGATTTCGGATACAGGCAATTCCAAATACCCCAGAGAATTTTTAGGAGCTTGGCACGCAGGTGAATCAGCCATAAACAAGCACATTGAAATCAATCCAATTTATCAATCAATTAGGAAAATCACGCAGAAACATAGGAACAAAAATCAAACTAATTGGAGATACAACCAAAACAAAGCAGTAAACAATGACAGATTTGAGGTCAACAAGAACTAATCGTCGTCTAGTTGTACAGGACAAGCTGTGAACCACATGTGGAGTAACTCGAACACTTGACTTCTACCCGAAGTTTGTGCTGATGATGTCGTTCAGCAGGATGATGAAAGCTCCACGACCAAACCATCTAGCTCAGAGAACATAACTCCGAAATCATCCACCTGGGTTACAAATCTTCTCTACCATTCCAGTATTCTTGGTTTCATTGTAGGGTATGCTTCTACTCAATTATGACATAACATCCGATGTCTAATCTGGCTACACTGAAATTCCATTATAACTAATCCTCATGTTAAATAGTCTGTGACTTGGTTACGTTACTATAGAGTTTTCTTTCTGTTGTTCAGCCTAACTAGATGGAAGAAGTTATCACTTGGTTGAAGGCTGTTGAGTGCAGACTAATCTACCCTAGAATATGTAAGGAGTGACTTTGACAAGGTGAATAATTAATTATCAGAAGGGGTTTTGTGGAGATTTAGTATTTATCATTGTTGAAAGCGTGAGTCAATTGAAGCTAGACCACCATGGAAAACCTGGTGGTCTAGCTTCAATTGACTCACGCTTTCGAGAATAATTAATTAATAGTATTGTCAATTTAATAATAAAGGCGTTTTGCTATAGTTGCTCTCAAACACTAAATAATAGTTAACATCGGGACGTTTTTTGACGTGGTCGTTAGTATTACAGTAAACACATCGTGTCATTATTGCTTTCGGTTATACATTATCTCTTTTTTGGGGGCATGCCCTTAGACTCTGACCATACCCTGATCAGGGTTGTTTGTTTGAAAGTAGATCTGTTGTTCACTGGTCTAAATGCTCAACTTTCAGCTACTGGGTCACAGAGCGAAATGTCGCCCTACTGAGCCACATTAACTGTAATGCGTGATAGTGAAATCTAGCGTATGTTTTTATTCCAAAACTGAAGACTTGACTTTTGTCATATGAAAATCTTGTTATTCCAATTGAATTATTATTATTATTATTATTATTATTATTATTAGTGTTGTATTTTCCCCAACAATTCATAGATTTTATGGACAATTCAGATTACTACACTACAATGGATATTGTTTTTAGTTGGAATAGCAGTTTCTGGGGCATTCTTAGTATTTGCTTTAATGCCTAGTATTCTCAAAGAATATCCAAAGGTGAATATATTTTATTGCTCACTTTTGTATTTGTTCATCTTTCTTTTGCTCAATAAATAGTTCTATAGAAGAATATGTTTAAGCAAATTTGGATAGTAGTTACTAGCAGTGGAAACTTGGAAGCAGGTTTCGTCATATTTGGGACTCGCTATTTGGATGTACCTGAACCTCTATGTTGATGTTTTCATCAGAATGTATATATATATATATATATATATATATATATATATATATATATATATATATATATATACATAACCTGTTGTCCATTACTGGATGAGATTAATGGTCAACTAAAGATGGTGATTTGTAAAATATATTTTAAGGTTTTCACCAATGAAGCTGTTGGATATATGTTGTTGTCTATGGAATATGAATGACCATGTTTACACCATAATCTTTCTATCGTGTCTGATGTTCCTCTGTCCAGAAAGTTGGACAGTACCATCCTATTAATTACTAGATCATAATGGTAATCTCTCTTATAAAATCATGCCTATAATAACTGAGTTGAGATTTCCTTTGATTAGTTTTCTCCATAAAATCTGTAAAAGTTGGTATCTTTATTACGGAATGTAAATTCCTGGTTATTATAACATTGTTGTTCTGCAATATAGAAAGATAATTAACTTAAATCAACATATGTATTTGTACTCCGTGTTTAGAAAGCTATCACTTAACCTTTTTAATAAATATCAAAGTCGGTGAATACTTCTATAGGATTTAATCGCAAACTAAGAAATAAATTTGTTAGTTATTCAAACTACAGTCACTAAAGTGAAATTTGAGTCGTGTAATTATCCGTTGTACAAGTTGCCTATCCCTTTTTCTTGGTTTACACTCTATGGAACTGATACAGATTTAAACGTTTCTCAGTGTAAGAAACAATAGCATCTTGTACTCGAATGTTTCCATAAACATATCATATTTCTGTTGGAATACATTTAATATCCATCATCAAAGTTCCTAGATGCTTAGAAACTCCAGGGAACGTTTTATCCGATCAGCGTTGAATGGAATCTTCTCAGTAACATTTGGAAAATGGAGAATCACGTGCCACTATTGTGACTGGATATTTTTGCTGCTAATAGGCTTGGTATGGTTCCAGAAAATTCCAAAATCGTGTTTAAATCTATAAATACCCTCGTTTTTTCTGTACAAAGACGAAGCTCGGAGTAAAGCTTTTACTCGCAATTCTCACCTCTCTAGTGTTCTAGATGACGTGTAGAAGTGGTTAGGGTTATCGAAACCGGCTAGGAAATTAGTTTCAATGTGTTGGTAGAAAGATTTACTAATTTCAAATACACATATATTTTAGTTGAAAGCGTGAGTCAATTGAAGCTAGACCACCATGGAAAACCTGGAAACACTGGGCGGCCGTTTCGTCCTATTATGGGACTCCTCAGCAGTGCGATTGGTGAATGGTTGCTCAACTTCGTGGATCAGTTGAAGTTAGACATTAACACCGTTGGATGCCAGCTCAGTGGTCTACCGGTTAAGGGCTTCGGCCCGAGACTGGTAGGTCCTGGGTTCGAATCTCGCGAGAGCGGGTTCGTGGATGCGCACTGCTGAGGAGTCCCATAATAGGACGAAACGGCCGTCCAGTGTTTCCAGGTTTTCCATGGTGGTCTAGCTTCAATTGACTCACGCTTTCAACTATAATAAATACTAAATCTCCACAAAACCCCTTCTATAATTAACACATATATTTGACTGGAATTTTCAAAATTCTACACGTTGTTCATCATTCAAAAAGGATACAATCTTTTATTTATTTTAGACTTATTTCAAGGTTACATTACCATAAATTACTAACAACCTATTTTTGTTTGTAGCTTGTAACAACAATAATGATCATTATAGTTGTAGTACATTTTGGTTTTTCATTAGCTCTAATGGTGAGTTGTTAAAATTCATGTTATTATGTTTAAAATAATTAATTTTCATAATATCAAGTATTTAATGCATAATCATTTTTAGATAGATTTCCATTGCAAACACAGTTTACATTGTTATTACTATGTAAGGTCCTTTTACATTGTTATAATACTATTTATCGAACGCATCGGGAACACTAAACAATAATATATATTTAAACTATACATTATGAAGTCTGCATTACATCTAAGCTGATTGATTAGTGATTAAACCTCTCAACGTTTTACCATTAGGTTATTGGTTTGTATCTCTCGTCACCGAATTCGGTTTGTGTAATATTTCTAGCCATAATAGAGTATGATTTAAAGCCTAGTACATAAACGTGATAAGAAAAAAAGTAACACTAATCGTAACTTAGTCAGGATCGTTATTTTAATTATGTCAAGTATTGGAAATCTCGATGTGGAACTCGATTATTTTAACTGTATTGAGTGCTCACACAAAAGTATGCTGTAGTTTGAACTTAAGACTCAGTAGATAAGCGTTTCAGCCATAAATATATTTATTGTTTGGATGCTGCAGACGTGGCGGTTACCTGTATTTGGTGGTCGGTCTTGTGTATTGTGATGTCTAAATCAAGCTGTATTGATTGCAACACTTTCAATTTGGGTCCTATCATACCAAGAAGGAGAGTAGTAAAACTTAAATCCGAGAATGAATTCTCTTTGTTGACTGTTCAGTGGTGTTATGGCACGGAGGTTTTCACCCTCTTTTTCCATTGTGGGATTACGAGATTACTGCAGATTCTGATTGTCTGTGGAGGAACACCTTACTGCCGTCAAACCTCAATTGAGTCATCACGATACACAAACTGACCGACACATCAAAGAATTAGATGCAGTTGGGGTTGGGGAGTGGATTATAATAGCGCCTATCTATTCACTATCTATTTTCCTTTACATCTTGAGTTTCAGTATTCCTTTTAGTATTCATTTTCATTCCGTTTTTGAAACCGTGTTTCTAATATCTGTTCTTACTTATTATCATTACTACTTTATTATTTCGACTCCTTTGCCATTTATCTTGTTGATTCCATCTCAATTCACTATAATGGTTCGGCAACTTGTGTTGATGGACGTTTATGCCAGTGTCTACATTGATTATGATTAAATGACTGACAAAGCTGCTTTTTCTCTTCATTTGGAAGCTGGTTTGTTCTCTATCAGAGCAGTCTGTTGCTGATAGTGTTTGGCCAACGAATGTTGAGTATCTTGCGTAGACAACTGTTTATAAATAGTACCTGATTGTTAGTCGAAGTTTAATTAATGGTAATCTCAGCTTGTTCTTAACAGCGTAATATTGTTCCAGTCCTTAACCATTCCATGTGTTTATTTCTAATATTCATTTACACTCGTTTACTGAATGACGTTTTTACATTCCTTATTTTCCCTCCATAGATTGCCTTCTTTCATGGATCTCCACCTGTACAACATCCTCTATCTCATACTGGTTATATACATCAACAAAATGTTGTAGAAAGTAATAAACAACTATCAAATATCACTGTATTAATTACTAATAAGCCAATACATCACTAATTCATCTGTTATTTTAGCTTGAGTACTGCTATTTTAAGTAGAAAATTTGTTAAACAACGGTAATAATACTTACTATTAACTATTATAAGCTTTTGTACAGGTGCAGTTGATTTCTTTCCTTCTTTTTGTTTATTACTGCTTCTGTATTGTACTGTCATTTACACAATACACCAATGCATGCATAACACTGTGATATTTATTGTGTTCTATTTGTACTTTAACTATTTTCAAAATATACGGATTGCACAGTGATTGAAGTCACATTTTGTGTTGTGTAATTGAAAGTGAGTAATTTATTGACTGAATGTTACATAACAAGGTATAAAAAGATGTGAATAATGGTCGAGTATTGTAATAGTTGTTTATTAGAGGAAGTAACGCTCATTTTAGGTTACATTTATAAAGTGTTTTGTTACTTTTCAATTGTCTCTTTATATTACATAATAAAATGTAAATAGTATTTGTATTGGAAAGTATCAGTTGATTGATATATTACAACCTTATATATATGTGTGCTTACTCAGGAAAAATAATGTTTTATATAGTTGAGATCATCAGTCACTTGAAGCTAGACCACCATGGAAAACCCGAAAGCACTGAACTCCCGTCTCGTCCTATTGTGGGACTCCTCAGCAGTGCGCAATAACGATCCGGTCTCGCGAGATTCGAACCCAGGATCTATCGGTCTCATGATTTCAACTATAAAATTACTGAAATCTCCACAAAACCCCCTTTTAAAAGTAATATTTGTTATATACTGCTACTTCTCAGTGTTTTTGGTTAGTACGATTAACGCTAATGAATGATTGGTGTGAAATATACATTGAAATCATTCATATAGGAAGTAATAAAACCATTGAATCTTGTACTGTTATAAAACTTCAATATTTATCTATCCTCACAAATGTCCTGTATTATTATCCTGTTATTGACTCAATTGGCTGTCAAGTCATTGTACGATAATGAATAGATGAAATCATTCAGTGTTAGTTTTAGCTGTGTTAGAAGATACTGATACTCTATTGTTGTTATTCATGTGATAAATGATAATTATATTACTTTTAATATGGTTTTAAATCTGTGCAGCACAGATGCATTTATTCTTTATCATTTTCCAAATTTAGTGACGTTTACACTTTCTGACTGTTTGTTTTGCTTATAGCTGAGTGCACTAAAACGTGAAAGTTTACATTGAATTCTTAGTAATGTTTAAAATCTAAAGTCAGTCTGATGTTTAAGCAACTTGCGAGAGAACACAATTCACTTTTCTCTTCCACCAAAAACAACACAAACGGTCTTTCCGGTATTGCTATCAGGATCATAGTTCTTATTTATGCTCTAGAAGATGAATTTTTACCATGCTTTTCTTTCTAGTCCACTTTTTTCGAAATTAAGGCAGCTTATGATCATCTTCAAATAAAACTAATATACCTGTAAGCTGATAATTGACTGGAGTTTCTAGCAGTCCTAAACACCACAACTAAATGGTTCATCACCTCATTATAATGATAGTGAACGGTTGTTCTGATAATGTTAATTCATGTTGAAATCTATCTTCCAATTGTATGGATTTCCACGAACTACCTATTTGAACAACCTCCATCCATTTAGTTTTTGATCTAGATCTAACAGAAAATATTTTCTGATTTGTTGGTAAAAGGTACTGTAAATAATATAAATTATTATTTAATGAAAAGTTGTATTTTGTTTTTTGGTCAGTGGGAAGATTTTAATTTTGATAATCGTAGTAGAATTATCTTTGTAAAACAGCCGCTGGCTGGTGACCAACTTTGAGCAGTAGCTCTTAAGTTCTAGTGAGAAGCCGTGACCAGTGTAGTTCAAAAATGTCCAGTGTAAGGCAGTTACCTACCAAATACATTAAAAGATGATTACGTGACATCGCAATTTGATTGAAGTTAAACATGTAAACTATTGAATTTCAGCGCAATAGTTTACAAGTTAAACGTTCGTGCCGGATACCGAAGATCCAAGGTTCGAAACCTGTTGTCGACGTTGTGAGTACACATTACTGATAAGTCTCATACTAGGACGAAACAACTTTTCAGTGATTCCTTGTTTTCAGTGACCTTTTTAACTACGATTGTTTCGTGATATTTTAACTATAAAATCTGAAAAGCCAATGTAATTTTACGAGAATAGAGAAGAGGGAAATTAGTCAATAGATTTAGTAAATTATTTTAACAGTAATAGTTGTCAAATTAAGTTTTAATAGAAAGAATATCACGAACCGATATCTACTGAAAATATTCCTACTTTGATCTTGTTAGGACTGAAAACTGAACTAATAAAACGAAGGGGAACAGGTTTATATGATTCAGGAAAAAAGAGTAAAACCGATTACTGGTGAAGATTTTATTCATCCTCTTAAAGGAAAAAAAACGCCGCAGCAACTTGTTGGACAAAATACACTCATTCATGTAAAGATTTCATTGATATTTAATGATTAGTCAACAAATATCATACATAACTGGAACCACACTTCACTGAATTCATATAAACAAACACTGATGTCATGTTGAACAGGCATCACTTTGAGTTAAAACGAATTTTATGCCAAGTATCACTAAAATTGTAACATGGTTTCACGTTTTATTCCACCTCAGTGGGTGCTTTTCAAGAGTGTGCACCTGCGACAGCACACGGGATCAAACCTTGTATTTCCAGTTCTCTTGTCTAACTTGATGTCACTGAGTTGGAACAGAAAGTCGGACATTTTTTGGCTGCAGTCAACCTATGTTATAACTATGTTCGTGTCTGATGTTATTGTTGAGCTGCTAACTCACTCTCTTGTTGACTTACTGTAAATTAGAGCTTTCCTTTTGAACTTCGATAAATCTACGTGGAATTTCGTTACTATTGACGATTTGATTATTGATGAAATAGTTTGTTCGGTATTGGTTATTTGAGGATAGTTATGAATGGTTCATTGTTTTTGGACCAACTAGGACAATTCATTTAATCGCCTTTTCATTGTAATTCTAGGTTACTTAAGAGTGTATATCGTGATAATCTTACTAAATATTAGTTCTTCGCACTTATGAGCCAAGTTTTGTTTTTTAATATTCTATTGCTTAGTGAAATATAAGCGTCTATACAAACAGATTTCTTTTGATCATATTAATCCACTCTTTCATTTCAACTTTTTATTACTGTTTACCTACCATACAAACAAAATCCATTCCTAATCAGTAACAGTTGTAAGAACAGTATTTATCTCTCTTGAAGAACTTTAATATTTTAGATTAAGAATAAAGGGATTTTAGTTAGTGATGAAATCCAGGACGTGTGTTTCTCCCTATGACTTTTCAGCTGGATATACCTGCCTCATAGTGTTAATGTTCACATCGAGACTCTAAGCATTTATTTATTTAAACACATAAATATTGGTACGATGAAGCACCAGATAAATATGCGACTCACAAATCTCATTCGATTTGTGTGGGGGCTGTGATACTGTCCAGGTGCCCAGACTGAAGCAGGTGGTTTTCTTAGGGGGCCACACCTGGAGCCTTTGACCTGAATGTCTGATCCACAAGGCAGTGGAGCATCGTGAGGAGATGCAGTCCCATGGTAGCTGTTGACCAATGACAGGTTCATCCGCCATTCGTTCCATCAGGATACTGGAGCCCATGTGCACCATTGGTTTGGAATCAGGGTTTTCCAACCCACCTAGGTGGACCCTCCGTGTCCACCAACCCGGTTAAAGCGCCGGACATTCGCTTTTCGTCCTCTCACTTTCGTAAACAACACCCCCACCACGAGAAGGCAGTGAGTAGGACTTCCCTGGCAGAGGCTATATATTCGCTGGCCATATGAGAGTATTTCGAGAGGGAGAGGTGACTCTCCCCACTCTCGGCCATACCAGGGCATTTGGGGGTGAGACTCTAAGCAAGCAGCTTTCATCTCAAACATCAAAAAATGGGATAATTCAAATCCTTCATAATAATGGTATTTTAAACGAAATCTGCAAACCACAAATAAATGTGTATATTTACCATGGTCTGTTTTACACAATCCTTTTCTGTTTCTCAGTTGAAGAATGTTCCACGTGATTTACGAAATTCAAAATGTTTGCTTATAGAGTCAATAAATCTTCAGTAATATTTCATATGCTGTGAAAGTAGGCCATGTGAATGGTTGAAATTTTAGCCATACGTTAGTTCTCATGGGATTTTGTAGAATGGTTTTAAACAATCTGTTCTATGTAGCATAATCATACACATTACAGTCATAAATTACCTACAAACTTAAGATTTGTACTGTATTTCGAAAATATTGGGAATAGTGTAGTGACATAAAATTAGGTAGATAAATTTAGTTCAATATTTATGAAAAACATTTTCTTCCAGTGTAAACCCGGAATCTTTATAAGAGCAATTTCGCAAAATATTGTCTACGTTAATCTGTTTTAAGATGAGCTTAGCTGATTCCTACTAACTGGATTGTAATTTTTGATGTAAATATTATGATTAATCTTGAGAAATGATGATTATACCCTAGCTTTAGCTCTCATATTGTAATTCGATCCAGTTCAATCACATTTTTAATCCGATTACCAATGAAACCTTTGTTTAATTCAGTTGTATTGGTTACTTGAATCTTCTTGTTGATGTTTAGGACTCCAGTTTATCAGTCTCTTTTGGCATATGTGCATGTTATGCGGATTGCCTTGAGGCTCGGAATGAACATCAACGCTGGAATGCAGTTACATGTAGATGACGTATCCCAAGTAGGATGAGACACACTCCCTGGTTTCCACTGCTATCCACCATTCAACTCTGCTTAAAACATTCGTTTGTTTAAGAGTGAAAGTTGGTACAATTATCAATATCATCACTATATTTTGTTATTGAGTTTCACCTCTTCCGATAATAATTAAATTGTTTTTGAATGTGACTGGATCATCAAATTTTTCTGTTTATAAAAATGAATACTGTTGTGTTCACTTGGCTGATTGACAAAAGTTTTATTATGGATTATACGACTGGAAAAAAAATCTCCAAATTTAGTCTGAATGGATTTCTGCATGGCTAGTACAGAACAACTAGTCAAAAAACGAAATTAAAGCTGTTATTTATATACATTATATCCAATCAGAATAGATATAATATTAATTACTCACCAATACACTGAGTTTACATTGTCAATATGTTTTTGAAATGAAGTAATTATACCTTAATTGTGAATCAATTATAGATAGGCGTTCAGAATACTATTAAGAAACAAGTATTCAACGAAGCCATACCATAAAGTGAGAATTATAACATTTATGATGGAATACTTTCTTGAAAAGTTTCGCAATAATGATTTGATTCCAAATGCCCTGGTACGACCGAGAAAGGAGAGGGTCAGCTCTCCCTCTCAAACGTAATCACGCGTATACAGACACTCCCACATAAGTTCTGCTCACTGACTTTTCGCAATCGGAGTGTTATTTACGAAAGTGAGAGGACGAAAAGTGAATGTCCGACACTTTATTTGGGTTGGTGGATATGGAGGATCCACTTGAAGCAGTTGGAAATCCCTCATTCCAAACCAATGGTTTACTTGGGCTCCAGGATCCTAAGGAAACAAATAGAGTATGAATCTTTTGTTGGCTACTGTCTACCATTGGAGTGCATCTCTTACTGTTGTTCCACTGTCTTGTGGACTAGGCCTCGAGGTCAAAGGTTCGTGGTGTGGTCTCCTAAGAAAACCACATGCTACGGTTTGGGCACCCGGACAGTATCACAGCTTTCATACAAATAGAATGGTTTATGTGAAGCATTTCTATTTGGTGCCCTTTGTATCAATGTTTATGTGTTTAACTAATATATAATACAATAATGATTCTAATAACATGGATGTCATGTTGTTCAATCCGTGATTATAACATGTATTACTTCGAAATAATGAATTTTCAAATAAGATTTAAAATATTCTATCTCATGGATCTAAGACCAGTTTATAACTGACGAGAACAAATTAGAATCTCATATATTAAACATTGTAATAATCCAGTGGCATCATCGATATTTCATCGATAACGTCTCTAACTGTAACATTAGGTGATATGGGATAGTAATATATCTCAAGCAGTTTCAATTCATTTAGGAGTGATGATTACTACGAAACCCAAAGTTCAGAGCTTGAGATCCATTGCAAATATGCTAAGAGATTACAATGAAATGTTCAGAAAACATTCTACTGACGATCTGTAGCAATAAGAACAAACGACTTTGAAAGTGTAATAAGTGACTAGATTAAATTTTACGATGGACTATACATACCACAATTGTTTGAGTGATTACGACAGTCAGTATTCATTACAATAAACAAAATAATTATACTATTCAATCTCATTTCAAAACAATCTAATGATTGTATTGACGGAAGTAATGAAACTCTATAACAAAATATAATGATCGTTAATATGATTATGCTGACTTATGAAACATTGACTATTGTCTCTAAATAAATGAATTCTCTATTATTTGTTGAACCGACAATATCACAAAGTTGCATATTGTAAGCATACACTAATAGAAATTATTTTTGTCATAGAGAGTTTGAAGAGAACGTTACTGGGTTCGATTCCCAGAGTGAACATCAACTCTGAGATGCTGGTACATCCAGCCGATCAGTCCCAAATAGGACGAAACGCACATCAAGCTGGATTCCATTGCTAAC